CTCTGGTCAAAGTTCTCCTTTGATCAAATAACAAAAAATCACCCCCTGGGGGCAAAAAAAAGATGATGGAAAGATGACCCTTGACAGATTTTTTGCATCTTCTTTCTCCAACTTGTCACTGCCAAAATCAATCAAAAACAAGGTTCGGTTTTGAAGTAAACGAACCAATAATAACTCTCAAGAGTGCTCGTTGTTTTCGAAGCTTAAAATGTTTACTATAAAGTAACTTGTACTGTAAACATTACAATATATATTGCAATACTTATTTACTTCATAATATAAATACAAAGTAAAAAATAGAAAGCTTTATAGATGAAATCTTCAATAATTTTTATTAGATAGTGCAAATAATTCTGTGCTCTCTAACTCGAAAAATTATCTTTGAGAGAAGACAAAGAATTATTTGAACAGCCTAATAAAATTAGAAATAATCATTATCTTAACCATGATAATGACCAGCCTTTTGCAGTATGCACGTTCAACCCATGCCTCACAGAGACCAACTACCTCGAAATGGAAGGCAAGGTAAAGAAGGTGTTTGAAGATTTCCACGACCCCAAACTCCAAAGCACCTATTACCCAGTTCATGGCATGAAAAAGGAGACCCAACTACAACTCATCGCTGATCTAAACCTATTTTGATAATTCCAAACAGTTAGGCCTATTCTTAGCAGTTTAAACAGGAATTCTACTAACTTTTTGACCAAGTAAGGCTAAGATAACATACAGGTAAAGCCATGATAATATTAGAATGTTCAAATAATTCTTTGCCCCTTCTAAAAACAAATTTTCAAAGTTAGAAAGCACAGAATCATTTGAGCGACCTGATATAAAGGTAAGGTCAAGATAACTTAAAGCTAACATTGTAAGGCTAAGATAATATAAAGTTAAGGCTAAATAATGTAATCCTTCCTGACCTTCCTATTAAAAACCGACAACAAAAGCTTCATAAATTAGAAGAACAAACCATAGTGACTCATAAAACTTTGAAAAAGTTCCAGACAACGTTATCTAGCCATTTCGAAATTCCATAACGTGCTCAACGTTCCTTTTTCGGAACGCTTTCCATTTTTGATGAGACATCGCTTCCTTTTCCAAAAATAAAATCTCATAAAATTAGAAAAGCCATCTCAGTAACAACAAGGGCTTCAGAATTTAAAAGCAAAAAGCCTTCCAAATTTCGAAACAATTTCAAATGTTTCGAAATAAAAATTCATGAGAGATTAGCCAGATCGAATGTTATGATTCCACCAAAAGTAAAAAGTTATTGACAGCTAGAGGGTTTTTTATAGAGAGAAAAGGTCAGAACGTGGCCTTGAGGAACAGAGAGTGACGTTGCAAAAAACAATCGCAAATTGTTTAGATAATAACATCCGCTTTTCGCATCATCCTGATGAATGTGATGTTATACTGAAAAAGATATGGATTTAGATGAGAAACTGGACATAAACAGCCAACTTGAACATAAATAACTATAATAAGACCTTTGCCAATGTTAATATGACCCAAAACCATCTGAAGAGTAGCAAAATTGACTAGAAACGTATATTAACCATGATCAACTCATCTTTTACACATAAACCAATCAAAGCACTTTAAAGTTCAAAACCTTAACCAACAAAAGGCGCTATCAAAAGCCCATTACATAGCTAGACAAAGTTATGATCAACAGAACGGCCCCAATATCATCAAAATCACAATTCAAGCCGTCTCATGAATAATATAAGCCTAAAGCAATGTTAACATCAAAACGCTTTCAATACCATTTCAAACCGTTGAATTGCATCATGTCAACAAACTTAACATCATTCCCCAACTCTTCAGCCATTTTTCTCCAAATTTCAAGCAATTATTGCCCTTTTACATTCGTTTTCGTGAACATAGTATCAAGTGTAATATAGGTCTAATGAGCCTTTTGAGAGAACTCTCTCCCACGTAGTTTTTTGCCAAGCTTTAGCACACTTTATTCTATATTCTAATAATTTAATCTACGTAGGTTTGCTATCTTGGGCTGAAAACTACACGCAAGGACAAAGTTGAAGAGAAAAACTAGTGTAACATCGAGGTAAACCGTGTAAAATTGAACATAAAACAATGTTATAACTTCAAAGATTATTGAAAAAAAACGTTAAAAAATTGTAAAGATCAATTCGAACGTAAAACAATTTGTAAAGAAGCCAAAAAAATTCATGTTATACATACCTAAAAATCCAAGCACAATCCAAAAAAGCCTATAACAACATCGAAAGCTCAAAAAATCGCTGTAAATTATAAAAAAAGTAAAATAAAAGTTCGCAATGTAATCTGACATATATAAAGGTCAAAAAGTATCAAGTATCGTCTACAAAACTTTGATTGGCATCCAGAAAAAGCGTCAAACTTATTTTTTCCTCAAAAATCTTTGGAGCCATTGGCAAAAATTGATTTTTTTTCAAGTTTTCTTCTACATTCTTTATGATGTTTCACACGTAAGTTCCTGTATATTAAATAGTGTTATTTTTGAAACAATTCGAATTATGATTGAAATTTTAGCGAGTTCACAAAAATATAAGAATAAGATCTTCTTAGAAGAAGGTTATCATGGATAACATCGTGAAAAATCGTTGAAAAAGCGCTGAATTAAGGTGAAGTTATAAAAATAAGGAAAATGAAAATGATATATCACTTCATATTGAGTAAGTAAAAATGTTACTAAGTTATTAATATTATAGACTTCAATTAAAAAAAGTTTTTAATTGTAGTTCAAAGGCTTATATCAGGTTGTCTAAATAATTCTGTGCCATCTCTCAAAGCAAATTTCAGGGTTAGGTAGCTCACAATTTATTGAACAACATAATTATTGGATTTCTTTCGGGGTTATGGGCACAGATTTGTTTGAACAACCTAATAAGTTCTTGAATTTAGCACCACAAGATACCGCTTGTCGTAACAATGATCATTCCAGACGCTCATAACCTGGCTAAACTCCAAGCTCATGGACACTTATTGTACAGGCTTTTCACGTTGTTCAAGTTTGAAACACTTGAGTCAATTTTGCTACCAGTTTCAAAGTTTAAACCGTCATTAACAGTTTTAAATGCTTAGGTACACAAACTGCTGCACCTGGATCTAGGCTTAGACTAAAGATCGCTTATTGTCTCTAAAACTAAAGTTTTTGGCCTTCTTTTGATGGTGGCGTACTATGATGACCAGCATAGCATGGATTATGATGTAGAACACGTTTTGGGTTATCATGACTATCATAGTATGAACTGTGGTAATCACTTTGGACTATCAAATTACCTTAATATGACCTATAATACTCGATATAGTATAGAGTATTTTGTTAACTGTAGTATTAACCATGATACTCGCTATAGTACGGTCTATGAAAATTACCATTGTATGAAATATGATAATCCCCAAAGCACGAACAATGTTAATTTACATATAAAGGGACCGAAAACGTGTTAACATAGCTTAATTTGTATTCAAATAACAACTTTATCGAAAGTCACGGATAGTTTTTGCAAAAAGATAGGAAGTTTCAAAACTTCTCTGACGTTTTTAATCTAACCTAATATAGAATTTCGCTAAAATTATTCAACAAACGGCTTTTGATAGACAGTTTTATGTGAGTCACTATATTATACTACACAAAAAGCTTACTAATAAGCTAGATTTTGACATAAATAAGCTAAAATATAGTTATATCCATTAGTTAAAGGTCAATAGTAAAAGCCAATTTTATGATGAAGATTACCTTATGATTACTATCTGATAAAGAATATAATCCTATTAATATTACCCTACGTATCCACCTAAATCTCTGTTATAAAGACTGTAAATTAATGAAGAAAAACGCAAAAACTTTGTTGACAAAAAGCTTCAAAACTTGACCTTTTGTTCATGTTAAAGAACTTGACGTCAGCCAGTGATTTCCACTTTGTCTCTGCTCGAATTTCACACTTTTGCCTTTCATTTCAAAGCTAAATCGATAAGAAAATTCGAAGGAATAAGCAAACAAAGCCACACTGTACCACAAATCATCAAAATCAAGAGTTTAACTAGGGAGTTACTCGTTAGGCTTAAAGATGTAGGAAATTACTCAGTTTTATTACAAAGTTAAAAAACTTTTCAAAAAATGGTACTACTGGTACACTTTTAAAAAACTGGGACAAAATTTCTTGTTATAATTACAAAACGTCAAAATGAAGTGAGCGGGCTTCGAAATCTACCGTCTTTTTCACCCCAGGCTAACGTCTTCTATACCAAATTGGACTGATGTTTCAATCCTTTTGCCGGATCATTCCGGCTAAGTTTTTTTTCGTTTTGGTCCAAGTTAAAAAAATTTTCGGATCGGTCCGCTCCGCTCTTGATTTTGTTTGGATCGGTCCGTTTGCTGATGGTGCAACTCCCCTTCAATTTTAGTCTGACATGCAAAAACAGTACTCAAACCTGTCCGCTCAAAATCATCTCAAAATGTTTATACGACTTCTTTGTACCACCAATAGTACTCATAAAAAATTTTAGCTTGCACTATTGAGTTTTAAATTTAAAATATTTGAATTTCTCGCCAAATCAGCAAAGTTGGCATTGTGTTTCAAGCCCTTTTTGTGGCTTTCAAGCGAGCTACGCTTATAAATTTAAAAATATAGGTTCATATAAAGGTTTCCTATCAGTATTCCAAAAAAAATGATTAAAAGTAAAAAAAATGACAAAGTTATAAGCTTGAAACACAATGCCAATTTGGCGGTAAATTCAAAACGCAGTTTTTGATTTCGATTTTCTTGATATTGACCGGAAAGTGCGATTTAGTACTTTGCTGAATATTTTGTATTTACATGATATTTCTATAAAAAAGTTTGAATTCAATCAAAGCAGGGCAGGTCGGGTACTTTCTTTGCAAGATATTCAAAACTACCTTCTAACCTTTTCAATATATATTTGTTACCATAACGTGTTCAATAATTACAATAAACAGAGTTGTAATACCTTTTTCAGATCATATAACAATGGATTCAGCATTGGCACGGTCGTTGAGGTTGGCAAACGCATTGGGCGACGGTTTGGGTCATAGCCTGGCGATTCTGGAATGGTGCACCTGCGAACTGGTCTTGTTGTGGGCCGGGCTGGAATTGGGGTTGTTGGCCTTGTCTGGGCTGGAACTGGGGTTGTTGGCCTTGGCTTGGTTGGGACTGAGGCCCTTGACCTGGAGCGCCTTGTCCCAGCTGAAACTGCTGACCCTGGCCTGGAGCGCCTTGTCCTGGCTGGAATTGAGGCTGTTGTCCTGCTTGGCTTAGTTGGAATTGCGGCCCTTGACCTTGTCCGAACTGTTGACCTTGACATGACGGGCATGGTGGAGCTTGTTGACCTCCGAATTGTTGATCAAACTGGTCTGGCATTCCATTGTAAGCAGTATTAGGTACCTGTTGGAAAGGCTGACGACAACATGGATCTTGTTGTGGCTGGAACTGTTGTCCTTGGCACGATGGACAAGGTGGAGTTTGTTGTTGTCCTTGGCATGGGCATGGCGGGGCTTGCATTTGTTGTTGGCATGGGCATGGGGGTGCTTGTTGTTGTCCTTGGCATGGGCATGGTGGGGCTTGCATTTGTTGTTGGCAAGCACATGGATCTTGTTGTTGTTGTTGACAACATGGGTCTTCTAAAAATTGAGTTACATGTTTTTATTGGCTAGCCTCTTACGTTGCTGGTAGCTGGGTTGGGCTTGGTCTGGGTTCGTCTGCTTAATGGTGACTAAACGAAAAGTAGGTTTAGAGAAGTGATAATAAATAGATTTATATTCTATTGCCTTATCCAAATATGAATGAGCCAACATTTTCAAAGCAAGACTTTTGAGTAGCTCATTCATTTTCGGACGACCTGATATTATAAGTATGTCAACTTTAATCACCCTTACCTTGAACACAAGTACAAGAAAGTGGCTCATACTGGCTTTGTCCTGGAGCAAAGTTGGCTCCTTGTTGTGATCCACAGCAGTCAGAAGCCTGCGGCACGATGGGCTGCGGTTGGGGCATGGGAGGGAACTGTTGTTGTTGACATGGACAAGGTGGAGCTTGTTGCATATCTCCTTGGCATGGACACGGAGGCTGTTGGAACTGTTGGCCTTGGCACGATGAGCAAGGTAGAGCTTGCTGGCCTTGACATGACGGGCACGGTGGGGCTTGTTGTCCTTGACAAGAAGGGCACGGTGGCTGTTGTTGAGGCCCTCCGAACTGTGGTGGTATCTGTTGACCTTGACATGAAGCACATGGCGGAGCTTGTTGACCTTGACAGGATGGACAAGGTGGGCCTTGTTGAGGACCACCAAACTGTTGTTGATCATTGAACTGAGGTGGAGCCTGACCTTGACATGATGAACATGGAGGTTGTTGTTGAGGTCCTCCGAAGGGTGGAGAAGCTTGACCTTGACATGAAGGGCATGGTGGAGCTTGCTGTGGGCCTCCAAACTGTGGTGGAGCCTGCTGACCTTGACATGACGGGCATGGTGGAGCCTGCTGACTCTGGCACGATGGACATGGTGGAGCTTGTTGAGCTCCTCCCTGACACGGTCCACACCCAGCTGGCGATTGTTGAGGTCCTACCTGATCAAAGAAACCTTGAGCTTGACAAGAAGCGCATGGTGGACCTTGTTGGGGACCTCCAAATTGTGGTGAAGCTTGTTGGCACGATGGGCACGGTGGCTGTTGTTGAGGGCTTCCAAACTGTGGTGGCATTTGTTGCCCTTGACATGACGGACAAGGTGGCCCTTGAGGTTGGAATTGAGGTGGAGCTTGTTGTCCTTGACACGATGAGCACGGTGGAGCCTGTTGAGCATCACATGGGCAGTCTTGACCTGGCTGGAACTGAGGTGGAGCATTCATCTGATCTTGACATGATGGACAAGGTGGTGCTTGCTGGCTCTGGCACGATGGGCACGGTGGCTGTTGACCTCCAAATTGTTGTGGATTCTGTTGAGGACCTCCGAACTGAGGTGGTGCTTGTTGCCCTTGACATGACGGACATGGTGGAGCTTGCTGTGGTCCACCAAACTGCTGGTTACCTTGGCATGGGCATGGTGGTGCTTGTTGTGCACCGCTTTGGCATGGGCATGGCGGAGATTGAAGTTGTTGAGGTGGGGGTTGTTGGAAGGGCTGCTGACATCCACAATCCGCACCTTGAGGCGGTTGGAACTGCTGTTGACCACCACAACAGCCTTGTTGTACTGTGGCACAAACACAGGTTGTGGGCTGGGCTTGGCCAAAGTTTTGCCGTTTTTCTCGGTTTAGGGGTTTCTGAAGGGTCAAGTGTTACTTTTAGTGTTTTAGAATTGACAGTTTGATAAACATGCAGTTGTTAGGCTATTTTTAAGGTAGAATATTACCTTTTTTAAAGGTAATAACTGAAATTTTTACTTTTTATGTTTAGGTAACAAACTAAACTAAAAAACAAGTCTATTTGTAGGTTTCTTCCTCATTTTTGAACGTAATTTAACCTTGTTCTTGAAAAAAATAACCGTGCAAACATTGAGAGAACTAAAACAATATAAAAAGTAGCCAAAAAAACTAAAACAATTTAAAAAATGACCAATAAAGACCTAAAGTAATATAAACAGTGACCACTTACAGCCAGGAATGAGTTGAACAAAAGGTTTGTAACCAAAAACGTTTGGAGTATTGTGCTTCGATGCCTCCAAATCATCCTGAAAATAGCTTAAAATTAGAAGATCTGTTATCTATTTTAGTTGTTATACATTCTAAATAGATGTTTTATGAGGTTCTACGTATTTTACCTTGCCTTACATAAGTTTTTCTAGCATATACATTAATAAAACAATAAAAGCATAAATATTCTTGAATAAAATAGTATATTAAAGCTAAAAATTGACTAAAGTAATATACAAACGCAGTAAGAAATACCCAAAAAAACATAGTGTAAATAAGGTTTATAGGTAATATATAACATATACTTCATCAATACCCCAAGAAACACGTCACGAATCCCGGAAAAAACACTCCCACACCGTGCTGAACCCTCCGAAACTCGACTGAACTGATAATACGAACTGAATGTGCTGTCCGGAACAGTCTGCTATTTAGAAGCCTGGTCTTAAGTGGGCGGTTCCGCGCACTTCCCAACGCACGCGCCCCAACGTGACGCACACGGTTTAATCCACCAGAATTCTGGTAGACAAATAAATAATTTACATGGCAATTAATGGACAAAAAATATTTTAAAAAGTTTATGATTAATTCAAGTTATAATGCTAATTTTGAGAACGTTAAACTAAAAAGATATTAAGGAATAGATTTGTAAAAAACCTGGCTAAACCCAGTTTTTCGCCTTCATAGGTCTAAATCTAGGGCTCAATTTTCGGTTTCAAATTTTCTTACGACCCGGATCATCTTTTTATATAAACTCACAAAATATTAATTTGAATCCGAGCCTAGTGAGGCTTCCTTTAGGTTTATAGTGAGATTTCAGGTCTGCACTTATATTCACAATTGTTAGGTTTAGCTTCTGAGTAGACCTAAGAGCTTTGAATTTCAGAAATTCCTTTTTTTATAATCAACCTAGCGGAGGACTAGGCTAAAGCCAAAGCTAGAATAAGTCTAAAATAAAATAGGGTAGAACTCTGGTTATTGACAGTGCCGGGTGGGTCATTTTGGTCTTGACAAGAAATAAGCAAAAAGATTATTGAAGATAAAGATAAGTTTTTAAATTCATTGCTCTAGTAAAGCTAACAGGACGATAAAATTAATAGTAATCTTTAGATTAACGTTTCTGTTGCTTTTCTGAAATCAAGTTAATGGTAGACCTACCTTTTAAATCAGTAAGAGACACTTTAAACTCATTTTGGTCTTTGCATATCTATTAATATCGTAATTACTTTTTTTTTACGGTCTAGTTAAAGTTGGATGTGTAGCTGCTTTGTATTATAGGTTTGGTCATAAACAAAGTCAATTTTTGCTCCGGGCTTGAGAAGCTTTTTTGTAAGCTCCGGCTTTTGCTCCGGCTATGGCCATTCTCAAAATTTAAACACTAGCTCCGGCTACAGCTTTGGCGCATAATGAATGGTTCTAGAACTAATATTAGAGCTAGAGCTAAAACTAAGGCTCAAAAAAGGCTAGAGCTAGATTTAAAATCTTCCGTTTAAAATTTTTTTACTAATAAAAAAATAATGACAATAAAAACCTGTCCAATCCAGCAAGAATGACCACTCACAACACTAGTAGTCGCTCTTTGTACCTAAAAACAATTGCGCTTGTATTCAGTTACCGGCTCTCAAATTACTGTAAGATTAAGTCGTCGAGAGTATAATGGTTTATCAATTGTTTCCACGTATTTTTATGTTGATATTGACTTACTGTTTAAAAGGGTTTGGGTAATATGATAGTTAGTAGACTTGATTGATATAGGCGACATTATGAAAGGGTAGTTCCTTAGGAACGTGTTAAGAAAAGGGTGGTTTTTTAAAAAAAAGTCTTGAGAAAGAGGTAGTTTCTTAAAAAAAGTGTTAAGAAAAAGCTAATTTTTTTAAAAAAACATTAAGAAAGAGGTATGTTCATATTTTGACAAAGGGGGGTTCCTGATATTTTAGGTAGTTTTTCGTCGTTTTTTTTTTTAATTTTACATGTTTGAAAACGTCAATAAGGTAGTTTGGCATCAGTTTTGTCAATTTTTACTCAGTTGGACCCCGCACAAACACACCCTTCAGGTCCCGCCACGACAACGATGGTCTTGGCATTCCGCACCGATTACTGTCGCCAGCACGATAAAAGGAGAACGAGTCAGTCAGGATCAAGTTGAACAACCGTTGAATTCGATCAACAGTTGGACAGTTGGGACGTTTACTACACGATCACACCGCCACTCTTTGGGGATTGATCTTGATATAGTATTTATTGTGGTTTATTTGTTATATAAATATATTGTTTTTTAGAAAGGTAAATAGTTTATTTAATTGTGGGCTGATTGAAGTGATTATTGAGGTTGTAGTACCGAGTTTATTATCTGTAGGACAGTTTATTGATCCGAATACTCATCTTTTTTGTAAAATACGCCTTCTTTATTCCCTCCTTACCATTAATTTCCCTCAAAATTTGAATGTTTGCATTGAATTGAAACGGTTTTGAAGAGCGTCCGGTTTTGCGTGGGGGTCTTAAATCCTCAAAAAAAAGAGTGGACACTGTCTATTTCACTGTGTATGTCTATTTCGCTGTGTATGACTATTTCGTTGTGTATGTTTAAGACGTGACAACATATCCGCTGTTTGAACAGCGATTTCACGCGATTTCCGCGACAAAAACAACTTTAATCGAAGAATGAGGCCACGTATTTACTTACTTATTGCGCGCTCGCTTTAGTACATAAAAAAGAATGGCCATTGAGGAAAAGTAAGTGAGGAAACTGGACATGGGGGTACGGTAGTTGGTACTTGACTTAAACTTGTTTACTTTATGTTTTTTGGTCAATAAAGGAAGGGCATTGGTAGGGCCGGAGATAAGAGAAAGAGCAGAGTAGGTCTTACGATAGGTATAATACTACATTGGGAGCTATAAACAGGGCTAGGGCTGGAACTAGAGCTTAGGCTAGGGTTAAAGCTAGGACCAAAGCTTAGGCTAAAGTTGCAGGCTAAGGCTAGCGCTAAAGTTAAGACTAACGCTAAGGCTAAAGCTGAGGCTCTGGGGCTAGGGCTCTGGGACTAGGGCTTTCGGGCTAGGGGTCTGTTTGTAGAAAATGGTACTCACTCTCATTGTGAGGTCAAAAATTACGTAGAAAAATGTTAATTTTCTATTTTTTTAAATTTTTTAAAAAATCATTATAAAAAAATTAAATTTTTAAAAAGTTTAAAATATTTTTAAAACCATTTCGTAACTGTTAATGACTCACTATATAGTAACGCTCAAAACATTCAATTAATACACGTTGCGACACGTTTTTTACAGCGATTCTGACTCAGAATCCAATAAAATTGAAGGGTTATTTTGGACGTCGGCCTAATCTCTTCGGCCGTCATAACTAATTCTATTGTCTCACCTAGCTATTATTATATGATTGCAAACAAAGCTGATATGTAGGTTTGACTTATGGTTTTATTATTAAAGTTACTACTTGTATTGATATTGATATAGATTACATGATTTATATTGAGTTGTTCAAATAATTCTGTGCCCCCAAGTTCTGAAAATTGGTGTCGAGAGAGAGAGCACAGAATTATTTTAACAATCTAATATGTAGTAAAGGCTAAATTATGTTGACATAAAAAACAGGAAACCTAATGGTGCATATATTGACATAGACGACAGGAATTGTAATCAGAAACAACTAAAGCTTAAAACACTGTCAGAAATGACATTTTGAAGTTAAATAATGGCATTTTAAATAAGACTTATCTTAAAACTTAAAATTTTTTAAAATATTTAATTTTAACAAAAAATACAGTGCAAAACAAAGAGATCAGCGACAACTATGGCAGTAAAATTACTCTACTTGTACTATACACAGTACAAGCTTGTTACATATGAAATGTAATACGTGGAGCAAAGTAAATCCGACTTGTAAAATACGCAGCATACATTTGGCACAAATATGTAAAATAGGTGATCAGCTGTGTTACAAATGGCGCGACTACCAAAGCGCTGTCAATCCACTAGTCTTCTTCTTCAGGTACTTCATATCTTTCATTACAACTTTTAGGCAATAGGCGTTCAATATACCATATAAGATCATTAGTATAACTAACTTCATGTTGTCCTAAATAATGTCATATTAAATTCTGTAAATTTTTAAAACCTGTAATAAAATTTTAAAGCTTTTTTAAAAGTACAGTGTTCTCTCTATATAGTGAACCATCTGTATAAGCAACTCTTCTTATAGTAAACAAGAAATTTGGCCCCGTCAAGTCGATTGCACTAAAGTCTCTCGGTAAAGACAACACCCATTATAGTAAACACAAAATGTCGGTCCCTTCTGGTTGCTTATATAGAGAGAGTACTGTAATATACTTTTGAAATCTTATACAGTAACGCTTTTATTATAGTTTTACTTGCTCTTTCAAATAATTCACTTTAAAATCATATGACAATGGCTTTGGTAAAAAACTCGGATCATAAACCTACCCAAAAATCTTGTGCTGTTTCTTCAGCAAACCGATCATCATCGCCAGTTTTGGCCATCAAAAACGACTTTATTAGCACTACAAATGTAACCAACATCAGTATCACTTGTACTATTCCCTAAAATCGGAAAAACTAATAGTGAAACTTTATTGTATTGAACCCCTGTGTAGCGACAATTTCGTTCAACTATAATTTCAAACAAAAGTACAAAACTAAATTTTAAAATATATTTTCGTTAAAAAAGTAGTATGGTCCATCGGGTAGGGCTAAACCGGACTCAAAAAAAAGTTCAACTTTTATAAAAATTGTTTGGAAGTGGATTTTGTGAGTACGATTACCTGATAAAGCATATACGGAAAGTACAAGAACCAGCATTCCATACGATTTCCGATCAACAACAGCAATCCTACTCCAAAGTTGACTGTTTGTAAAAAGTCATATCCACCAAATCTTTCATCTGAAACAATAGTATATCTTAAAAATATTAGTTGATTATAGTCATAAAATTTTTCATTCACTATCTATTATTGCCAGTGTTTTGCCTGAACCGGCCCGGAGTGTTTTTCACCAATCTGGTATAGCGATTTTCGAGATCGGTTCGGTCCAAACTTCAATTTTTGAGTCTGGCGGTCCGGTAATCTTCCAAAAATTTTTGGGTCCGGTCCGCAAAAAAAAGTCCTTTTTTTATTTTTAAATAAAGCAAGACGCGCTAAAACTGCTTTCTTTTGCTTTTAAAATCTCTTAAAAATATTTTTTATTTGCAATTTTTAAAACAGTTTTATTAAAATAAAAAAATCTTTTTTGGAACCGGTCCGGAGCTAGACATGAGAAACGCGCCGGGCCTGCAATCGGGCCGGGCCGGCCTTGAGCAAAATTTAGATCGGGCCGGGCCTTGGAAACTCGGGCCGGGCCTGGAAAAAAAATTTCTAAATTTTTTAAAATTTTTTATTTCAATCCCCGTTTATGTTTTTAGATTTTATTGGGTTCTATGATCCATAAATGATCTAAAAAAACAATTTAAAGCCAATTTTCCGTTTAGTTTTTGTTTTAAAATTTTTAAAATTTTTTAAAACGGGCCGGGCCGGGCCTAGAAATTTTCTGATCGGGCCGGGCCTGACCAAAATAAAAAACGGGCCGGGCCTAAAAGTTAGGCCCGGCCCGTTTCTCATGTCTATCCGGAGCCTGAGATCCGGGCCTGCGAGTTTTTGGGTCTGGTCCGATCCGTTCCGTAAAACACTGGTGCGACATAAAGAACCTACCTTACACTCCTTGTAATTTTTTGTAAAAAATGGGTTTTTTCGGCACCTAGTACTAAAAATCTAAAGGTTTAACTAGGATTAACTTACGACGATCAGCAAACAGAAACACATTGAAGATTAGGTATAAAAATGACCCGACTGTTGTGATAAGGCTGATTATAAGCGTCAAACTCTGAAATTTTTATTTTTGTAATCAAACATTTACAGTAGAATTTTTGTAGAAAAGACTTTTATATAACATAAACCCTGTATAACGAACAAATTTTAAATTCCCGTTGACTAATATATACACCGAAAACTCCTAAAAACTCTTATATACGTTTAAAGTCAAAAAAAACTTAAAATCTCTTACATGGCACGATATCTTTCCAAAAACAAACATATATTCATCATCAAACACCTCTTCGCACCTTCCATCAACGTTATCACACTGATATACACCATGTTCTACATCATTCTTTGATTTCACCGGAAAGTATTGTACATCTTGTTCTACTTTCGTTGTAACTGGAGAGTAATAGACAGGATCTTCGTAATAATCAGCGTATGTTCGCTTCATTCTTTAAAAAAAACACAGTGAAACGCTGATGAGTGATATTTGAACGTCGGCTCCATTCTGTAACGTCTTCTGAGTCAGACTTCAATTCCAATACAAAACATACACAGAACAACCGTTTTGGTTGTATACATTGTGGAATGTCACACGAAACGGAATAACAAAAAATTGAAATTTGTATTAGCAGGTAGAGCTGAAAGGAAGCCACTAAGCCATGCCTGCCGAGTCTAAACTAGCCCTAAAAACAAATTTGAAAAGGGCCGGACCGAATTGTGTGAGTTCGAAAGCCGGCTCCAGTGTTTTGCCGGACCGGTCCGGATGAGAATTTTTTCGGTCCGGTCCGGCTTTATTTTTTTCGCTCAGGTCCGGTCCGGTCCGGAAAATTTTTTTTTTATTTTTAAAAAGAGCCAGGAGCGCTAAAACTGGTTTCTTTACGTTTAAAAACTCTTAAAAATATGTTTTATTTGCAATTTTTAGGACCGGACCTCGGTCCGGACCGGACGGGTCCGGCAAAACACTGGCCGGCTCAAAATAAATCCCCTAGAAGCCTAACTTAGAGGTCGAAACGAAAGAGTTGAGCTGTGAACCAGAGTTTGTTATATAGTAAAGTCGAAAGAGGACCCACTAGGCCCGACCCAGCTTTGGCCCATTCCGGGCCGAGTTGGAAGAAAATTTGGAACAAGCCGAACCAGGCCGGCACGTGCAGGCCCTAAGGCCAGCGCTCGAACAAAGTTCGTAGAGGCTTAACTTAGGTCCCGCAACGAAAGATTTGACTTGCGAAAAGAGAAAAACAATCTATGTTAAAGCTGGTTACTTAAAAATAATTTTTTTTCATTGCTTTTAAAAAATAAAATCGTAAAAAATTGATTATTTAAAGCACAGAGGTACGATACAAGGATAAGTTGAGATTCTATTTATTACTTTAATGCATTTTTATAAGGGCCGGGCCAAAAAACTTGGGCTGGCCCGGTTTTAAACATGGCTGGTTCTCAAAAGAAAGCAAAAATCAAGAATGTTATGGATTCGAAAAACTTGCTAAGGTGATTAATTTAATGTTGTGTTTTAGTTTATTTATTATGCGTTTTATCATTAATAGACAAACGTTTTCTCATTTACAGTAGGCATACTACAAATTTTAAAAAAATTTTACTTGTTAAAATCACATTCAGGGCCTATTCACAAGCTGGCATGATCATGCTGACGTTTTTGGCACAGACTTTGATATCAGTAATATGGACATTTGGTACCGTGATCCCTTAGGCATTGGGCAAGACAGCTTCAACATTCCGCCGATGGACGATTTTCGAGAATTCGGCGGAGCCGAAACAGCACAAGTGAAAAGGTGCTTTTCTAGCTTGTATTTACATATTAACTATCAAATTTGCTAGTTCTCAGCTTTAGATAACGTTCTTCTAGGTATGCTCAAGGAGTCAAGTTATGTGACGTAACTGTCAACTTTGAAAGTTACATCCCTTCGGATGGTGCTCCACCTCCAGATTGGTAATGATGGATTCTTATATTAATTATATCATTTTTAGATGAAATAAACACATTGATTTGTTGATATGTTGAATTTTAATTAGAAAAACAGCTTTAAAATTCAATTTTCAAAAACTATTAAATAATTTTCAAATTAACCAATAAATTTTAAACCTTGCACCCTAATAAAAAATAACACATGTAATATTTTTAAAAATTTTTATTCAAATTAATCAAATTTAGGCCAATTTATTCTAATTTTATTTTTGCGTATGTTTTGTCGCTTCGCGGTTCGCGCCCTCGCGAGCTCTCGATAATTTCTTTTTTCTGGAAAACAAGCTCGGAAAGGGTCGTTTTGCTGCACTTTTTGTTGTATTTCTCCGAATATTTTTGTTGTTCTAATGTAAACGGGTATTTTGTAGTAGATTATATCAGACTTTCATTGGTAAGTTGACTTAAGTTATTTTATCTTGATCTTATTTTAGTTTCAACTCGCTTTTTTGTATCTAAAACATTGTTTTAGATGAATATGAGCCAAAAAAAGAAAAATGAGTCAATATTGTTTATTTTTACACAATAATATTTATTTCATGTTTAGTAATTGAACGGGTATTAATGGAGACAGTTAATCTAAGCTGTTTGGTTGATAACATAGGTGATTCGACGGTCGGGTTAATCAAACCAAAATGGTATTATACCAAAGCCGAGCTTATGAGGTCTCCAAGTATAATGAATGGTTTTTCGTACGAAAAAGAGCAGAGTTTATTGCGACAAGCAGCTGCATTTGGCCGAGATTTGACTACAAGGATGAATGAGATCAATGAATCGACGAAATTGTGAGTTTCTTCTTGATTTTTGTGTTCTTGCTTTAGGTATTGATGTTAACATGAAGTGAAGATGTTAATTGTTGTATTCTTGGGCTACGATTAAAAGATTTTTGGTTTAAAGTTTAGTTTTTTGACAAAAACGTTAAAATTTCAACATTTGGCGTCTACAACAAGGTGTTTTGGTCGAAAATTTAATTTTTTGGTTTTAAAACTCAATTTTTTTAGGTTAAAAATTTTGTGTAGAGTAAAAGCCGGTTTTTTATTAGAAAGATATGTTTTTTTGAAGATTATATAAACATTATTCGCCTTTTTAAGCTGTAAATTATATAATATTAGCCATAAATCACAGGCAATTTGATGTTTTTATGATATTATCGCATTTTAAAAACAAATTATACTGTTTTTGGTTTTATAGGTCTACGTTATGCCTTTCTGTTGCTATTATTCATATGAGACGGTTCTTTTTGATAAACAAGCTGCAAGATTACGATCCGAGAGTAAGTGTTTTTGTTTAATTTTGTATTTTTAGCGAAAAAACGAAATTTAAAGCTTGAAGTGATTGGAAACCTTTAGATTTTGTTGTTACAAGATGCTTGGGGCTTTACTTTCTTATATTTTTTACGTTTTTAATTGGTAAAGTTATTAAAATTACCTAAATTATGTTGTTATAGGACCTAATAACAGCAGCCTTGTTCTTAGCATCAAAATCTGAAGAATGTTCACGACGCTTGAAGGATTTTGTTCTTGTTTTCTTCAGAATGAAGGTAGAGATCGACTGTCCGAAAGAACAATGGGACGAGAGGTCCAAAATCGACCAAAAGACCTACGATAGTGTGGCTGCTTATATAGTTTGGATGGAAAGTTTGATACTACAGACGATTGGCTTTGATATGAACATTCTAGTTCCTCATACGTATGTGTTGAAGATGTGTCATGACTTCTTTTTGGATTCGAAAGCTCAAGAGATTGGGTTTTTTCTGGCAACTGATAGGTAAGTGACGTTTTTTTATGTTGTAGTAGGTTTTTAGGGACATTTTTGATATTGTAGTAGGTTTTTAGTGAAATACTTTGAGATATTAGTAGGTTTTTGCTGAAAAAAATTTTGTTTTTGACTTATTTTAGTAAAGGATATAGCAGTTTCTGTTAATAATGTACTTCAGTTTACACATGACTGACTGGTCTCTCCGTTATTCTCCAGATACGGTCGCTTGTATTGTAGTATTCTTGATGGTACTTTGGAAAGAGGTGGAAATGCCAACAATGAAGGTTAATATAGACGGTGAATTTGTCAACAAGCCTTTTTTCGAAGTCAACAGTCGATTGGAGCACGAGGATTACTTGGGTATGTCAACAAAGGAATCAGTTTGGGTTGAGGAAAGCAATTATTGGCTTGGGCCTAGACCTAAAAAGGGGCTTACTAGGATCGGGCTTTGGCTGTGCCGAAGAAAATTTGAAAACTGCTGGTACTCAAAAGTCGGCCCAAGGGCCTGGGATCTAAAGTAAGGTCTGAGGGGTCTAGTTGAAGTCTCGCAACGAAAGATTTGACTTATCTTACAAACGTAGGCCTAAAACAAGGCTCGGCTCTTAATCCTAGCCGAAAAGTTGGGCTTGGTTTGTTTACAGGTTGATGATCAGCAGATTATCAGACTAACATTGCTATGTATTAGAGAAGTTCATAACAATGTCTATATATATCTAAACTCGTAAAATAATGTACTATTAGGTTACACGTACTTAAGCCAATATAATTCTAGAAATTCTCCACGAATACACAGAAATATGGAAGAACAATAGAGAGAATCCAGTCTTGGCTGTTTACAAGTTCCGTGATGATACAATCAGGCTTCGAAGAGGATAAAATACGAGGTGAAGACTTTGTAGGGCTAATAAAAGCCCAATGTACATGTTATAAAGAGTTACACTGGTGAGCTTCGAAAAATCGAACGGGTTTTACAATTGTAATGGGTCTACAACAATATCAACGGTTATTTTTTGTCTCTTTCTCAATATCAACGGTTATTGTCTTGGCCTGAATACATATAAAGTATTGCTTTTAGGTCAGAATGGGTAAAAAGAGTAGCTTTTTGGTCTATGTTAATATAATCTTATTTTTTAAGGTTTATGCTGGTATAAACCACCATTTCTTGTCTATACTTGAAGGAAAACTTTTTTGTTTGATCTATGTTAACAAGCTTAGTCTTTTTTTGGGTTTATTATAAGGTAAAACGTCATTTTTTGTGATGGTAATGAACACTAAGATGCCTTTTCTGTTGGTGATGTGCACTTCTACGGTGTTATACTCTTATAACATGGTATGATATATTATGGTATAGGTTGTGTAATGAGCCAAGTCTCTGACAGTGATATGGATTCCAGTAGCTCATTACTTTTTATACAATTTAACCTCATGATTATGGTTAGACCCGCTCTGGTAATTAGCTAAAAGCATGATTTTTTGATATTTTAGTAGGTTATACTACATTGATATGTTGTCTTGTTCTTTCTTTGTTTTTCTTTAGTTTGAGCTTTGTAATAATTGGAAAAGGAACTATTTTATATTGTTATGGTTGTTAATAAATTTGGTTTTCTGTTTTGTGACATTTATTATTGTTTTTCCGGTTTTAAACCGGTTTGTATTGACAGTGTTTTATTGATTATAAGTGGAAATGTTGGTTTAGAACAGTTTTTTTATTTTTACAAAACTTAAGAGGGCTATGAATGTCATTTTTACGTGATTTTGAGGTTTATCATAGTCTTTTTTTACAAGATCTAAAGCCCCATCGAACTCATTTTTTAATTTACAGGCATATTAAACTGAATTTCAAGCAATATTCACCATAATACATCTTTTAAATCATGAACACATCGGCGGAACGACGTCGCGAACTAGCACGTCGCATTGGTAGAAGGAAAATCCGAGAAAGACAAGAAGAAATTAAAGAAAAACTGGAGGTTATGGATCTGGATAAGGCCAATGATCCATGGATGCGCTCCAAAAAGTTGATCAGACTCAAAAAGAAGGAGTTGCAGGAGCATGGTACTGTCTATATTGCTTTAGTTAGGAGTTTTGTATTGGTTTAGTTGGGAGTTTTATATTGGTTTAGAAAGGGTTTTTGGGGTTTTATATTGTTCTAGGTGAGAAAAGATGAGATTTCTTTAAAAAAATGATTTTTTTGAAGATTTTGGATGTTTTGAGAGCTTTTTCAATGTTTTTGAGGCTTTTATTAGGTCGTATAAAAAATAATGTGCCATGTCTTATAGTGAACATTCAGTAGCTCATTACTTTTTATACAATCTGATATGAAGATGAAAGGGTATTTCTAATGTTTTGAGGCTTCCTTATAGACTAATTTTTATTTTTTAAAGGCTCTAAAAGTATATTTGAGAAATAAGGCCAAAGAATGTCAGTTTATTCAAAATATGCTCAATATTTCCAGGAGAAGACGAAGAAGACATTGAAAAGTTGATAAACCTAATCAAAACCGAACACTCCCTCCGCCGATGCCTGAACCTCTTGAGCGGAAACAAAAACGACCATGCCGAAATCATCAAACGCCTTCAATACGTCCTCGAAAACCAGCACGACCACGAAACGGTGGATGAAATGTTCTGCCGAATGTTCTTCGACCAACTCGTCTTTTGTCGCTTCAATCGACCAAACTTTTTTGTTTTATTCTCAAACCTACCGGAACGAATCAAAACTCAAATGGTGGAGGATGTGTCGAACGCCTTCCAGAACGGCTACATCCCCTTGGAGATGCAGATCACACAAGTCAAGGAACACTGGACGGTGTCGACCGTACCACGGGAGAAACGTCGCCTGACTGACGCTTTGGAGTATCTGGAGAACAAACAGAAGCGACTGGTACCCGAATGTTTGAGGTGGGTTTTAGGAGTTTTAACAATATATCACAGTAAAGACTGGTATCTTGCGCACATTTTGAATTGTGTAAGGCGATTTTTATCATTTTATTGCATCTTAACTTGAAGTATTTTAAACTTGAAGTAAGTTAAGATGCAAAGTCTACCTCCGGCCGGTCTCAACCTTCATACCCGGCTTCTTTCAACTTCAGCTCGAGAATGGCCGGATCGTAAGGCCCTGCCTGCACGGCTTGTTTTTCTAACCAAAACAAAATTTTCGAAATTTTAGGCTAGCCGCCGACATGTACAATGCCAATCTATTCGATATCAGCTCGGTGGTGGAGGTCTTGAACAGTGTTATTGATCAGATGAAGAACGGCGGAGTGGACAACGTTGTCGATTTGGCAGCCGATTTCATCTTCCACACCAGCGAAAAGCTGACAACAGAGCATCCGAACGAGCTGGAAGCCTTTCTCCAACAACTTTTGGACCGCAAAAACAGTGAAAACGCGAAAATGGCGGAGAGGAAGGGGATCGAGAGGATATTCAAGTACACGAAACAGTGGTTGAATGGCTATATTGATGGGTCTGGAGATTCGAAATGTAATGATACTACAGATTTAGAGGATAAGGAAGCTACAGATTTAGAATATAAGGACGCTACAGAAACAGAAAGTTCACAAGTCGAAGATATTATAGTAGCTTTGGCTGTGGAAGAAGAAAAGAATCATATTGCTGAAGAAGTTCAGAACACTGATGATTATGGTAGTCAATGTAATGATAATGTAGCGAAGGAAACGCGAAATCCTCAAGTTGAAGAAGTGGTACAGCCTGTCGAAGAAGTAAGGCTTACTAAAGAGCTTCAGAAGCCTGTTACTAATGTTGGTCAATGTAAGTTTAACGTATCTACCGAAATGCGACATCTTCAACCCAAAGAAGTGGTGGAAGCGGCTTTTAAAGAAGTGATAAAGCCGGCTGTTCAACAAGTTGTAAAGCCGGCTGTCAGTGAAGTAAAGAGGTCTGTTACTGAAGAAGTTCAGAAGCCTGTTGTTCATTTAAATGGAAGATTTTATGGTGGTAATGTGGCTATTGAAATGGGTCATATTCAAGATGAAGAAGTGACAAAGCCGGCTGCCAAAGAAGTGAAGAGGTCTATTAATGAAGAAGTTCAGAAGCCAGATGCTACTGGATGTTATGGTAATGTAGCTACGGAAAAACGACGTCTTCAACCTAAAGAAATTGTAGAACCGGCTGTTCAACAAGTTATAAAGCCGGCTGCCAAAGAAGTAAAGAGGTCTATCACAGAAGAACTTCAGAAGCTCATGGCCAATGTAAACAGCAGATGTAAGAGTAATGTAGCTACAGAAATGAAGCATGTCAAAGAAATGGCAAAACCGTTTATGGAAGAGTCGGTAAGACCGATTGTCAGAGAATATGAGAGGCCTATCACTAAACAGGTTCAGAAGCCTGCGATTAACATAAATGGTCGATGTAATGGTAATGTAGTGACAGAAACAAGAGTAGTTGATAAGAAAGAGGTGACAGAAACAAAAGCAATTGATAAGAAAGAGGAAAAGAAACTTGTGAATACAAGGACAGCGAATGGTGAGGAGAGGACTGATATGCTTGTCATGGGTATGAAGACCAAGAACAACATTGCTGAAGTAAGTTTGGTGACTAAGGTTATGTATTAGGTGCGGACATAAAGAACCCGCCATACTTTTCTTAGAATTTTCATGTAAAAAATGGCGGGTTCTTTATGTCGCAACCTAATAATTTAGGTTATGTTCAGGGACGTTGCTACTGATTTTTCTAGGGGAAGAGGGGTGGAAGCTAAAAAAAATTTTGGTTTAGTAGCTGTAGCTAGCTAGATGATATCTGTTCCCTCGTTTTTCAAAAAAATTTTTTTTTGATTTTTTACGTTTAGTTTGACCCCACTCCCTTAGCTAAGACCTTCGTTATGTTGTATTAGGTGCCGACATAAAGAAACCGCCATACTTTGCCTGTAATTTTCTGTAAAAAATGGCGGGTTCTTTATGTCGGCACCTAATACTTGGTACTATCTTTATTGGTTCGTAGCAGGACCGGGCGGTGGCTTTGGCCTGTTTGTGGGGGTAAAAAAAGTTTTGATTAAAGTACGATAAGAATTGATAGCTTCACGGAAAATTAACGTATTTTACATATTTCAGTACGAATTGATAATGTTCGTAAAAGGATTGCTAGCCGCTTGTCACCCAAATCTGATGCACATTGACATAGTAATGATGAAGATACGACAGTTTATGCCTCAGAACGCGTTTGCCAACGATGAGAGTGTTCTGTATAAGATTAAGGAGCTTCCGTTTTTAAAGGTTATCCAGGAAAAGGTGAGCAATCGAAATTAATTTAAAATTTTCGATTTTAATCAGGATATTTTTTTTCTCGGAGGAGGATGACCATTTTTTTTAACAGTGAGCTTATGGATTCAAATTTTAAAAAAAAAATTTTGGTTTTGATTGATATTAGGTTGTTCACTTAATTCTGCGCCCTCTCTCATAGCAAATATGTGGGGTAAAGGGGGCACAGAATTATGTGAACAACCTAATAGTAGGCCGGATGGTGTCTTAAGTAGACTTGAAGAGGGGGCATGTTAGGATCGGTCCTTTTACAGGTCTCGCCTTTCTTTATGACAGTTTCTGATGGTATTAACAAGAAGAAGCTTCATTTTTAAGTAAAGTACTAATTTTTCCATTTTCAGTTCATAGCGATCGTGGTTCCGCATTCAGGAAAATAAAAATGGTACCACTTTAAGAAAATACATAATGGCACTAATTGAAGCAATATTAAAATGGTACCAATTCAAGGAAAATCAAAGTGGTGCCAATTGAAGAACTGTAAAATGGTACCAATTCAAGAAATTTTACCAAGTTGTTAACGGGTTTACTAAATAGTGTAGAAACTTATATTGTTGATCTCTTTAATTTACATTATTTTCCCAAATTGTTCACTCTTAACCTAAATAAAAATTGTGCTGACTTGGCTACGGACAGCTTGGAATTTCGAAATAAGAATTGTATTGGTGCCGACATAAAGAACTTGCCATACTTTTCCTGTAATTTCCTGTAAAAAATGGCGTGTTCTTTATGTCGGCACCTATATTTTATGTGCCAAATGTGAGAATTCTTACATTTCTACTGGAGTCTAACAGCACAATTGTTATTTAACCGTCAAATAAACTGGAAATAGATAATTTGGACTATAATATATGAATTTGAACCCTAATATATCAAGTTGTGAAAATTTAAAAATAACAGAAAAATTATATCACAAAGTTGTTGCATTTATAATTTGAAATTGACGGTTAATCTATTTGGAACATTTCCTGAAAATTTCACCTTGATCCGTCAACTCGTTCTCGAAATATAACAATTTTAAAAATTTCGCATGGTTTCTCTACCCTCTCCTCTTTCCTTTTCTCTCTCGCGCGTTAATTTCCCCTTCTTTATCACCTTTTCTAACCTCTCTCTTGTTTTTCCGCGCTCTCTCTTTGCGCAACCTCTTTGATCAAGCCGCTCTCTACTCGCACTCCACTTATTACGCGCTCTCTCTTTCTCTTCTTCAATTTTTGTCTGATTAAATCATTCTCTAACCAAAAAAACCGTCTCTCCAGTTTGTACACTGCCTTATTTTTGTTTCCTTCTCTGTCATACTCACTGTTTTATATGATGTTTTCCTCAAAAATTTCCTTTTTCGTGTTCCATCCTCTTTTTGCGTTCACTTTTCTTACTCTGACTCGGCCGTCTCTCACTTTTACGCAGTCTTTTTTCCAAACCTCTGTGCTCTCTGGAGAATACCATGAAATACCATAGTGTACCATCATTTTCTATTTTTATCAACATCGACCCGTCGAAAAGTACCTGCAAAGTCGTGACCGCCTGACTAGAGCACTTCAATGAATTTTTAATATCTTAAGTTTAACATGGTAAAATATCACAGTAAACTTTACATGTACATCTTTGACCACGCATATTTTAAATCGCCATAACTTTGTCCCCAGTAACGTCTCCTTAAAGCGGAACATACCATTATTTACCATCGACCGGTCGAAAAGTACCTGCAAAGTCGTGAACGCATGACTGTGTTGTGTTTAAAGCGTCGCATCTCCATTTTACCGGAGTACGTGAAACAGGTAATATAGCTCAATATGTGCGTAAGGTAACAAGCTTTACTACGGTATATAAACCAAGGTTAAGCTCCGTCACTAATGGTACTTTTAAAGCCAAAAACTACAAAATTTTGACCCTTTTTCAACAAAATTTTCGTGTTTTTCAGCGATTTTTCAGAGAAATTGTTCATTAAGTATTGAGCCATTTTTGGCCTTTTTCACGAGGTTCGGAAAAAAGACTGCGTAAAAGTGAGAGACGGGCGAGTCAGAGAAAGAAAAGTGAACGCAAAAAGAGGGTGGAACCCGAAAAAGGAAATTCTGGAGGAACCCATTGTGTAAAATGAAGAGAGTGACAGAGAAATCTCGATCAGACAAAAATTAGAGAGTGAATAAACATGAGAGACGGTTTTTTAAAAGTAGACAATGATTTGGTTAGACAAAAAGTCGGAGAAGAGAAAAGAGAGTGTGTAAAAGTGGAGCGCGGGTAGAGAGCCGTTTGATCAAAAGCGGCGGCGAAAGAAAGAGCGCGGGAAAACAAGAGAGGGGTTAGAAAGGGTGATAAAGAAGGGAAAATTAACGCGCGAGAAGGAAAGAGGAGAGGGCAGAGAAACCATGCGGTGATTTTAAAAATTGTTATAACTCGGGAACGAATTAATGGATCAAGCTGAAATTTTCAGGAAATGCTTATAATTGATTGGAAATCATTTCTAACTTATAAAAACAACAAAATTGGACATATTTTTTTGTAATTTTTTAATTTTTGCAAATTTAAATATCAAAGTCCAAACTAGTTATAAAAAGTTTATTAATATTACTATAGATTAAAAAAAATATAAAACCTACTGTAACACTGTTAACATCACAATTGTAAAATTGCTTTTCTAACCGTTTGGATTCATTGATCATGAAGCATGATTGTTATGGCTTGTCAATCAAAATTTTATCACAACCATGTTCGTTGATTTGCATTTCAAAGAGCTATTTGACTCAAGCATATGGTTTACAATATGACATTGCATAATATTGTCATATAAAGAGGGTGATAATCGTTTTTTAAAAAAATTGATATTATTATAGATTGTCGTAAACTTTGCAAGATTTTGGAAGTATTATATGACGAATTGAAGCTTTGAGTTTAAAATATTTACAAAAATATTTGAAACTTTTTACTAAAATATTACAGTAGTGCTATTGATACTGAATGTTTCACTTTCTAATTTAAAATTACTGCTAGTTTATACAGTAATATAATATATTACTTCATTACATTGCTACATTACTGAAGACTTCCATTACCTTTAATAACTAAGGTCTAAGTTGATATATTACGTTATAAAGAAGCTAAAATACTATATACTGTTAGCAAAAATGTATTGCTGGTCAACATTACTGCTAGTTTATACAGTAAAATGTGACAATATACTACATGAAAATAGTAATCATTTTGTGCAAAAACGAAGTTTGAACGACCTTGTCAATGGTTCACCAATTGACATAAATGGAATTATTCAGAATCCCTTGAACCCACAAAATTACTATGATAACCAAAGAGAAACTCCTGGTAAGCTACAAAAATATGGCCAAGAGAGTAATGAACAGAACAGAAATAACCCGATCAGTTATGGCCAAACCAATACTGGTCAACATGGTGGCTACCTCGACTCAGCTCTCAACTTTGGCCCACAAAGTGACAGCTTCCAAAGCTCTCCAGAATCCTATCGTCATCGTGTCAGCCTTCCCAACTCCCTCTTCTCAACGACCAGTCAAAGCGTATTTGATGACGTTGATGTATTTTCCATGTCAAACCCTATCGACTGGATTCAGAATCTCCATTCAGTTGATGGTAATGTCAAGAAAAGTTTAGAATTCGCGGCCAATGGCCGAAATAGATTTGATAATCAAGAAAAAGACGAATTCAACGAGTTTTTCAGATTTATTGGGCGGTAAGTAACATACATATTACGAAAAATAAGAGCGGCTACACCTTACACTTTCTTCGATTCAAATCTTTCGTTGCGGGACCTAAGTTGAGCAGCTGGGGCCTTAGTTTGAGCCCCAGCCCTCGGGTGTGCCGGACCTTTTTAAATTTGGTTCGTCCCAGTACAGGACCTAGCTTAGTAAAAGCTAGACCTGGATTTCAAGCCGGGCCCTTTTTTTTGTCCGAGCCGATTAAATTTTGCTCAAGCCCGGCCCGGAATCCAGATCTAGTGGGCTCCCTTTCAAACCTAATATAAACAAAATTATACTGATTATATCACTTACAGCTACCACAAAGTCTACCCCACCCAAGTCGACTTCAAAAGGCGTTTCAAAAACTTTCAAAAAACCTATAACCACTTGCGCCAAAACCACGATGAAGTACCTCATTCTGGCTTCGGTTTATCACCTTTGGCTGATATCAGTGATGACGAGTTTCTGCGTCATTTTACTGGACTAAAACGCCACTCCACGCCTGGGAATGTATCGATTGCTGATGAAAGTGAACTAATGGGTATTGCTGACTTATACGAGGAATACAAAGCTAATGATGGGGATGGTATTGATGAGGATTCTGAAGTTGTAAGACGTGTCAAAAGAAGTAGGGTTGGTCAAGGTGATAAACCAAGAAATGGCAATAAAAATAAGGTCAATAATGGGAGAGGAAAGTGAGTTGCGTTACAGTATCTGGTTACAGTATCTCAAAGCTATAATTTTATAATTCTTTAAACAATAGTCCAAGCTTACCTACCTAAAAGTGCCCTTCCAGGATAAACCAACAGCCCCAAAAGAACCCAAATCACCTAAAACAACATAAGCATAACCACCACAAGCACAAGGTACAAGAGGTACAAAACTCAACAGCTATGCCCCATTTTCAAAAGCGAAAGCACAAACAGAAGAAGAGGAAGCCCAACTACTTGAAGCTTAAAAACAGTGACGACAAACCAAAAAAACCAAAAGATTTTAAAAATCGGCCATACACACCCCCTAAGATCCCACAATCATGGGACTTGAGGGAGGTTGGGGCTGTAGCCAGCGTTATTCATCAACAGTCATGTGGAGCGTGTTATGCTTTTGCTATTACTGCACAAGTTGAAGGTAAGTCTTGGCCTGAAAACCTTGACGGCTTACCTTACCTTACTTTACCTTACATTACCTTACCTTAATTCGCCTTACTTTATCATAACTTACCCTACCTTACCTTGGATTGCCTTACCGTACTGTACCGTACCTTGCCTTACCTTACATCACCTTACCTTACCTTACCTTACTATACTACTATATGATTTTTTCAGGAGCCCTAGCAATTAAAAACGGCGAACTAACCCCATTAAGTCAACAAGATCTGATAAGTTGCTCCAACACACTCGAGGACAACGATAAATGTGATGGTGGGTACCTCGACTCAACTCTTCATTATGTAAAGAAGAACGGTCAAGCTAGTGCGGCTGACGTTCCTTATGTGTCAGCTGATGGTCATGTGCCCCAATGCTCAAAAGTTAAACGAAAAGCCAAAATATCAAACTACAAAATGGTTTTAAGGAATCGAGAAGACTTGATGAAACGGTTTTTGTACTTCAAAGGACCTCTATCAGTCAGTAAGTTACATTTAATATAACACTGCATTTGTCTGCGAACGTAGGATTGCGGAGTACGAGTGAATATTATTACCTTGACTAATAAAAAACATTTTATAGCAGTAGATGCACGCCAACTCAAGTACTATACCAATGGCGTGTTACAACCAAGAAAACCCAAAGGTGGCTGGGTTATTAATCATGCGGTAACAATTATTGGATATGGTGCTGAAAACAGTACCAAATACTGGATTGTCAAAAACTCGTGGGGTCCAACGTGGGGAGAAGACGGCTACTTTCGTGTAATACGAGGAAATGACGCCATAGCGATTTCACAAGAATGCTACGTTGCTTACACGTAGCATTATAACCCCTTTGTAAACTAAATTTAGCTGTAATTTATAACAATAAATTAATAAATTCTAAATTAATTTTGCAATAAGTTATAACTCTTTATTTACAAACAATAAGTATGAATATAAAAACAAAAACATAATAAAAATGTGCATGTTATTACTAAAAAATCAACGGTACCTTACTATATAAGGTAAAATATCACAATTTAATGTATAAATAATTTAAAAACAACCTAAAACTAATATGTCAAACTTAATTCCCTAAAGCAGACTAGTTCAAGACCTAAACGAATACGTACTAACGCTGTCTAAATTTGTAGAGTAAGTACTAGAACTTTCCGACGATGAGGAGACGCTACGATGCCTTGAAAGACCTCGGGATCTGCTACCACGTCGTGAAGGGCTCCGAGATCTGCTGCTGCGGCTCGACGAGCTTCGAGATCTACTGCGGTGCCTTGACAAGCTTCGAGAACGGCTGCGATGCATTGACGAGTTCCGAGATCTGCGACTTCCTCTTGAATACATGGAACTTTGACGGCCTCCTCGAAAGCATGTAGGAACGCTACGGCCACTAGACGATTCACTAGAGCTTCTGCTACTTTTCGACGATGAGCTTGTACATCTTGATTTTCTTCTCATATGGTAGTACTCATCATCAGATGATGATTCTGACGATGGGCTCCGACGACGATTTACACAACGGCTTTTATTGCCATCTTCTGTTTCTCTGGCGGCTTCAAATTCGTCATTCTATAATTATTGTTGTTTAAAAAAATCTCATTCCCAGCTTAATTACAGACCCACATCAACCTGAATGCATAAAAATATATTTTCATAGTTTAAGCACATATAACCAAACTCTTACCAAAATTCGATGTTTTTCTGGTAGGTCCAATCTGCACTTCTTTGTTGGTGTTCCAAAAGACTCTTCAGGTGTGAAACAATCTGAAAGCCTTTTTCTCTTGCTTAAAACGTGGCTTCTTTTGTCCAAAACTTGCTGAACTTCAACGTTTTTTCTTTTCTTTTTGTAGTTTTCGAACCAAACTTGAAATAGATCTCCAGTTGGCATAGGAGTCTTACTGCCGGTAACTCTACCACAATTATCTTTCTGACCATTTGCTTTGTTCAAATCATCGTCTTGGTCAAACAATACAATTGTGCAGCTTCCAGAGCTGAAGAATTCATTGTCCGATAGGTTATCTTCATGGTTGAACGTCTTTTTAGGTATTTTACTTTCCGTGGAGGCGTTAACTCGATGGCTGTCATTGTTGCAGAGCTCTTTAGAAGCTGAAAAATTAAATCCCAATAACAATGTTGTATCAAATCAATCAAAATATGTACCAACACTCTTCAAACTTTGCAATACCCATTTTAAGTGCATGAAAAAAAGTTCATTTGAAACTTGAAGTACAAAAATAACTAATAAAAAAATTAACTAACCCGAAACTACATCCTCAACAAATTCGTTTGTAGAAAAGCCTGTTGTAAAGCTTTGGTTCATAAGCAATTGGCGAACCTTTGCCGATGACGATTGTTCATCGTCATTGTACCGGTCTGGGTAACAATATTCTCCAGTAGGCCGTGATCGGGCTTCTGGATAATTGTTAGACCCAGTAGGTCTTAACGCAGCTTCAAGGCAATTTGGGATTCCAGGGAAGAAAGTCTTTTAATTTTGCTTCCGCTAGTTTAGCCTTAACGTGAGCAAGAAACTCTTCAATGCTCTAAAAACGAGGAGTCGGCTGCACTTTGTCCACTATTATTACAGACTCATCATCGCTGGAGAGTACGATAATATCGTCGACGTACATGATACTAACTGAAAAAAAAGGAAAAACATTGTAACTTTGTTAAAACTTTAACAAAAATAAAACATCACCAACATAACGAAGGCGAAATAAAATTAAAAACGGTATGGAACAAATATTTTCAACGCGCCAATAAAACTTATAACATGTTATCAACAATATTCAAGTGGTTTATAGCTTTACCATTAAATACACAAGTGAGATCATAACTGCGCTTTGCGCATAGACATGAGAAACGGGCCGGGACGGATTTTCAGGCCCGGCCCGATCTAAATTGTGCTTAAAGCCGGCCCGTTTCTCATGTCTATTTGCACAACCGAAATAATATCAAAATTTTACAATTCACCACCGTATTAAAACTACAGTACTTTACTAAAAACTTAAACGATACATTTTCTAATTATAAAAAATCCAAAAGCGATTTTAAGTACTATAACTCTAAAATTAGTATTCATCTTTATAAAGTAACAAATAAAATTAAAAACACAAGTTTTATTGTTATTTTAATATGCCTTTCCAATAATATAAAGTACAAAAATAAAACCTTTAAAAAGCGTCAGACTTTCTTTAACCATCGAAAAAGTACACAATTAAACCAAGCGTGTTTTTTATTCCAAAACATATTGTTTTATAGGTCTTGGATGATAAAAATATTTCGTCGCGATAAAAATATGGACATCATCTCCCAAAGAAAAAATATATCAAAACCCGCAAGAAATAGATACGGATCATTCCCCGAGGTAAAGTGTTTAGCGCCAAAAAGAAAAAAAATATTAACATCAAATCAACGATCAGAGAGGATAAGATAATGTTGATAGGCCACAAGTCTTTAAAATTCACTCTTCTCTGTTTTAACAAAGTTTAACATTGAAATTAAAACGATATTAATCATATATCTTTTACTGTTACAACTATAGATTGATTAAGTAATTAAATACAACAAAATAGAGAGATAAAGAGAGAGCGAGATAGAGAAAGAGAGAAATAAGGGTAGGCTTTAAAAATTAAAAAGTAGGATCAGTCTGGCTCATTAGTTAACGTTTCATTTAAAATTATTTAAAATTCGGAGTGAAAAAGAAAGAGATATAGCCACTTTTGGCGGTCAATCTTCTCTCTAACACCTTGACTTTCCGTGTGCCCCTGCATACAGTTATTATTGCTAATATACACAAATAAGAAGAATAAAAACCCTAATAAAAATAGACCTAAATTTTAAAATTGGAGTAAGATATATAAAGAAGACATTCGAGACATTACACCGATGTAATTGTTAAGATCATAAGGGTAAATAGAGATTCTAAGTGATATTGAGATAGTATGACATAACGAGAGAACGTTCAACATCTAAACAACAAGTGGAACATCGAAAAGAACACTCCTTAAGTAAATAAAAATTTAGAAAGTATACCGCTTTCAAGGCAGAAATTTAGAAATACCACCCCCAAAAAATTAAAATTATAAAAAATACACCGCTCTAAAGGCAGAAATTTAGAAAGTCCACCCCCAAAAAAATTAAAATTATAAAAAGTACACCGCCCAAAAACAAAAATTTAGAAAATCCACCCCCAAAAACGTTCAAGGATTAAAAAAACCAACAAAGTAAAAATATTAAAAAGTTCTGCGCCCATGAATAAAGACTAAAGATGTCCACCAACTAAGAAGAGTAAACCGATTGCAACTGCGATATATCGCGATATAAGAGTAAATACCAACACTTATACATAAAGAAGCTATCGAAGGCGTAGACAATTCGCGTTGACTCGGCACTAAATTATTTCTTCATCCAACTCGTTGTTCTATATCGATCGGCTCTAAAACGATAATATTAATGTCAACTAGCTGTGGCTATCGGTCATGTCTTAAAGTCAAAGCTGAGCCCGCGGTCCTAAAATTTTTGACCGGGCCAGACCAAATAATTTCGAATACTCATGCCTTCGGTCATGTCTCAAGCTCGAACATGTCACATCCTTGTAATTTAAAAAAATCTTACCTCTCCGAAACATCCCCCCCCCCCCCCCAAACTTTTAAAATTAGTTTTTGCAAGTTCCCTACCGTACCCTTACTCCTACGTTCTTAACCGAGCCAATTTTTAAAACAGATTTGACTAGACCAACGCCTACTCCTCTTTAAAACCGCAATATGAAAGCCGTTAGGCTCTAAAATAATATATAGGTTACCTCAATCGGCTCTAACAGAACATAAAGCTAAATAAAAACGCTTTTCTGTTCAAATAACTTGCTAAGAAGGTGTCGTTTTTATGGTTAGTATCATAAAAACCTACCGCAAACCATGTCATCTGAATACCACATGCACGAAAACATTGTGTTCAGGAATTTCTGAAGATTCATGATTCTGAAACAAAAAAAAAATACTTAAATTTAAACTATAATCCACGATAAGATCAACATGTAAACCACCATATTTATGTTATTATAATATTATCATATCCTACAGTATAATAATTACAATATATAGGTTGTCCGGAAAGCTCTGCAATATCTGAGTAGGTAAACTTTGAAAAATCAGGAAAAATTTATTTCTTGACGGAAAGAAAAAATTCTTTTTTTGTTTGTTTGTTTGTTACCTAAATTATTCAAAAAGGTAAGTTACATAACTTCATTTTTTTGTATTGTTTTAGGTATTAGAAAAAAATGGAGAAATATCGCCTGCGCGTGATTATATGGATTGAATTCAAACGCGGAAATACTGCGGCAGAAACCTTCAGAATCATAAACGAAAATGAGGGTAAGAATGTTGTGAGTTATTCTACGGTGACCAGATGGTTCGCAAAGTTTCGTGTGGACGATGAGAAGCTTGAAGACAAACCACGTGCAGGAAGACCCAGCAAACTTGACAAAGATGCCCTGAGGCGCAAGATTGAAGATGACCCACATATTACAATCCGGGAGTTAGAAGAGTTACTAAACTGTGGAAAAAGTACCATTGGTGATCATTTGAAGGCAATGGGTATGGTCAAAAACTTGGACAAATGGGTGCCTCACAATTTGACTGATCTGCAAAAAGCCAAGAGACGATGTGCTTCCGAAAAGCTTCTGCAACGCTGCAAAAACGAAGAATTCTTGGATCGAATTGTAACTATTGACGAGAAGTGGATCTCGTTTAACAATACTAGAAGATCTACAAGTTGGTGTAAGCGTGGAGAAGCTCCTAAGCACGTTCCAAAGCCAGAATTGCACGAAAAGAAGCTTATGGTGACTGTCTGGTGGTGTAGCTCTGGAGTGATCCAGTACGATTTCATGAAACCTGGCCAAAGTATTACGGCCGACACCTACCGTGCCCAGATTGACAAACTGCGACACAATCTTCCAACAATGGTCAGAAGGAGGGGTCCGATCATTCTGCAGGATAACGCACGGCCCCATGCTGCAAAGAAGACCGTGGCAAAATTCAGGGAACTGGGATACGAAGTCTTGGAGCACCCTCCTTATTCTCCAGACTTGGCTCCAACTGACTTTCACCTTTTTAAACACTTGTCTTCGTTTCTTAATGGAAGAATCTTCAAAACTCCAGACGATGCCAAGAATGCCTTCAAGAACTTCATCAACTCCAGAAACCCGGAATTCTACAATCGTGGAATAAAAAAGCTTGTAAATCGTTGGCAAGACTGTATTGATTCAGACGGTAATTACTTTGATTGATTGTAGTTGTTAATTATATTGTTATTATTGTTAGTTCAAAAGTGAATAAATATTGCAGAACTTTCCGGACAACCTAATATAAAGTAAAATTCGTAGATCTATGATAATATAACCTAAGATAAGAAAGTTAGATATAACTTAACTAGAGTTATAAAAAGCTTACCGAAGAAACAGTTTGTAAGCCATTTTTGGGTCCTTGAACTGACAAAAGAAGCTGGCCATATTGCTTCGAACCGGCTTGATTTGAACGACACTACATCTTCCAAACGTGTTCACAAAGTTCCTATAAATCTAGTAGTTAAAATTGATTTATATTATATTATAGTTCGCACTGTTACATTAGATAATAGCTAATAGCGTGCCTGTCTCCACTGGCTTTCTAGCATTAGTATGAACGGCGGATTAGACGTTCTTTTCGACCAACAGAGAAGGGGTACCCAACATGACATGGCTCTGATTGAATTCAAGCTTTTTATACAGAAAGATCATGTAAATATAAGGTCTTCAGCAATGTACTACATCGCGCTGTCTAGGAAATATTGAGAAAATGGAGATTAGAAAATTACGTTTTGAATTTCCGCCAAATTGGCATTGTGTTTCAAGCTTATAACCTCGTCGTTTTTTGACTCTTAATCATTTTTCTTCAATATACTGGTAGGAAAGCTCTAAATGAACATACACTTTTAAATTTGTAAGCCTATCTTATATAAAACATCAAAAAAGAAACACAATGCCAAATTTGCCAAATTGACGGAAACCAAATATTTTAATTTTAAAACTGAAAAGAGCGAGCTAAAATTTTTTATAGGTACTATAGGTAGCTCAAAGAATTCATGTAAACAATTGGAGCTAAGCATGAGCGAAGCGGTGGAGTACCCTCATTGTAAGCCAATAAAATATTGGCCTAGATAAAACGGGTCAAACCCAAAACGAAATTATAATACTTTCGCTAACCTAAATACCAACTACAATAAATGAATAAATAAACATACCTAAACTGCTTTTCAGTCCCACTGTAACTCCCATAGACAATAAGAGCCGTTTTGTCTTTGTTAACGTCCTGATTCTTTGGCAAGGCCAGTCTGTCGGCTCGCGCCGCTCGTTCCATGGTGTAACTGTCGTTGTTCACATTGATTGTGATCAAATTTCGTTGAAGTGGTACACCAACTGGCATTTCTTCTTCACTAGATACTGCTGGTAAAACGACTAAAAAAGGGTCATTTGTAATTTGATGTTCATATTGTTCTTGTCCTGCTTTTGAGTTTCCAAAAATTTAAAACCACAGAGTCAAATTCCACAATTAAAGGAAAATCGACCGGCAAGGCTTATGAATATAATGTCACAATCAAAACAGTAACAAAACCGGCGCTAGGGCAAATGCGGTTTTTTGACACTTGCGGATTTTAAACATTTGCGGATTTTTCAAAGGTTTTTTAAATTTTTTGGTTAATTTAGTTTTAGTATGGTACTAAATGGTACTAAAGGGTCAGGTTGGTACTGTTTTTATATTTTTTACCATTTAGGAATTTTAGTACCATTTAGTACCAAAAACTATAAAAACAGTACCAATTTAAAAATTAGTACCATTTAGTACCAAAAAATATAAAAAACAGTACCAATTTAAAATTTAGTACTATTTAACCCCAAAAAAATATTAAACAGTACCAATTTGAACTTTAGTACCATTTGGTACCAAAAACTATAAAAACAGCACAATTTTAGACTTTTAGTACCATTTAGCACCAAAAAATATTAAAACAGCACCAATTTAAACTTAGTACTATTTAGTACCATACTACAACTAAATTAACTAAAAAATAAAAAAAAACTCTAAAAAATCCGCAAATATCCAAAAACCGCATTTGTCCTAGTGCCACAAAACCATAATCTTTAAAAAAAATTTTTTCATCTCTCCCTCATCACACCTCGACAATAATATCAGCCCAATCCTAGTAATCTAATCAAGACTCTAAATTTTAGAAATCCCTTATCAAAAAAATAATTTTTTCAACTAATCTCTGTGAATACAGTGCAATGTTTATTCAAATATGTAAAAAATGAAAAAATTTGTAAGTTCGTAGACTTTGAACATGTTATTCACACACAAAAGGGGTTCGTTTTCCATGCTCAAAATGAAAAAGGTATGAAAGCTTTCAATCACGTTATGCAAGATATGATTTTTGACATCAGTATTTTATAAAATTTCGTATAAAAAATAAAATTATTAGTCAATGATAGGAAGAACATTAGTAAATAGATAGGAAGCACAAAAAAGAAAAACACCAGAGTATAATAATAAAAAATGGCAGTTGAAAAATGAAAAAAGGCAACAACTTTACGAAGTTATCATGCTTGCTAGGTGCTACTAGCTCAAAAAATAAAAAACGTCGTTTTACAAGGCTTATATTAATATATAATATTCAAAAATAAAAACTTTGATAAACTCTTGATAACAATGCTTTTAAAGGTAATATCTATATAATAATTCACCGGTTGGGAAAGAAATATAAGAATAACTGTTTCCAAGGTTAATATCTATCAAAATATAGGAATAAGTTCGTTTTTAAGGTTAATATCTACAGTAAAACCTCTTTAGTATGACCCTCTATAGCACTACACCCTCTTTATAATAGCAGCTTCTTGAGCGCCTTTTGTAATAAAACCCCTATCCAAAAGTACATGGGTATTGTGTCACCCTGAGTATAAAATCAGGTTCGGACCAATCTCTTGAATGTCAGATTATAAAGACAAGTTTAAACCAGTCCCTTGAGTGTCATACTAAAGAAGTTTGACTGTACTATAAAATGAGATCTATCTGAGCCTACCCGATTTGTCCACTCGGTATGAGCTGCCTGGCACACTCTCGGCAGCCTTCCTCAACTTCGAGATCTTGTCATCATCACTAATCGGCGTTTCTGTTCTTCTCTCACTTCCTTTGTTCCTTGAACTTGTTCTACTTGAAGACCTTCTCTTTGTGTGATCTCTTTCTGTACTCGAAGTGCTTGTGGAACGTCTATGTCTATTATAACTTGATCTACTTCGACTTCGCCTTCTGTAGTAAGTTCGTTGGCTTGATCCACTAGAATCTTCTCTTCTGCGATGACTTCTTGAATCATTTGATATACTGCGTCTTCGACGTCTTTGTCGGGTTGACTCTGTCGATGTACTTCGTCGGTTGTGTCCTTGGGCCGAAATTACTCGAGACGATTCGGATGAATTACTAGAAGATCGAGAGCTGGAAATTCGGGTCATGCTGATTTTTCTCGATCTTTCATCTTGCTGAAAGTTATACAATTAAAATTGAAAGTAAAAGTAAAAGCGAAAAGTAATGATAATTTAAAATTAAAAAATGCTTTTTTAAAAATTTTTTGTTAATATTAATATCCGAAGTAACACAGAAAGTACCCGACCGGCCCAGCCCAGAATCAGCTCAAAATTTTTATATGAATTCTTTGTACCACCAATAGCACCCATGAAAAATTTTAGCTCGCGCTTTTGAGTTTTAAATTTAAATTATTTGGGTTTCCCGCCAATTTGGCAAATTTGGCATTGTGTTTCAAGCAGTTGTTTGACTTTCTAGACAATCTACGCTTACAACTTTAAAAACCTAGGTTCATTTAAAGGTTTTCTACTAGCATATCGCAGAAAAACAATTAAAAGTCATAAAACAACAAAGTTTTATGCTTGAAACACAATGCCAATTTAGCGGGAAATTCAAATAGTAATTTTTTGATGTCGATTTTTTCGAGATTGGAAAGCGCAATGTGGTACTTTGTTGCAAATCCTATATTCACATGACCTTTCTAAATATACAAAAAGTTTGAATTCAATCAGAGCAGGACAGGTCAAGCACTTTCCTTGTAAGTTAAACTATATTTGTGTCTCTGTTCTTACAATTGTTAGTCTTTTAGAAGGCTTTAAAACTATTCAAATTAAAAGTCTTACCTTATTGATAAAATCAGTGATGTGATCAGCTCTGGGATACTGAATCCTTAGTCTGAGAGAAGCTTTAAGCACATCGTTTGCCGTTCCTTCACTCGTACCTTCATCTTCCTTTCCATCATCACCATGTTTTTCTTGATCTTTCCGACCCTCAATTGACACCTTCTTACGATTATCCTCACCTCCTTTCGACTTTTGCTTACGATCACTTTCTCTTCTGAATTCCTTTCTTTCGTAGAATCTTCGGTTATGTTCTGCGAATCTATCTCTATACCTTCCTGATCCGCTGTCAGAATACTTTCGATCATCACTGTCACACGAATAATGTCGGTCATTGCCACTGTCATATTCATATTGTCTATGGCATCTTCGCCGTCTATCTTTGTACGAAGTGATAGGTCTTCGTTCCGAGTAAAAAACTCGTCTTTCTAGGCCTTTTTGGTACATTAAGGGTTTTCCCGAGTTTTGGAGCAGTTTCGATCCTAAACTCGAGCCTAATCGAGTTTGATTCGAGTTGGTTAGCACGTTCGATGACTTCTGACCAGTATAATCCCGAAACTTCTTCATGTAATCAAGCGGATCCTGAGGTACTTCGTCGATGATTTGTACTGAATCTTGACTACTGACTTTTCCTGAGACTTGACTGCTATCTTGTAGTGAATCTTGGCTATAATCTATCTCCATGTCTCCGTATCCATTGTTCCGTTCTTGCTCTTGATACCCACTTTCATCGTCTTGAATCCCTAGCTTTACATTCAAACCATGTGGAACATCGTCAAGTTGAGGTAGATTTGAAACGCCGTCCCGTTGAGGTAGCAACGACCCGTTGTGGCTTTTGGCACGTGGATTCGGTGGAGATGTTACAGACGAAGACAATGTTTGGTCGAATTCATCGAGGATTTGTTGTTGTAGCTGGTTGTGAGCTGAAATTGGATTCAATGAGTCGTCGGAAGACGTGGTAACGTCGCCAAACTGTAAAGGTGTGTCTAACGGTTGATTTTGATTAACAGAAGAAATTTCTGGTTGATTTATAGATAAAGAACCAGCTGCAAAATGACTTTCTGGTCGATTTTTAGGTAAAGAATTAGTTTCAACATAACTTTCTGGTCGATTTTTAGGTAAAGAAGGTTCAATATGACTATCAGATCGAAAACAAGGATCGTTTCGATAACTGATATCATTGTCCGGTCGATTTACAGAGCGAAAATCATTATCAACATGACTCTCTACACCAACATTAACATTTTCATCATCAACAAGCTTTTCAGGACAATCAGTAACAATATATTCACCTTGATCAACATTAACATGAAGATGCTCATCCTGACGTATAAAATGCCCACCTGGAATATTATCCTTTTTCCTGTTCATATCGAGACTTTGTTGATTTGTTCGAACTTGCTGTTGATTTACTCGACCTTGTTGTTGACCTAATCCATCCTCTTGTTGATTTAAACCTCCTCGGAAATCCGTGTCCCTTGGCAAAGCCCTCAGATCAATATCACCATCACTGTTGAGATTAGAACCATAACTGCCTTCAGAATTCACGTTCGTTGGAAAAGCACCCAACTTCTTGGCCTGATCCACCTTCATGAAGATGTTTTTCAAAAATTCCGTGACATTTTGGCCAACAACGGTGCCAGTTGATTGTCCAAAAGGGTTCGAAGTGGCTGAAGCACCCGATTCGGAAAAATTGTTAGATTCTGGCAGTGATTGTTGTAATGGATCCATGCTTGAACTGGGTTCTTCTTGATCTTCTTCATCTGGAAATAAGAGGTTATTAGCTAGGTTATTCATTTTTAGAAAGATAGTGTAGCTAACATAAATAATATTGATAAAAATTTGTGACACAAAAAACTACAGCTTTTGTAAAAGGCTTTATATAGCTGATAAACTAATTAAAATAAACGCTCATTAAAAAATTATGTGTTTGATTAACAATGCCATACTTTAAGATAATATCCTCCGTTTTAGCAAGAATAAAACCTTTAAACACCACAAGAATCAAGAAAAATATCGAAATGTTGTAGATATAGCTTGTAAATATAAAAGCAAAAGAATGAGTAATATACTCGACAAGTATAACTGCTGTATGACAAGACTAAAAATGAAAAAAAGAGTTTATTTGCAAAAAACTGAAACAAAACAAGACAAACAACAAAAAATTTTTAAAAATTAAAAAAAAAACTGTAAAAATAAGTCTAAAAATTGCAAAAATTTTTCACCAATACGACCCCTGAAGTCTTGAAAAAATCCATGAAATTCATCAAAAATAGAAAAATGGCCAAGGAACATATCATATCAAACGAAAAAAAAACTTTTACCTACCCAAATCAACATAGACTGAGCCTAAAAGTTAAACCCTAAGGCCTAGTATAAAATTAACCCCAAGCTTGGCCAAGGTCTAATATAAAAGAAAGATTTTCACCCTGAAGCACGGCACATCACACACAGTCGACAAACTTAAAAAACTAAAAAGTGCTAAAGTCAAACATTAGAAAAACCTCAAAATAAACAATGACAAGAAAAAAGTTATATTAATTTCAATAGAATCCAAATCGAAACCCTAAAAACAAATAAACCTAGCTCAAAAACCAATAATAAACCTCAAAATCAACATAAAAACACGAAAAACCATACACAATAGACCTAAACCAAACCATTAAGAACAACTTAGGCCCTATCATGTAACAATAACAACATGATTCATGTTGTTATTCTGCCCCAACCCAAAAAAATCATAAATAATGTTTTAACAATGAAACTCAGTATTACCTTCGACTTCTTCCTCGTAGAATCCGGCTGGAATTCCAGATAAGATATCACCTTGATGAACAATGCTCTCCTCGACCACTTGTTCTTCTCCCGGCTCCATTTTGCAAACCACCGGTCTTGTATTGATCAATCCATCCACTCTTTTATAGCCAAGAGCATCCAAATGAGGATCGTAGTAATTCTCGGCATTGCTCGGCTGTTCTACATCAATATTGACGTTAATGTGATCTACACCAACATTGGCATTCAAATTTCCATTATTATTGGGATAACAATTGTTGTTGCCTTCACTCGGATATTGTTGTTGAGCTTTTTGAGCATTGGCTACTCGATGATTGGTCGAATTTGATCTGCTATGTGAAATTGAAGGTGCAAATTGATTGGCATGCTCTTGAGCTTGCTCAACATGCTCGCGTTTGACTTGACGAAGTTGATGAACGTCAGAATGAGAAGACTTTTGCTTAGCAGAGCTTGTAGAACTTGCATTTGATTGACGCGAGTTTGAGCGAAAGTCTACCTTTTGTCCAGTTAGGTATTGAATTGTGTAGGTTACACAATCTGATAGGTCTTTGTAGCGTTCTCTTACATCTGTAAAATTATTTTTTAGATTTATTATAGAAAGCAAGGAATAGTTAGCTAGAGATTAGAAGAGAACTTCACTTAAAACTTTTTCAATTTGAACTTAATCTCTTTTTGTAAAAAAATCACCCCGCCCAGCTATACCTACAAAAACCAGTAACATTTTGCCAAAAAACCTCATTAACATTCACAAACTTACGTTTTTGATTCACGTAATCCCTGACGGCGGTATAAACTAGATCAACATCACTTTGCTGGTACCCTCCGCGAATCAATTGAGTAAAATCAACAAACTTCATTTGATAATTGATCTGACGCTGAATCTCGGCTTCATCCACACTGTTGTCCACAACATGTTGAGGTACTTGTCGAGGTCTTTCTGATGGGTTACTCTGTCGACTTGGTTGAGTTACAGTCGTGAAGTTGGTTGAGTTTTGACGTTTTTTCTCGGCCAAAGCCGGTGAATCAACTTGCATTGTGTTTTCATTCTCCTTTTCTTCAAGTTGGACCGAGAAGTCGTGCACATTATGATCCAAATGTCTTTCCAAGACTGCAATTTGTGTTGGCAAGTGCGGGAGGGGATCACCGCAGAATTCGGCATCAAATGTGATGAGATCTGGCAGAGATTGCTTGATTATTTGTCTCCAGTTCTTGTTGTTAACAAAAATCACTCGGACTCTCTAAAACAGGACGTTACCTTAATAATAACCATAATTTTACATAATATTGAAAATTTTATGAATTGACACAACTTTAACATAGAAAACATAATCAAAACTAAAAAAAAATATAATCTAAGCTCCAAATACCATACCTAACCCAACTTTAACAAATTTACAACTTATAAAACCTAATAACGCCAAAATTGTAAAATAAATTTTTGTAGCTGAACTTACGTTTGAGAATAAAAAACTGTTAAAAGTGCTAAAACCAGCGTCCACATGTTCTGTATATGCATGTTTTTGAACGGCCAACAAGTTTGGTGACGAGAACATGCAATTATCAATTGGGCAGTAGCAGTCCATCTAGAATTGGTGTGATTACCATTCAAAATAGCCTAAAGTATTCTAGGTATAAGAGCCTACTCTTCTAATAATAATCTCACCGAGCGGTACGAAAGTAAATATGTCCCCAAATCATTTTAGTGGCAATCTTCCTTTACATTTACCTTCTTCTGAGCCGTTTTTGAGTACAAAACAAAATTTACTCATTCCAACAGACCGAAACAAGCCTGCCATATTTTAAAAGTAGCCTTAACGTCCATAAAAATCGAATAATGATCTAAAACACTTACATGCTTATTAAAATCCTTAGTATGAGCCTTTTTGTGATGAATAATCAAGCGATTTAACGCTGCGAACCTTCTCCCACATTGTTGACATCCTTCCGGGTTGTACTTGATGTGGACTTTGAGAAGATGTTCGTAGAGATCTGATTGGCAGTCCACAATCTCATCGCACGATTCCCAACAACAAACCTTGTCCAGGTTGTGATTTTGCAGGTGTTGAAGGACGTCTGTGTACGCGACTGTAGCATTACAATTGTTAAATTGGCATTTGAAGTCCATTTACATAATATATTATGTGAGAGCTATGAATGAATATCTTAAAAGTGTTACCTAAAAAACAGGGTTAAAAATTAATAGTGTTACCTGAAAATAGCGTAAAAAATTATCCAAGTGTTACCGAAACGAGTCCAACATCTTAAAAAACTTAGAACAATACCTAAAACAAATTTTTTCTTAAAACAATTTAAAAATGACATATTTCTACACAAAAAATCATAAAACAGTTCAGAAACAACATGTCTTTTTCAAAAAAAAAGCAAAAAATCGAATAAATAAAAGATAACAATTAGATTCATACCAATACCATGATAAACCATTGCCACAGACAACAAAATAAACGATTTATTATAGCCGAAATTAAGAACATAGCCTTAAGATCCACAAAATATGGCAAAAACATAAAACGCAGGATATGTCGATACGTATATCGCGATAAATGAAAGAATAAAACAATATATACCGAAGAATAAAATATAAAAAAATTTGGCATATTTTCTGAATAGAGAACAAAATGTACTGTATAATGAAGTATTGCATAGAAAAAGAACCCGTTAATAAAATTTTCGTATAACATTTGGCTTGTATATCGTGAACAATATCATTTTACACGTAATATGTTACGTATAGACATAAAAACGTAGGTATTGCAAGGTTAGTCCGTATGGCTGCGAGCAGGAGCGTCGCTAGGAGGGGGGATCCACCCCAAAGCCGATCTGAAAAAAATCCACAGGTAAGGTACCTGTAAGCAAAAAATCAAAAAAAAATTTTTGAAAAAGCCATTTGTGATTATCAAATGAAGAAAAAGCGATTTTGTTTTTGCGTCTTGAACAGATTTTGGCGTTTCTCAAATAGCGGAAAAATATATTTTCTTCAGCTTTTCGAAAATGCCTTTCGGGTTTATTATTAATGTAGTTTCGAGGTTTTGTAAGGATAAAGAAGATAAAAAATGCAACAATTAAGCATCCTTATTAAATAAAAAAGAAGAGAAAATAATTCAGAGGTAAATCCCACAAAAAAAATAATGAAAAATTTCTGCATGGATAATATGCAACTGATATCTCTTGATAACTCAAGTTCTACTCCATAGAATCAGACGTTCTTAGTATCAAATTATTCCTTATTTCCTCCTTAATCCAACTGTTGCTACTGCTATAGCTGCTCATGTGCTCGTTGCAAAGTTATGACCTATTTTAGAGTTTAGAAAAACGTATTTTTAATATGAATACCAAATTTTTGTTAAGCGCTCAAACACAAAAAGATTTTTTAAATTAGGGAATTGAAGTGTTGCTTTTTAATTGCTATTAAACACTTTTGTGATATCTGCACTTTAATATGTCGAAAAAATATCGCGAAGTTAACGTACTATTTGTTTCCTCTTGCTGCGGAATGCCAAGCGATTTTCTCTGGATAATTGTTTTTCTTTTATTTTTTCTTGACGTGCGGTGCTACATTTGATAACCGAGGATCCGTCATATTACCACGTGAAACATCAGGTATCGCCCTGGCGTGTGGACCAACGAAAAAACGATCTCTCACTATTTCACGAAATTGTAGCTGAAAAAGGTTTTAAATTATTATAAAGCCAAAATTTTGAAGCAGCTTTCATCGTATAACAAAACGCTTTGCTCGCGCCCAATGAAAAATTTGTATTTAACAAAATTTAGACACGAGCAACGGGCCGAACCCAATTTTCAAGCCTGGCCCGTTTTTAATTTTGGTCAGGCCGGGCCAGATCAGAAAATTTCTAGGCCCGGACCGTTTTAAAAAATTAAAACTTAAAAAATAAACGGAAATTTGGCTTTAAATTATTTTTTTATATCATTTATAGACCATAGTACCCAATAAAACCGAAAAACATCAACGGGGATTGAATTAAAAAATTTAAAAAATTTTTTCCGGGCCTGGCCTGAAGGTAGGGCCCTGCCCGTTGCTCATGTCTAGCAAAATTTATTCGAATATAATCCTTACTTTTCTACAGCTAGGGAGAATTATATCAAAAAATCGTGGTTTTAGTTTACAAACATTCAAATTTCTTAGTTAAAAAATCCCCATTTTTTACAAATTTTATATAAGAAAATTACTTTTTTAAAGCTTTAGGCAACAAAAATCAAATTTTTCCGAAATTAAAACTGAAAACTATAATAATTTCAAAAAACTGCTTACGCTTGTATATCGTAAGACCCTTGGTATGCTGTGAGCAGGCGTTCTGTACTGTATGACTGGTTCATATTGGGCTTGTATATAAACCGGTGGAGTTTTCTCCCTCTGTCTTCTCTCTAGCTCTTCTCTTCTTTGTCTTTTTGCTTCACCTTCTCCTGGCTCGCTTCTTTCTTCTTTTCTTGCTCTTTGTCTTTTATTTCTCGACCTTGATGATGTTCCTTCTCTTGATTCACTCCTTTCTTCTGAACCCTCTATTGAGCCGATTTTTTCCTTTTTATAGATTGCTTGGTTCACACTGAATGCAAGAGAGTCAGGTTCAGATTTAACTATCATTAACATTGGCATTTCATTCCATAGTCTTTCATATGGCGTAGCGCAGTTTGGTAACATTAAATGAAATTCATGCTGAAACATAAAATTACAACAGAAGGAATATGTTTGACACAATAAGATTAGTAAAAATGACAATAATCAAAATATTTTTATTAAAACCATAAAAACGTAAAAACAACGTTCTATAGACTTTTTGACCGGCTAATTAAAAAATAAGTTCTTACCGCCATAAGCATTTCCTCAAAACCAGTTGGATCATTATGATCATATTTAATATGATCTCTCATCAGTGCCGCTCTTTCTGATGCAAAATGACAGTCCATATAGATGCAGTCAAACAAGTCCTGAAAATGACAAAGATGAAAAACTAGATAGTCAAAACTACAAGTTATGTAAGCTATATTCATCAAGAAACGTCAACACTTTACGTTTAATTTTTAAACATTGACTATGATTTTCAAATTCTAGGTGCATAACATGCAATAAAAGCGCTGTAAATTTAAGAATTAGCGAATTATCAATATATATTCATTATTTATATTCAGGTAGTACACCACAAGAGTAACCTACAATCCCTAACATTTTCAAAATTATAACTATTTTTTAAGAAAAGTTAAAAGAAAAATCAAATAACCTTCAATTTTTGCATTTTTTTGTACCTAAACATTTAAAAAACTATATTTTTCGAATCCATGCCAAAATAATTAACATTATAAGAATGACCAATCTTTTTCCTTTAAAATATTATAAATCAAACCATGCTTCCAAAACCCAACCAGTTTTAATTCGGCCTAACACAAGGTCAAGCCAAATAGAACGAAATCTCATTAAAACCAAAAAGTACCCCCTTCCCCAAAAAACTAAAAAAAAACCTACCAGCTTCTTGACATGAATCTTCCTTTCGTGTGCGTCTCGTAAAACATGGCTGTAAAACTGTTTCTTACAAAAATTGCAGAAAACATCTCGAATAAAGGTATGATCACGTATAATGTGATCAGCATTCCGCTCTTCTTTAGGCCCAAACACTTGCTCACAGCTCCACCATCGGCATCGTGCTTCGCCAGTATGTGTCCATATATGAGCTTTGAAGACTGGCAAGATTACCGAGCTAAATGTGCACCCTTCCCATCGACAAACATGTTCTTTTGGCATGAGACGCCAGCTGAAATCGTAAATATTATTGAAACTTGAAGTGAAAAACAAGAAAATATTGATCTAAATCAAAGAACAGATATTGATAATAATATTAAATAGTAAATTGGGTTAAAGTTAATTATATTCATGGTTTAAAACTAGGTAAAAGGCGCGAAAACCCGATAGAATTACGCAAAACAAGATTTCGCGTAAAAATTCGAAAAATATCCGAATAAAACGAAGTGTCACAAATTTTATCAGTTTCAACGAAGTGTCACGGAAATACAGGAAAAATGGCCTTCCAGTTTTTGGTTTTTCAATTTGTTACATGTTATAAAGGGCTAGATTGTAGCTAATTATTAAATATAATTAATCTTCTATGGTTACCTTATGTTATGTTATTATTTTTCGGTTGAGAGCGAGGAAAGCTGATCCATCTACGACTGGCGGATAAAGCTTGCGTAATGCCGCTATTTTTCAAGGGCTTCTTGATTTTTCTATGGTAAGTGCATATTTATACATTTATTAGTTTAACTTTGTGTTGGTTAAGGTAAGTTTGATGGAAGCTATAGGCTCAGTTTCATGGTTTTAGTTAGAATTCAGTAAGCTCCAGGGCTCACCTGGGCTCTGATGCAACTTCAGGGTTGACTGAAGTCAAGGTTTAAACTTAAAAAAGGTTGGAGGAGAAGCTTGTATCTCTCAGAAAAAGACCTTTTTGTTATATTTTTAAGGAACAACGCTTTTTAGGCCACTTTCCGTCATTTAACGAAAGTTGAAAGATTAATGCTTTATAACGTATTAAATGTTGTCCAAACGGATTTTTTGCATTAAATCTAAAGACTTTCCGATCGAAAATGCAAGGAGATCTGCTTTATGTGTTAATCTCTTTGTGGGATATCTAATTGTTTACACACAAGCGCTATGATCCATTTATAAGGTGTCATGTAGAGTCTAAAGCAATTCTGAAGCTCTAGCGCTAGAGGACCTACCCTGCTCTACACTATCCTACTCTTCCATACTCTGTCATACCCTATACTATTCGATCGTACTTTACTTTCAAGTATAATTAATAATAATGAGAAAATATGATTATAAAAACTCAACTTCCGAAGAATGTCACATTAGCGCTCATTTTTTAAACATAACGTATTATGTTAGCGATTGTTATCTTAAATCTTTTAATGTTTATTATTTAAGAAACACGAAAAAAATACCGAAGCACCGTTATAGCGCGCTACGACAAAGCCCATATATATCTACAAGAGCCAGCCCAAAATTTTGCTGCCTGCCCTACTTCAAAGAAGCCGACACTTTGGAGAACGGCCGGGCCAAAAAATTTGCTCAGGGCTCTTTCCAAGCCTGACCGCCTTTCAATTATTTTGAAAATTGAATCTACCATAATATACTGTCAGAAAACAGTTTCCTTATCAAAAACATTTCATCTTTAACTAACAGCACCGATCTTTAGTAAAAAATCTCAAACTGACTAAAGTAAGGGTAAAATTGGCCAAAAAACGCCAATGACATTGAATTTTTGGAATCATTGCGTATGTCCTCAATTCACTTTGATCGAAAACAAAAGGCCCCATTTTAGTGCTTTTTCTTATTCTATTCAAAAATGACTCCAGTCTTCTGTTTGCTTTGGGTACAAATTACAAAACCTACTCTGGTGTATAAACTGTTCATTTTAACTAGACTTATAAAGAGGCTGAGCCAACATGTGCCGGAACGATCCCTTTCAAATTTGCTTTAGCCTATTTATTAATCTATTTATAATATTAACATAAGTTAAATTATCCATAAGCAACAATATTAAGTATAAAGTAAAGAAAATGCTTTTTGCTATCAGAATATTCATTTAAAAAATTCTGTTTTTGTAATCGCAATCGAAAGCCAAGAAAAGTTAATAAAACGCTCCTTTTGATATTATATTGTAAAGTTTCAAAAACCTGTTTTACAATTAAAATACAAAGCTAAAAGATGACTATATAAGTGATATATATACAATCAATTACAAAAACTATGTATGTCGTCAGTTACAGCATATTATGCAGCAGTTAGTGGCGTTTGAGACTTGTCACTTCGATCGCTTTCGGGGAAGAATCGTTTCGTTTTTGGCTTCATTATCTCCTTCCAGGAAGGCAGCCGATCGTCCAGGGCTAACAATTCCTTGGCCGAGAAACGACGCTCCAAAAACAATGCTCGGACTACGACCATTACGAGGAGCTGGAATTTTTATAAACTTACATTATACTAAAAACCGTGTAACAGAACTTGTGGCGCACCCTGTACTTGGGTTTTTTTCAATTTTAAATCCAAAACCAGTTCAAATTGCAATTTTTCAAAAACCCACCATAAGAGGAAAAGTCATTTTCAATCCCTTCAGATTCTTTAGGCCAAACAGTGCCAGTACGCATATTAATTGAATGAAAGTGAACAGATGAGTTCTTTTCATTCGCACAGCTCTCAGCCAATGATACTCGGGTTGAGTTTTGGAGCTCATGAACAGTAATTGGAAGCGTTGTACAAATTGTTGTCCACCCAATGATACCACACCCATATAGAGGAAAATACCAGTTAGGACTGGTAATGGTACTAGTCGTAGTACTGGTGTTAAGAAAAGAGAGAAGCCGATTAAAATGTGGGCAAAGATCGTGCTCAGGCGTTGTTCTCTGGAAAAATGATGATTAGATTTTAAATTACAGTATCATGCATGTAGTAAAAGTTAAAGTATCATAACTCAGGGACGTCGTTTGGGGGGGGTGGTTCGGGGTGACTCCCCCCCCAGAGCCGATCCGAAAAAAAATCCACAGGTAAGGTACCTGTACGTGAAAAAACGAAAAAAAAATTTTCGAAAAATCGGTCCACAGGTAGCTCTACCTGTGGAAAAAATTTTTTTTGGTAAAACAAAACAAAACCTTCAAAAACGCGAAAAAAAACCAACTTTATGCCCAAAAACCTTGGAGGTTCTCCAGGTGCACTAGATACAGATTGTTGTTTCAATGCGTCAAGATGAGCCAGACTTAACACTGTAGCAGCTACATAGAAAGGCAATCCTAGTAGTGCACATATCACAATCAGCGGTGCCAATATGAAAAGATCAAGGTGGTAGCCGCCTCCTTTCTAAAAGAATTTTGTTAAAAAATAATGTTATATTAAGTAATTTGTATAACCGTGGGCCGTGCCTCAAAGTTAGACGTAGCCCCTGTACAGATCTACCTCTAGCTGATGAACACAAATACGCCATGGTTAATATAAAAAAGTTACCTTTAACAAGTTATCTTTTCGATTAACAATAACGGCAGTGATTTGCTGATCCATAATGATCAATATCGTATATAAAATAGCTGGAACAGCTGATAAGAATATCACATACGTTGAAGATACGTTCATTATGTCCACTATCCACGAGCGTTTCATTGTTGGCTGAAATAATATATAAATATTATATAATATAACCTATACAATATATTAAATAATTTTATGATTTTTTTGCTTTATTTAACCTTCGTATTATCAGTTCAACCAAATAATTGGTATATGTAGCAGCAAATACCGTACCTTCAACGCACTTTTTAACAAAATGAACCGTTCATTTTCAAGTATAATATAAATTTTTATAAAATAAAAAAGTCAATCAATAATCATAAAAATCACCCCAAACTTACCGTAAAAGATGATGGAACCTGTAGAATTGGTACTGAAATGCCAATGAAATAAGATAGCGCCGAGAACAAGACAATTGAGATCAACAAGCCAAAGTCAGCCACAATGTTTCGAATCTGAAAAATTTAATTTTTATAAGTCACAAAATTGAATTTTTTTGTTTTAAATGAAGTATTAGGTTATTCAAATAATTCTGTGCCCCTCTCAAGTATTTGGGGTCAGAAGGCACAAGATTATTGGAACAACCTAATATTAATATATACAGCCCAGGGCTGGGCGAAAATTTCGTTTCGTGTTTCGTTTCGCGCGAAAGAGGCAATTTCTTTTCGTTTCGTGTTTCGCGAAATAGATTTTGTTTCGGAAACGAAACAAAAAAAAATATTTCTCAAACCGAAAACCAACAAATGTTAAAAATGTTTGGCATTCTGTTTTATACTGTTGAAAATTGTTTTTATTTTAATTTTAAACGTATTTTGGCATAAACAAATGTCCAAAAGGTCGAAATACGATCCCTTTTTTAACGAAGGGGTCTGTATAACATGTAAGGCAAAAGTGCTGTCGTGAATTGTCAGAAAATCCACGAAGTCTTAGTACAAAATTTGATCAGTTTTTGAGAGATCAAAACGCCGCCTTCCCAAAGGCAATTAATTTATATTCATTTTCCATAAATTTGGCCTTTCTCTCAATTAAACCGTGATTTAATTGCCTCGAGAACCTTCCATATTCTATTTTACATATTGTTTATCACTTTCACGTCTTAATACATTCACTTTTAATAGTCTTTGGAACACTATTTAAGCTCAACGTTCCTCCGAGAATGTTATGTTACGAGTTGATCATGTTATGAAGTGTTCATATTATCCTAAGTTATGCTACTTTATTAAGCTAAGTCTACCTATATCATCTAAGTTCTAAGCTTTAAGTTCTTTTAAGTTCATATTCATACCTTATTGTCCTACCTAACCTATCGTGCTGTAACCTAAATAAATATCTATTGCTACCCCAAGTCCAGGAAAATTCAAGGCTAAGTGTAGTACTCGTACTACAAAGGAATTAAAGTGTAGCTTCCACTACAAGTGCGAAACACAACAAATCATTCCTCAACTAGCTTTTTCCGGTACCATTTAATACAGAAAAACCCGGACGTATGGAAAGAAATTGTAGCGGACGGGGCACCAGCAAAGAAAGAGCGTAATATTCTGGATAATGTAAGTCTTTCGAAACAAGTACTTCGGTTTATAGGAAAGGTTACATTCTTTTTGTAATAAAGCACATCAAAATTCGACAGCAAGAACTGTTTTGACTGACTATCGAAGAAGCATGACAAGTGAGATGCTTCAGAACTTGTTATTCCTTAAGGTTAATACCCATTTACGGCATAAAATTTGATTTTTATGAAGATTTTTTAATAAATTCGTAAATTTTGTTTCGTTTCGTGTTTCGCGAAAAAAAATTTTTTTGTTTCGCCCAGCCCTGATATATAAAGTCAAAAAAAATAGTAAACATACTTGTTTCAAGCATAACTTTTTTAAAAAGATCTTAGAAACAAAAAATTTTTTGTGATTTTAGATTGGTCTTTCATACAACAAACGCACAAACAATAATTTTTAAATTTGTTAATTTTGAAAAGTTACAGTAATTATACCGTACCCCTATTTTTCAGCTATATGTATAATTTTTTTTTCAAAATCGAAGATATACGTTTTGTAGAGAATAAAAAGTTGTACATATTCTGTAAGTTTCAATACGTCATCTTAGCTAGTCAAAGAGCTACGATTTTTTAACATTCGAAAAAAGATTGAAAAACACGAAAAGTTCGATTCCGCTTGAAAAATGGCCGTTTTTTAGATTTTTAAAAAATCGTTAAGCGTTTAGTAAAAGAGATTAAGTAATGAAACTTACAGAATATGTAAAACTTTTTATGCTTTACAAAACGTATATCTTCAATTTTTGAAAAAAAAATTATACACATAGTTGAAAAATAGGAGTACGGTAGAATTACTGTAACTTTTCAAAATTAACAAATTTAAAAATTATTGTTTGTGCGTTTGTTGTATGAAAGACCAATCTAAAATCACAAAAAATTTTTTGTTTCTAAGATCTTTTTAAAAAAGTTATGCTTGAAACAAGTATGTTTACTATTTTTTGACAACGGCTGTATTATCATAAAGCTCTGCCATATAAAATATATTATAATAGGTTGTTTAAATAATTCTGTGCCCCTAACCAAGAACATTTGCTTTGAAAGAGGGTACAGAATTATTTGAACAACCTAATAGTTCAATTAAAACAAAAAAGTCAATTTTATGTCTTCACAATTTTACAACGGCAACTGGTACCCAAAATGCCTTCTACTTCCCATATCCTCTCGTAAATCCTTTTAAACATACCACAGTGTTGAGGTAAGGTGACTGCTTAAACTTGTGCAACTTCATAGCCACAGCATAAGTCCCCAAAGCCAGCAATATTGAAGTTAAAAAGACATCTGGCTTGAAGAAACATGCTTTTCCAAACAATTTCCCTCCAGAATTCAAGCATTTTTCCGTTTCCTCGTATAATTTGTCAGTTAACAAGGTTGATCTGGATGAATTTGTAATACACTGACAAGTAGAAGATATGAATTCACCTGGGTTTGGTGTTAATGGGGCTTCTGTTCTGATTTCGAGGATTTTTTCAATGGCCTGAAAGATAGAAATTATGCCTTCTTTTTAGTTAAACTGGGTAATATTTAGCAAATTTTGACTTATTAAAACTAAAAATTAGCTAAAAAATTAATTTTTTACATTTTTTACCTACCTGTATAATAAAAACCACAGAAATCAATGTAGCAAATGCCTCCTCCGTAAACCTTGTGATAAAAGCGACCAATGCACTCAGATCCTTTGCCACAATTATCACCAATATCAGCGCAATCCAGCAACCCATCCAAAACCGAAATGGCAGAAACTCCCAGCCTTGTGTCTTGCACATATCATATATAATCTTCTCGAATATTAACGTAGGCCCAGTAGCTGACAGCACATTCAATGGTTGACCAGAAAATAAGCCAAACACAACTCCTGTTAAAGCTCCACACAGAATGTTCTCAACTGCTGCCATTTCTCCATTAAACGTCCTTTCCATCACTGCACCAAAGGTTATGATGTTGGTGAGGTTGGCGAAGAAAACACAAACTGTCGCGGCGAAGGATTGACTCAACCGACCGGAAAAGAAGTCAGTAAAGTCGGAGAGGTACCATGGAAGCTTTCGTCTAAAAGGTAATGTTAAATTACAGAAAAGGGGCCATACTAGAGAAAGCACCCAACATAATAAAGGCACCCACTAATGGTTTAAAGCACCCAGCAATCTTTATTCAAATTTTATCATTATGAAACGTAGCGCTTTCGAAGAGCGGTGTAGAAGTGTCCAATTCGTGAATGGCGATTGTTGTAGCGAAAACTGAAAAAAATATAATAAGGTGCATGGCTACTGTAACTAGATAGTTGGCCACTGTAACTAGATGGTTGGCTACTGTAACTAGATAGTTGGCCACTACAACTAGATTGTTCCGCCTCCGATGAGGTAGTCGTCGACGGAACGGTGTTTTTGGCTGTCTTGTCCGCTCCTGTTGAAGAATCCAAGTCCACCAGGGTTGTCAATTGTCCAGCTTCGGCGGGCCTTATCTAAGTTGCCTTCGATAAGGTCGGCCGCGGCTGATCCGGTATAAACGACGAGATATTAGAACGAATAAAGATATGCTACTGTCGAAACAGTTAAAGTCGAATATAACCGAAATAGATATAATTCTTAGCTTTATCTTCAATAACCATATATCCTTCACAGTGATCAAAATATAATACCCGTAGACTTAAACACACTAGACAATAATATCAACGACCAATCGTTGATACGAATACAATATCACAGTAGATATCACAGATGACTTAAAATAAACAATTGTCGATAAAAAATATGATAATAACAAAAAAAAACGAATCGCCAATGACCCTTCGAGCTGTGTCGAAGTGTCACTATTGATTCAAGACGAAATGTCCACAAAATACAATTCAACATTTTATATCAGTCAAATCAGTCGATTTTCCCTGTTGGGACATTCCGGGCCGAGTTGAGGTTGTTAGGCCATGATGCCCTGACCACTTCCTGCTGGTGGATCTTGGTTTCCGGGGTCCTGACCGTCGCGTCTTCCAGGTCCTGAGCCTTGAGCTGGCGCTTCCTCCATCTCTTCCGGTTCTCTGTCCTTGGCTCGTTGTTCTGACAGGGCACGTCCAAACCAGTCGCTGAAGATCTCTGGCGTCAGGTTCACGTCGACCAAGCGCATCTGAATCAACTCGTGGGCGGCTTCCAACTGAGGTTGTAGTCGTTCCCGGATGAGTGGATGTTCCTCGGGCGGAGCTTGTATGATCATGACCGCTCGGAGGCTGGAGCCTTGCAACCTATAATAAGGCTGCAGCCCCGTGATGAGGTTCCATAAGTCGAGGGGAGTACCATCGTTGACTTCCGTGATCTAGATCAGTAGCCGAATCGAACTCGTCAGGTAGAGCCGCTGCCCCTTCAGCGCTTCGGCGAAGTTTCCTCTTCTCGGCACGAAACACACCTGGTGGCTTGGACCCATCTTCCAACCTCTTGCATCCATCAGCCTTTCTCTCAACACGCTCCAGCTGGAGTATGGCGCCCCCAGAAGCACTTCATCGTTAATTCGAAGTCTCTCTTCATAAGATCCTTCACTTCTGAAGATGACGGTGTTCTCTTTGATCCTGTTGAGGGTTTTGATGTAGCGCCGTAAGTATGTTGGAGTATGGAAGTGTGGATGGGGTGAAACTAGATCCCTCCATCTGTTCTCTTCCATAAACAATGTCCGCTGACTGCACTTGCGTACGCAAGTTTGCAAAGTCCTATAGGACGTAGTCCTACCCTGGGGCGAGTCGAGGATCCGGCCAATGATCGGCATTCTACCCCAATTTGTAGATGGACTGGAGTCCGCAATCACTTGTGGGCTGACCCTTTCACCTTCTCTGAAGAGGTCATCACAAAAGGCCAAGGCTAATGCTGTAGCTGGCGTTCTGGCTCTTTGTGGCTGTTTATCCCGCTGTTGCGGTTGGATGAAGTCCGGCTGGCATGGCTTGTGCTGTCTTGACTCGCGGGTGCAGGCGAAGTAAGGGCTCATAGCATGGTTTGGAACCATCTGCAGATCTAGTTTCACCCCATCCACACTTCCATACTCCAACATACTTACGGCGCTACATCAAAACCCTCAACAGGATCAAAGAGAACACCGTCATCTTCAGAAGTGAAGGATCCTATGAAGAGAGACTTCGAATTGACGATGAAGTGCTTCTGGGGGCGCCATACTCCAGCTGGAGCATGTTGAGAGAAAGGCTGATGGATCCAAGAGGTCGGAAGATGGGTCCAAGCCACCAGGTGTGTTTCGTGCCGAGAAGAGGAAACTTCGCCGAAGCGCTGAAGGGGCAGCGGCTCTACCTGACGAGTTCGATTCGGCTACTGATCTAGATCACGGAAGTCAACGATGGTACTCACCTCGACTTATGGAACCTCATCACGGGGCTGCAGCCTTATTATAGGTAGCAAGGCTCCAGCCTCCGAGCGGTCATGATCATACAAGTTGGTAGTTGGTTACTGTAACTAAATAATGGGCTACCGTAACTAGATAGTGGCTGCGACAACTAGATAGTTGGCTACTGTAACTAGTTAGTTGGTAGTTGGCTACTGTAACTAAATAATAGGCTACCGTAACTAGATAGTGGCTGCTACAACTAGATAGTTGGCTACTGTAACTAAATAGTAGGCTACTATAACTAAAAAATGGGCTACTATAACTAAGATAACATTAATACTATGGTAAAACCAAACGTATTCTTTAAGTAAACACTAAATTCTTATCTGTTATCCATCTGTATAGCATAGTAAAAGCCTTCATATACTCGATAGAAGATGACTTCTTTGAAGGTGGTTGATCTTGGCCTAGGTTGTCAGGTAGTCGATGGATCCATGATCAGCACGGTCAGATTCCATGCTGACCCGACCGTCTCACGCAGTCGATAAAATATGAATGACCGTTTTCAAAAAAGGAAAAAAAAACAAAATGAAATTGCAAGATCATGCAAAATTTGAATACTTTTGGGTGCCTTAAATAGGATAAAATTGGGTGCTTTCATTAGTAATACTGGGTTATTTCTTTAGAGTAGCGCCAAAATGGGTTTTTTAAATTTTTTCTGATCTTCACCCTTTTCAATTCAACATAACTTCTCAAAAACACAACGTAAAAACGAGAAACTTTCAAGAAAAATACAGTTTTTTTTGTGCTTTACAAAATTTAATACTCAAATCGCTTCAAAAGTTTTGAAATCAGATTGAATTACAGTAAAATATATAAGCCTCAAGGCATTTCGCAAGTTGAACTTACTGGATATCTTGTGCTAATCCGCCAAACAGTTTCCCCGTGACCACAATATCATTTGGATGCCCTTCCGGTGGTAAAGTTGTTTGTTGGAGATCTTCACGGCTTAATCCGATACGTCGAGCCTAGAAATGAACTTTAAAACAATATTCTTGTAGCTTTAACCATAATTTTTTAACAATTGTAAGCTATATCAATAATAATATGATTCTTAATGTTATCTTAACTTTTCCCCCAATTTCCAACAAAAACTGGTCCATTCTTATCTTCCTCTACCTAAAATAACATCTCAACAACAAGAATTTTTCAATTTAACCCTACCTCCCCATTCTCAACCTCCTCAGTGCTCAAATCTTCAGGATGACATCGTGTGTCCGTGTTGCACTTCCCAGGCGGTAATAAACAAGCCGTACTGAAGAACTCATCAGCTGCATCACACAACGCATATTTGTCTTCGGCCACATAAGCTACACGAGAGAATATTTCGTCTGAGAACAGAGCTCCAATCGTTCGGCCGAGATTTTGTGTTTCATTGACAAAGTTCTCAGCACGATTGAGAAGAATGAACACAAACTTGACTGGAATTGCGTGATGAGGCACATCTGGATGTAATACCTGAAAATTGGAAGTATAAAATTGGTTTAGTTTAGAGAACTGTATGTTTTTAATGATAAAACGTCAGTTTTTCGAGTTTTTGCTAAAGTTCAAACGTTTATAACTCAAGCTTCGGATAAAATTCGCTAATTTTTTGTTATAATATTTTAAAATTAACAAGTGAAAAACTAAAATAAATATTAATATTCAAAAATAATTTCGTACTTTACAAGTTTACAGCGATGTTTTGCCTCACAATTTTTTGTTTTTGGATTGTCGAAACAAAAAAAAAACAAAATTTTGTCGAAAGTTAAAAAAATAATAATTGGGCGCAGCTTGTGATCGCATTTTTTGCAGATTTTTTTGAAAAAATGAATAACAAATAAAATAAATTGATCTTTATAAACTTTATCCATAACTATGACGAGGTGAGGTCAGGGGCGTCGCTACTCGCTACCGATTTATTTTTTCTGGGGGGGGATCCAGCCATCCAGCCCCCTCCACTCCCCCCCCCCTAGCGACGCCCCTGGGTGAGGTTATAAGAAGAGTTTTTACAAGAGTTGATTTGGTCAATAAACCTACCTCGGGTTTGTTCAGTCTAATAAAGGCGCTCAACGGCTTTTCAAGTCCTTCAACATTGGCTACCATGATAATTGCCGCTTCTGTACCTGGTGCTAGTTTTTTTATAAAGTGATCGTCCTGAAACGTCAAGTTAAGTGGTGTTGTAAGTTGATTTTAACAAAGAAGCAACAGATTTTAGATGTTTATAAAGGAAGAGATCATGTACAATGTTTTTAGATCAAGTACAACACTGTCAAGCTCACTTACATCTTCAGGTTTGGGTGAAACCGACCTCTGACTATTCGGATCATCAATACTGTCTCTCGGCGACAATCCGGCAACATTTTGAATGCCATCCGAGATCTTTCGAATATGGTTTGAGATGGAAGAAGTGGTTGAACTTCTCAACCTACTCTCAGCTTGAACAAGCTCTTCAATTCTTCTACGTTTTCCCATTCCCGAGTACAGTTTTGGGGCATACAACAACGACCTTATGTTACTGACCATGTTTTCAGCCAATGAGCCACGATCCGACCATGTATCGGTTACGAGTTCGACCAGACTGGAGAAACTCTCTACATCAACATCGAGAAGGACGACGCCTTTTTTGAAAGTGTTTCGAACTTGTAGTAGGGATGGTACTCTCATGAAAGTGAGGTGAGGTTTTGAGAAGCGACTGCCTTCACCTTCGACCGTTTGTTCGTATTTTATCCATCGGTTGGTTTGATTCCAATGAGGTTGAACATCTTCGTCGATGAAGCTCGATGACGAAAGATGGAGCATTTCACAGTAAAGTAAAGGTCGATGTTGATCTTCAGATTCGGATAATAGCTTGGATATGTTGTTGGTGGGGCCTAGAGGTAAGAATTTTTGAAGTTTTAGTTTAAAAAGGTTATTATGTTATCTATGATATGGTTAATATTATATTTTTATGAAGCTGTTTTTAAACTTTTAGGTAACAAAATAGTAGAAAAGCTAATAGGCCTTACCATCAGCCTGACTGCCAAATTGTACGATTTGTGGAGCCAAAAGCACATCATTTAGAAGGTTTAACTGGCTTCCCCAGCCAGATTCATTCAAACTGGCATTGCTTTTCTTCTGTTTCAGGCTTCCTCGACGAAAACTGAAGCTGTTTTTGTTCTTTTTCATTATTACTTTGTAGTTTTTAACCTGAAAAATCATTTTCTATTAAGGTAATTATGTTAATATTGAAGATACAAGATAAAGAAGCCTAAAACATTCATAACAAATGAACTTGCAATAAGAATAGGTATCGAAACTTTAGAAATTTCTTATCAAAACCCTTTTTTTGAATCTCCATTGAACAATTTTAAAATTTTGCCAAAGAACAAACAGCAAACTCAAATCTATTTATAAATTTCAAAAAAGATCATTTCAAACAATAATATCGGACAGTTTACACAATACTTTCAGCTTGAGTAATTGCTTACATTTCCGCTTTCAAAATCGTTTTTAAAACATTTATTACAAAGGCGATTACATTACAGTTTGCAATCTATGAAAAGATCACGTAAAATCCTAAAAAGTAAAACAAACTTTACAATAGCCATTGTAAAGTTGCAATAGAAAAGTTTTTTAGTAAAAGTAAACGAAAAAGTTAAAGTATGCCAATTTTAATATAAATAATGATTTTTTAGTGTGATCACTATATAGTTGAAGTAATTATAGTAAAGTTTAACGCTGCTTTTATTGTAGTAAAGCTTAAATAAAATATTGTGCATTCTAAGGCAATGTAAAGGCTTTATCGCAAAAAGGTAGAAGACAAAGACCAGCCGCATGGTCTTACAAATTGTTAGGCAAAAAATTTTTGAAACAATGCCCTACCCTGCCTGTTCCTGCCTTTGATTTGCCATACCCGGTGTAATGCTATGGCTTTGATTTACCCTATGTACCCTGTCTAATGCTATTGCGCCCTTGAGTTACCTTACCCTGTCTGATGCCCATGATTTCCCCTGCCCTGGTTGATGCTATGCCTTTATTTACCCTACTCTGGCTGATAATATGTCCTGCTTTAACCTACCATGGTTGAAACTAATATCTTGAGTTATCCTGCCCTATTTGATGACATTCCCTCTTTACTCTACCTTGCCCAAACCTATGTCTTGATTTACCCTATCCTGTATTATAATATGCCCTGCGTTTCCCTACCCTACACTACCCTAACGTCCCTTGATAACAGTCCCTGATCTACTTTGCACTGCTAATTTTTATTAAATGCTCTATGCCTTTCCCTGTACAAAGCACCAAACAGTGCAAAGCATAGATCACTTTAACACGCATCAAAACCCAAAAGTGATCCAAAAGCCATGTGACATTACTGCTTGTTAAAATATGTTTTTGCACGAACTACAGTGAAGTAATCAGTGAGAAATTTGTAGAGTAAACAAGGTGAAATAAATAAACCAATTTTAATAACAATGTGATCACAGTAATATTTGGAAAAACAAAGATCACATTTTTTGACAAGTATAGTGCAAAAGTTTTAAAATTTTATTTTTTGTTGAAATATGAGCTATTTGCAAATATAACATAACATGATTTTTTGTAAAATTATGTCAAAAAATGGTATATCGGTAAAAAATAGGGTAGAGTAAGATAAAGCCTAAAAGTAGAGGAGAGCAAAAGAAGACAGGGTAATATATGACAGGGTAAGGAAGGGTAGGATACGGCAGGGCAGAGTAGAACAGAATTGTAATGTACAATAAGGTAGAGGACGGAAAGGTGGAGTAGGTAAGTTAGAGATTACAGTAAGACAGGGTACAAGACTAGGAGTAGAAAAGGGTAGAGTAGGTTAGAGTAGGGTAGGATAGGGTAGGGTAGAGTAGGGTAGGATAGGGTAGGGTAGAGTAGGGTAGGGTAGGGTAGGGTAGGGTAGGGTAGGGTAGGGTAGGGTAGGGTAGGGTAGGGTAGGGTAGGGTAGGGTAGGGTAGGGTAGGGTAGGGTAGGGTAAGTTAGGGTAGGGTAGGATTGTGTAGGGTACAATAGAATACTTCAAAAAATTATTAAAAACACCCAGCCCTTTTTCATTACAAATTTTTTTTGATCCTCCCCGTTAAAATCACCAGCTAATATAAAAACGTAATTTTAGTTCAACTATTTATTTGAGAAACCCATTTCGATTATTGAAGAAAGGTTTCACAAAAAGAAATGTTATGAAAAGTAAACATTATTACCACGCCATTGGTGATCAATTACTTTTACTACTAGCCTGACGTCGAAAAAAACACTTTGATAAACTGATAAGATACCAAATGAACATAGATGAGGACGTAACACAAAAGGTCAATCAATATGACATATTTCTTGGTGTTTTACTATATGATTTAACAATATAAATTAAGTTAAAGCTAAGGTTCTACTATAATATCTAGCATAATATCTTTATCAAAAAAGAAAAAAAGTAAGAGAATAAGATTCAAAAAGTGACATATAAACCACAGTCTACATAGTAATGGTGTCATTGATACAGAACATGGTAAATATGTATTACGCAAAAGATATAAATTAATCCCCACCCTCAGATTTGACTACTTGTTGGAGATATCAAATGGTAAAAGTTCAGTCAATCCCTTTTTTTCATTTTCAAATTGTAAAGATACTTTTGAAATTTGAAAGCTTATTGTTTACACTGTAAATTAACGTCAATCCTATGGTTATATCAATGTTGAACTGAAGAAAAAGCCCTACCCCACCCTACGCTACCCTACTTTACCCTGCCCTACCCTACCCTACCTGATCATGCCTTGCGCTAATTTTAACATAACCAAGCACTAAGCTAGTGACAGTACTATAGTTTATTCGATTCTTATTATATCTCAAAACTTACTCCCTCCTTGGATCTTCAACAGCCCTGACATACCTTATCCTACCTTACCCTATTATTCAAAAATTTTTTTTGAACCAGCCCTCCATCACCTTCCTCACGTACTACAATTTTTAACGTCATATTAATATGAAAGTTTTAAATTTGAAAAAATACCAGAGATTAACACAGATACCTGCCTGTAACACCCATTCTACTCGGTGTAAGTTACTCTCTTCCACTTGGTAAAAACGATAACATGCGGATTTGTGAGATTAAGTTTTGTTGAGGATAAAGAGATATCAGTTTTGTGTGTTAATACGTCAATTAAATATTAATCCAGAACCTTCTATTAGGGTTTAATAAGGTTTTGAAACAATTTTTGGGGGTAAAATACGGCCTTCGGTCAACGTTTTCTTACCTAAAATATCAAATTCTCAAAGCTTTTGTTACCTAACTCTTCAATAGTTTTATAACTTAAAACATTAGATTGTTCAACTCATTCTGTTCCGCCATCCCCAAAAATGTTCTTTGAGAGAGGGCACAGTATTATTTGAACAACGTAATAATTTTCAAGCACTTTTTCGACTTTTCATACAAAATGCGCTTAAAAATTTAAAAGTGCAGGTTCATTCAATGGTTTTCTACAAGTATATCACAGAAAAATGCTTAAAAGTCCAAAAATGACAAATTATAAGCTTGAAACACAATGCCAATTTGGCGGGATACTCAAAACGTAATTTTTAGATCTCGATTTTCTCGAGATTTCCTGGAATGCGCGATTTAGTACTTTGTTACAGATCTAATGACCTGTCTATATATTAAAAAGTTTCAAGTCAAGCAAAGCGCGGCAGGTCGGGCATTTTCCTCGTAATTTTAACTTTTTTGTTTCCTAAAATATCAAATTTACAAAACTTTTAATAACTAAAATATTAGACTCTTCAAAAATTTTATTACCTAGAATATTTAGCTTTTCAAAATGTTTTTAACTTAAAATATCTATTTTTAACACTTTTGTTACCTAAAACAATATAGTTAAAAAATGAAAATAATTAAATTAGCTTTAAAAAATGATATAGTTAATCAGTTTATTAACATTTTTTGCTAAAATACAATGGTTCAAAGACTTTAAAACTGAAAAAATACTATCTTAATGTTAACAATAACTACTGAAAAAATTTAAAAAATAATAATATTACAATAATTATCTGCAAAAATCAATGCCAATTCTAAATGCAACTTTTAAGTCCATGATGACTTAGACATATAAAATGCCATTTTTAAGCCCATAGGCACCTCAGTTTCAAATAATGCGATTTTTAAACACATAGTCCCCTAGGCTTAGCATATGCCATTTTCAAGCCCAAGTAATATTCTTTTTCGTTCGATTTTCCCCATTTTTATCAGTTTTAGCCAAAGTTGGCCGACGACTGATGGAATTGCGCATAGCACGAGTTATAGTACGTGGTCTTGGGCGCATAACACGGCCAAAGTCAGGTAATTCATCATCTAGTGATTGGAGCTCGGTCTCGGTAAAAATACGTTCTAATACGAACATACGAACAAGAACCATAACAACTAGCATTATTGGGAATACGAAGGCTATGTGGCTCATGAATCTGAAAAGGATTGGTATTTGGGTCAAGGTTTAGATAGTTTTAGCTAGTACAGAGATACAGTACTATTATAATTCTCATCACAATATCAACAGTACAACTATACCCCTTCTGCTACAACACCTAACTTACCGTATGAAAAACAACGATATAACTGATAAAGTCTGAATAAAAGTGAACAAATGCACACGATGCATTCGCACTGTTCGAAGCCAAACAAAATCCGGTTGATTTTTGATTGGCATGAACAAGAGTCTTAAACGTTGAGTAAATTGTTGGCTAAGGAGGGATGTTGTGCCTATGTACAAGAATACACCGGTCAATACTGGGGAAGGTATCAACTTTACAACTGGAGCAAAGAACAGAGATAAGCCCATTAAAAGGTGAGATATAAAGGCTGTCAGGCGTTGTTCTCTGCAAAATAACGATATATGAGTAAGTATAATATTCTTGCTTACTCTACCATAGTCTATCTTGTCCTATTTTGATCTGGTCTTCCTTACTGTACTCTATCCTACCTTAAACTACCTTACTTTACCTTGCCTTACCATTGCTCACTATGTCCTATCCTACTCTACCCTACATTACCATATTCTACTTTACCCTACCCTACACTACCCGACCCAAAATGATGAAATGTGTAAGTACTCTATCTTACCCTACCCCACTGTTCCTTACCCTACCTTGCCCTAGAAAACTTACTTCACCCCCAAAAACCTTGCTTTTTCGCCAGGAGCAGCGATTTCAGAATGCGATTTCAATGAATCCACATGAGTCATACTCAGAACAGTTGATGCTACATAAAATGGCAGTCCAAGCACAGAGCAAGCCAGAATTAGAACGGCAACGACCAGTAGATCCAAGTGATATCCATCACCTTTCTTTAGCTTGTTATCTTTCCTATTCACAATACCAGCAGTAATTTGTTGATCCATTACCACTAATATTGTGTAGAAGAATGCTGGTAACAAAGCAAAGAGTGCTACGCTGTAGCCTTCAATATTCAGGACGTCTACTACCCATGGGCGGTCCATTGTTGGCTAAAAAGTAGATTTTTTGATTATTTTTTTTTACTTTTTAGACTTATTACTTTAGGTATAAAGTTAATATAGAAAAAAGTAAGTTATATACATTACGATATATCTTCCTAAGCTAATTTTCTTTCGTTTTACCATCAAAAACTACTAAACCCTCCCAAAAACCTACCGTAAGTTTCATCGGAAACTTCAAAGCCGGAACATCAAGCCCAGTCATTTTACTCAGTAACGTGAATACCATAACAGCAATCAATACACCAAAGTCAGAAATAGCGTGCCGTACTCCCCATGCCAAGTAAGGCGCATTTCTAAACTTGGCCAGCCGACTGGTAAGCCAAAAAGTGGACAAAGCCAACAAAATCGAGAAGATGAATATGTCAGGCTTGAAGAAACAGGCTAGTCCATGTGGTACACCTCCCAAAGACCGACATCTTGTCACACCAATACTCAGATTCTTGATGACAAAGCCTTGAGTATCATTGGTGGGATCGTTTGGCGTCTCCAGAAGACAATGGCACGTTGAATCCAGCACTGCTTGAGGACGCCAGGTGATCGGAGCTTCGTAGCTGATTTCGTAGATCTTTTGACATGCTAGTACTATTACAGCACCTGATATCAAAGTAGCAAAGCCATCTTCCGTAAAACGAGTGATAAAACCGATTAGCGCTGAGGTGTCAGTTGCTACCAGAATCAGAAGAAAGAAGACCATCCAGCACGCCATCCAGAAACGAAATGAAAGGAAATCCCAGTTCATACCTCTAAAAATTAGTTTTTTATCAACGCATTGTAAAATCTGTAACATAATACTCAATATTCTTTACATTACATTGAGTTAAACTATAGTATCTAATTTAGATAACAAATAATTTTAAAATCGCAATTTAAGCTGTTTTTCAAAGCTTTTCCTAATTAAAAACCCTTTTAAAATTAAAACAAAGTCCTTACGTGCACAAATCATAAACCACTTTCTCAAAAATCAGTGTAGGTCCAGTAGCCGACAATATTGTTAACGGTTGACCAGCAAACAAAGCGAATATCATACCACATAACGAGCCGGCTACCACGTTTTCAATCGCCGCCATTTGCTGATGTGTAGCTCTTTCGAATACAGCTCCAAATGTTATGACATTCGTCAAATTTGCAAAGAAAATGGCTGCTGTTGTGGCTAGCGATTGGGACATTCGGCCGGAGAAAAAGTCGGAAAAATCAGAGATGTAGTGTTTGGCTTTTCTTCTAAAATACGAAAATGTAAAACAAAAATTTTTATCATTTAAGCTTATGCTAATGTTAGCTGTATTTCTCTTCAAAAAGCTTCATTTTGCTATGAATTAACTTTTTACGACAAGCATGTTCTATCGTATAAAGTGTCACGCGCACTCTGCAGTCTTCGTAAACACGAAAAAATGGATAAAAATTACGAAATATTGGTTTTCTTCAAGACAAAATTTCGTTTACACTGATTTTTTGAAATGTCAATTCTGACTTTATCAATATTTTAGTCAAAAAGTCAATAGAATTGAGATTATTTTCTGTTAGAACCTTTTTCGGTAACTTTCCTTCTTATTTTTCAGTGTATTCTTGATTAAACTGCCAATTTTGAATGTATTTTGAATTTTCAGGTCAAAATAACATTGACCAAAGTTTTTAGAAGAGCTTTCTTAAGAATATCCTTACCTAACGTCATCAGCTAGTCCACCAAAAATCCTGCCGGATCGATTGATAAGGACTAGTTTCTTCTTTGGGGCCATGAACGTGCTTATTTCTGTGAATTCTTCGTCGATATTCTCGTCACTGTTCGAAAACATTGTCCCGATGTTACGGATTACCTAAAGTGATATCTTTGGATGAAAACATTATCTTTTGGGGAAAAAAGTGGCCGAGATTGGGCAAAAAATAACAGTTCTTCAGAGTTTTTGGTTCAAAACTAGTTGTTCTACGTAATTGTTGACCGGAAACCTTACAATTGTTATAAAAAAAGACAAGAACCATAACAAATGGATCTACTAAAACAATATTTGACGCAAAAAAATTGGCACTTACAGCATTTTCATCGACCTTTGGCTCCCATCTTGTGTCAGGTCGACATTTGCCTGGCGGAATCAGTGTAGCTTGCGTGAAGTACTCTTCCACTGAATCCGCGATAGTGAACTTCTCTTTGCATGTGTATGCCACTTTGTGGAAGATCTGGTCAGAAAATAAAGCCCCCATTGCCCGGCCAATACCCAAAGTTTCGTCTGGATAGTTGTCGACCGTGTTCAAGAGTACAAAGAGGAAGCGAACGGGCATTGGTTGGTCTGGGATTTCTGGGTAGAGCAGCTGAAATGAATAATGCTTATTAGGAAGAAGGTTTGATTTACGTGGAAGGTTCTTGTTAGAGGGATTTCGGAGGTGATGAAGACGGTTTCTGTGACTTACTAATGGATTTCGAAGTCTCATAAAACAGGTCAATGGTTGTTGGAGAGCTCCAACATTGGCTACCATGATAGCTGCTGCTTCTGTGTTTCGTTTTAGACGGCGTAGTAGTCGTTGGTCTGCCTTTAATTAAAAAAATGTGAAAAAAGAATCTAAAATAAAAAAAAACAATGAAAAACAGTGTAATCTATGTTAATATCGGTTTAAAAATTCCTTTTTTTAATTTTTCGAAGTTTAACCTACTCAAATCTAAATTTTTATATTATTTTAGACACATTATGTTATTTTAATACTGTTGCTACCATATTTATTTCATAAAATGGCTTACATCCTCATATTTCGTGGCATATTGATCAAGATGGGGATCACTTTCCTCGTTCAAAGCTCGAGTGTTCTTGCGACGTTTCAGATTGTCTTCTCTGTCTCTATCTGAATACTTATGCCTATTAGTCATCATTTATGTCCTAATGATCACCACTTAAGTCCAAAGCAAACTGTAAGATCCAAAATAACTCCAACTCACCAATAGGAACAGTAGACTCATTGACAGTTCGTATTTGACCTTCTAGAAGATGCATTTTCGGAGCATACATGACTTCTCGTACCATGTTACTGTGATCTTCATCTAGAAGGCCGAATTCCATCCAGGATTTGATCATATCATCACAGACTTGAACAAACGTGTTGGCTTCCACATCAAGAAGGACTGGGCCTTTACGAAGGAAGGATTTTACCTAAAATACGGTTTTTTACATATTGTGGTTAGGGGTGCGAGGGGGCAACTAGGTCCGTACTTGGGACGGGCCAACGCCAATTTGAAAGGGGCCGGACCGATACATGTGTCCTGAGGACCCAAACCAAGAACTTACGGTACCAGCTTAGGTCCCGCAACGAAAGATTGGAATTGCGAAAAGTGTAAAACGAATCTGATGTTACAACATACTGTAACATACTTCAAAAACCCAAAACCTTACCTGAAGCATGGAATGTACTGTAAGCAAAGTCAAATGTGGTCGAGAAAACCGTGTCCCATCTCCTTCGACCACCTGTTTGAACTTGATCCAACGGCCGATTTGTCGCCAACATAACTCGGCTTCATGGTCGAATTCGTCCTCTTCTGGATTCGTCGTGAGGTACATCATCTCACAGAACAGTGGGGGATGGTCGATCGGATCACGCTGGACCAGACGTCTGACATTGTCAATTGGGGCTGAAAAGGTAGGACTTGAATTGAGAAATGTAAAGTTCATTTACTATTCTACCATTCATAGTAGAATAGTAATAGCTATGGTATATATAGCTCTGTAAAGTCTGCGGCTTATATATACAAATTGGAAACTCGAAAGAAGTTGAAACTTAAAACATAATTTTTGAATTATTAGGTCGTTCAAATAATCCTGTGCCCCATCTCAAAGTAAAGGTTTGCGATTAGGAGGCACAGAACTATCTGAACCATTTGATAAAAGCGCCTTAAAATCAAAAAAAAAGTAAAATGTAACGTATAAAACATAAATACTTACTCTCAACATCATTGCTAACATCAATGGTCTGTGGAACGTGTAGGGCTTCACTTAAAAGATCACCTATGTGGTTACGTTATTAGGTAAGAAAAGAAAAATCATTTAAATCTTAATCTTTGATATAAAACATGAAAACTATACTATAATGTTCAAAAATACGATAAAAGTTACAATAAGACGTAAATTTTACGAAAATATTGAAATTTCTCAAAAAAAACAGCCTAAACTCACAAGTGTAAGATGAAGTGCTAGCCGTTGAGATTCGCCGGCGGACCAAACCGTCTGCCCGTAGGTTAATCGCCGCATGATTACTCATTCAAAAACCCGTGTTCTGGCTCAAAAACTAAAATAATGTATAATTTCAGTGATAAGAATTGATAAAATTCTGCAAAAATGTGCTATTTTTACAGTTTTTTTATACTTTTATCACGTTAAAGTTAATCTTTTCAATCATTTTTCGACAAAGGAAACAAATTTCAATATCGTAGAGGTCTGACAAAAATAATCTTCCTTCCTCATTTAATAAAACAAGTTGTCCAATAAGGTAACTTTCATAGCCTACCTTACCTTGTCCAGCCTTCATCTGCTCTGCCCTAACCTTCCAGGCCCTACCCTGTCCTGCCTTGCCCTAAACTAACAGGCTGGGCCTGACCTGCGAGTTCCTGCCTTGTTCTGTCTTACTTTGCCTAACCTTGCATTGCAATGTTCTGCTTTTTCCTGCTTTGTCTTGCCTTACCTATCCTTGCCTTTCCCTGCCAGGTTCTGGTCTGTCATGTCCTGCCCAGCCAAGCCCCACCCTGACTTGCGTTCCCCTGCACTGCCAAGCCCTACCCTATCTTCCCCTGCCATGCCTTGAGTTTCCCTGCCAGGTCCTGGTCTGTACTGTCTTTCACTGACTTATCCTACTCAAACTACCTTACCCCTAATCTACCTTATCCTACTCTGCCCTACCTTGCTTTAAATTTTGCTAAAATTCAAAAGCCTTTATTAATGCCAGCCGGTTGCCAAACAGTAAAAAATCCTCAAGATTCAAATCAAATCCCCTTCCATACCGATTTGCCTAAAATTCAAATCCAGACGAGCAAAAAACCAAAAAATCGAAATAAAAAACAACAACAAATCCGGCGGAGAATTTTTTATCACGCGGTGCAAAGAAAAATAAATTTTTCGTTTTTTTTCTTTATAAAGCGGGTAAAAAGAAAAAAACGGATGGAAGACGTTTCAGTCAAACACGGTCAAATCAATTCGAATCAATTCAACCCATATTATCGTCCGTGAGCATAGAGGAAGTAAAGGCAGAACACTATCAACCTTATACATAAATCTATTCAAAATTCAGTTAACTTTATGCAGTAATCAGCTCTTTAGAAGGTACTTTTTACCGTATACAGTAATCAGTTGTACTTTAGAATCAGCTCAAGAAAAAATACTATGAAACTGATCTATAATGTCTATTACCTTATGAAACACTATCAACTTTAAAGATAACACTTTTTAGGTAACAACTTTATAAGTAACACTAACTGATTCCCCACTATAATTCTCTGCAGTAGAAAAGGCCTTTCAACTTTGCTCGATAACATTACTGTAAAGTGAAAAGTTAAAAACATTGATATATAGTTAATTTAATTAGTGTAAAGTTTAAAGTTGAAATATATCTTTAGGTAACGTTTTTCGATCAAAGTCTAACAAAAATTGAATTTACTATAAAATTCTGTTATTAAAAAGTCTTGACATCAAACATATAGTTATTATACACTCAAAAATGACAATACTTTTTAGACCCTTTAAAAAATCTTTGAAAACTAATTAATATTAGACTTGTAAAGGGGCTGGGCCGGGCCCAATTTTTTGGCCCAGTTCCTTTCAAATTTACTACGGTCTGGCCAAGCCCCGGGGTCCCGACCGACCCTATCAAGTCCCTTTTCAGGTCTACCTTACCCTTATTTTTCAAAAAAAATTCAAAAAGAACAGCTTCTATTAGGTTGTCCAAATAGGGGTGAGTCAAAATTTTCAAAGCCGGGCGCTTTCAATGGCTCATTCATACTTGAACAAATTAATATTATCTATTCAGAAAGCGTTAGCCGAACAAAACTTACATTATCAAAAAACTGTTGAAGCTAATAAATTAAAAACTTGAAAAAAGTATTTTTATCACGCAATTTTAATCAAAAACAATGTTGTTGAGCCGCAAAAATTGTTGGCGCTCCAGACAAATAGGTAAATAAAAAGAACAAACAATAATAAGCTTCTTTCCCAAAGAACAAAAGTGATAGTTCCGTTACTATCTTACCATTGAAACTTTGTTTAAATAGTTATTCTTGCAACTTCGTGATAAATCTTTGCAAAATGGCTTTGTTTTTCAATAATAATTTGTTTTTTAGGTATAACAATAGTTATAACTAAGGTAGTAATTATTATAGACATAAGGAACAAGCCGGGCCCAATTTTCAAGCCCGGCCCGACTTAAATTTGGGTCAGGTCCGGCCTGTTCCTCATGTCTAATCATTATAAGGGATAACGCAACAATTGACCCTTATAAAGGCGAAACATGTCCCCGGCATGAACAGGTTCCCGGCATGAACAGGTCCCCGGCATGAACAGGTCCCCGGCATGAACAGGTCCCCGCCTTGATCATGTCCCCGCCTTGATCATGTCCCCGCCTTGATCATGTCCCCGCCTTGATCATGTCCCCGCCTTGATCATGTCCCCGCCTTGATCATGTCCCCGCCTTGATCATGTCCCCGCCTTGATCATGTCCCCGCCTTGATCATGTCCCCGCCTTGATCATGTCCCCGCCTTGATCATGTCCCCGCCTTGATCATGTCCCCGCCTTGATCATGTCCCCGCCTTGATCATGTCCCCGCCTTGATCATGTCCCCGCCTTGATCATGTCCCCGCCTTGATCATGTCCCCGCCTTGATCATGTCCCCGCCTTGATCATGTCCCCGCCTTGATCATGTCCCCGCCTTGATCATGTCCCTGCCTTGACCATGTCCCCGCCTTGACCATGTCCCCGCCTTGACCATGACATTGTCCTCACAATATATTAGTTTAAAATTCCCTCCCCTTTGAAATACACGTTAATATAACCCTTGAATTATATACTTTTCATTTTTACTTTGGACGAAAATCTTAAATTCTTGACCACGAAAAAACTCTCATAGTTTTGTGTGATCCCTTTTTTTTGTCTGATTGCCGTCGGCATTAGAGAAAAAAGTAGAGAACGCACAAAATTATGAGAGATTTTTTCGTGGACAAGAATTCAAGGTTTTCGTCCAAAGTAAAAAATGAAAAGTATATAATTCAAGGGTTATATACCTTTTTTAATCAAGAATTTAAAGATAATTGGTATTACTTTATTTATAACTAAAATATACCTTTATATTACCTAAAATAACATTAGTTTCGACAAGTCTTCTTCAAAATAATACCTATATTTGTATAAAAACAGCCCAAAAATGCCTATTTTTATATAAAAACTACCTTCAAAAGCAATTCAAAGGCAATCTTTTGCAAAAATATAACAGCAACTCTCAAAGATTTTCAACATAAACATCTCTTTCCATCAACACTACCCTATAGGGCCCTACAATAACATAAATTCCATAAATATCCATTCCCCCAACACGTTTTCTCAATATTTCCTCCACAATAACATACATTTTATAAATACCTTCCCTACAATAACATCAAATTGCTTCTAAAAACATTATCACAGCCATCACAGACTACGCCCTATCAAAACCTGGCCGTTTCGACGCAAAAAGAGTAGGTATCGTCTATTTTAGCGTTTGATAGCGTCTTAAAAATAGTTTTATTCGTTCGAAATCTTTTTGCCTACACACTTCGAATAGGGTAACCCTGGTTTATTTGGAAAAAGAAATGAATTTTGGAATGGAACGGTGATTCACAGTCAATTACAGACTAGTGTAATATCACATTTGATATAAACTTCTTGGTTTAGTGTCTATTTACAAACAGATTGATGTAAAATCTTATTTTTAAGCTTGTTTAAACTATTTTCCTTGATATTAACAACATTCAGAACTTACTTTTTACCTAAAAATTCAAAATCAAACTTCTGAAGATCAAAAATATTATCTTTTATAACATAAATATCAAGAACAACAATATAAAACTATAAGGAAAACTACTATTTTACATGTCAAGATGCATCTCTACAACGTCCTTGCATCACGAGTTTCATCAGGAACAACCACGGTAATCTCCGGTTTGTCAGCCTTGGTCAACACAACTTGACATCCTAATCTCGAATAGTCATCCAAGGCTGGAGCCAAGTCTAACATGTCCATTTCTTCCTCCGAAGCTTCAGCTAGTCTATTGAAATGCTCTGGGTTTAAGATGACATGACATGTACAACACGCAACTGTCCCTTCACATGCACCGAAACCGTCCAATGGTAGGTCGTTGTTGATGACCACGTCCAGTAAGCTTTCTCCCAATTGCCCTGTTGCTGCGATATCGCCTGTTCGGGTTTTGAAGGTGACTTTTACTGCTCTGAAAGTTTAGTTTATAAAAAAAGATATCAATTTTGTGCCTTAACATTGCTATAGCATAAAACTAAAATATTACGTTGTTCAAGAAATTCTGTGCCCCTTTTCAAAAAAATTATCTGGGTTAAGGGCGCAGAATTACTTGTACAACCTAATAATATACGTACAGGTCCCTGTGGAACCTACTTTTTCTCATATCGATCCGGGGAGGGGTAGATCTACCCCCATCTCTAAGAATATCCCTCGCTACAATATAAACTAGTCGAAAAAGTAAATTTTAGTATTTGAGCTGACAATAACCTTAATTTTTCTGCGTAAAATATAAAAAAAGATGATTTTAAACATACGATTCACTACTGTAAGGTCTGTGTTGAATAAGTTGTCGTAGAAGCTTTGGCGTTGTTGATAATAGGTTCTTCCACATTATAGCTGCAAAGATACATTATGATAACAAATTTATCAAAGTTTACAACGTTTTTCCTTATACTATACCCACGATACCCTACCAAAATATAAAACATTTCATATTTACCCCACCATAATATGAACAATGCCATATTTATCCTACGAAAATACAAAATGTTATATTTTTTAAGTTTGTAAATGTAAAGATTCTGATATGTTACAGTAATATAAGAAAAACATTAAAGTTCACTTTTGTTTTAAAAATTTATTATCTCTTCAACAAATAACAATGAAAAACAATATAAACCTAACGTTACTTATGCTTAACAAATGTGCCCTATTGGATTAATAATAAAATCATGATTCATTCACAATGCCTTTCAAATTATAAAGTAAACTATCATGACATCTATCACAATATGAGATTGCCTCAATATAAACGCAGATGAATTTCATATCATTTCAGTTCAGCTTATAATATAAGAGAGAACTCATCGAAAGTCCTTCAACAAGATCCAAAAACCTTACAAAACCCTATTCAAACAAGAAATACAAAACTCGTATGAGAAAAAGTAGACAAAGCCGCCAATTCCCATCCAAGCACACCTCGGGGTGAATCCAGAAAACATTGGTCGTATCCCTTCGGTTCGGTAGATTTCTGACAGTGCCAAGAAAGGATTTGAAGTCCTCGTCGTTCCTAACATGATTCTAGTCTTGGCCACATCCAATGGAGTCGTTATGCCTGCAGAGAACGAGCCAGAAACACTGCCAGCACATGCTGATTGGAATGGAGAAGCTTTGGATTGGTTCTGAAGATTTTATTGTAATTATTCCCTTAAATTTAAGAATAATTGGCTATGTATTTTAATTTGCACTAAAACCATCAACTTTTTAAGTAAAACCTTCAATTTCTTATCAGTCAAACAAAACTGATACTTTAGATACCTCTTGAATGTAAAAGCACATATCTTAGACCATTATTTCTATAAAACTTGTTCAAAAGACAACTCACATTCCTTTCCGCAATCTTATGCTTCAACTTCTCCCATAGTGGATATTGGATGAAAGCGAACGGAATCTCTCTCGATAATGTAGAAACATAGCCTTTGTAGAATGCTCCAACACCTGCTGTTTTATACAAATAACCAGCTATCTTCACCACTGACTTTTTCGAAACTTGAGCTCGTTGTTTTACTATTTCCGTTGGTACTCGAATCAAACAAGCTGATATTTCACCACAACTAGCTGCTGCTGCGTCTACTAGCGCCGCTGAAATTTAAAATTGATCATTTTAAGTTTTTATAATTTTAAAAACTTTGAGGCTATTTAAATCCATGCCTTTAAGATAAAAATAAAGCTAAAGGTCGATATAAATTTCAATTTTAAAAACAGTCTTTCATCTAACGCCAAATTACAGAAGAACCATCTCTAAAAGCAAAAAAAACAATAATATAAACTTACACTGTTTCCCAACCATCGACTTGATCTTCTGATACGTCAAGAAAAAGCACGCAGCTCCAGGTGCAGAGCCAAGAGCTACAGAGCCCATTCCACGGTAAATTCCTTGAAATCCACCTGAGGCTTTAAAGCCATCTTTGCTCTGTAATCTCGTCTTCAATGTGTCCAAAGGGTACAAGCTTAAATCAACAGCAAGACCTGCCCCAGCTCCACCTGCTAACCATTTCACAGATGAATCCATTAAGATTTCAGACTAATGATGCTAATTTTGCATTCAAAGTCCACGAAACAGCTATTTTTATGTTTAAAACAAAATAATCAGGGTTTATGTCAAATAAAATAAGCTTATCATGCTGTAAACAACGAAGGGGATATAAGATTTGTTTTGTTAGACAATAAAATATTTTCTTTCAAAACCTAATATTTTATTTATTTTACGCTTCGCCATAAATATTAACAAATTAGTCTTCGCCGTAGGACCAAATAAATATTAACATGTTACTTTGTCAAAAGATTTTTTGAAGTAAAAATAACATCTGAAACTGCCTTCAAGCCAGATTTTTATGTAGTGCTTTAAAAACTATATTTTTTTGTAAGTTTTACTACTTAATATCAACCTATTAACTTAATTTTGACGGGCTTTGTAAGTTTTACTGATTTTAAAAGTTTTCCCCTGAAGGAAAACAACGAAAAAACATTTTTAAATTATAAATCAATTTTTGGTTTGCACTTTTATGTCACAAATTTTGTAGAAACAAACTTATGTTAAAGTTTTTTGATTGTTTATTTGTTTTTAAATCTAATAATTTGATTATCTTGTAAAACATGTTATAAAAGGTCATTTTTAATGTTTTTAGTGTCTTTTTTCAGGTATCTAGTTAGATGTTGGATGTGTAAACGTAACAGAAGAGGATGAAGGCCGTAATACTACTAACACTTTTATTTTATTGTAATGCAGCGACTAATGACACTGTTCTTGACGATATTGAGAGGAAAAGAAAGGAGATGTTACCGTTGTTGGTAAGTTTTTGTTTGTTTTTGTTGATTTTTAGGTATAGACGGACTTGTTTTGGATTTTGAATGGTTGGACTGAAGTTTTAGTTTGTTTTAGAGACGTAAAATTGTTCAAACTGGATATAGGGACGGTTAAAAGGTTTCTAATAATGCCTGTTAATAAACTTTTGTGAGCAAGCGGTAAAATCTTTGAAATTTTGTGTAAACATAAAAACTTAAATTTACTAGCTAACTTTTTAAATTTTTTTTGAAATTTAAGTTAAAGCGGTATTTTAGAATCAAAAAATAGCTTCGTACAACCAAGCTTGTGCTATGACTAAATGGTCATGCGAGAAGACGTGTCGAATTCAATATGCAACATCAACTGGTCAATGTGTAAAGTCTCGTGATGATAAGTGCTTTGATTTGCCGGTCAAGTACAACTTTACCAAGGATCATACGTCTCCATTTCCTTATGAATTGGCCGTTCTTCGAGCGTTTCCAAAATGTTGGGAGAATTTGAATCCATTGGTTTGTGGAACACATTTTCGTCCATGTGGATCTCATCGATACACTGAAGGAACTGAGGTTGGTTTGAGGGTTTTTTGTTGTTTTTTTTTAGGCAGGAAAGATGTTGCAACTTGTTGTTATATCTACATTAATATTGCTAATTTAAAAAATTGAGTTAATAGTAGACAGTATAGTTAAGTTCTATTATTCTTCACGTTTTAAAATTAATAAAATAGGTTTAAGCTTGTTAGAAAATATTTTTTTACAGAATTTCTGGATGGAAGTCTGGCAAAAGTACCCTTTGAACATGTGTATCAAAGCTACAGAAGCATGCTCATTTTTGAAAGATTATGGTCTGAAACTGGACGTGTTTGAATGTGAAAGTGCGGAAAGTGAAGTGAGGAATAGTCGAAAGTTGTTTGATACCAATGGCGAATGTAAACTGAGGTACAACAGAATCAGTGATTCAGATCAGATGTGTTTGAGTCCGCTGATCAGAGTAAAAGGTGGAGTAACAAGTCCTGATGCCAAGCCTTTGGTTGATCAGTGCTATGTTCCTTGTTTGTAAGTTGTTTTTGAGTTTTTAACTTATTATTCCAATGATTATTATTATGTTGGTCAAATAAGTCTGGGCTCTATCTTAAAGAAAATTTTTGAGGTTTGGGGCACTGAATTATTTGAACAATAATATATTAATAATATTTTTAGGTAATCTTTATATTTTTAAATGATGTAAATATGAGTTTTTTAATTTTTTATGTTGTTTAACTTGATGTTTTAGATCAAGTTTTGTGGAAGACGAGAGTCGTCTATCTAACTTCCGGTCGATATTGTTATCCAGTACTGTTGTAGCAGCTGTCATATTCTTTGGGGCTTTGGTAAGTTACTCTATCTACTCATTGAAGCACGAATTTTTGTTTTATGCTTATTAAATTGTTTTTGTAAACTTTTTTTTTGAAATTTAAAAATTTTTAAAACAAAAAAGTGAATTTCAAATTTTAATTTTTTTTGTTTTGATTACTTACTGTTCGAGGTGAATATTATACTAGGGCGTTCTAACTTATTTCCGTTTTAGTGTTACATCCTAAAAAGATCGACGAAAGGATTTGTGCCATTTCTCAACTTGAACATCTTTGTCTTTGCTTTTCTGCTGTACGTAATGCAGAGCTACACATTGGTTACGCATAACAATATTGAATCTTCATCGACTTGTGTAAAGTTAGGGGATTTGTATGTTCGAAGGGAGCTACCAACGTAAGTCTTGTCTTTTACTAGTTTTAAGAATAGTTCGGGGGGTGCTGGCAACTGCGGGCTTGACGGTTGAATCTAAAGCAAAGTCTGACTTGGACCTTTTGTAGACTTAGTAAAGGAAGATTTTTTAAATATATCATTTTTTTGAAAGAAAAGTAATTAGGAAAATGAAAATTTTGGTAGTGTAACATAAGTAATAATTCTGGATTTTTAGCAAAGACCTGGATATCTGTTTGGTCCATTCGTCCTTAATATCGTTCTTCTTCACTATTGTACAATGTTTCTTTGGAGTTCGACTGGCATCACTGATTTTTCCGATCCGACCGGTCAATCCGAAAATGGAAGTTTGTACAGATGGCATCAGTTTAAAGTCATTCATCTTCATCTTGATTTTTGGCTTCAGTGCTCTTTTTGCTGTTGTTGGCTTGTTGGTTCGACCGGTAAGTAAAAGAGGGTATTATACTTATTTTCTCTAGTCTTTACAAGTTATATTGACTATAACGTTTTGTAGATAAAACTTTTACTACTTTCAGCAAAGACCAGATGGCATAACAGGAATGTGTCACACTCCATTAAGCTCAATATCCGAATCACTTGTATATTATTTGCCAATTATCATCACAAACACAATCCTATGTGGTTTACTGATCTACTACAATATCAAGAAAATAACAAAGGTCAACTCTTTTAAAATGGGAATGTATTTGATCATGATCAGTGTTGTTTGCTTTGGTATCAGTTTGATTTTACACTTTTTCTACGATTATGATTCGACCACCGAAGTTGCTACGCTTCAGGAGAAGATAAAGTAAGGGAAGTTAATATAATAAGTAATACAGTAGTAAGTTTAGTTACTGTATGTTCTAAAATGTATTTAGTAGGTTAGGGTTAAGGTTGTTATTGGCCGTAGTATTGCATTAGGTTGTTCAAGTAATTCTGTGCCTTTTAATTACTAAAATTTCTTTTGATGTTGCACAGAATTCTTTGAACAACCTAATAGTATGATAATGTAGAAGAAGGTTGTGTATTTTTGTAATATTATATTGTTTTAGATGTGTGTTGGAGTATACCAAGTACAATGCTGGACAGAATTTTGATTGGGAGGATGCGTAAGTTTAAAATTTTAATTTTATTGGCGTTTTTAAGGGATGGAAAATTAAAAAATGGTAAAGGGATTTTCTTTTCATATAAAATGAGGTTTTTGATGTTATCAAAATCATGTTTTTTGCTATTATATTTGCCATTATTCATTACAAATCAGTGTTAAATCAATTTAAAATTAATATTTGAATTTTTAGTGTCAGAAAGTGCAAAATGAAGCAAGCTGGACCTGGAAGTCTTGTGATGATATACTTTTATGTCGTTTTGGCTCCAGTTTTACCATTGCTCGTCTACCTGGTTTCAAACTTTTTAGTCTTGAAAAAGTTTGACAAGGAATTTGTTGTGTAAGTTTAATTGTAAAGTCTTGTGGTTTGAAAATGTTCTTTTTAAATTTATTTGGTTGGTATGAGTTCGAAAAAGGTTTTCTGTGTAATGTTAAGCCTAAAACAACTTATTTTTGACTTTTTTTAAAAATATTTTTATTAAACGATTTAAAAAAGTGGTTGAAGATGAAATCTAAACTCATAAACTATAAACGTCTCTTTTTCAGACAGCCAAAGGCAGTTTCTGAAGAAGACTCCTCGCTTTTACCTCCACTACTATCAGCAGCAAGACCGCCTTATTCCGCCACTGATCGCTACTCAAGAGGCACCAAACGTCCACATCGAATGATCTACAAACCAGAAACCGGATCTCTTCGTTCCAAATTCTGCAACAGTGCTCCATCGAAAAGTTTGAACTCTGTCCAATCAGCCCAACTTAGTCATTGGGCGTCAGCTATGGGCTCTAAAATGCCATCACACCCACGCCCAGTCTACTTCACAACTCCAGCTTCAACTTTCTCTGCTTTACACATTGAAAGTCATGGTATGTTGCCGGAAAGCCGAGCCGGAGACTTTCCTGAAAACTCAGATATCACTGACATTGGCCGAACCGTGGCATACTTTCGCCTTCTACAAGAACGTTCTCAATGGTTGGCATGGGAGGAGCAAAGAAAGATCATATCGAACTTGAAGGACAAAGATCGAATTGCCTACGAGAAGTATTGCGAAGACAATCCAGAAGCCAGTCGGCGTACAGAATTTCATCAATATCAAAAAGTAAAAGCTTCGGAAGATGACAAAGATCTGCGAAGAGCCGAGGAAGGAAGAATGGGTACCAGAATGAGCGTGTACAGGTTTGATCCTCAAGTCAACTCGAAGGAAAGCCCCATCTTGGCGGTATTGACCGACTTCTTAAGGGCTTCGAAGATTCACAGAAAAATGGAGTTTACACAAAGGGTGCTACAGGAACTACAGACGCTGATGGAGCGGGATAAGGTGTTTGTTGGGGTAAGTTTTTTTTATTTTGAGGTAGTTGATATACTTTTTTTTAGATTTTGACGTAGTTGTTATATGTCTTTTGAGATTTAAAAATGATTTTACTTGCACCAAAAGCTTGGCCGAAGCTTCATTTTTTAAATCTAAAAAACCAAGATAATAAGTAATATTTTTTTCAGATTCTCCACCAATACGCTAACGACAACGCCTTGAATCCGGGCTCCAACAACCTAGTTGGCTGGCACATTCTCTCAATCAACCAGATTCTCAACTTAACAACCTTAATCACCGACGAAAATCTTCTCCTTCATCTAGCCAAACTCACAGGTCAAGCAATGCGCACAGTCGCCTACAGCATGGTCGGCCCAGACTACTTTCAAGCGGAACGAACCGAAGTACCGATCATGTTCAGCAACAGCTCTCCAGTCACAATTACCGCAGTGAACTTGATGGAAGAACCGAACGATACTATGAAACGATGGCATGAATTAACAAACGACTATGGCAACATGAGTACGATTAAAAAAGCCGAGCTTTCAAATAATACTGAAGCGACTGTGGATTCTTTTGTGAAGAGAGATGGCTTATCAGGTTCGAGTGTGGCACCGAGTTTTCTGGAAGGACATAGTCATGGTGAAGATTCTAGGCTGAAGGTCATTTTTGAGAACTTTGAGCTTAAGAATACTGTGGCTATTGAGCAAGAAGTCAATGTTAGAAGTGTTGCGGATTCAGATGCAAAGGATAGTAGTCATGAAGGCTCAAAGGACGGTGTTTCTAAGAAGTCTAGTACAAGAAACAGTGTTCTTTCTCAGCCTGAATGTGGAAAGAATGTAGCATCTGGAGGAAAGAAGGAAAGAAATAAAGGTGTTTCAAAGCCGAAAAGTCAAAATAATGCTAGAGGTGGTTCTGAAGGCAAGAACGCTGACTTTGCTGCAGAAAAGGATGCCAAAAGAGATGTTTCTGCTACTGAATCTGAAGTTAAGAATGATCATGCCACTAATCTTGAAGTGGAATCTACTACTGCATCTAGTTCTGATTCTAAAACGACTTATGCTTCTGCCTCAGAAGCCAAAACTCTTTACTTTGATGCGGATTCTACCGTTCACAGTGGTAACATTGATCAATCTAGCAAATCAAAAACATCTAGTTTTGGTGAAACTGCCTTGCTAGCCACATTGGACGTGAAAGATGAAGAAATTAACTTCAGCATCATTGCTTCAGCACGATCGGACCTGGAAAGTACGAGAAGATCCAGAGCAAATCTAACCAATGTTGGAGCCTCTGATCTCGAAGTTACTATTCAGAGAGAAAACATTGATGCTACATTTGGTGCTCGTAACGTGGAAGAAAGTGGATACGAAGGTAACGATGAAAAAATTGATGATTCTGGTATTGGAAAAAGAGAAAAGCGTGGTGAAGATGGTAGACAAGATGAAGATGATGAAGGAAAAGGGAAAGAATATAAGGCAGATGAGAGTTGTGATGAAGGTAGCAAACAGGATGAAAATGGTGATGAAAAAAGAGATAAAGATTATGAAGATAATGCTCAAAAAGAAGATAAAGATGATGAAAAAGGAGATAAAGATGATGAAGATGGTAATGAAAAAGGAGGTAAAGATGATGAAGATGGTGGTGAGAAAGGAGGTAAAGATGATGAAGATGGCAGTAGAAAAGAAGAAAATCAAGATCAAAATGGCGAACGTGAACAAAGTGGCAGTGATGAATCTAAAAGCGACGAAAATCATGAGGAAGGTGATCCAAATCCACCCCAAAATCCAAGTTTGGATAATGCAAACCAAATCGAAAACTCAAATTCTGATAATGCAAATCCAGTCGAAGATGCAAATCCAGATAATCTCGAAGAACCCCTTAATCTCAACAACCAAAACCATGGTGTTGCTGTCAATCCTAATGGCGTGCAAATCAATCCAGAAGAACGTTTTATGGAATTTCGGCCTGATATTGTGGCAGGCATAGGAATAAGAGCTGTGATAGCGTGGATGCTTGACGCAAACGATGCAATGACACCTGATGAAGGAATAGGTGACTCGCTTACTACTGGTGATGATTATGACAATCATCTCCAAGGCGTGAACAACGAAGGAGTTGCAGGTTTAAATTACAATATGAATGAACGTCTGAACAGGATCAGAATGGCTGAGGATAACATTTATGATCAAATGCTATATGAAGAAGGTATAGGTAATGGCCAACAAGCTGCTGGTTTTAATGCTGATGACTTTGACGAATATGGTAATGATATTGATGAAGGAGATGAAGAGGTGAATGGTAATGAAGTTGAAGAAGAAGGTGAAGACATGAATGATAACGATGTTAATGAAGTAGCTGAAGTTTTGAATGATAATGAAGTTGTCGAAGAAGCTGATGCTTTAAATGATAAGGAAGTTGACGAAGGAGATGACGACTTGAATGATAATGACCATGAAAAAGTACCTGAAGACTTTAATGGTAATGACGTCGACGAAAAAGTTGGAACTTCAGAGGTAATCGATGACAAAGCCCAGGACTCAGATGCTTTGATAATCGACGAAGGAGCTCAGGACTCAAATGGTTTAAAAATTGAAAAAGAATCTCAAGATTCAGATACCACAAAAGATGATGCTGGAGATGTTGGTCAAGTGGAAGATTCTGAAGTGTTGGAGGAGGAAGAAGGTGATTCAGTTGGGTTGGAGAATGAAGAAGGTCATTTGGAAAAAGAGAAAGGTGATCCACATGAGCTGGAGCATGAAGAAGATGAGTCCGTTGAGTTAGAGGATGAAGAAGAAGGTTCACTTGAGTTGGAGCATGTGGAAGAAGATTCAGCAATTAAAGCGATTGACGAAAATTCTACAGAACAAGATTCTTTCCAAATTGAGGGTAAGGAGAATTCATATCCATCAACAATCAAAGCTGAAAATGGTAAGCAAGAAGAAGCCGGGAAGGCAGATGAATCGGAACTCGACGAAGAACCTGATGCTTTAGAAGAATTCCAATTCGACGTACCGAACAATACAAAAGAAACGGACGAAACGTTTACAGAAGGTCTTTTGGATCAAGCAGTGTTGAAGTTGTTGAAATTGAACAATGAGAATACTGAATGAGTGAAGAGAATGGCTATGGTTTACACATCAACGTTACTTACTATTAGGTTGTTCAAATAATTCTGCGCTCTTTTTCATAGCAGATTTCAGGGTTAAGGAGCTCAGAATTATTTGAACAACCTAATCGATTACCTTTGATTTGTCAGGAATTTTATCAGTACTAGGCTTTAAGCCGTAATTAGTAGCAGTAGCATTAGGTCTTAGGGAGCATTTCACTGTTACTAATGTATTTATAGTACCAGTACATCTAGTACAAATGTTTTTATTTTTTAGCTATTATTGTTAGACTTTCGTTATATTATATTAATCATCATTTTTAAGCTCTTTTCTTATTTCGTATATTTATTTGAACCAATTTTCATATTAATTTTAATTTTTTTTATTTTAAAAATATTATCTATATTAACTATCATTTTTGCACGATCATATATTACGGTTACATAATAACGGGTATTTTATCAGTCTATCATGATGTATATAATATTTTTGGGTGATTTTTTGTTTTTAAAACAGTATTTGCTTTTATTTTTGTACATTTTGTATTATCACTTATCTGCTATTATCCGGTATAGTAAACGAGTTCCGGTGATCAAGTTTGGATTTTGACTTATTATAAGGTTTTCAGTCAGAAGTGGTACATAAATATGAGTTAGGACTATTTTTAGAGGGAGCAACATTATTTTTCTATACATTTCTAATTGCAGGCGGAACATCCTATTGTGCGTAAAAAGTCCGCGGACTCATTATTTTAGTGATATATTTATTAAAACAATGAATATACTTAAAACAACAACTAACATATAGTACTAGTTATAACATAGTCAAGCGGTTTCGAAGTGCCCCCCCCCCTTTGCCGCCACAACTTTGTGAAGGCGTAAACGCTTCACAAAGTTTTTAGCGATGGGCCGCTGGTCCTGAGGCGTAAGTTTGTCCGGCGTATCAAATTTTTGCTTTTTTTAAACCGTACTTTTTTGTTTTGATCAGTAAGTTTCTGGACTTTGTTGAGTTTGTAAGGCTTTATCTTCAAGATGTTTCTGACTATACGGCGAAGTGAAGTTTCTTTCAGTCCGGTCTCTCGTGCCATTTTACGTACTGGAGTTTTTGGGTTACACATGAATCGCTTCTTGATTTACTGTTTGTTGGAGCGGGTGTTTACAGTTGCTGGACGGCCACTTTTAGGTCTGCCACCATCATGTCCAAGCTCTACATACCGTCTGAGAGTATTTAGTAGAAACAAAGCATAAAGCAGGGTTAACTTATCCGTCATATTTCTTGTCTTCGTAATTGGACTCCGAGTTTTGGTCATTCATCGTCCGACGGGTTGATTAGTGTGTCAGTATTGTAGTCGACGCAGTCTTTAACGAATCCCGAATTATCCAGTTTCATAGGACGGGGATTGACATGGGCGGGCTCAGCTGAAAACAAAAACATAAGTATAGTTATAAACGTTCTAGTTTATATCAAGTAATTATCCAATTGATCATATTAATTATATTTATTGAACAACGTCTATCATTAGACTCTCCTAACAATACTGCCTTCAAATCATTAAATCAAAGAGAAAGTAGAATAACCGAATTGAACTGATAAGAGAAATGTATAGTTGAGTTACGTGATGATGCAACATTTCTTATTCGTCAACAATCTCAGTAGGCCACTCGTATCTGTTTTCGGGTTAAAGCATCCCAATGATTGTTTGTTGTATATTTTTGCATGTGTTTTGATATCCTCAACGAAGCCGTCGGTTTTTAAATGGTCTATTATGATAATTCTTCTTTTGCATGAGAATTTTCGTATTGTTTCCTAAATAACTACAAGAACCTTATAAAGCGTCTCTTCCTCCCCTTTAAAAAAGTCTTCTTAAACTCACCGAACTTCTACGTCTCTTTCTTGCATGGTACTTAGCTGGGGGCATTGTTTGACATCATGGTCGTTACGTGACAGTATTGACATCCTGTTGGACGTGGTGCATCATGGTACCATACGTTACGGACGCTGCTGATTTCTACGTTTATTTCACTAAGCAACTTTTCCAGTTGTTCAGATTCAGTGAACATTCTGGCATTGTTACGATTTAATCTGAGCCTTTGCACTTTGGGACCGGTCCTTACGAATGGTACAGTGCTAGAAAGGTATGGTTAACAGTAAAAGATTTTAAACAGTTTTCAGCCTACTATAAGTTTAAAAAACTAGAATTTAAAAATTATAACTTACGCGTTTCAAATGTGGAAAATGTAGTGACGCCCGAAGTAGGTTTAATGTTTTGCTTCTGCAATCTATTGACCATAACAATTTGTTGTTGTGTTAAAGAAGGATTTATTAGTAAATCCCACTGGTTTGGTGTAGCGGTCCTGACGACCATAGTCCTTTACAGGAGCTCGTTTACTATTGTACAACCAACATCTTTCTTTCTCATGTTTATTTGAGTCTTTAAGAAGACTGAGGAGACAACCCTCTTTCTATAAACAACGAACTGAATTGATATTAGGCTGCGCTCTTGCCCTTTTATACCATCGCGGGGTTTGGCAGATGTTTATGTCCCGCAGAGCGCAAACGCAGCCATAACAGGTGTCTGTCTGCTACGTCAGCTGCCAAAGCATCCATGTAGTCTTTGTCGTTTTCAGGATGGCATTCTTCTTTACGCATGGTTGAGTAACAGGGCATTGGTGCAAAGAATGGTTGAAAAGACGACAAATCAGATTGGACGGTATTTTACGAATATTCAAAATGATGTTGTGAATTCCACCGATGAATCAGAAGATTGCAGATAATCACCATTCTCCGGTTCCCTGGGAAAAAGATCATCAACAATCAATTCCTCTGAAGCCTGGATGTCAGTTGAAGCTCCATTCCATCCAACAAACGGATTCGTAATTTCCATTCCAAAGAGTTACTACGTAGATGAGACTTTAGTCTCCAGAGACAACTCGCTTCCAACGCTTACTTCATCGTTACGAGCTGGTCGCTTGGTACACAGAGCGCCTTAAACGGCATTACGTCTTCAAAAGAGGATTCGAACAAAGAGGGTGTTCAGCATATCTGTACATTACGTATCTTCGTGTTTCTGAGCCGAACCATTGACTTTTGGCAACTACGTTTGAACGTAGTTGGCAAAATTTAGCATTTGATCAAAGTAAGGTGAATCTCGCGCAGTTCCAGGTATTCTATGATAGTACCTTGTAGATTGTATATTATATGATTATACAATAAAAAACACGGGGAATAAGCTGAAATAAAACATTTTAAAAAATTTAACCGCAACATAGAAAAAACGACCGGTAAAGTATTTTAACGGAACTTTTGGCGCACCCTGTATTATAGATTGCTCCAAACTTCACCATAGGTGTAGTCGGCAGATGCGAAAAACCTCTTACAGTCTGGTACCATCTTTGAAATTCGGCATTTCTCTTAATACCCTGTCGTAAGAGTTGTTTTTCAAAGTTCCGCTTTACGTTATTACAGTAATGAAAGTAACATAATCCTTTCAAGAAAAGCGATCATTTCCTCAGATTGCAAACGAAATTGCTCAACAAAGATCTGAGCATACATCAACGACCATTTCACAAGGACAGAATAGAGGCATACTATCAGAAATTAATCAATGAAAATACATATTTTTATATTTTACAGTTTACGAATTATAAATATTTTGTTTAAATTAACAATTTCATTGCATTAATGATAAAAATTTGAACAAAATCCTGCTCTATTTTTAAAAAACAAAAAAAAATAAAAATGGAGCAGGATCAGTGTATAAAGCTGCTCCAAACGTAAAAAAAGAAAAAATTTATTAATTTGATCAGAAAAATTCAAAAAACTGCATTAATCACAATAAAAGAAGAAAATCACTGTTTATTGCATTATTACTTCATTAACACTGAAATAAAAGAAAAAAGCAAAATAGAAATTTAAATGTATAGTACTCTAGCCTTATGTGACAATTTTTCAAAATTAAAGTATAAACTTACCATTATGAACCCAAATTCTTGTTAAAGGCAGCTGATAAAGAGAAGAAATATCGTCAGAAACTCTGAATTGTAACTCGTTAAAAGGCATTAGGTGTCTCCATGTGATCTGTCGTTCCTCACACGTCAAAACTATGTTTTTCCTTCTCCTTTCTTGGTTGTAGAAGTAGCCAACGGTTCAATAGGTACGACTAATTGATTCTCATCGTTTGGAATTGGCTCGATTGGTAGTATGTTGCGTATATAGTCGAACGCGAATGGCCTGTTTCTTACGTAAAGGGCTACATTGGTGGCTATCAGTAACATGTTCGTAGCCAATGATGTCGATACGTAGGTTATTATTCTGATAGTGAATACTATCGTCGGAAGCTAGTTGAATGAAGTCTACATTTCGAAGTCGTACTACCGAACCATTGTATAGAACATTGTGATAAAAGCAAAATTCTTTGTATTGTTGAAGAGTACACATTTCCCACAAGTCAAATGCAAAAGCAATGGCAAAAACAACGGCTATAGCCTATAAGTGGCCTACTGACCCTACCTATCGCTGACCAGTAGCCCGCCCAAAGGTACATCATCCACCAGTTGCTACTTATAATTTTACGGCCATACGTCTGCCGTGTTATACCTCCTGTGCGGTAGTGTACTTTGTTGCGCTCTCTTTCGATGCCGCCTCTGAATACTGTCTAAGGAATAATTGGTTTTTTAGTATTGCAAGAACCAGACCTTTCTTGGGAAGATTTGAACAAATTTTTAGTTTTTTGAATTAAAAATTATTTGAAACATTGATAATAGGGAAATGGTATATTTATTTTGGATAGCCTTAATTCTTCCCCTTATCACATAGATTCCTATACGACACCGATAGGTTCGTTATCGGACCTGCTAGACCTACTGTACCATAATAATTTAGTATAATACGAATACAATTAGCATCGGTTACTTTATTATACACAAGTTTAATTCAATAATAGTAACATAGTAAAACTAAATATTAAATCTCCGACTGCACCCCGACACACAAAAAACCTCTCTCTGATTATTTCCGAGAGACTATCATTACTTCTAGGATAGATGATTTATCGCCGATAGCGTTTCTCTGCGCGATAGACTCTTTTACAACTTGTGTGCAAGATGTAATCGTAACATCCTCCCGACGATGGGTACTGAGCGCCCTCGGTCAGATATTCGATTAAAGACGGAATAAAACTTAACGGTTAATTCAAATTAAGTCAATAAGATTTCTATACTGTAACTTTCACTTTTGACTTGAGCTTTAAGGTTTGACATTAGAATTACTTTGTTGCCGTGCGGTAATATCGCAAGTAGAAGTAGAATATGAACTCTTGTGATTAGTTCCAATGTAGAGTTTCACTTCGAAATATAAAGTCGTTGTTACTACGCAGTGGTGTAACATTTTGTGAATGTAGACATAGTCATATACTGGTTGAGGACGTATTAAAGTCCTGGCTATACTGTAGACTTGTAGGTTTCGTAGTCAGTTGTTGATAAATATGTTGTTGTTCTAATTGTCAATTCTTGCTAAACTCTCGTCTTATTTCAGTTAACTAGTTCAGAAACTTTCAGACTTGATCTTAACTTTACAATTTAAGTTTTTACAATGTAACGGAGTTTAACATATAGTTAGAATTTAGTATAAGAATTATACAAAATGATTGTTTTGACGTAAATGTTACAATGTACCGAAGTTAGTTATTGGTTAAAGTTTACAATATTGATTAATTTTGATATACAGTATTATACAATTGTGACAATCGATTGTCTTGATTAAAGGTAAAATATTTGTATTAGAGATATACAATTGTTTTGTTAATTATTTAAAAGATTAATTGAAATGAATTACATTTAGACGTTAATTAAAATTTTACAGTTTTAAAACGAAATGAATTATCGTTACATTACTGTCGGTATAATAAGTTACCGTTTCCATAATTTTTGGCTTTCTTTCCAAAACTTTTTCATAATTTTCTTCGGTCTACCACGTTGTCTTGGTATGATCGTTCGTTTTTCTTGAGTTGGTTCTGGATCTTCTATTTCCAAGTTTGGGTCTTGTTGGTACTTGTTGGTTCTTTTAGGTTCTTGTTGTAAGTTAGGTTGATTTCCTGGTAGATTAGGTTGGTTTACCGTTTCTGGTACTTCTGGTACTGATTCTGTCTCATTTTCTTGTTCGCCTGAAAATAATTCCCTCGCCTCCCGACGAATGGAAAGATCGGACCTCCGAGCTTTTTGTTTTTCTAAAATGTTGTTATCAAAGTATTTTTTCAGTTTTTCGGCGTGAATATGTTGAATTTGGTTATTACTACCTTTAGTATCTCTAATTAATACATGTGGAGGTTGTAAACCTACTACGATATAAGGACCTATAAACTTTTTATTAAATTTGTGTCTATCTGATTGAGAGTAGAATTCAGCTTTTTTCAAGACAAGTGAACCTATTTCAAATGGTGTTGGTTTAGCACCAAGACGAAGATCAGCGTTTACTTTCATTTTATTTTGTACTTTTTCTAGCATATTTGCAGTAATTTCCCAAGCTTCTGTTGTATATTTTGCTAATCTTTGCGAATAAGTAGGGTAATCTACGTATATCGATGGCAATTTGGCCGCTACCTCAGTTTCTATAGGAGATCTTGGCGGTCTGCCGTATAACAATTCGAATGGTGTGTATCCTGTATTAGGATGCGTCGATGTGTTAAAAGCATAACAGACTAGCGGAACGAATTCATTCCAGTCTGTTCCACCTGTTGACACGTAGTGTGCAAGCATATCTGCTAGCGTGCGATTCTGTCGTTCTACTTGGCCGTTTCCAGCTGGGTGGTATGGCGTTGTTGTTAAATGTGTCATACCGTCCTGTTTGATCAGTGCTTGAAAAGCTTGGCCCGTAAACTCGCAGCCATTGTCACTAACTACTTTAACAGGGATACCGTATCGTGCTATGAAGCTCGTGACGAAAGCATGAGCTACTGTCTCGGATCTTTTGTCTCCGATAGGTAACGCATGTAACCATTTAGTGAATGGGTCGACGACTACCATAAGATAGACGTCCCCGTTTAACGTTCTTGGCAACGGTCCTTGGGCTTGGCTTGCCATAGTGGTCGTTCTGGTCTTGGTCTCGGCTCTTTCATTCCTTGCAGGTTGGGTCAGTCAGCGATGGTTCGGGAAGGATAAGGTTGAGGTTGTGCCGCGCCTGGACTCCCGCCAGAGTGACCATCCTCTCCTTCGTCAGTTGGAAGCCGCGGAAGCCGAACCCATCACCGTCACCATCCGCCGTGAGCCCGAGGATCAGACTGAAGTCTGATGCCTTGTTGTTCTTGTTTCATTCCTTTTGTTATTGTTTAAGGTTACTATCCTTACCAAAGTTGTTCCGTTCAACTAGACCATTTTTTTTTCGAAATTTCTAATAAATTTATTTTGTTTAAAACTATTCACAATCGCTAGACTAACAATACTAGATGATGGACAACAGTTTAAACTGATCAGAATACTGATTTACTATTTACTGAGAAATTAACTAACTAAACTATTTATCTTACTATTATGTTATGTTTAGGAATCGCTAAACTTATCATTAATCATACGTTTTTCTTCGCTATCAACTTGTTTGAACTAAACTGGAAATGACCTCATTTTTGTCTTCTTAACAGCTGGTCGCTCTTTGTCTTCGTAGACGTATATGATATGCGCGATCTCTTATGATTGATATCTTTTTAAAAAATCAAAACGACGTAGAACCCTTAAAAATTGACTGCTAAACAAAGAAAACTAGGAAAGAAATGAAAAAAGTTTGGTACCGGTTTTTCTCATTCTCTATAACCACTCACATTCAAAATGAAATACTGATAACGATGTTATAATCCACTCACATACTAATTACAATAACATTTTTAATACTTAATTATAAACTACTATTTAAAGACAGTTATGTTGGAGAGAGAGGGACGGGTCAAGTATTGGTGTATTACTAGCCCTAGCTTATTGTATAATGTTGTTTACAGACTACGTGAGTTATTACCAGGCTTTAACTCAACAAAAATTAAAGAATTTTCTAGCCTCAATCGGGGAGCCGAAATAAAAGGTTAATTTATAATACCTATAATTAAAAGATAGTTTTGTCTACATAGGCGGACATGTTCCTACTCGAAAACTATTTAAAATGTGGCTCTTTTGGGTATAAGAGACCGTTAGAGTAGGGTAGAACTTGATTCAAAAAAAAACCCTGACAGAGGGAGGTGCACTAAAACTTATATTAACAATAACTACTATAAAATACAATAATAATTCCGATTTTATATTTTAAGGCCACAATAAATTGCTTAAGTTTATTGTGTAGACTAAGACACCTATTAAGACTACTGTTCTGGTTGTTTTGGTATATTGTACCTAAAACTGAATCACTAATAAAAGTGGAAACCTACCTGGTTATATCATACTGGGACGTCTCCTCAGTTATGATCTTGGCTCATTTGAATGTCCCGGCGTCCACAGTGAAAGAACATAGTGTAGTCAATATATAATAATTACAAAAATCCCTGGTTATACTCATTTTAACCTTAGGGTAATAGACAGTTCTACCATTGTCTTAGTTTATAGATAAATCTCATTATACAATACAAATTTATGGTGTGGGGCAGTCGGAGGCTTAGTACGTAGCGCTTTTGTCGATGGAATCTCGGTGAGACCTCCATTATGATAATAGGGAAATGGTATATTTATTTTGGATAGCCTTAATTCTTCCCCTTATCACATAGATTCCTATACGACACCGATAGGTTCGTTATCGGACCTGCTAGACCTACTGTACCATAATAATTTAGTATAATACGAATACAATTAGCATCGGTTACTTTATTATACACAAGTTTATTTCAATAATAGTAACATAGTAAAACTAAATATTAAATCTCCGACTGCACCCCGACACACAAAAAACCTCTCTCTGATTATTTCCGAGAGACTATCATTACTTCTAGGATAGATGATTTATCGCCGATAACGTTTCTCTGCGCGATAGACTCTTTTACAACTTGTGTGCAAGATGTAATCGTAACAACATTACCAGAACTTTGTGATAATTTTACAAAAGATTGCCAAGACTTTATGGTAATTTTCCAAAACTTTATGATAACTTTATCATAACTTTGTGAAACTTTAGCAAAGCATTACCAAAACTTTATCAGAACTTTGTGATAACCTTACAAAACATTGCCAAAACTTTGTGGTAACTTTCCAAAACATTGCTAAATCTTTTCCAAAACTTTAACAAAACTTTATGAAACTTTACTTACCTTTTTTCCGAATCGTCTCTTGTAAGAAGCGGTATGTTTCCCACATCTCTTACGTATCTCAGATACAGCAAAGCCACTCGTCACCATACCCAATAGGGTCAGAGTATAAAACACGGAGAATAAGCTAAAATAAAAAATTTTAAATAATTTAACCGCAACATAGAGAAAACGACCGGTAAAGTTTTGTAACAAAACTTTTGGCTCACTTTGTATAATAGATTGCTCCAAACTTCACCATAGGTGTAGTCGGCAGATGCGACAAACCTCTTACAGTCTGGTACCATCTTTGAAATTCTGGCATGTCTCTTAACGCCTGCTGTAAGAGTTTTTTCAAAGTTCAGTTTTACATTATTACAGTAATGAAAATAACATAATTCTTTCAAGAAAACTGAACATTTCCTCAAAGCTTTCTTCTTCTTCTGCACTCAAATTGTGAAGCCGCTTTTGTTTTACGACGGTGATTTTGGTTGCCGTTCCTCTATGTGCTACGTTTGTTCACCGGTTTTTCTACGACTTCTAGAGATTTTTCTATTAAGATATTGTCCCAGTTACGTTCGTTCTTTTCGTCGAAAATTTCATTATTAAATCCTTGGTTTTTGTTGTCTTCTTCAAAACAGCTTTGTATACTTTACGCTTTAAGAAGGAGTTGTGGGTCAACCTTACCCGTTCAAACATTCCATCCATTATCCAAGCTGAACGTGTTAGAGCCTTACGTCCGTAGATATTATTAGGTTGTCCGGAAAGTTCTGCAATATTTATTCACTTTTGAACTAACAATAATAACAATATAATTAACAACTACAATCAATCAAAGTAATTACCGTCTGAATCAATACAGTCTTGCCAACGATTTACAAGCTTTTTTATTCCACGATTGTAGAATTCCGGGTTTCTGGAGTTGATGAAGTTCTTGAAGGCATTCTTGGCATCGTCTGGAGTTTTGAAGATTCTTCCATTAAGAAACGAAGACAAGTGTTTAAAAAGGTGAAAGTCAGTTGGAGCCAAGTCTGGAGAATAAGGAGGGTGCTCCAAGACTTCGTATCCCAGTTCCCTGAATTTTGCTACGGTCTTCTTTGCAGCATGGGGCCGTGCGTTATCCTGCAGGATGATCGGACCCCTCCTTCTGACCATTGTTGGAAGATTGTGTCGCAGTTTGTCAATCTGGGCACGGTAGGTGTCGGCCGTAATACTTTGGCCAGGTTTCATGAAATCGTACTGGATCACTCCAGAGCTACACCACCAGACAGTCACCATAAGCTTCTTTTCGTGCAATTCAGGCTTCGGAACGTGCTTAGGAGCTTCCTGCACGTGGTTTGTCTTCAAGCTTCTCATCGTCCACACGAAACTTTGCGAACCATCTGGTCACCGTAGAATAACTCACAACATTCTTACCCTCATTTTCGTTTATGATTCTGAAGGTTTCTGCCGCAGTATTTCCGCGTTTGAATTCAATCCATATAATCACGCGCAGGCGAGATTTCTCCATTTTTTTCTAATACCTAAAACAATACAAAAAAATGAAATTAAGTTATGTAACTTACCTTTTTGAATAATTTAGGTAACAAACAAACAAAAAAAGAATTTTTCTTTCCGTCAAGAAATAAATTTTTCCTGATTTTTCAAAGTTTACCTACTCAAATATTGCAGAACTTTCCGGACAACCTAATAGCTATGCAAATAACAGGATCTCTTTGTGAGTTTTTTAACTGGACTTGTAAGTTAGTAAGTTAGGTCAGCGTTTATCACCGAAGTATACCGGTATAATGGAAACATCTAAAATAAAATTATATAATGTTTGAAGTAGGCTATAAAATGTGCGTCAAAGTAATAAACATAGACAAAGTGTTGCTGAGACATTACGAGATAAACAATCTATAAATAATGTAATACGATAAAGCGTTCACTTTGGCCTTTTTCTGTTCCATTACTCTTGAAAAAACGACAGGTTGTTGAGCACTGCCTGTGTAACTTGCTTTCAGTTTGTCGTAAAACATTTCGTATCCTTTGGGTTTCGTACTTAGGTTACGATTTTTTCGGAAAACATTGTGTGCATTCCTAAATTATGTTAAAATGAATAATTAACGTTTACTTTTATACTGTAACTTAATATGATAACTTACAAAAGTTACCTTTGACATTGCTGTGTAATTGCTTCTTCAACCGTTAGGTCTTTTCCAGCATTAAAAACAGCGTAGTTTCGAAGTTGTTCATCGAAATCTTAGCTTAGTTTCAACTTTACGTGTTGCCAACCGCTCTTGAGTATGACACCGTGAAACGCGTGGCCCAGTTCATGAGTGACTACGTGCAAAAGTACAGCCACACTATGCTTAAGTAACGCGTCACTCAGCACCATACCCTGGCCGCGGGTATACTCGGCCAGAACGCCGTCGTCCTCTGCCTGACGGAAGGTTTCAATAACCATTCGACGGCCAACCACCATCATAGACATGGTCGTGACCAGATCCGTCGCCACCACAAACCGCCGTTCCAATGCCTTCACCGGTGTCTGGTCGTACGACAAAAGCTTAATGTGGAATTCGGCCTCAGTGCGAAATTTCAAGTCTCTCTCTCTACAGTCTGAACGGCTGCTAAGGCCAATTCACTAGAGCTTAATTGTAGTAGATAATAGAGATTAAAGTTTCTTACGTCCTTTGCTTCGAATTGGATTCAGCCAAGAGGTCCTTTACGGCCATGAGGCGAAAGTCACCGCTTTGCACTTGATAGGCTTCCAACTGCCGTTTGACCTTAATTGGACAGGCTTTCAAGCTATCTTTGTCTGGGAGACAGCTAAGCCCACTTTACCAAACAAACCATCTATATGTCTTTACCGTTTCTTCAGGCTGTGCTTTGTTACTTACGGCCTGTTTTAGTATAATAGCGTCGCTAGCATCAGCATCATTGGCAACCGGTTTCAGAAAGGCAGTTTTTCCACAGGCGGATTGTGGGCTCTGTTCCAGGATGTAAGCTTCATATTTCTTCCACTTTTACGGCTCGTTTCTCAAAGAACTAGGTGAGAATCATTGAGTTACAAAGAAGGAGGTATCATGGCGAATTCGCACCACTTCAGCATATGAGAACTTCGTTTTGAGTTAAATCCTTGCTAAAGGGCTTTTATAATACAGTTTTATTCAACTTATTAATACATACAGTAGACATACAATCATGTTAAACATACCAATATAAAGACACAAATATACTATATGGCACTCGACCGCTCGAGTCCACTCCTTAATTTTCGACTGGCCCGCTCTTACGGCCTTCTCAACTCGCGCCGCCTACTTATGTAGGTCGACTCTTAGTTTTGCGAGAACTAGTAGTGTCACCAGCGGACTGAAAAAAGATTGGTTTGATGTTGGAATTTGTGGAAGTGGTGGGTTGAGCCGTGGATGCCCATTTCGTAGCGTTATTTGAGTTAAATGTCTCAATTACACTTATTTCGCGCTTTAATTCGCGCGCTTAAATTTACAGTGCAAAACTTGACGCAAAATCTCAAACTTGTGTCAAGAGTTCCTTTTCATGAGAAATATTTTTCTTTTTTCGCTATTTCCACAAAGCTGAAGATTTTCACTTTTGTTAATAATATCTTATTATAGAAACCTAAAAGTTAGCTTATAAAGATGTCAGAACCATCAACTTCAGGTATGTCAACTTGTTATAGTTTCATCTTGTCTTTAGAAGATAGAAAAAGGCCAATGGAGACTAAAAAGGCGAGGACTTTTGATCTCGAAGCTATGATGTCTCAAACTTTGGCTAATGCGCCTCAATATAAACATGATGAGCAGCAGAAGAGCAATATTATACTTGACGTTGGGGAGAATTCAGAAAAAGCGCGACAAGGAATCGAGAAAATTACAATTCCAGAGGTAAGACATGAACAATATTGATGTTTATTTAAAAAATCGAATGTTTTTAGAGGGTTTACTGATTTTAATTTATAAAAATGTTTTTTACTAAACTACTTTTGCTAAATTTATGTTTTTACTAAGATTTATTATTTAAACGAGCTCAAATTTAGGAAATTATGTTAGTCTATCAAACTGCTTTCAGAAACAACAAGCCGCAGAAGAAGAGTCTGATGATGATGCTGGGCCAGCATTACCTCCTGGGTTTCAGGTTGATAAGTCAATGATTGTTGCAGATCCTGAAGCTGAAAGAAAAAAGTTACGGGATGAAGAAGAGAACTCGGAGGATGAATATGATGAAGCTGTAAGTTTCTGGACTTTTTTTTGGTTTTTAGGTCTGAAATGATGGAAGGTTAATAGGAATGTAAAGCAGAAGGATTTTAAGCAGGTTTTTTTCGGCTAAAATGAATTACAAGGCTTTTTACATTGTTTTATGTATCTTTTATATCCAAGTTACTATTGATAAGCATGAATTTTTCGAATTTTATGGAGTACATTATAATTTTCAAAATTTTGTAGTTTTTTTGATGTAAAGAGGACAAAAATATTTTTTTTATTGCTTAATATATTGTTTTAGTTGATTGTATCCACGTTAATACCAGCTGAAAGCGAAGTAACAATAAAATCAGGTGTGGACAAAGCTGTAACAGCTCTAGCCATTGATGCTCAAGGTTGTAAATTTGCGATTGGTACCCAAGGTTACACTGTAAATCTTTACGACTATCAGAAGATGGACAAACTCTTAAAACCATACCGAGATCTGATGCCTGCCGAATGTCATGTCATAAACAGTTTGGCTTATAATGTGAATGGAGAGAAGTTGTTGATAACAACCGGTGAGGCGATACTCAGGATTTTGGACAGGAATGGTCAGCAATGGGCCGAAACTTCGAAGGGTGATCAATATCTTGTAGATGTTAACAAAACCAAAGGACATACGTCGGCTGTGAATGCGGGATGCTGGCATCCTTATAATAAGCACGAGTTTATGACTTGCTCGGATGATGGGTAAGTTTGTTTTTTTTTGTTATTATGTTATAGTTTTTTTGTTTAGTTGATTTTCAAATTGCGTTTTGCTTTATATTGTTGTAGCTAGTAGGTGTACCTTTTTTCGATTAATTATTGGCTTTAGATCTTTGTTTTTTAGCTTCAATTTATTAAAGTATTACCTAAAAAGCATTTTTAATTATTTTGACTATCTTTATGTGCAAATTTTTAGCACGATCCGTCTATGGAGCACGGAAGACTTTAAAGAAGTGACAAAGTGCATCAATACCCAGAAGAAGGTGATTCGCTGTCGAAATGCTGGTGGCAAGAAAGTCATACCTAATTGTTGTGCATACTCACGAGATGGCAAACTGATTGCAGCTGGTTGTGATGATGGAAGTATTCACATTTGGAAACATGGTGGTTTATATGTAAATACCCAGTATCTGAACAGAAAAGCCCATACAGCTACGGTGACGTCAATGCAGTTCTCATTGGATAACAAGAAGTTGATCAGTAGATCAAGTAAGTTTTTTCGGGGTTTTACGGAATTTCGATTTCTATTTTTTAGGCCGAAGTTGAGGTTTTGGGGTTTTGCAGCTTGCAGAGGACATTTTATACGAAGGGTTGGAAATTCGGATTTCGAAACTTTTTCTATGTCTTTGTGTGCGTTATTTATAATATAAATTTTATTCTTTGAAGGTATCAATACCACTGAATTTTTGCTTTTGCAGGCTGCGGGGGACATTTTATACGAAAAACGAGGTTTTTTGTTAGGCTTTTGTATTGGATATTCAATATAAATAGTGTGGTTAGAAAGCTGTTTAACAACGTTTAAGACGTTTTGTCATTAATTTTTCTACTTTCAGTGGACGGAACGCTGAAAATCTGGGAGTTGGCCAAGTTCAAAGAGCCAATATTGGTCAAAGACGGATTGGATACCGCCTTTCCACAGTAAGTTTTTGAGTTTCATGGAGGGTTTTGAGGTTTACTTTGATGTCGAATTCTGGTATTGGTGTTAGGTTGTTCAAATAGTACTGAGTCCTCTCTCAAAGCAAATTTTTGGGGTGGCGGAGCTCAGAATTATATGAACTAGCTAATAGTTAGAATAAGCTACTGGAAAGTTAGTTTAACGTGTAGGATGGCTAGTATTGTGATAAATGTAGGAGCGTCTAAAAGGCGTCTCTGCATGACTTGGAAACATGATTTTGGGGTTTTTTACTTGCTCATTTTGGCTTTGTTTGTCTTTGTTAGGTCATTTTCGTGGTGTTTTAGTTGATTTTCTATTACAAGAGCTTAAGGAAATAGATTTTTATCTTGTAAATGCTAAAAATATTTTTTAAAAAATTTGATTAAAAAGTGGGCAAAACAGTTTTTTTTTTCAAGCTTTGGCTAAAAAAAGGCTTTTTGACCAACTTTTTTGTGTAAAACTTGATGTTTCGACAAGATTTTTAAAATTTTTGCACGTTTTTAAAGAAATTTCATAATATTTTTGAAATTTTATAAGCTTTACGATGTTATTATTACTTTTAGCACTGACCTTGGCTACAGCCCGGACACAAACTTTATCTACACGGGCACTCAAACTCTGAAGAAAGGTGGATATTCTGGATCTCTGCTCTTTTTCGCATCAGAAAACCTCGAGCTACAATACAAGATTGAGTACGAGAACGAAGGATGTGTGAAAATAGTATGGCATCCGAAGATTGAACAGATTCTGGTGGGTCTAACGAATGGCAATGTCAAGAACTACTACGATACCAAGTTCAGTCAACGAGGCGCCAGATTGTGTGTTGATAAGCAGGTCAGAAGGCCAAGAGCTACTGAGGTTGTGAAGGAGGAAATGATCTTGGCACGTAAGTGGTTTTGGATTTTTGGGGGTATGGTACTCATTCTTAGCTCTGGTCGTAGTCGTAGCCTCTACTGGATTTTAAAAAGGTTTAAAAATCGAATTTTTTGAATTGTCCTCAATTTTTTTACTTACAACAGCAATAACAATATATATTTTCAGCGCTGGCCCTGGAAATGTTCCAAGCCAAAGGCGAAGACGCCGAAGAGAAAGAAGTCACTGAATTCCGCCTCAAAAAGTACCTCAGGATCTACAACAACGCTCAGCGCCCTAACTTCCGCACCCCAGCCGATATCCCTAAAGATGGCCCGGGACAAGGTGGCCGAGTTGCTGCCGCCGGCTCTACATTACATTCGTATGTTGCTCAACAGTTGGGAGTGAACAGGAATAAGGAGTTCATCGGAGACGACGATGTTCGTCAAAGCATTCTGAGACACGCTGAAGAAGCCGAGAAGAACCCATTGTATATCAACAAGGCCTACTATAAGACGCAGCCCAAGCCAGTGTTTCAGGCCGACAATTCGGACGATGAGGGAGATGGACAACCGGTGTTTAAGGCTCAGAAGTTGGGTTAGATTTGATGGGTAATATGGCTGAATTTGGATATTATTCATGAATATGTTAAAGAATTGGGCTTTATTTGAAGAATGATTGAGCTGGTATTGGAGAAGATTGGGACTGAGTTTGGACTGGAATTGAGCTGGACTTGGGTGGACTTGATTTTGAGCGGATATTGGAGAAGGTTGGGACTGATATTAAAGAAATTTTTGACTGAATTTGGACTAAAATTGAGGTCAATATGGTTCAGAATCAGCCAGTGCCGTTTGTACAAGTTTGGTCTTCTATTGTCTGTAATTGAAATTGTTCTTTTATAAGTTATTATTGTTGAACAATGCATTGTCTTTAAAAATCGATTTTTTTTGGTTAAATATTGGTCTTGTTAGTTGGATTTTTTAGTAAAAAGCGATATTAATATAGTTAAATTTGGTTAAAACTAGCATTAAAAGTGAAAATTCTATGATATTTTGGCTTTTAAAGCTTTGAATTGTCTTGAAATTGGCCTTTTACCATGCTTTGTTTGGTAAAAATTGGTCTTGAATCTTGATTTTTTCGTAAAAATTGGTCTTAAAGTTCTAGAAAAAGGTGTAGATATTGAAGAGTTTACTGAAAATGATAAGTTAACAGGCTTTTAAGCTTAAAAACTTCTGAAAATTATATAAAAAATGAATTTTTTCTTATGTAAACTGAGTTTTAAACTTTTAAACCTGATGTTTTTAGCTAAAAAAGTTGATTTTGAGCTAATAGATTTGTTCAAATAATTCTGCGCTCCCTAATTCCAAAAATTTGCATTGAGAAAGGACACAGAAATAGTTGGACAACCTAATTTTTTCACTGTTATTCGACCAAATCCTTATGTTATCTTATGTACAATACACTTTATTTTGAAGTTATTACTAGTTTTGATTGTTGTTATCAATTTGTTCTTGCATAAACCTTCTACAAGTTGTGTTGGAGTTTGATTTTATTGATTGAAAAGGGTTATTTGCCTTGATTTATATTGGAATTTTTGTTTTTTTAAAATAATTTTGACGTTTGTTACCTAGAAAAGTCAGTTTGAAGAGTTTAAACTTTATTTAAACTTGAATTATTGATGTTATCCATGTTATAATTGCTGTTTAGATGTCGACTCCGAGCTGCATGATCGACGCCAGCTTCAGGGAAGAACTGAATCGGACTAGGGATAAGGTGGAGGAACAGTTCATGTTTGAGAATAGTAAAGTAAGTTATCTTTTAGTCATTGAAAACGCTTTGTAACGAAAGTTCTTGCCCTTTTTCCGCTTTGTAAAGATAGTTCTTGTCATTTTTATGCGTTGTAAAGAAAGTTTTTGCTTTTTAAGGTCGGCCGAGGCACATACGGACATGTCTACAAAGCAACATTGAACAAGCCAGGCAAGGAGAACAAGGTCTATTTTGCTTTGAAGTTGATCGAAGGTGTTGGCTTCTCAATGTCAGCATGCAGAGAGATATCATTGTTAAGGGAATTGAAGTAAGTCATACATTTTAGGCTTGAAGAGTTAATTTTAATATCTAGAAAAAGAGGTTTTGATGAAAAAAGTAGAATTTTATTACCTAAAAACCTTGTTTTAGCTTTTAAAATTCAGAAAAAAGTAGAGCTTTATTACCTAAAATTTGGATTTGTTACTTAAAATTTAAATATTGTTACCTAAAATTTGGATTTGTTACCTAAAATTTGCATTTTTTACCTAAAATTTCGATTATTTTGCCTAAAATTTGAATTTTATTACTTGAAATTTTGATTTTGTTACCTAAAATTTGGATTTTATTACCTAAACCTTCATTTTTCAGCCACCCAAACCTAATCAAACTCCAACGAGTATACCTGACCCCAGAACGAAAGGTGTGGCTTCTGTTTGATTACGCCGAACACGACCTCTGGCACATAATCAAGACCCATCGCAACTGCAAATCGAACAAAAAGCAGATTATTGTAGCCAAGAGCATGGTCAAGAGTCTAATGTATCAGATCCTGGACGGTATCCAATACCTCCACTCTAACTGGATCCTCCATCGTGACCTGAAGCCGGCCAACATCCTGGTAATGGGCGAAACGACCGGTCTTGAGCGAGGTCGGGTCAAGATTGCTGACATGGGGTTCGCTCGAGTCTTCTACAATCCGCTGAAGCCACTGGCCGAGCTGGACCCGGTCGTGGTCACGTTTTGGTATCGTGCTCCCGAACTACTCCTCTGTGCCAAACACTACACCAAAGCCATTGATATCTGGGCGATTGGTTGTATCTTCGCCGAACTATTGATGTCCGAACCAATGTTCATGTGCCGAGAAGAAGACATCAAAGCCTCGAGTCCGTACCATCCGGACCAGTTGAACAAAATCTTCCAGGTCATGGGCTACCCAACCGAAGCGGACTGGCCCGACCTCAAAAAAATGCCCGAATACCTGAAACTTCAGTCCGAATTCAAGAGAAACAATTTCTCGAACTGCTCGTTGAAGAATCACATGGATCACAAGAAGATCAAGACAGACGGCCAGCAGTTCGATCTGCTCCAGAAGATGTTAACCATGGACCCACTGAAGAGGATCACGGCTTACGATGCCCTAAGGCATCCATACTTCAAAGAGGATCCATTACCTACCGAAGATGTATTTGCTTCAAGGAGTATACCGTACGAAAAGAGAAGCTTTATGAATGACGAGCCTGACGACAAAGCTACGGCTTCGAAACACATCCAACCAGCCATGCATATTCAGCCTAATATGGAGCCGGCTAACAAGAGAATGAAAATGGTAAGGGCAGGGGCTTTGCCAGAGAGGGGGGGGGTGGATTCTCCATTCCCCCTGATCTCCTGAACCGATCTGAAATTTTTTCTTAAAATGTCGGCAAATCAGATTTTTAAAATTGCAGTGCCTTTAGAAATGGTATTAGAATTATAAAAAAGTCTTGTCTTTTTTGGCAATGAAAACACATACAAATCGACGGCAAGAATCTAATATACACTCAAAATGCCATTGTTACCTAAAAAGCTTAGTTTTTGCTAAGTTTTTATGAAAAAATGAAACTTTGTTACCTAAAAAGCTTAATTCATGATAGATTATGATGAAAAAACGAAATTTTGTGACCTAAAACTGTAGTTCATGATAAGTTTTTAAGAAAAAAGGGGGTTTTGTTACCTAAAAACCTTGTTTTAGCTTCAGTAACGTCTTTTAGTCTCGTTTATACAAGAAAACGAAGATTTATTACCTGAAAATCAATTTTTTTGGTATATAATAAACGAAGAGTCGACAAAACGTTTTTAAAATTTAAAAAGTCATTTTGAAATTTTTCTAATGAATTGCTTTTTAAAATCAAAAATTCGCCCTTCAGGACCCCTTCCAAATGAAACAAGACTCCATGAACTTCCGCAACCCGCAACAAATGCAACAACCCCAACAACCGGCCCTACCCGACTACGCTCAAGCCACTCAGTTACAACAACAACAAATCCCAGGCTCGTCCATGCCCAACATCATGCCACAACATAACATGAACATGAACTATCAACAGAACCAGCCCATGATGAATCAACAACAACAAATGCCCAATCAACAACGCCCGCAGCCAATGGGCATGCCTAATCAGCAACGTGCGTTTTGGGGTTGTTTGATGTTGTATTACATAAAAATTGGCAGGGAATGAAAATGACTACCTCGCCCGAGCCAGTTTTGAAATTTCTGGTTGGGGAGGGGTAAAAAAACTTCGGGGGGGTTTTTTTGCAGGGTGCGAAGAGGATGTGGTAGTAGGGATGATAATTTCTTAAATAATAAAAAATTATTTTGGGAGGGGTAAATTTTTAGGTAGGGGGGGGTGTGCATCCTGCCAAATTTTTTTGTTTAGAAATGTATTTTTAAAACAAATACAAAAAAAAATTTTTTTTGGATTTTTTTACCTCCCCCTCTTTGCTCCCCTCCCCCCCCTTCTAAAAAAAATCAATAGTAGAATCGCCTAGTTATTTTTAAACATAAAATATACTTTATAACCCATACGCTTTCCAGAAATGCCAATGCAAAACTACCCCGCCCAAAACCAGCCCCAAAAAATGCCCCAACAACCGCCGCAAGGCCCACCTCAGCAACGTCAAATGTACTACGACCAACAACAACAGAACCCACAACAACAACAGTTCGTTCAAGTGAAGCAGGAGGTGCAACAACGTCAATACATGAACCAACAACCCATGGGACCGCCCCAAATGCAACAACAACAACAACCCGGAATGCCCATGAGACAGGGCCAGCAACCACAACAAAACATGATGTCACAGCAACAAGGTGGGTTTGTAGTGGTTTATGTGGATATTGATGTAGTTTATGGCTTGGGGTGGATTTTACTGTTGATATTGATGTAGTATATAGCTTGGCAGGACGGGTGGATCTTAGTGTTGATATTGATGTAGTTTATGGCTTGAGAGGGGGTGAATCCCTCTGGTGATGTTGATGTAGTATATGGCTCGTGGGGATGGTTAAGAGATCTGATTATAACGTGTAGTTTTACATTTAAAAACCTTCAACAAGGTCCTTAATATAAAATAATGTCACTTTAGTAATGCAACAACGACAATTTGCTCAACAACAAGCCATGAGAGCCAATCCCAATGTACAACAACAGCCTGGCAACATGCAACAGATGAGGCAAGGCTTCAATCCTCAACAACAACAAATGATGCCAGGACAACAGCAACAGTTCATGCAGCAGCAGCAACAGCCGAGGTATCAGTAGATATTGAGGTATCAGCTTATCGGTAGATGTTGAGGTTTCGACTTGTTAATAGATATTGAGATATCAGCTTGTCAGTGGATAATGAGGGGCCAGCTTATCAGTAGATGTTGAGATGTCAACTTGTCAGTGGATATTGAGATAGCAACTGAGATAAAGTTTTAAATTGACATCAAGACATCACTTATTTGGTTAGTCATATCTTGTGATTATGTTTTAAATTGTTAGAGTAATGAGCGATTTATTTTTGGGACCAGTAGAAGGATCTATGTTAATATAAAGCATCCGGCGCGACCTATAGGATCTAGGTTAATATAAATCATTCGGGGCGATCTAGAGGATCAACGTTAATATAAAACCTATTAGATGGTTCACTTAATTAATAGTATGATAGTAGCAATACCAAGTTCATAGCTATTAACCATGAAGATACGTTTATAATTCGTTTTAGCTAATGTTAACATTGAGTTATCTTAATTTATAGCTAGTACTATATCATGTACTGATCATGTTACTATAGTAATTTACTTTTTTTTGTCTATTATTAGATGCATAATTATTTTATTTTGTATATAGTCAGTAGTTTTTTATTTTTTAATTTTTTTTATTATTGTATATATATTTATTGGCTTGTAGTAATAAAAGTATCTTTGGGTAATTATTGGATTAATTTTTTACTAAAAAATTATAATTAAATTGATTTTAAGTCATTTGTGTCAATAAAACTTAAGAATTCAAAAAGTTTTGTCGTTTTTTCAACTTTAAATTTTTTTTTGTGAATTTCGAAAATTTTGTTTAAAAAAAGATAATTTGGTAATGTGATTAAACGTATAATACTATTTTAAACAACTTGTCAAAATTTCAGCATAATCCGTCAACTCGTTCTCGAGTTATAACAGTTTATAAAACCACCGCATGGTTTCTCTGCCCCCTCTTCCCTTCCCTTTCTCTCTCGCGCGCTCCTTTTCCCTTCTTTACCACTCTCTCTAACCACTCTCTTCTTTTCGCGCGCTCCCTCTTTGCGCTACCCCTTTGATAAAGCCGCTCTCTACTCGCCCTCCACTTTTCTGCGCTCTCTCTTTCTCTTCTTCGATTTTTTGTCTGATCGAGAATTCTCTGTCACTCTCTTCATTTTACACAATCGGTTCCTCCAAAATTTCCTTTTTCGGGTTCCATCCTCTTTTCGCGTTCACTTTTCTTTCTCTGACCCAGCCGTCTCTCACTTTTAGACAGTCTTTTTTCCGAACCCCGTGAAAAAAGCCAAAAATGGCTCAATACTTATTGAACAAATTCCTCTAAAAATCGCTGAAAAACACGAAATTTTGTTAAAAGGTCAAAATTTCGTGGTTTTTAGCTCCAAAAGTACCATTAATGGCGGAGTTCAATCTTGGTTCGTATACCATAGCAAAGCTTGGTATCTTGCGCACATTTTAAGCTATATTACTTGTTTCATCTACTAGATAACATGGAGATACGACGCTTCAAACACAACACAGTCAGGCGGTCACGACTTTGCAGCTACTTTTCGACCGGTCGATGATGATGAAAATGTAAAATACTATTATGTTATCGTATTTCATGGTATTCTCTAGAGAGCACTTCCAGGAATTTTTAATATTTTGAGTTTAACATGGTAATATACTATAGTAAAGTTTATACGTACATTTTTGACTATGAATATTTCAAAGCGCCATAACTTACTTCACAGTAACGTCTCCTCTTAGCGGAACATACCATCATGTAGACAATGAGCCACACTACCATAATGTATAAACTGTTTTACTTACGCTCTCAAGATACGATGGCTATGACATGATAAAGTTGTACTGGATTTCATGTTATTAATGGGAAAAAGTGTAGACTATGTCTACTTTAAAGTGCCATAACTTACTTCATAGTGATGCCTTCAACTAGCGAAACATAACACCAAGTAGAGAATATACTCTACTATGAGATAGTATAAAACTTGTACACTTACTTACTATTGTAATCCCTTGGAAGACAGTCACATAAAATTGTGACAACCAACATAACCAGACATGCTATTACTATTGTATCTTGGCATACTATAACTATCTGTCTACCAGTTTTACAGAGTATATTTTGCTCTACCCGATGGTATGTTTGGTTACAAGGGGACATCATTTTGAAGCAAGTTATGGTTAATCAAAATTGGCACACCTTGAACTGTAACTATAACATAGGTTTTTTGTCTTTAACCTATAATAACAGCCGTATCTTAAGTGAGTATGCAATATCGATAGCACATTATGATACTGCAGCTTTTTCTCTACCTGATGGTAGGTTGCACCATGAGGAGACGTTACTGTGAAGTAAGTTATGGCACTTTAAAGTAGGCCTAGTCTGCAATTTTTCCAAAAAATACTTTGAAATCCAGTACAACTTTATCATGTCATAACTATCGTATCTTAAGAGTGTAAGTAAAATAGGTTATATATTATGGTAGGCTGGCTCATTGTCTACATGATGGTATGTTCCGCTATAAGGAGACTTTACTGGGAACTAAGTTATGGCGTTTTAAAGTATGCGTGGTCAAAGATGTACGTATAAACTTCACTATAGTATTTTACCATGTAAAACTCAAAATATTAAAATTTCCTATGAGTGCTCTCTGGAGAATACCATGAAATACCATAATACGAACGTATTTTCCAGTTTCATCAACATCGACCGGTCGAAAAGTAGCTGCAAAGTCGTGACCGGTTGACTGTGTTGTGTTTGAAGCGTCGTATCTCCATGTTACCTAGTAGATGAAACAAGTAATATAGCTTAAAATGTGCGCAAGATACCTAACTTTACTATGGTATATGAACCGAGATTGAACTCCGCCATTAATGGTGCTTTTGGAGCCAAAAACCACGAAATTTTGACGTTTTTTCAACAAAATTTTCTCGTTTTTCAGCGATTTTTAGAGGAATTTGTTCATTAAGTATTGAGCCATTTTTGGCTTTTTTCACGGGGTTCGGAAAAAAGACTGTATAAAAGTGAGAGACGGCTGGGTCAGAGAAAGAAAAGTGAACGCGAAAAGAGGATGGAACCCGAAAAAGGAAATTTTGGCGGAACCCATCATATAAAAAGATGAGGGTGACAGAGATATCTCAATCAGACAAAACTAAGAGAGTAAAAAAACATGAGAGATGGTTTTTTAAGGTTAGAGAATGATTTGATCAGACAAAAAATCAGAGAAGAGGCAGAGAGAGCGAAGAAGGGAAAAGGAGCGCGCGAGAGAGAAGGGAAAAGAGGAGAGGGTAGAGAAACCATGCGAAGGTTTTAAAAATACCTGTAACTTTGTTCAAACTTGGTTAAATTCTACCAAATTTTGGGGGATGATTAATTATAAGGTTATACACGGTATCAAAAAATACGTAATTTTTTAAAATTTGATGAATATTGCAACTTTTTGTTTTTTGATAAACAAAGAAATTTTTTAAGTCAAAATTAATGTTTTTAATTCTTATATTGACGTCTTTTCTGTCATATTGGTGTAAAGTAGTGCATTAGAAACTTATCAAAATTGACCTGAAGTCAGTACATATGAGTTTGACGTGTGTAAATATGAAAAATTTAATTTTTATGCACTTTTATGTTATTTTTAGTGTTTTCTTGTCTCTTTATGTTATGCTTTCGTGCCTTTTCTTGCCTTTATATTCTTCTTTCATGCCTTTTTATTCCATTTTATGTCCTTTTATTTCCATTTTCTTTTATCAGTTTCTCAATAGTGTGCCATTTCTAACTATTCGATGTCAATCTTAAGGTAGGGTAAGGTAAGGTAGGGTAAATTTGATTGAAAAGTGTATGTAAGATATATTTTTCAACCAAATTTTCTATCTTTCTATATCAATATCAGCCTTTATTAATCAAAAACTCAATTTTTCTGATCGAAACAACGCTTTTTGCCATGTTACCCACCCCTATATTGCTCATACACCCTGTGATGTTGTCCACCCCCATATTTCTGTTTCCACACCCTGTGATTTTATTCTCCCCTATATTGTTCTTACCCCACCCTGTAATGTGAACCACTCCTACCTTGCTCTTACCACACCCTGTGATGTTATCCACCTCCATATTGCTCTTAGCACGCCCTACGATGTTATCGACTTCTATACTGATCTTACCCACCCTCTGATTTTATCCACTCCTATACTATTCTTACCACACCCTGTGGTCCTACCCTCCCCTATCTTGCTCTCACCACACCCTTTGGTATTATCCACACCCAAATCTCTCTTACCACACCCACCGTCGCTTTACCTCATCTTGCTTGCGATATGACGCATCCTGCAGTCTTCTTCCATTCATCCGCCTAATTTCCGCTAGCTAAAAGCCGACTTCCTCAACGTTTCTCTTCGGATAATTTGAAATGAATAAAGCAACTTCCACTAATTACCATGCTCGAAGGGAAGAATAACTACGTACAGCACAGTTAGGGATCATTATATTGTTCTTGAGTTGACATATGAGTTTAAAAATGGTAATATTGATCTGAAATCATATCTTTAATAAGTGTTTAATACCCAAAAGTAAATGAGTTAAAATTAACAGGTTATTCAAATAGTTCTGTGCCTCCTCCTAAAAAAATTGTTGAATTTAAAAGGCACAGGATTATCTGAACGATACGAATATTTTTAAATCAAAGAATAAAAAAACCGACTTTTCCAACTTAAACCGCAATAACTTTCTTTACAAAAAACAAAACTTGACAAAAGACTCAAAATTTTAAAACTCTATCAGGACTAATGATACATATCATTTAAATATACCCCTCCACTTCATCAAAACATTTTCTCCTCCCAAAAAAAAAACGTTTTATAACATACCCCTCCAAAATTTTTTTAAAGCGTCTTACGTCTGGTCGGTTACAAGACAAGGCAGAAGGAAGCATGGCAAGGTAGGAGAAACTAGAGCAAGACAGGGCAGAACAGGGTATGACAAGGCAGGACAGAGGAAGAGCTGTACTTCCCTATACAGTGGTCTCTATATAGTGAACCACCTGTATAAGCAACTCTTCTTATACAGTACTCTCTGTATATAAGCAACCCGAAGAGACCGACATTTTGTGTTTACTATAACGGGTGTTGTCTTTAAAGAGATACTTTTTAGTGCAAATTAACTTGGCGGGGCCAAATTTCTTGTTTACTGTAAGGAGAGTTGCTTATACTAGTTCACTATATAGAGAGACCACTGTAGTAAAAAAGAAATTTGCTCTAAAAATTAATCTGTATAGGCAACACCGCGAATAGTAAACCCAAAACTTTAGTCCCTTGGGGATGCTTGTACATAGAGAGTACTGTATCGGGCAAAGCATAACAGGAAAAAACAAAGCACAAAAAATGGTCAATTCTGCCCTTCGTCTCGTACCTACTCAGCTGAAAACTATTTTTCCTACTTCTTAAATTTGTAACCATAACCCATATTAACATAGCTTGTAACAGTTTAACCACATAAAGCTAATGTTACTCTCTTCTTCTTCATCTTCACGTGAAGAGGGTACCTCCTTCTCTCTATCTCTTCATGCTTCTTCATCTTGTACCTCCCCCCTCTTTCTTCATCCTTTTATCCCCCCCCCCTTGCTCACCATCCCTCATCCTCTTTTACCTCAACTCTCCATCCCCCCATACCCCCACCCCTACCTCACCTTTTCACCCTCCCTCATCATCTCTTCATCCGCGCCCCTCCCCTCCCTCTCACGTAAGACACGAAGGAACATTGTGAACGTTATTTTTGGCGTCGGAAGAAGCGGCTACAAGTGGTCGGCGTGAAGATGGGATTGCGCAACGCGTTTTTATGTTATTCTAGCTGATAAGCGGATGTTCGTTTCGTTTTTTTTAATTGTTCGAAACCTCCAAAGTTGTCGGCAAAAAACCCGCCCTCAGGGGGAGGGAAGGGGGGGGGGGATCTCGCGCCGAATCTCCAAGTGAGATAACTTACATGAGCTAGTGCAATTTTACGAGGGTTGTTTAATGGGAGGGGGAGAGTTTGTTTCTTTCACGCTGTTTTTGAGGGTATGGGTGAGGGGTTTCAGGAGAAGGGTAAAATGCCAGAAGAGGGGGGGGTAGAAAATAGATAAAGCAGAGGTAGAGTAAAACAAGGCTGTATAGGCTAGAATAGTAGAAGGCAGGCTTGAGAAAGGTAATTTAAGGACTCTGCTCTACGATCTAGTGGGGTAGGGTGAAGTAGGAGGGTAAGGTAAGGTAAGGCTTGGGTAGGAAATGGGTAAAGCATGTAAAGGCAGAAGAAACGCAGAAAGGTTGAGTAAGTAGAGTAGGGTAAGGTGTAGTAAGTAAGAAGGTTAGGGTAAGTTTTGGTAGGGTAGGATAACGTAGGGCGCGGGTAGAATAGGGTAGGGCGTGGGTAGGACATGGGTAGGGTACAGCAAGGCAGAGTAGGCTAGAGAAAAATTGGGTAGGGTGTCATAAGATATAGTAGGGGACGTTAGAGTAAGCTATGGTTGTCTTATTGTATGGGTAAGGTACAGTAGAGCATAATAAACTGGGGGTAGAGTATGGGTCAGACACGGCAGGATAATTAAAAGCCCCACCCATTTTCATTTTACTGTGCTATCAAGCCCCGCCTTTTTACAAGTAAACGTACTATGAAAAGTTTAATACCTAAAATACAACAAAAACGACTCATTTATTACCTTTTTGATCTCAACTGACTACTTTGTTATCTAAACTACTAATAACAAAATTTCAAAATTCAAAATTTTAAATTTAATATTAGGTTGTTCAAATAATTATGTGATCTCTAACTCTAAAAAACAATTTGCTTTAAGAGGAGGCACAGGATTATTTGAACAATAGAATATTCAATTAAAATATAATATTAGGTCGTTCAAATAATTCTGTGCCTCCTAACCCAAAAAATTTACTTTGAGAGGGAGCACAGATTTATTTGAACAACATAATACCAAATTTTAAAACTTAAATTTTTTTTTTCGAAAATCAAAATTTAAATTCAAATTTGTTACCGAAATTACCAAAATTTAAAACTTTTTCTTTCGGAATTCAAAATTCCAATTCAAATTTGATACCGAAATTACAAAAAAATTGCGTAAAAAGCGTTGAATTCGCTACAGAAGCAAATCTGAAGATTGTAACCGATACTTTTTGTTAATTTCCCCTCTCTCCCCCCCCTAAACCAGTTCCAACGAAAAAACGCAAAATTTGTTTGCAAATTCCATCGACGATGGACATTGAGATACGCGCGAGGGATAATAACGTACTTTTGTATATTACTGCGTTTACTTTGTTAAGCTTAATTTAATTTGTCAGTTTATTATTAAAAATTTCGAAAATTTAAATTTGTTCACGTTTTTTGCTTTAAAATTGAAAAAATTGCATTTTTGTTTGTTTTGTTACCTAAAAATGTCATTTTTCGTATTTTGGGTAACAAATCAACGTAATATCGATATTTTAAGTAAAAGTTTATTTTAGGTAACAAATTTTTCAAAATTGGTTTCTAATAGTTTAGGTAACAAATTTGCTTAAAAATGAAATTTTAGCTAAAAATGTTTTTAAAATTTTTATTTTTAATATTTTAGGTAACAAAAACACGTAAAAACGATATTTTAGGTAACAAATTTACACAAAAATAAAATTTTAGGTAATAAATTTAAACTTTTGGTCTGTTTTGTTACCTAAAAGTCATTTTTCAATATTTTAAGTAACAAATATATTTAAATTTTACTTTTCCTGAACTTTTACGTAAATGTCTCGACAAAAAAATCAAAAAAAAAAAATTGAATTTTTTAAAATGTGTGTTACCTAAAATGTCGTTATTTTTCGATTTTTAAGTAACATTGATACCTAAAATGTTTTAAATTGAAATATAAATAGAAGTTTTCAAAAAAATTTGCTTAAAATTTCATCTTTAGGTGAATTTGTTGCCTAAAATACTAAATTTCATTTCATTTCATATAACTTTTTTTAATTTTGTTACGTAAAAGTTGAATTTTTAATTTTAGTCATATTAACTATGTGCCTATATGGCGATAAATTCTACAAAATCATAAGCAGTTACCTAAATTGGCTTTTCAGAATGCTGAGGTTACTAAGTCTATCCCTATTACTATTAATAGTAAATGGGCAAGAAGAAGCTAGACGAGTGTTATATGGTCTTCCACCACTACCTGATGACCGTAAGTCGTACAGTGTAATACAGATTCCCTATAGTATCCTAATGACAAGTGCAGAAGCAAATACGGTAGTTCTGACAGAAAGCTACAGTAACTCATAGCTTTTTTGGTAGGGTAGGGTAGGAGAGGGTAGAGTAGGGTAGGTTAGGGTAGGGTAGGGTAGGATAGGGTAGGGTAGCGTAGGGTAGGGTAGGGTAGGGTAGGGTAGGATAGGGTAGGGTAGCGTAGGGTAGGGTAAGGTAGCGCAAGGCAAAATAAAGTAGAGTAAGTGATTTTGCCCCCCAAAAAATACAGTATCCCCTACAGTAACCCACTTATAACCTCTAAAAACGACACTTTTCAGCCACCACCACACAAGCCCCACCCCCGACGATCCGGCCACGAGTATTCAGATTCGGACCACTATTAAACGTCCTTCAACCTCCACCTCACCCAGCCCCTCTACCTCCACCAGCTCTCCCTCACCATCACGGCCTCCATCTGCCTCTGCCTACATTGGGTGGGAACCCATTTGATAACTATCACAATATCAATGTCATCCCTGAACTACCACCACGCCCTGAGAACAAACTGAATGGGTATTACGACTTGGACGGAAATTTCGTGCCTTATGGCAATGAGCAGGTAGGGTAATATTGGGCTGGGTTGGGGGTGATAAAGCTGGTTTTTTCTAAAGTAGAAGGGGGGGGGGAGAGCAAAAAAAATTTTTTTAAAGCCAAAACATGAACACAACCCCTCCTTAAAACCATTTTCAAGGTCTTTTTTGAAGGGCGGGGTAAATTTTTTGGGTGTGGATTTCAAAAATTTTTGAAAAATCAAAAAAATGTTTTTTCAAATTTATGAAAAGTCATTTTTAAATCTCAAAAAAAATTTTAGAATCTCCCAGCCGGTCAACCCCGCCCAAAAAGATCCCCCATGAGCCAAGAAGACCTTAACTTAAGGTTACTAGAAGAAGAGTACGCTTATGATGACGAGATTGCCGAACCCAAGGTTCAGAATGCTGGTACTACCAAAGGACCAGCACCAAAAACGAATACTAAAGCCACCAAGGCCAGTCCAAAACCTACGAACCGAGTTCAAATGATTTCACACGACACTGACAGCTTGGGTAGGGCGTTTTGAAGGGTTTTATTTTTATAACAGGGGGTGTTTATGCCATTCCTTATAAAAATACATCGTTTTCATTTTAAAATCTACTCAAAAATTAAATTTTATGTCTTACAAAAGCCTTAAAATCCCAATTTATACCCAATGTTCACCTTCAGAAGCCCCTAAAATCAAGACCGTGCCAAAACGTTCGCGAAGCAAGGCCGTTATCAACCAAAATACGACAAAAAAACCGTTGAATGTCCACCCCCGGTTCCTTCCCCAGCCTCCAAAAGCCAGAACTCCAGTCCAAAGGCCAAGACAAGTATTGAAAACGGCTCCACAGCCTCAGGCATACTACCCACAACAAGTGGCGGCTCCACAACAAACTGTTACTGCGCCTCAACACCAAGTCCAAGCAGCCTATTACCCACCACAAAATCAGCAGTATTCTCAGCCAGTAAGTTTTTGAACTGAAAGAAGCAAATTTACATCTTGTTCAAGGCTTTAAACATAAATTTAGGCCTTCAAAAGTTCTAAAAATTACATTTTTTGAACATTTTAACCCTTTTTTTGCCCAAAATTTAAAAAATTATACCAAAAACAACATTCTCATAACCTCCTTAACCATAAAAACCTTTTGCAATACCTAAAATAATATAAAACCTCCCATTTTCCCACAATATTACACTCAAAACAGCCAAAAAGTATGCCGCAGTCGACAGGATTCGAACCTGTGCGGGCAGAGCCCAATTGATTTCTAGTCAATCTCCTTAACCACTCGGACACGACTGCACACTCCGTTCGCTCTCTTCTTTCGTTACGCATTCAAACGTTTCTTTGAAAAGACTTTTCGGGCGCCAAAGTCGGGTATTGACATTGTTTTTTGATAAGAAGACGTTGAATTTTGGGTTAAAATTGGGAAATTTGGTAATAAATATTAAAGTTTAGATAATTGCGCATATTTTGACTGCAAAATTATTTGAAAGTAACTTGTTTTTATACCTAAAAAGAAACAAAATATCTAGAAAATGCCTCTAAAACAATATTTTTTGGTCAAAAATCCCCAAAAAATAACGAAAAATTCCAAAAAATCACAAAAAATTTATTTAACAGTAAAAGAAATGCCTAAAGCTCAAAAAATATTACCTAAAATCACCTAATTTCCTAACATTTTTTCCCTTTTCAGCCCCAATACCGTCAACCTCAATATCAACAATACCCACAACCACTGCCGCCAGTCCAATATGCAGCGCCTAGTGCTGAAGCCAGACCAGTTGCGGCTGACAACCGTGACCCTCAGGTCATTGCCTATTTGAAAGAAGTCGAGGATTATGACTGGGACTTCAAAGGCGAGCGACCTGACCTAAGTCCAGGTGCTGTTCAGGTAGGTTGTTTTAGCTTTAGAACTAGGCACAAAGCTTAAAACTTAAGCCTAAAATTTAACGTTACACCACACTTTTTAAACTTAGAAAGACATTATACCAGCCAAAACTTTAGGTCACAACCCCAGAAACCCTGGTAGCATTGGATGGACGTAGCGACCGGTCGTTAGTCGGTACCACTCAGCCTCCTTACTCTCCAGCCACCTTCCCTACGGCACGATATGGGCCAGGTGTTGCTACTAGCGCACCAGCCAGACCTCAAGGTAACTTTTCTTGCAATCGTTAGTTTCTTACACCATCCCCTTCCCTCACACACCAGCCAAAATTTTTTTGCCCAGCACTGCCTACTTTACTTTGATGTCCTATATCTAACCGTATTTTACCTAAAAACCTACAGATCTTACCCTTTAATCTATAAACATCACCTAAAAATCGAAAAAAAAACGAATTTCAAATCAAATATAGGGTTGTTCAAATAATTCTGAGCCCTCAAAATTTTAGCCCTCAAAATTTGCTATAAAAGGAGGCTCAGAATTTTTTGAACAACCTAATATTTTACATAAAACCCCACTAAAACGGTCAAAAAATCAAAAATATTAGGTTCTTCAAATAATTCTGTACCCCCTCTCAAAGCAAATTTTCCGATTAAAGGGCACAGAATTAGTTGAACAACCTAATATTTTACATAAAACCAGACAAAACCTCAAAAATATTACCTAAAAACCCAAGAAAACTCATTTTGAATTCAAATATTAGGCTGTTCAAATAATTTTGAGCCACCAACCCCGAAAATTAAAATTATAACAGGGCGCAGAATTTTTTGAACAACCTAATATTTTAAATACAAATCCGCTAAACCGGTCAAAACATCAAAAATATTAGGTTGTTCAAATAATTTTGTGCTCCTCTCAAAGAAAATTTTCCGAATTAGAGGGCACAGAATTAGATGAACAACCTTATATTACCCAAAAATCCTTAAAAGCTAGCCAAAACATACCTCAATCCCATCTTGCAGCCTACACCTCCTCTCCACACGACCTTCTCGGCATCTTCGGCGGCACACCACACCCGATCCTGTCCGGCTTCGGCCAGCTGTTCAGCGGTTTCCCTGGTTTGGGCGGACGTCGAAAATAGAAGCAATGTTAATATGATTTCAACCGAACGAGTGCAATAACTGTTTGTACATATACAATGACAACACGTATCTATTAACCGAATCGAATGTTATTAAATTTATTCATATACAGACCCATATTGTGATGAACAAGGTACCAGATATAGTAAGGTGGGGAAGGTATCAGATAATAGTAAGGTGGGAAAGTTACCAGATATAAGGTGGAAAAGGTATTGTATTAAAAAATCATTAAAAATTAAAATATTAGGTTGTTCAAATAACTTTGAGCCCCCTATCAATGTGCTGATTTTCGAGTTCCAGGGGCTCAGAATTTTTTGAACAACCAAATAGGACGTTTTGGGGTTACAATGTAAGACGTTATTACATTTGAAGGCGACAAATGGAAAATTATTGTAGGTACAACATACTTTACTGTAAATCCATTAATTTTTTCGCATTTTAAAGCCCTTTTCAACCTTATTTTACCAAAAATCATTGAAAAACTAATTAAAAAACGCAAAACACATCAATAGAAGGCGATTTTAAGAACTTTTTGACCATAATTTAAAAACCATCCATATTTCTAAGCCCTCTGTTACCAGTTTTAGCTAACTCAATATCATAAAATGCTAAAAAAGTAATGGATCCGTCAAAAACACAAAGTCATGGTTACAAAATAGTAAAGTGAACTACTTCAAGATACATATAATAATAAGACATACTGTCCGTATTAGGTTGTTCAAATAATTCTGTGCTCCCTCTCAAAGCAGATTGTCGAAATTAAGGAGCACAGAATTAATTGAACAACCTAATACTATAGTTCACTACTCCAAAATACATATAATAATAGGATGTTCAAATAATTATGTGCCCCCTCTCAATGCAAATTGTCGAAATTAAGGGACTCAGAACTATTTGAACAACCTAATAGCAAAGAGAACTACTTCATGATACAGGAAATATACGTAAAGCACTTAAAAATATTGAAAAAATGTACATTTTACAGCCAAGACAACATAGAACTTGTCACAAAATAACCAGATATTAAGGTAGTACTTATGCCAAAACCTTACAGTAGTAAAATTTGCATTCAAAAGTAAAGGAAACAATAAAAAAAATGCTGCAAATTCAAAATATCAGATTGTTCAACTAATTCTGAGCCCCTAACCCTGAAAATTTGCTTTGAAAAAGAGCTCAGACTTATTTGAACACCTAATATTTGCTCATTTCGATCAGTTTTAGACTTCATTCTGTAATGAAATTGAAGCTCCAACTTGTTTACTGTAGCAAATTCTCCATTTCTTATGAATCCAATGACAAAACTTCGAAATTGTCATCGCTGTCGAAGCCTGGATCCGCAAAGTCTTCGTAATCGACCACTGGGATGGGGTCGCTTGTTCCTTGATAAGGCACGAATTTGGGCCAGCCGGCTGGTCGTTCGTCCAAAACTTCGAAAATCGGTGGGTTTGAAGCGGGTAGGACGGTTTCCTGAATGAGTTTTGTACATTACATCTACTTAGAAAAGAATAGTCCAAACTAGTCTCCATATTATGCTATGAAGAAGATATTCCTCCTATTAACCTTCTGTTATCTTCCCCACCCAACAACCCAATCTTCACCTACCTTAATGCTCTTGATCATTTCATTAAAATCCTCGGCACAAGTACAAATGAAGCCCAAAGCCAATGATGGGTCTAGTGAATCAAAATGCATGTACAACAAGTCATTGCAATGAAAGGTTGAATCATCAAAGTCATCAGGTATTGGCTTTGGAGAACTTGATTCCGGCTTTGATTCTTGTTCATTTTGGACTGGCTTTGATGTAGCTTTTTGTGAATCTATCCTCTTATCTTCTTCTATAGCTTCTTTGCCTCCTAAAGCTTCTCTATTGCCTTTTAAACCTTGTTTGTTTGCTTTCTGATTACCTTTGAAACCTTCTGAATCCTCTTTAGTATCTTCTAAGTCACCTTTCTTTGTTTTATCGCCCTTTCCATCTGATTTTAGTTCATTTTCAGCATCTTTATCACTTGATTTAGCTACGTTTAGTTCATTATCATCATCTTTAACATTTGTTTTGACTGATTTTATCTCTTTTTCACCATAATTTAAATGATTTTCAGCCATAACAACATCATTTTGATGTGAATCTTCTTTATTTTCATCAGTATTTATCTCTTCTTTATCATCTTTATCTTCATTTTTATTTACATCTTCACCACCTTTGTTATTCCCATATCCTGCTTCATTATCCTTGTTATTTACATCTACTACCACCTCATCTTGACAATTCTTCTTATTTACATCCACCACTTCATCTTCCACAACTTCAGCCCCATTCGCCTTCTCAAGCCCTTGTCGTTCCTTATCATCACTAACCTCATCAGATGCATCTTTATAATCACTCGACACATCTTTAAAGTCCTCGTATGCGTCCTTAAATTCATCCGATATATCCTTAACATCGTCTGATATGTCATTTTTTACATTATGTACATCCGTGTTCTCCTTATGACTAGTCGAACCATTTGAGTTATCTTCTTCTATTTCCAAGTCTTCAATGTCTGCTTGTGTAGCCAAGACTTCTGGTTCTTCGTCGCTTGAATTTGCTAAATAAAAGTATTGTTATGTTAACAAAAGATCATTTTTTATTTATAATAACATAGATCAAACTATAGACTAAGTTTTACCATGTTATCTTATCCTGCTCCAGCTTTAAAGTCATTTTATCTTATCCTTCCCCGGCTTTAAAGTTTATATTATCTTACCCTCCTCTGGCCTCAAAACTTCGAAATTCGGGCTTTCTGGCCTCACATCCTCGAAGCTCGGACTAGTCTCCTTCTTCTTGTCCAAATCTACTGTAGTTTGAGCTGTGTGTGGATCCAAGTAATATAGTTCTTCTCCACTGAATCCAATGAAAAAGACGGCATGATTCGGTCGTCCACCCACAATTCCACAACATTGTGGTAGCTTGAAGAAGGCTTGAAGCGATGGGAGGTAAGCGCGGTTAATTGTTGTTAGGCCTAGACGAAGAGGTACTAGGATTAGGACCGGTCTTTGTTCTCTTTCATCGTTGGAGCTGGTCAGTTTTTGACGTTTTTCATCGTCTGGGGCTGTCTGGATGTGAAAGGTGCGTTAGAATCATGTTTTAGTACAGTAGGTGGTATATAATCACGTTTTACTATAGTAAAAGCTTTAGTGACTAGTGTTCTATGATTTTAAAAGTATAAAAGTGCCCATACATCCCTCTAAAATAATATTTTTTCTTTTTTCCATCGTTACCTATTCTTTTCAAGCCAAAAATCTATGTTATCCGCCATTTTTTAGACAAGAACCTATGTTATACCAACTTTATAAGCCACAACCCTATATTATTCACCCTTCAACCCAAAACCTACCACATCCCTCCACGGCGTCTTAGCCAACGTGCTCACATCACTAGCAATCAGTAAGTTATCCATGGCTACATGTACCGCAATTTGTGACCAATCGTCGTAGATGGCCAACTTCTTCAAGCACTGTGCGATCGTATTTGGGCCGAACCATTCGCACATTCGTTTGCCCTCGCTTACACCCATTTGAGCAATTTGTTGTAGTGAGAACAGTGAGGTGCGTTTGTCCTGGAACATTCGTATCAAACGACGATAATTTTCCTCCGGCGATTTTTCGGTCCATTCCCAACCGCGGCCAAGGTGAACGGTTTTGAGGGCTTCGGCCATTAGCATTTGGCCACATCGGAGCATGCAACCCCAGCCTTTGTCTGTAGTTGGGCCGTCGCCACCTATAACAGGAATTATCAGTAAACCAACCAAAATTAAAAAGGACTGGGCATAAAAACTGAACTCGGCCTTGTACAGTGCTGTTCATGTATAATATAAACCACCCAAAAAAATATAATATAAGTCCCCTTACCAATAGCCGGAAAGTTAGTCCTGTACGTAAACCAACATAACGCTTTGGCAGCCGCGTTTATCTGCTCCTTATCACTGCTACAATAACATTTCCCCATCAAATACGTAAATTCATCGAATTTCGGAGTTCGAATCGCGTTGATTTGGACGAAACTCGATAGGTCCATTCTTGAATACGCAAAGTATAGCACCAGTTGTTCGCAACAATTTGGTTTTTTGTATTTTAGATGGTCGGGCGTGGGTTGATATTGAGGTAGAGGCATACAATGACAAAATATTTACAGGATAATACTCGTTTTACATCTGGTTGATGGGGTAATGGAAGTTGATAACAACTAATATAGACTTGAAGCTATATTGGTTGCTATTGGAGGTGTGTTTGACGGTTGTAAAGGCCTTAAAAATAAATTATTGTAAATTTTAAGTGAGAATAAAGTAAAATATCTAAAAAACACGATATTGTAGATAATATAAAATGAAAACACAGCTAACAATATTCACAATCACAACAATAAATGCTTCTAAAAGTACTATAACATAATAAAACAGCCAGTATTTTTTCAAAAAAACACATCTAAAGATACCATAACATTAAAAAACAACCAGTATCATACCAAAAAACCTTTCAATAAATAAAATAACATGGCAAAGTAACCAATAATCATAAAATAAACATCATAAACTATCTAAAAAATTATTTATTCAACAAGTAATTACAAGATTTCAACAAAAAACCGACGAAAATAAACAAAATAATAATATTTTTTCTATAATATTGTTACAGCTATTCATCCTTTCACACTAATTCCATTTGAATAACATCTTCTTGTTCTTCATCCACTGTGATAGCTTTACCTTAACCGAGGAAAACAGCTCATTTTATCAAGACAAAGAGCTCATGCTCATTCCTTCACAGTTTTCAAAGAATTTTCAGCATATTCCCTGAGTTTCTGATGTTGTTTTAGATCGTCAATGTAAAGTTTGGCTGTTTCTTCGAGTTTTGATGAATCCATTTCAGCATAAGTGCAATATAAAGGCCAACTAAAACGTTAACATTACTTTATAATCCTTTCATTATTTTTATCAGGTGTATTTAAAAAAAACGTTTTAGCTCAAAATTTTTTGGACAACCTAATATAACATAAAATTTCTGTGCCTTGTCTCATGTCTTTCGTAGCAAAATCAAGTAAAAAGTACTAATCGTTACAATATAACATAGAACAAGGCACCCCACTCTAGATTGGAGCATTCTAAACCGAGGTACTTATCAAAAATTTTTTCAAAACAAATTCTTCAATACCTATCCTTCTCGCTCAATATTATCATAGAAAACCACGTTAGTACATAGACATGATATTAACCTAAATTCCACCTTTATCACCCCTTTCATCTTCTATTATTACTCCCTTTCCTCTACCATTACTACCCCCTTGCAACTCCCATTATCACCTCATTTCCCCCTCTTACTACCATCCCCTTTCCTTCTCCAAGATCACCCCCTTTCCACTCCCAGCAAACCCCTTTCCTATCGCATTGTTAACTCCTTTTCCCCTTTCATTATCAACCCCTTTCCCCTCCCAGCATCAACTACCTTTCCCCCTCCAAATACCATTCAAAGCCTTACCATTCAAACGCCATCTTCTGTAGCTTGAACAACGCGCTTTGCTCATATATACAACAAGTCTTTCTCGATTTCTCGGCGGTTCTTTTCATGAATCCAGCCAATTCATCCTCAATATCATTCCTGATCTTCATGTGCATGAAACGTCCTGAAGTTTCGCACATTACACTCAATGTGCTCAACTCAGCCGCCAGGATAATATAGTTTTCACCCGAGGTTTCGATTTTTCTTTCTTTCAACTTTCTTCGCATTGATATTGACATTGGGACGTAGTTTTGGTGTATCATGGGTAGGAGTTGGTCTTGGCAGTTGCGCATGATTCTAAAGCCGATTTGAAGGATTTGCATTAGGATTAGTTTTGGGTAGGCGTATTCGCAATGGTGAAGGTGTTGGGTCCTAGAAAATATTCATTTTGGAGTTTATAAATGGCATTTTTGTAAAACGTGAGGCACTATTTTTCTCCAAAACATAAAACAACATAACATACTTCTGAATGACCCTATAAGCACATTCCACAGGCCATGGAGGTTCAACATCTTCCTCTTCATTGACAGTCGGTTGAAAATTGGCTTGAATTCGTCTTTGTTTTTCAAATTTCTCCTTGATCTTCTCCAATCTTTTCCAGCATTCTTCTCCTTCATACTTGTCTTCATCTGATATTTCTTCTTCATCTGAATCAATTTCTAATGATTTCACTTCATTTTGCAGTTCATTTTGTTCATCTTTGTCAATTTTCGGTTCGCCAAACCATTGATGAACACATTTGAGAAAGCTTTTCATTGCTTTTAGGCAGGGAATGAGCTTTAGCTAAAAGAATAAAGCATTTTAGAAGTTTTAAAATATGTAACTTGACAAAAACCTTAAAAATAATGCGCAAGACGGCCTTAAAATTCATATACAATATCTTTTTCTATAACTTTCTATACGATTATTACCTAAATTTTAATTTTTTTCACAATCAACGTCTTAAAAAAAGCAAAAACATTAAAAATTATGTCCATTTTGACCTTAAGCTTCATATAAAGCATCGTTCTCTACGGTTTTCTACAAGATTATTACCAAAAAATCACTTTTTTTCAAGCCTAACATCCCAAAAACAAGCAAAAACTAAACAAAACCTTAAAAAATAGCTAAAACTACCTTTCTTTTTTGACCCAAACCCCCTTTAAATTCAAAAATATTAACATACATTGTCATTTTGATCGATTCCCTGTAGCAAACTTGGCATTATCAGCCTCAACTGTTCAAATTTGTCTTTTCCATAGCCTCGGTCCAGTAGTTCAGCCAATACAAATGGTGAGTTCGGGTACTTTTTCAAGTTTTCACATTGTTGTGCCACTTTGAATACAACTTTGTCCACGTTCTCGCTTATGAATTCGTCGATTGTCATGTTTTGTTTCTGAAAAAGTTGTGTTTTAGAGCTAAAATTGCGTAAAATAAGGTCACATTTTTAAAAACGTAAAGTAAATCACCCAGAAATCTAAAATAAACACGAGATTTAGGTATGATAAATTCAAAAAAAAATCAATTTTAAGATTTTTTGAGTTTTACAAGCCTAAAAAACTCAAAAAATGCTCAGATGTAAGCCTACAAACTACTAAAAAATCAATTATAAGCCAAAAACCTCAAAAACAGATCAACTACAAGCCTAAAACACTCTAAAATAACCCTAAAACATTGAATAAAACCTAACAAATTAACAAATAAAACCAAAAAACCCACCTCAGCCAACGTATTCAAAGAAGTGTGAGCTACTTTAGCTATCATAAGATTGGTTGATGACAAAAAGTTCAATAAACAATACAACAAGTCTACAGCAAACTTATGAAATCTGCTCGTTTTTGAGTTCATTAGGGCTGTAGATGAACCAAGAACAGTCAATAATGTACAACAATATATAGATTCTTTTGTATTTTGTGATTGTAGATCTGAAAATGAACATAATCAAATTTAAACGTTTTGTAATAGAAGAAAATACATAAAAAATATCATAACAGCATTGAGAAATAAATGTAGTACAGGCTAGAAGTGAGAAACGAACCGTGTAAGTCCAGTCCGAATTTGAGCTATAGTTGGCCCGGCCTAAAAGTTGGACCCAGCCTCAAAATCGGAACCGGCCCGTTTCTGACCTCTAGTACAAACTATCATGCAAGAATTTTGTAAAAGTTATGCCGTTTTTATTAAAACACAATATAAAAATCAAAAAACTATAAATATCATCCCAATATCTACCACAACATGCTCAAATAAAGCTCAAACCGCAATTTTATACCTAAAGGCTTTTCATTTCCAACAATAACATTGATGTTATCCATCTTATCCAGCTCTTCAATGTACTTTAATCCATTTTTCACAAATAATTCTTCTAAATTTTGATCGCAATTTAATTTCTGTTCATTTGCCGCCTTCAGAAGGTACGACATCACAATAGCAGCAGCCAGTTTTTGATCGTTTTCATAGGTTTTTCCTGCTTGAAACCTTGTCATTGATCGGAGAAACTTCTAAAAATATATAGTTTTCATTGTTTAAACTCTTTTTGATGCCATATTATACCTATACTAAAACAAAATACTCTTGTTTCCGTAATTTACAATGTAAAACAAATTTAAAAAATTAAAATTTGACTCTAAGATGCCAATATTCACCTTAAAAAATGCGTTTGTAACCAAAACTTGAGCGATTTTCTTCAATTTCTTGTTGTCCACACATCCAACGAATCGAATTCCTTCGAAATTTCCAAATGTTGTACTAGTTTGACTTAACTCGACCTTGTTCGTATCTATTTTCACATTGTTTATCAGGCATTTCCGCAACTTCCACATCAAATTCGACTTTCTATCGCGTTCTTTGGCAAACAACTTGGCACAATCTGCTTTATTCAGCATGGTCATGGTGTTGACTAGCTAAAAATAGAAAGATTAAGTATAGAATCATTTTTTATTTTTGTAAAATCTTAATTTATTACATCTTTATGTAACCTTAGGTTAGACAAATGAAAAAAGTCATTTTAAACGTTATTTTAAACTTTTAATCATTCATATCACAAAACGTCTCAAATGTTTCCGACAATAAACTTCACAACATACCACGGTGAACAAATCTTCTGAATTCGCATTCTCTTTTACTATTCCGTCAACTGATGTGTTGATAAACGCCTTCAGTAACTTATAAAGATCTTCGTGATTCTTGGCCAGAAACTGAGCTTTTAGCTTTTCGCACTTTGTTTGGATTCTGAAATTTAAGCTTTAAAATCGATAACTGTAGCACAACATTATAGACAATTGTCACAATATAGTATTATACAATCAAGGCTACTGATTACCCAAAACCAAAAAAAAAATGAAAGTCATGATTCAAAACTACCTAAAAACAGAAAATAATAGTCAATACTCATCTAGACATCAATACTCACCCAGGCCATTCCAAATCCATGCTAAATAACATCGTCCTAAACTTGGTTTCTTCAAAACTAGTGTCTTCCAAGCATTTTGAACAAGATTTGTTTAAATCCAGCAATAAATCAAGTAATTCTTCTCTATTTCGTTCATTCAAAGTCTTAGACATGTAAGTTGAGATCAGCTTTACCTAAATTAAACTTTTATAACAAAACTTTATCATATAAATCTCTACAACCATAAAATGACAAAGTTCTTGAAAACGGAATACAAAAATCAATTAAAAATTATGTTCTTACGCTTTCAGCCAACTTTTGTCCGTTTTTCCTAAAAAACTGTGGGTTTCGAACAACTTTAAGACGATTCTCTTTATCTTCATTGCTCTTCAGATTGTTTTCAAACTTTTCATATTGAGAGTCATTCAAAACAAGAAGCGATATGTTGTGAATCACCTGAAATCATAAGATTTACAAAAGTATAGTTTGAACCATGTTAAAAATTCAAAAATTATTAGCCAAACAAGCAATTGATTTTGATATCTCATAAATTTTAAAAAAGCTTTATAATAGCCATAAATAACTTTACATTCAATATCAAAACCGTTTTTCTAATCTTAACTGTGTTTCCAAATCCGATTTTTCCTTTAACAAAGAATATATAACTCCAGATATCGCCTAAAAACCAAATAATAAAATAAACTTACTTTCAAAGAAATCAAAGAAAATTGATTTTCCGGTGATTTTTTGATTACTAGTAATGATTTGCTAATAACTCCAGGTAAAAATAAAGCAGCTGATAATGTGTCAGATTGTAGGTTGTAAAGTTCGAACAGTTTAACCAATATTCGACCAGAATTCTCTCTGAAATCTGAAAATTTAACAAAAATAATATTTTGTAGTATAGAAAAAGAAGTCCAGGTTTTATATTATATTGAGCAAACTTGTTTTATATTATGTTTTCTCAACAAATTTTTACCAAATACCATCTAAATACACAAACAAGAGAACATTCTTCAAAACATACCTTATCATTTTGTCAATTCCGTCATTCAAAAACAAATTGAGCAACGTATTCACAATTCTTCCAAATAAAACAACGTTCTTTTCAGCGTACAGCTCTGAAAACCTCAACTTATTCAACAACACCAATATTACCACATCCCAAAGCTTCTCTAAACCAACAAAACCACATTAACACACAAACTCATACCATGTTTCAACTGATCATTGTCCAAACAGTCCTCCAAACAGTTGTGAAAGTGAGGAAAGAAGTCGTGTAACGTCGGTTTTTCGTGATTTTCGTCTAATAACGGAATAACTCGTGTCAGAAATGAGAATACTCGTTGCTGAACAGCTTCATCAAGCAATACCATTGTCTATTCTTACTCAACTCGTCCGGGTCATGAGATTTCATATTCTTCTCCAAAATTTTCTCTCACTTTTTATTTATTTTTCGTTTGGCATTCCGCTTTACGCGTGCGTTTGCTTTCGTGGTGGGACCTAGCTCAGGTTGGTACGTTTTGTCATATCGATATTCTACCGCACCCAACGTTAATGAAAATGGTACCCTATTAAACAATATGATTTGGAAAACGTTTACCATGCTTATTTTTTATATACTATTTACCCAATTATCTTATTTTAAACAGCTTCATTTTCAAAATTCATATCCACTCCAAAAATAAAAAAAAATATTAACCAAAGTTTTAAAAAACCTTCAAAATAGCAATCAGTATCTTTATTAGTCTAATCAAGGACGTCGTTTGGGGGGGGTGGCACAGGTGCCTGTACGCGGAAAAACGAAAAAAAAATTTTGAAAAATCGGTCCACAGGCTACCTGTGGACCAAAAAAAAATTTTTCGACCTCCCCCCCCCAGAGAAAAACCGTAGCGACGTCCCTGAGTCTAATATCCAAAAAATTTCAAAACATAAGTATTTTCTTTTCCCATTTAAAATGATGTTTCCTTGGATAGTCGTAGACGAAGCAGTAGTCGCGGTAAACCAGATAGTCCGTGTAAATATGTAGCGTGCACATGGAGAAGTTGACCAAGATGTACAAAAGGCGTATTTCTTGTGCCATTGTATTCAGGTTCTGACGGTTTTCGTTCCACCACTTCTTGACTGGATCACGATATAAGTCTTTCTGGGCTAGGTTGATCTCGGCGATCATGGCACAAAACATGAGTAATTGGCATACTGCCTGAAAGGGTTGTAAAGATAAAATTATTCGGTTAGACGACATCATTTTAAGTCTTAAAATTGTAATTTTTAACGGTTTTTTAAAGTTCAAACGTTTAAAAAAAGGTCTAAAGACTTCATTTTTTGGGTAAAAAACATAATTTTAAGGCAGCAAAACACAAAGTCCCAAGACTTTTTGACCAAAAAATCAAAGAATAAACATTTCATCATCCTTTCATTACCTACACACAACAAAAACAAGCCGAAATCCTACCGAAACGATGAAGAAAACAAGGTAAACTAATCGTATTCTGAAGACGGCCCCGACCAGTAGTACCACATACGAGATGATCAATACTATACTGGCTCCCATTACACTTGTTGGTATATTCTGGTGAAAACTATGCGCCATGAACTTTTCGAAACATAACCCTGCGTAAAATACGCACATGACCGCTGACATGCATATCACAAATTTCTGAAAAAAATTGTCGAAAGATGTTTAATGTCATATAAGACTTACATGCAAGTTGACTTTGACACAACAATCGTATTCTGGATCGTCTTCTGGTTGAAAAGGCTTCTCTGCGTCTTTCTGCTTATTGTTTCTGCGCTGGAAATGGCAGAGAATGTTTGAAAATGGTAGAAATCATACCGAAACTTGAAGAAAACACCCAAAAACTATTTCAAAAATCCCGAAAAAAAACAATTTATACCTAAAAATTAAGCTAAAAACAAATAATTAAAGAGATAACCTACCCTTAACGTTGTAGACACATCCTCATGAGACATACTGCTCAAAGATTTAAAACTCTCTTTACGCCTTTTCATTCCATAAAATAAAGAAAATATGCAAAAAATCAACCGACCAGCTAAGTTCAAATAACAAAGAATTACTTTTACAAGTATAAAAAATTAATTTTCTATCAAATTTCATAAACTTTTTTTTTGTAATCAAAAAAAGTTGTAATTAGACCTGAAAGAGGGCTCACACTAGGCGCGGCCCGGCCTCAGCCCAGTCCCAAACCGAAGCAATTTTTAAAAGGTGTGGGCCGGCACATGAGACCGTTAGAACCGAGACCCCAAGCACGGCTAGACATGAGCAACGGGCCGGGCCTGAGCAAAATCGAAAACGGCCGGGCTTGAAAATTGGGCCCGGGCTCGAAAAAAAATTTTAAAATTTTTTATTTTAACGCCCGTTTATATTTTCGATTTTATTGGATTCTATGATCCATAAATGACCTAAAAAACAATTTAAAGCCAAATTTCCGTTTAGTTTTTAAGTTTTAAAATTTTTTAAAACGGGCCGGGCCTAGAAATTTTCTAATCGGGCCGGGCCTGACCAAAATCAAAAACGAGCCGGGCCTAAAATTTAGGCCCGGCCCGTTGCTCATGTCTAAGCACGGCAAGACGAACGCAGCTTCCATTCCGCAACGAATGATTTGACTTGCAAAAGTAGTAAAACGAATCTGATCATAAACCTATTTATTTAAGAATAATGTTTGAACTAATTGTGAGTTTAAAAATAAAATTGTTAAATTACTGGTTATTTAGAGCTTGAAGCTGTACGGAATAGGCTATCATGACGTCTCAGTTATCATTTTAATGAATTTTTATAAGAGACAATTAAATTTGAGAAGTGCCGGGCAGGCACACCTAGGCCATAGAGTCAAATCCCAAACCCGAGCTCTGCAAGTGAGCCAAGCCAAAAAAATGGGCCCGGGCCATTTACATAGACATGAGAAACGGGCCGAGCCTGAATGTTAGGCCCGGCCCGATCAAAATTTTGCTCTGGCCTGGCCCGATGGTAGGCCCGGGCGGCTCAAGCCCAATTTTTTTACGTGGAAACGGACCGGGCCCGGCTCATTTTTCAGGCCACGATCGTAATTTTGTCCAGGGCCGGCCCGTTTCTCGTGTCTACATTTACAAGCCTAACTTTATAAAGGTGTTATGTTAATTTCATTTCCAGTTTTATATTCTTAATACAAAAATCAATTGGATATTGATCGTATATGTAAATGTTAGTATTAAAAAAGTATTCATATTAAAATATATTCGAAGCTTTTTATTTGTTTCAACTTTTTTCAAAGATAAAAATGACGAAGTCTCCAAAAACCTTTCGCTCAGCTACTACAATACCTACAAGTTGATCTTTTTCAATTTTATGATACCTACAAGTTTAATTTTTCCATATTTCTTTCATATTTTTATCGCAATATTATACTCAACCTAATGTCTTCATTTAATTTCGAGTATTTACATGTAAAACATATCACAATATTGTAATGTTGGGGCTACGATTAACAGGTTTAGTAACCGAAATGTAGGTAATTCCCATACTGCTTTGAACATACGTTCCAGTAACCACAAAACATGCCCTTCGTAGAGTACCTCGTATTTCGCTAAAATTGATGTTGTTAATGCTTTAATTACTGTCGTATTCGTCATGATAAGCAGTATCTCATGCATCGGGCAAAATATGAGATTACTAATATGAAGCGGATCGTAGTCTAGACTGGTACTGTAGTAGTGCTATTTTACTACCAAAAATGTAGTAGCAACATTTTAGTACCAGTCATACTACGTGTTTAGTAGTTTATTTTTAGAGTGAGTACCAATCTCTTAGATAGTACTGCAAAGTTTTTTTAGTACTAAATAGTACTAATTTCTTAACCAGTACTACAAAAGTAACCTTGTCCTATATAGGACGTACTGTAAACAGGTAATAGTCACTATTTTTCCGTACTAAATTGTACTAACTTCTTAATTAGTACTAAAAAAGCTAAATAGTCCTATCATTAAGCAAGTACCACTATTCAATGCTAAATTACTTTAAAAATTTACCGATTAAGAAAAATGTAAAGTGGTGCACTCAGCGAGCATCGACACAACGTTAATATGTTACTGAACGACGTTCGCATACCATTAGACGACATAGCCACGGTCAATAACATTTGAATGGCATCGATAGAGCTGAGCAAGATTGTTTGTAGGAAGATCTTGCCTTCGATCGTCTTTTTAATGTTTCGCGTGCTTGGAATCTGAAGTTTTTGAAATTTTATCGTTTTTTCATATAGTATATTTCTACTTTTTAAAATTTTTCCCAATTTTAAGGTCATATTGGCATGCATGTATCATAAACATAGAAGAAAGTCATACTGACCATAGTTCTCAAGAGCTCAGAAGCCGGCTTTGGCCGCAGAGCAGCTCAGGCTCCGAAGCTAGAACCGGAGAAAAAATGTATAAAAATGGGGAACCCCGGCTAAAAACGAAGCCAGAAAATGTCGAATTTAGTACTGAATCACTATAACGGCTCCCGAGTGGCTCTAATGCAAGAATTAAAGTTAAAATTTGAAAAAAGACAAAGCTAAAGCTGACCCAAAATCAAAAATTTTAAATTTGAAAACTTTGATACAGACAACTAGACCTGAAAGAAAGCCCAATATTCACGGCTTGATCTCGAGCCGACCTGAAGCCCGAGTCAATTTGGACTAAAAAGCCTCTCTGTAAAGACAACACCCCTTATAGTAAACACAAAATGTCGGTCCCTTCGGGTTGCTTATAACATATGGTTCACTATATGGAGAGACCACTGTATTTACTTTAAAATAATCTTTAAACTATGTTTAAAAGTTAAAATTGTTAAATTATTAGATATTTAACTGAAACAATATACAAGTTGTCCTATTTATTAATTTAATGAATTTATATAAGGGCCGAATTCAAAGCGAAATGGAAATAGTCGTCCAGCCCAAAAAATTAAGCCCGACCTGGCCATTTTGCAGGTCTAATTACAGTAAGTCTACATAATACATAAAAAAGGTTACTTTTTGTGCCCAAAACTATTTTTATAAATCTTAAAAAGCTACAATTTTTAATTTTAGATACAAACCTATCCAAAATTAAACTTAGTCGCCACAGTAAGCTTTACTATTTTAGATATTGCACTTAGCAAAAATAAAATTGTATTTTACATACAATATTGAGTATGAATAACGTGTAGTACATTCATTTTTAGACTTTTAAAAGGGCATTTCCGATCCCACTTACCTAAAATTTTAAAAAACTTAAGTTATCTTCCTATTCCTTGTTACATACAGTAATTACATACTTGATTTACAGAGACCACAAACGTTACAGTAGTCTTAGTTACGTACATACTTTAACGTTGAAGGACTTCCGTTTTTGAAAAAAAAAGACAAACTTTGTGAAATCTGGTGTAACAATGCATTGTCATTGAGTACGTTTACACACGAATGTATTAATATTGTCGTTAACTATAATCTCGTCACATGTACTATTGTAGTTACCTTAGATTATGTATAAGTGATATTATACCTCATTTTCGATCCCTATGGCTTGTGGCTGTTAATATTTATTAAAACAATACCCATATTTGTTGGCAATTTACCTCAACAACAATAAGCTGTTGACGTGGTAACCCAACATTTAACAAATTTGTTACCAAAACTTTATAATTTCGTATTTTAAAACATCCTAAAGCAAATCACTGTCTACCTTAATATAACTCGCATATAACCTTAAACTAACCCAATACGTTGTCTTCATATAGGATGTCTTATAGCTTCATTATAGCTTGTCAATACCTTGAAATATTAAAGGATACCTACCTTAATACCTCCTAATATATAACCTTAAACTAAACAAACTTATGATCTTAATATAACCTGTCTTATAGCTTCAATACATTGAAGTAACAAACAATACCTACCTTAACATAGAAAGCAATGATAACAGCCCCAGCCGCCGCCAATCCAGCAAACAATGCCAGCCATTGCATTGTGTAAAAGCATCTGATTAGAACGTTCCACACACTATGACCAGCCCAGGTCATTTCCGTATAGTCAAAGTTCAATACTCGACCGTAGTAAAAGTAGGTGGATATTGTTGCTATTCCAATCATCCAGCATAGCAAGAGGCAAAACTAAAACATAAAAAAGTTTAGCCTAGTCTTAGGAAGCGTATCTTATACGTTGAACCAAAAGTAGCGGGACACTTTTTAGTTAAAAATAAATGAAAAGTGTCCCGCTACTTTTGGTTCAACCTAATACAGTAATGGCTTGTGCTATAGTCAAAATTGATTGTACCATAGTCATAACTGCACCATTTTGAAAAAAAAAAATTCTATTGTAATTTAAAAAATTTTTAAAATCTTACATCGTTAAGTTTATTAGTTTCAATCGGGCTTGGGCGTTGTATAAACGTGTAGTAGACTCGTGTGATTTCGAGCAGAGAATGATGATACATTTGGGCTTTGTAGACCACTTCATTCACGTATGCTATTACCTAAAATAGAACAAATTAAAAAATCCATATTAATATACATTTAATAATCGAAATATATACATAAAAGTGAGCCTGCTAGGCCCAGACCGGGCTCAGCTTCAGTCTGACCCGGTTACTTTACCGTACCCTAAATTACCCTACTCTACTTCACCTTACCTTATTTTAGATTAACTTACCCTACCTTAATTTATCTTAACATATCTTACCATACTTTACCTTACCATGCCGTAAATTACCTTATACTACTTTAGCTTGCCTTATATTACCTTATTTCAACATAACTTATTCTAAATTACAGTTTCTTATCTTACCCTACCTAGACCTGAAAAGGGGCCCACTAGGCCCGGTCCAACCTCGACCCAAGCCGGACCAAGTCGAAACAGTTATTATTTTTACGAATTTGTTATAGGTTGTTCAAATAATTCTGTGCCCTCTTTAAAAGCAGATTTAAAGACTAGAGAGCACAACATTATTTGAACATTCTAATAATACACATTAATATTATTATTAATTTCTATTCATTTCAGATCAAAAAGACTTACTTTAGTCGTATTCGAATCCATAACGTGTCCAAAGATCAAGTAGGACCATAGTGGAATGCAGAAAGATAGACAATATAAGCCTTCGGCCAGGATTGTCGAAGCAATCGTTCGCAAAATGTTTCGTTTTCGGAACTTTCTGACACACATTAGGATCTGAAAAAAAAATTTTGATAATGTACATCATCTTCCTCTTTATCAAAGATCATTTTTATTAAAACAACGTCCGCGTAAGAATCGAACATTGGTCAGACAGGGGCGATGAAAAATTTCAAACTATTTGAAAACCGCTCATTTTTTGATAAGAGGTAGCACTTGGGTATAGAAATGCAAATATATTTAAAAATTTTAAAAATTCGGGTTACGGTAGGATTACGGTAGGTTTTAAGGTTTTTTTGTAACTGTTGTACTAAATGTCAGAATGGAATGGGACTTTTTTTAAATTGTTTGTTACTATAAGACAATCATTTTATCTGTTGACAACTTTTTTTTATTATGCCCGGAAGGCATTGAAAAAAATTAAAGTTTTCAAAAAAAATCCATCAAAATTTTGAAAAATTTGAAATTTCTCGAAAAAAGTCACTATGTAACAAACTTTTTGACAACAGATAATGAAACTACATGCTTTTACAGTTCTAATGACACCGCGCATGGGTCATCTTAGCGGGGCCTTGCGGTAGCTACGAATTTTCAGAGTTGACACCCTAAGGTCAATTAGCACAGAATTTGACTGTAATATGGTTACAAATGGTTAAAAAAGGTGCATGGCACATATTACAAGTTTTATAAGTGTTTACAAACAATTTCCTGTGTAATGCCTCAGGGAATTTGTAATTTAAAAAAAAAATTTTTTTTAATTTTTAATTTTAAAAAATTTTTAAAGCTTGGAAATTAAAATGAATGCCTTGGCTTTTGGTAAGTGACCTATACAAAATTTTTACGCAAAAAAAAACACAAAAAAAATTTTTTTTTAAAAAATCGGGCCATAGGGGGACCTGTGGACGAAAAAAAAATTTTCAACCTTTCCTTCCTTAGAGAAAATCCGTAGCGACGTCTCTGTATAGATCATTTATTAAAAGCCAAGTCATATTCTTTTAATTTCCGAGTTTTAAAAATTTTTTAAAATTTAAATTTAAAAAAAAATAATTTTTTTAAATTACAAATTCCCTGAGGCAATACAAAGGAAATTGCTTTTAAAGACTTATGAAACGCTCAAAATGTGTCAAACACCTTTTTTAACCATTTGTAACCATATTACAGTCAAATTCTGTGCTAATTGACCTTAGGGTGTCAACTTTGAAAATTCGTAGCTACCGCAGGCCCCGCTAAGATGACCCATGCGCGGTGTCATTAGAACTGTAAGAGCATGTAGTTTCATTATCTGTTGTCAAAAGTTTGTTACATAGTGACTTTTTTTCGAGAAATTTCAAATTTTTCAAAATTTTGATGGTTTTTTTGAAAACTTTAATTTTTTTCAATGCCTTCCGGGCATAATAAAAAAAAAAGTTGTCAACAGATAAAATGATTGTCTTATAGTAACAAACAATTTAAAAAAAAGTCCCATTCCATTCTGACATTTAGTACAACAGTTACAAAAAAAATCTTAAAACCTACCGTAATCCTAACGTAACCCGAATTTTTAAAATTTTTTTATATTTTTGCATTTCTATACCCAAGTGCTACCTCTTATCAAAAAATGAGCGGTTTTCAAATAGTTTGAAATTTTTCATCGCCTATGTCTGATTCTTGGGTGAACCTTGTTTTAAAAATTGTACCTAAATTAATTTAAAAACCTGTTTTGATCAAATAATAGGTTACAAAAGTTAAAAACAGCCAAAAATGGCAATAAAAAGGCCTAACGGAGGACCCTAAACCAGGCTGAAGCAAATTCAAAAAGGGCCAGGCCAAATTCAGTCACATTTAGGCATAAAAAACTCACCATGATCAATATAATGGAAAATATGACTCCAAGAAGGCCAACTATGCTCTCCATGACGAGTCTGGCCAACATGAGCAACTACAGATCACCTAAAACAATATTTTTATTAAAAATTATTTTTTCCACAAAAAAATAATTTTTAAAAGTTAAAGACAACAAAAATATACAAATTATCAAAAATTCAAAAATAATTTCGTTTTTAGGCTTGTAAAATAATGTGACGACAGGTCTCTCTTCTACATATTATACTATACCCACATAAAACCAAATCAAACCCAAGTTCTCAAAAACGTACTCAAACAAGAAATGTACAAAACGTGCCCAGACTGACGTCAACCGTCTCATTCATTAGATAAAACACAAGAAAGAACTATTGAATTTGGCGGAAGTACCGTAATATCACAATGTACAGCGTACCATATGCAACAATGAAAAATATGATGGTCCACATTTTTCGGAAAATAATAACATATGTAGTTACATACAATTTTATTTGCTCTATCGAGTAATAAGTACAGTATAAGGCCTGTAAAAGAAATCTTTCGGGAATAAAATCTCTGGCCAACAATATACGGTACATTTAAAACTCCTATATACCAAAACGTACTTATAACAAACCGACTTAAAATCCCAGAGAAATTCGTGATACAGAAGTTCCACTGTATTACAATAACATTACATAATTCATTTCATACAATATACTGCATTTCAAAAAAAATCCAATTCAAAAAGTTAAGCCGGGCCGAAGCAAATTTAAATGCAGCACACGGAAGCCCAAGACCCAAGCCCATCACATAAGCCAAAAAAATAGAACCAGTCTAGCCGATTTACCAAACTATTAGGCGCCGACATAGAGAACCCGCCATACTTTTCCTGTAACTTCCTGTAAAAAATGGCGGGTTCTTTATGTCGGCACCTAACATTAGGTTGAACCAGAAGTAGTGGGACACTTTTCAAGTATTTTTCAACTAAAAAGTGTCCCACTACTTTTGGTTCAATCTAATAATTGCCAATTTTACCTAAAGTAACATCACCATCCCCAGCTTAGTACGCTATACGTTTCTGAAAACAAACTGCCAAACTTTATTGAACTCTGATTATATAAGCAAAAAGTTATACGACTACAAAGCGCCTTTCCTACTAAAGACAATCTAGTTCGTAGCCAACTTTTTAATTAATATATAACAATAGAAAAAGATTGTAGTACTTGACGTTTACGTGGTATCTTTAAAAAGCCTACCATACTCAAAAGTAAAAGTTTTTCAAAACTGAACTTTAAAAAATTGAAAAAAGTATTGTCGTATCTTGTTGTGCAAAATACTGTATGTCAACGAAAAGGCTTTTGACATAATTTTGAATTTGAAAAATTAAAAAATTGTAATTGCCTACGGAGTTAGACCTGTAATACATTTCAACTAGACCTGTAAAAATACCGCACCAAGTTTTTTTGCCCGGTCCATTTCAAGTTTGCTTTGGCCTGGCCCATTATAGAAAATCATCATGTTTGCACCATTCGCAAGCCAAAGCTTTCGTTGCGAGACCTAAGCTAGACCTATGGGGCCTTGGTTTCTATATATAAGTAATGTCCTGTGCAATTCTGTGCTACATGCCAAAGTCAGAAAAGTTTTAAACATCAATTGCAAGGTTTCAAAAACCTCGTTTTAGATTATAAAACCCACATTTTTGGTATTTAAACTTTCAAATACAAGTTAATAAGATCGCGATTAAGCTATACAAATGCCCAATTACCCCTACAATGTTATTCAACACATGGTGAAATGACATTTATACAAATACAATTATAAATTCTGAGAATTTACGGTTTTACAACAGTAAAAACTATAGAATTACATCATGAAAAACACTTTGATTTTAAATTAAAGTCAGTTTTCTTCTAAAATGTACCATAACTTTACAGTAATTTACAGCTTTTCGCTAAAACTATAATGTATTTTACTAGAAAATTAGCAATTTCATAACTATCATAGGTTGCAACATTTGAAATGGCAAGCAATAACTTACAAAAAAATACTTCAAAATTAAAGAAAAACTACAATTATAAAACTCGAAACATGTATGTTTACTTCCAGAAACTTCAAATATACTATACTATCTACTGAGATACCTACAACTCCATCATACTTTTATATACAAGTTGATACAAGTATAGGTAAGTAAAGATGTATATATAAGTATATACATAAGTATTCGTCTAAGCCAACCATTCAAGTACTTGTACTAAAGAATACGTAAAATGACAAATACTTTTATACTACCTAGATTATCATAATTATATAAAACTTACTCGAAAAATGTAAATGACTTCCTTTTTTAAAAACAATTAGTTACCTAAAAGTTCTAAAAAAGACATTCAAAACAAAAAACATTAGATTAATTCTGTTTTCAACGTACTATGTCTCTAACTATTGTAAGCTCGTATATACTATTAGGTAATTTATCTTATAGTATTATCCTCTTACTTGTCAGAAATTGTACAGTAGTACTCCTGTATAACTAATCGCTCGAAAATTTTAAAATTGTTTGTTATAAAGAGTTTCGTTATACAGGAGTTTTATAGGTTGAAACAAAAGTAGCGGGACATTTTTCATTTATTTTCCGACAAAAGTGTCCCGCTACTTTTGGTTCAACCTAATAAATGCTCTGCGTAATGATAGCCTTGAATTAAAAAGTTGTTCGTTATACGGAATTTCCACTGTATAAACTTATTATCACATAAAAATTAATTTAAAGCCAAAAAGTACGTCATAACATAGTTTAATATAAAAACCAGGCTATAAATAAAACATTTTGTACTGTAGTACCAGTGCCAGAAGTAGAAAAAGACGTTCAAAGTGGGGGAGAGAAAGAGAAACTCAATATAAGCAAAAAACACATCAAATCACAATAAACCCTACCTGTCGATTTGTTTCAACATCAGCTATAAGGAGGAAATGATAAAAAGGATAGGGTCGGTCCATTTCTAGCAACCTTTCTGAACACAAGTATCATTAAATAACATCCAGTACAACAACAACAACTTAATTCACAAAATATCGAACCAAACATAAAACACAAACTTATCAAACAGATAAACAACATAAAAATAAGCAAAACATCAAAACAGGTATATCACAGCACACAAGCTATAATTAAAAAACCACAAACACCACAAAATCTGCCAACACAACATTGCTACAAAACTTTATTTTATTTATGCCACACCAAGTATAATATGCCTTCTTAGCCCAGTTGCTCGTGATTCAACGCTTTCCTTTGCGCGTGTCGTAGACATAGGTAGAGCGATTAGAGTTGGCACTAGACGGAGCACAATATTGAGAACGGGCGCCGTCGGTGCTCTTTGAACTCGAGGTGCTGGCGTCTCGGGCCGTTGCGACGTTGGTGCTGCTGGTGCCGCCCCTAAAATTCATAATGAAAATCCGAGTTTTTAAAGCATGGTGAATAACTTAAAATTCGAGTTAATAAAGCCAAACCTACTCCATAAGTCTCTTTTTCATGATACGTGAAGAAAGCGTAGACGCTTCAGAATCCCGAGAATCGCTTCTGTTGGTTGTGAAGTAGGTCGTCGAGTTCTCAGAGTTGGGTTTCACTTGCCATGCACTGCTTGAAATCGATCCTGGATTGCTGGGACGACGGAATGGACCTGACAAAAATACAATCATTAATGTATTACACATACCGTGCTCTATATTATGGTAAGTCAAGTAGCACAAACCTGACCTTATCCTACCGTACCTTAACATACTGTAACTCACCCTACATGAACATATCTTACTATACTTTACCTGACTCTACACAACTATACCTTACCGTACATTACTATAGCTTCAATAAACGACGTATTTTACCATTCTATACCTCAATGAGGGGAGAATCGAAAATTTTTTTTTTCGTTTTTCCGCGTACAGGTACACCTACCTGTGCAATTTTTTTCGGATCGGCTCTGAGGGGTACCCCCCCTGCCACCAAACGACGTCCCTGCTTATACTACCTTATTTTACCTTACTTATCATAAATTACCATACCTTACCTAACCTTGCTCTATCATAAAACACATTATAAATTAGCCCTACCCTTCCTGCCCATTCAAAACCCCCTTAAACTTACCTAAAGTTCCACCCGAAGCCGGCGAATCCGCAACCGAAGCCTTTGAGAATCTTTTGCTGGGTCTGTAGTTGGCTTCCTTGAACACTTCAGTGCTAGGCGGCAGTTGATTGTGTTCCTCAACCTCGGATTCGGAAAACATTCGGGCATTGATCAGTTTTTGGCTGGGTGACCCATCTCTGTGGCCAGAAGATGGGGCTCTGAAGCTTCGATCACTAGCACTCGGATTGACTTGCCACGCGCTGCTCGAAATCGATCCTGAATTGCTAGGGCGGCGGAAAACACCTGAAAAGGTAGCAAAACTCAACTCTATGAATGAGAATAGGCTAGGCGCACTACTGTAAAAAATTCAAAAAACAATTGAAAAAATAGGTAGATCCCGATTTTTCGACCCCTTCCGCAGACTCAGGGTCACCTGCCCGTCACTTCCCATACCCACCAAAAATCTTAAAAAAGATGCCCTACCTTACTCTACCGCGAAATCCACATTAATTTAACCCTATCTTACCCACCATAGCTCTATCCTATCTTATCTTAACCTACCTTAACATACTTAGATGTGTCTTACACTGCCCTACTCCACCTTACTCTACCATACCTACCTAACCATACTTTAACCTACCTTACCCTACCTTATCACGCTTTACCTTACTTTACATTGCCCTACACCACCTTACCCTACCTTACCATGCTTTACCTTACCTTACGCTACCCTATCCTAACCTTGCTCTACCTCAAAATCCACCATACATTCCCTATATTAAGCCTTACCTCTTCCGTAGCCGGCTTCCTTAAACACTTCGGAGCTTGGAGGCAGTTGGTTGTGTTCCTCGACCTCGGACTCGGAAAACATTCGACCATTGATTAGTCTTTGGCTCGGGGATATATCTCTGGAATCTGCTTCTCTGAAGCTGTGATCTCTCGAACTCGGTTTCACTTGCCACAGGCTGCTCGGCACCGATCCTGCACTGCGAGGACGACGGAATCCATCTGGAAAAAGCAAAATTTTATCGTAACTTACCATTTGTTAGTCTACTCTGCTTACCTTATCCTAAATTACCATATCCTTACCTCTCTTAAGATATCATACCATACTTTACCTTAACATACCGTAATTTACCCTACCGTACTTTACCTTAACTTAAATTACAAAACCTTACCCTTCCTACCCAATCAAAAACCCTTAAACCTACCCAAAGTATCAGAAGCAGAAGATTCAACCACAGAAGCCTTCGAGAATCTTCTTTGAGGTCTGTAGCTAGCTTCTTTAAAGACTTCTGAGCTTGGAGGCAGCTGATTGTGTTCCTCGACCTCTGATTCCGAAAACATTCTACCATTGATCAACTTTTGACTTGGTGACAAATCTCTGGGGCCAGAATCCGGACCTCTGATGCCATATCCATCTCTACCTCCATATCCTTGATCCTTAGCACCGTAGCCTTGACCTCTAGCCCCATATCCATTTCTACCACCATAGCCTTCATCTCTAGTACCAAATAGTGCATCTCTCGTAGAGTATTGATCTCTGCCTCGATCCTTGGCTCCAACAAACCGCCCTTCACGATCGACTCCAAACTGAAGACCCAGACGTTCATTGGCCGAATCGATGGATTCCGAGCGACGGCCACCAAAAGCAGCACTTGAATTGGAACGGTCATCCGAGCCTCTTTGAGTTGAGCTTCTGTCTTGTCTTGCACCTGAAAAAGTCAATTTTAAACCATTTCAAGTCAAAAATCAAACATAAAGCCTATAACAATATAAAAAAAATACATTTTAAACCTCATTCAGTCCAAAAACTTAATTTTAAACTCATTTTACGTCAAAAACTTCATGTTAAGCCTAAAAAGCAAAGAACAAATAGCATTTCAACCCCAAAACCCAAACCTACGAGTCTGGCTTCGACTGGCCCGTCCGCTTCGATTAAAATCGTCAAATGGCTGGTCCGACCCCATGCTCTGTGGGAAAAATCTGTGTTCCGTAGGGTTCTTGCCAAAACGAGTACCAGACTCGCTGGAACGGACGTTGGAACGGCTCTTCTTCACGCTAAAGTCCGGCAATTTGTTGATTTCCTGAATCATCGACGCTTCGATGCGATTCCGCTGCTTTTCGTTCTCGTCCAAGTCCACATTGGTCGAACTGCTGAAATTGAAAATATTTTTAATTTTTTTTCATTTAAAATAATTTTTTTTGTAAAAGTATCTTTTTATTTTAAAATTAAAGTTCTTCACATCGTACAAAAACTTTTTCGTATAAAATGTCCCATGCAGGCTGCGCAAAAATTATTCGCAAGCTGCGCCCAAAACATTACAAGAAAAAACGGAAAATCTCGTTTTTAATGATAATTTTTTCTTTAAAAATGACAAAACTTCCCAAAAACTTACAACTTCTCCTCGGCCGGAGTCACCACAGCAACACAATTCTTGGTGAAGCGTTGGGGATTGGTGCTGACCATCACAGTGTCACGACCCTTGCCATATACGTAAAAGTTGGGGCAATTGGGGACGCTCATCCGCTGAATCAGATGCTCGATGAGGCGTGCATTGTCGCGCTCGCTAATGTTGGCGATGCGGATACTGGAGAGGATTTTGCCGGCGTAGCGATGCTTTTCGTCCGAGCGAAGCCAAAAGATGATCAGGTTGATGAGGTCGAGTTTCTCGTTGAAGGAGACGGTTTGTTCCGAGACGAGGATGCAACAGCTCTCCGGGGTCAAACTTTTGATGTCTTCGGTGGAGAGGGCGTCGTGGAAGCGGGCAATGTCCGAGACCAGGTTGCGACGCGAGTTGGCCGAGATCTGCAAAGGTTTGGGTAAGGTATCGGCAACAAATACAGTAAGATTACTGTGTAACGAATCGCTCGGGGATAAAAACTAGATCAATAGAGACAATGATCACAATATTCTCATATTCTAGAAGTTTCGGCAATCATATCGAAAAACCTTCTTACCTGATATCTCGGATTGGAAGCCAAATTCATACAATATATTCTGAACGTTTCCTTTTGGGCCAAAGCACGGAACGTTTGTTCCAGATGACGATGAAGATCATCGACACCAAGAAAGGCGGTTACTTCGAGGTAGTTGCCAATATGTTCGACCGAGAAGTCGGTGTGGCCATGATACATCCAGTCGACCACCTTGAACACGGTGCGTGGTCGGAAATTGTCCAAATTGAGGGAAAACGGCGGACGGCGACGGGTCATGAGCTGGAAATGGCAATATTAAGGTAGGTTGAAGTGTTTTTTTAAATATTAAGGTAGGTTCGAGTTTTTGAAGTTTAGATATTAACAAAACTTCTCTTACTAAACTAGATTTCACAAAAGTAATGTTAAGCCAGTAATGTTAAGATAAGGTCAAAAATGCCAATATAAACTTACATTTCTGAGATAGCTGGAGTGAGCAAAGGCCACGGCCGAGTGGAGGTAGTCCTTTTGGCCGTTCATGTTCAGCTCAATGTCGATGAAGCGACGGTTATTGGCTCGTCTCTCATTCGACAACCATTCTCCAACTGCGGCAAAGTGAAGGGCAATGTCCGACTGCTTCACTGCCACCGTCTTTTGATCTCTAAAACGAAGTAGGCTTAGAACTTGCTTAAAAAGCCTAAAATTAGGCTTATAAAACACAAAAAACGCTTAAAATTTGGCTTGTAGACAGACTGACAATACTAGTGTAAAACATGATGCTATGACAAAAACGGTACCACAATATACGCTACTATATGAAGACATACCAATGGAGTGTAACACCATAACATACGATAGTACGAAAAAAGCATAACTTACTCTTTCTCGGCATCCAGACCTCTCATTGTTGCAACCGGTTTCCAATCTTTCAAATCTTGAATAATGACCAATATTCGAAATTTCGGTCGATTTTATACCGCCATTTTATGCAAATTTTGGAAAAGCGCTTTTGAAACTCGGTTAGTGGCAAATACATACTGAAAGTAGTGCTAAATAGTGCAATAGTACTAGAAATGAAAAACGATCCCGCTTATCGGCACGGACCCCTTTTTAATTAATAAATAAGCCACTAACACTTCAATAAGTTGTCTTTTGGCATTATACGAAGGTAAGATACCAACACTAATCAAAAAAGTTGTTAAATATTAGGTTGTTTACATAATTTTCCGCCTCCTCACCCTAAAAATTTGCTTTGAGAATAAGTGGACAACTAATAGAACCGTAACATAAACATAATACAAAATAAAGTTAACCAAAATTAAAAAAAAACTAATGAAAGTTCCAAAAAACAAAAAATTGGAACCAAAACAACCATAATTACAAAAACCAAACATATCCGTTCTCTAGCGGTTATAACAAATTTTATTATTGATTACAAAATTATTCAATCACACATGTTAAGACACGAACGTACAAAAACCGACGTTGCATTGCAGTAAAAAGTTAGGATAAACAAATATTGAGCTAGGTATGATACTATAGTAAAGAGAAATACACCAAACATATTGTCAAACTAATCAAATTCAAAAAGAATTCAAGTAATTGAACAATCTAATCAAGTGCAATATCAATGATCGGTTAATTACAGCAAAGACAATGTCAGTTGTAGGTTCGGTCGTGCGATGCGAAACGTATTTGTATAACATTCAATTACAATCAGTATTAGGCTAGGATTACTTCCAGGATTTTGTGTTGTTGAGGGCTGATTTGGATGCTGCTTACGATCTGTTGGAAGAGGGTTTCATTTTGCTAAAAGAATATAAAATTATGCAAAATCGATCATATTTTATCATAAAATTTGGTAAAATAAATGAAAATATATTGTTTTCCAATAAAAAAACGTTAAGTTGGGCTAGCGCAATGTCAAGTTAAGATTATGAAAAATTAAATTATAAAATTTTCATCCCATCAAAATGCCATTTTTTCTTAAAATAGCCATTTTCAAATAAACCTTTTTCTAAACTATCCGTCTTAATAACTTACCCTCAAAGCCTTCAAAATGTTGGCTAGTCTCTCTTTGGTCTGAATCAACTCCTTGGCCGGCTCATCTGTTTCAAAAGCTCCGTGACTAAATGTAGACAAGATGATCTGGAACATTTTAGGTACGTTCTCATTGTTAGCTCCAATCACAGCCGAGTGTTGTCCTTCTACCAGGTCGCAGAAGTAGTCGTAGACATAAGGAAGTTCCTCATCGTCTTGCCAGATTGGGAGCCAGCTTATGAAAGCGGGGATGACAGTATTTGTGTCGAGAGCTGACGAATTGTGCTTCAGAATCTTGGCCACGGCTGAGATAGCGTTCTCTGTGGCTGCCAAGCCTTCTTCGGATTCGCGAGCATTGGGGAGGTTGATAGCGTGAGCCATAACTGTCACGGCTTCTGCACAGAATGGGGCAAATTGTGGGCCACCCTGAAACATAAATATATGTAAAATATAAAGTAATCTAAAAAATATTATAATAGACAATATTTTACAAAAGTAATTGATAGGCAAGCCTCAAAAAGACCAAAACCACTCACCTTCATAGCCAATACACCAATACCATAAGCAGCAGCCTGTCGCACTTCTGGGTAGTCATCATCACCAGCATGCCTCAATAAATTTGGCAAATACACTTGTTGATACTGTAGACGGCCTTGATCACCTCCATATTCAATAATATCATCGTAAATACAAGTTCCCCACTGACGATCCCTCCATGGTCGTGAAGAGTCCAAAAGTACAGCGAATTGTTGATTCAATTCGGCAAAGTATGGCAGCATTTTCTCCCCAAAGGCGGCAAAGGAATAGTGAACAACATCAGCTATTCTAGCCAAAACTGAAGCTTCTGAATCATAGATTGCTTCAAGTTCCTGTTGATCTTCCTCATCAAAGTCGTCGTCCTTTCGGCTCTTCTTAATCTCGACTTGTCGCTCCTCGTAACGTTTCATCTGGTTTTGTACAACACCCAAAACAATCTTGAGTTCGTTTTCTCCAAACAAACGGGTACCGGTTTCTTCAATCATCTGAGCTACAGCGTATAGTTTGCTGGCCAACACTTCCAAATCGCTTTCATTTTCCAAAGACTTGCTAAAAATAGAAAATTCTGTATATTAACAACAAATAGCTTATCAAAAAAAGTTAAAATAATATTCACAACGAGTAATAAGTTTAATATTAGCCTATGATGAATAACACAAACCTTCTCTTTTCAGAATACAGTAGAATATAATATCTAAAACTTACATTAAAGGCTCAAAGATTCGGTTGAAGACAGCTCTTTCGGTATCTACACCTTGTTCTTTCACACATGCCAGTAAAGCTGGCAAACATTCAGCGGCAGCAATTCTGACACCATCATGGAAGACATATTTCAATTCAGATACCATCAGATTCAAGACTTCCTCAATATAAGGTCCGAAAGCAGCTCCTAGATCTCTGGCGAAGCTCACCAACATTTCACAAGCAGTTAGTTTGTCCTCAAGACCAGCAGTCTTCACACCAATTGATCGTTGATCTCCAAGCGAGATTATGTTCCAGTCGTCTTCATCGTAGCCTCCAACTTCATCGTCGCTGATGATATTGACATTGGGTTGCATGCTGGCCGACTTCATGATACTTGGCATAACATGAGGAAGGTAGGGAGCGAATTCGGCGCCAAGGACCTTGCATAGTCTAGCCCACGAGCTGATCATGTAGGAGAGTTCTGGGTCGTCTTCCTCATCGAAAGTAAGGCCACTTTGAAGCAAAGTGTTCATGATCTCAGCAGCATCCGCTCTGAAGTTCTCTCTTCCAACAGCAATACCAATAAGAGACAGACATTCCATTGTTTTTCCTCTCAAAGCCTTGAATTCCCGCGAGTTAGAGTTGCTGAGGATGTACTTGAGTGAGTGTGACAATCGTGGGTAATATTCGGCAAAGTTGTTCTCGGCCGCGTCAGCAACAGCAGCAATTGTTGTGATGATCTGTTCGAGCACGAGCTTCTTTCCACTTTCGACCATCTTTTGGAAGGTTTCTGCCAGTACTGACTCAAGTTTGTCCATGATAGACTTTAGGTACACTCCCATGATACTCTTGGGACATTCCTCGCAGAAGTTGACCAACGCAGCTCCAGCATGAGCAGCGACACGTGGAGTAGTTAGATCACCTACGTTTTCGATCAAGGCGCCCAAAACTCGTTCGTGGCACTTCTTTTGGACTGTTGGTGAAAAGTCAGTTGACATTTGACCGAGACAGTTGCAGACGGCGTAGCGTACTCGAGGGTGGGGGTCTTGAATACAGGGAATGACCATGTCATGAATGATTTGGGAGATCAGAGGCTCCATCTGACGTCGGCAGCCTTCGCCCATTGTTGAGAGACCCATGATGGCAGCGTGACGGTATCTCCAATCTTCTGAAAAAATAATAATAAATATTACCCTTGTATAAACTTAGAATTATGTTTTTTAAAATAAACAAAAATTCAATTAACGGCCCAATGAACTATCTGAAACACCTTCAAAATCTCAAAACTCTTACCGTGCTTAATAATCTCATTTATAGCCTGTAGCAATGGCTGCATGACAGCCTTTCCGCCAACAGCACAGCAAATTCTGTCCAGAGCCATCTCACCGATACCAACATTCTCTTCGTCCTCATCTTCATCAATGTTATCGCAAGCCAGCCAGTCGGAGATGTCTTCCTCCAGGTCGGTCATCAACTTTAAACAATTTTGAACCAATAATGGCAAGAATCTGGCACCCTTCTTTCTCATCGTGGCTGGAGCCGCTTCGCAGTATGATACCATCACTTCTAATGCTGAATGTCTGTAGTTCTCATCCTTCTCCGTGTTTCCCATAGTTTGAAGGCAAAGTTCGGCAATTGTGGTCAGATGTGGAGTTAAAATCTTTGGCACGGCCGAGGCTAGGTCGCCGAGACATTGAAGCGGAACATCATCGTCGTCTTCGGTGGTTACGACGTGTTGGCATACCTAAATGCATAAACAAGATATTAAACTAGTAAAAATAGGGTTTTTTAGTTTATCCTGCATTCAAAAAAATCATCTCTAGTTAAAAAATATTAAATATCAAAAAATATCTAACAAACTAAAAATTACCTGAAGAACAGCTGGAATAAGATCCGCCAAGGTCTTGACCACAACATCGTTCTCATCGTTTTCGCATACAAAACTAACATAAGCCTTAACAGCAGCCGTTCTCACTTTGCTGTCGGCTCCGTATAACAAAGACGATTGGAACATGGTCTTGATTCCATTCATATATTGTTCTTGATCTACTCCAAAGATGTTTGGTACATTTCTAAACAGAAATCGTTACATTATCGGTAGGTAATTTAATATTTAGATCCATCATGTCAAACTTTTGTTGATTTAAACCAAAAAAAATTTTACAGAAAAATCATTGTCCAATACCTAAAAACCAACACAAAAAAGTAATAACTTACTCAATAAGTTGCATTCCAACTTCACGAAGCTCAGGACGATCAGATGTAGCACAATGTTCGATGAGTTGCATGACTCCAGTCCATTCTTGCTTTCCGCTATCTTCATCTAAAACAATATAGTTTAAAATAGCATTAGTAATCTGTTTAATACCCATATCTTAATTTTCAACTATTCTTCAAACAAAAACATTATTTTTAATACAAAAATAAAATTTTTTAGAACTTTGTTAACAAAAACATCTCATAACAGCTAAACTGTCAATTTATTTTCGTAAAGTAAGAGCAAAAGATTTTAAAACAGTCATTAATATTAACCAACTTACTAATAGTATTCCTTGAGATCTCAGCAACGATGTCAGTTAAGCGTTTTCGAAGAATTGGAGCTTGTTCTTGAGTTATAAAGTCGATGAACTTCTGGAAAAACTCTTGTTTGCCGGCTTCTCCGATAGCATGAATCAATTCGTTATAATCAGCAGATAGCAAACGCCTGAACAATACCAACGACATAGAACGTACCTGAAATAACATTTGTATTTAAACGATCATTTTTTATTTTTTAGCACTTATATTATATTATACTTGACAAACTTTCATGAAAACATGATCAAAATGATACTTCTGCCATAAATATACCTAAAAATAAAACAAAAATAACAAAATTCAACTTACTTCCGCATTCACGGTCGCATCCATGTAGAGCTGCAACAGGAATTGAGCTCGGTTTTGAAGTGGCAATTCATTGTATTGTTTCTCGGCCAAATCACGAGTTTTGTTGTCGGTTCCCAACAAGTTGACGACTAACTGTTGGAAAGCTTGTAACTCAGCCATAACAAATATTTTAAACAATCAGAGGGAAACAAATGTAACAAACAACAATAAAAACGTTTGGACCCTGAAAAGTGCCAAGAATAATATAACAATGTCGTAGAATAATATAACAGTGTCACAGAATCAAAAAACACAATCCGCGGCACAAAAACAATAAGAGAAAATTGCAAAAAAATGTGTTTTAGTTACCTATGGCAACATATTCACCTGCAAAATTTCAAAAATTAAAAATGACAGCTCAAATTTGATCTAAACAACATTATCATGCTAAAAACCGTTCGAAACCTAATCTAAAAGTACCTATAAAGTTTTAGAATATTCGTTATATCATCATAAATCTTTAGCAAAGCTTAAAAACCATCTGAAAGCCTCATTTTACATCAAAGACTATATTATCCATTCCCAACCCTCAATACCTCAAAAAACACGTCCAAAACAACAAAAACAGCTCTAAAAAATCATAAATAATATTCTACTTGACCCGCAGACACTCATAAAAACGCTGCTTTTCTCTAAAACATCAATAACAACATAACAACGAAAAAATTGAATAACACGTCATATCAAAGCCTAAAACAATATAAATTTACCGTCAAATGCCAAAAGTCGCCTAAAAGGCATGGAGATGGTCCGAAAATGGGCGCCAAAATTACTTCGACATCTCGAAATTTTTTTATTTTATTTTTCACTTTCCCAATTCCTATGAGCTCGTCATTCGAAGCGAACGCAGGCAAGTGGCGGGAATTCAAACCCGAATTTCCGAAAAACGGCCTTTTGATAAGGGTTTTAGGGAAACGTATATTGGAGAGAGTGACATAAGGTGATAAGAAAACGTCTGATTCATTATGATTCATAAAATTGTAAAAAAAGTTGTTTTACGTTGCATTAGATAGATAACAAGGTCAAGGACAATATATAGAACAGATATTTAAAAAGGCCAAAAGAAAATATATTTAAATTATCAAAAATACAAGAAAAATGAGTTAAAAAATATTTTTTTTTCAATTTGAAAAAATTTCCATAAAAAACCAAAAAAGATATGTTTCATCGTATAAAACGTCCCCAAGGATAATATCCGAAAAATCTTGCTCACGTCAGTTTCCGAACGTTCAGAAAACGTTTTGCTCACGTTTTGTAAACGTCAAACTTAAAATAAACTTTACGTGCAAGAAATATAACAGATGTTCGAGAGATTACCATAGAAAAAGGCGAAATTCGCGTGGCTTTCATCGATAACCAACCTTTTCAACTCATATTATTGTAGGAAACTTAAAATATTGTAAGATAAGGCTTTTAATCCGTAAAACAAAAGCTGATAAGCCGATTACTTTTGTTTTTTCGAAATTAGATTGATTAGTAATGTCGGTATCGGTGTTGAAAGGCATCAAAGTCTTGGATTTTTCGCGGATTCTGGCCGCACCTTATGCTTCACAACTCTTGGCCGATCATGGTGCTACTGTGTGGAAAATTGAACGGCCCGGTATGTTTTTTACTTCTTATTTCATTATGGATCTATATTAACTTAAAAATGGCTTTTTACTAACTTTTGAAAGCAATAAACCTTTTCTAAACGTTTTTGGAGCTTTATTTAACTTTAAACCTTGAAAAACCTTTAAATTTTTTAGCTTACTGCTTAAAATTTTTAAAAAAGATATAGTTTATTTTTTTACTATCATTTTCATCCAAATTTACCCCGTTTACTATCTTTTTTACTCCTAAAAAACATGTTCAAACACAATATAAACAGAAAAACCCTAAATTCCCTCCAAAAGAGAGACAAGAAGAGCAAAACAAGCAGCCCGACCGCGTGTTTCTTTAGCGCAGTGGTTTTTCGTTTGGACTCGGAGGCGAAAGCCGGTGGGTTCGGGGGTCGATGACGATTTTGACACGACGGTCTTCTTAGAGCATGATGCAGATAAACAATGTGTCACTGAGACTTTTCGTCAAAATTTTGGGTTTTTTGGGGGTGGTTTACTATTTTTGCTTTCTCAAAGGTACCTTGAGTAAAAAAGTTTTAAAATTCGAAATTTTTAGAAAATTGTTTTGTCAAAACACCCTCCCGCATCAAAATTACCCGCCCCGCTCTGGCTATGGGTAAAAAGTCTTGTCGTCCCCTAATATTATAATAAGACCTCCAAAACTATACCTAATCCGCATAAAAATCAAGAAGTCGTATTTTACACCCCCCACAAAAAAAATTCTAAAAATGTCAAATAAACTTCTTAAAATGTAACTTCAGGCACGGGAGATGAAGTTCGACGTTGGGCGCCGCCGGAAATCAATGGTCAAAGCTGCTACTTTCTGACTGTCAACCGAAGTAAACAGTCAGTTTGTGTGGATTTGGGTAAGAAAGAGGGATTGGAATTGGCAAGAAAACTGGCTTTGAAATCAGACGTCCTATTAGAGAATTTCAAGACTGGTCAGATGAAAAAGTTCAGCTTGGACTATGAAACGTTATCAAAAATGAATGAAAGGTTGATCTACTGCTCTATTACAGGTACGGTTATTGACAAAAAATTTGTTTTTGGGGAGGGTAGTAAGTAGAGTAGGGCAAAAGAATGAATTAGAGTACAGTAGGGTAAGGTAGGGCAGGGTAAAGTACATTAAGGTAGATCCGAGTAGGTTAGGGTAGGGTGGGGTAGGATTGGGCAGGGTAGGGTAGAGTATGGTGGGGTACAGTAAGGTAGAGTAGGTTGGGGTAGGGCAAGGTAGGCCATCCTAAATGAAAAAAACGTCAAACCTTTAGGCTACGGCTCGACTGGACCATATGCCAACGACCCTGGCTTCGACGTGATTGCCGAAGCCATTGGCGGCTTCATGAGCATCACCGGACCCAAGGATGGAGAGCCATGTAAGGTACTGTAACATTACTAACCATAAAGCCATGTTTTCTAACCTTACCTTCCCCTATTGCTAAATTTTTACCTTACCCCACTAATTTTACCCTACCTTAGCGTTCCACCCACCCCCCATCTGATTTTTTCTGCAAGCCCCCCCCCCACCCTCTTAAAAAGCTAAAAATAGCATTTTTCAGGCCGGCGTGGCAGTGATAGACCTCCTAACAGGTATGCACGCCTTCTCAGGGATTCTGATCGCGCTACTGAACCGTCAACAGACTGGAGAAGGCCAACGAGTCGAGTGTAATCTTCTCGCCACTCAGATGGCTACCTTGGCTAATATCGCGTCGAATTACTTGAATTCGGGAAAGCTAGGCAAAGCTTGGGGTACCGAACACGAAAGTATAGTACCATACCAAGCGTTTCGCACGCAGGACGATCGGTACTATGTGGTGGGCGCGGCTGATAACAAGGCTTTTAAGGAGGTAAGACATTAAGATTATCTTTGTTTCGCTAATATAAGGTTGTTCAAGTAATTATGTGCCCCTTTTAAAGCAAATTGTCGGGGTTAGGAGGCACAGAATTATTTGAACAACTTAATGTTAATAAAAATATTAATGAAATGAAAATCAAAAGACAAGTTTTTAGATAATTAGGTAACAATATGCTTAAAAATTCAGAGATTAGTTAACAATATGAATAAGAATTCAAAGATTAGGTAACAATATGACTAAAAACCCACAAAAATAAAGTTCCAAAGCTTCTTTATGATCATTATTACCTAAAAAACAAAAAAGTGATCTACCCTCAACATAATAAACTCAATTTTCAGCTAGTCAACCTGATGGATTTACCAGAATTGGCAGCAGACCCAGACTATGAAACTAATCCAAAACGAGTACAAAACCGCGAGAAATTACTCAAAATCATTGGAGATAGGTAAGGCAGAGAATTATTTGAATAAACTAATAAAGAAGATGATTATAAAGTTGATAAAGAGACAAAATTCTAAAATTAACATTTCCATGGACTTTTTGGCTAATTTTTTGATAAAAATGTAGATTAAATGTCATTTTGCATCTACTACGCCATTTTCAAACTAAAAACTTAATTGGTCCAAAAGTAAATAGAAAGTTTGTGAAAAAGTCTTACTTTGACAAATACAACAATTCTATCGACTTTTTGACCAATATTTCTTTAAAAATGAAAAGTACATGCCATTTTACAGTTACCATGAAATTTAGACTAACATTTTTGCTTTGATCCAAAAGTAAATAGAAAATTTGTGAAAAAGTCCTATTTAGCTTTCTACGCACTTTTCGACCAAAAAATGGTAAAATATTAGCATTTTAAAACTCATTTTCACATTTTTTCCATACAATGATTCTAGACGCCGTATTTTACCTAATTACTAATTTTCAGGTTCGCCTCAAAACCGCTAGACTACTGGCGAAGCCATTTGCGCAGCCGCCATTTCCCCTCCGGACCGGTCAATAATATTGAAGAAGCTTTCGACTTCGAACAAACCAAACACTTGAATCTGGTTCAACCGGTCGAACACCCTCAATATGGACAAGTAAAAACAGTTGGCAACACCACAGTATACAGTAGCATTCATAATGGTCCACGAAATGCACCACCGCTGCTTGGAGAACATACGAAAAGCGTTTTACAAGAGGAATTAGAGATTGATGACAGGAAGTTGGAGGAACTCAGGGAGAAAGGTGTTGTTGGGTGGTAAAATACAGAGTTTGGGAACGTCATTAACATTGTTTTTTAATGTTAGATTGTTTTGTTTTAAATAAACTTTAAAAAATTGCAAAAATTTAGTAAAAAAAGTCGAGTTTTGGCCAATTTTTGGCCGGATATCAAAAGTTTTGCCAAGTTTTATAAAACCCAATTTAGTACCCTTTACAAAGCATAAAATAAATTACACTTCACAAATTTTCATAAAAAGAAATGGCATTTTAGCAAAGCTGCATGCTTGATTTTCCAAGCGGAACCAAACTTTTTTAATCAATTTTCAACTGGTCATATCCAAACAGCAATACAAAAAGATAAAAATTTCACAAATGATACTAATTTTTATGTCTTATAAGACGCTGCGTCTCATTTTTGCTAAAGTTCAAAAATTTCGCCTCGAACTTTCGAAAAATGTTTAAGGTATCCACGCGGAATCGAACTTTTCTTGATTTTTGACAATTTCAATTGGTCATAACTCAATTCAAAAGCAGCAGGACGTGATAAAACTTCTAGGACTTATCTACAGTACTTTAAGCTACAAAAATATATCTTTTAACATGCGCCATTCTTTTGGAATCAAGCTAAAATTAGGCCAAAAGTAAGTCGATCGACCAAGGAAAGAGATTGTCAGTGTGGACTAAAAACCAAAGCCAAGGTAGCTCTTCTGAAACCTTTTGATATCAAGAATAGCCACGCCTAGAAGTACAGCAATAACACAAGTAACGACAATTCTACGTATCAAAAACCTAAAAAAAACTAGTAAATGTTTATTGAACAGTAGCAGATTCGCGAGTTTCCTCGAATTCGACGCCAGTTTCTTGTTGGAAGCGGTCCGAGACGTTGGAGAGTTCGGACCAGTCCTCCACGGTCGGCTCCACCTTCTTCGCTCTGACAATCGGTTTGGCAGTGGTACAGGCGGCAGTTGGTGGGGGTTCCTTGGCCAGTTTTTCTTCTTGATCTGAAAAGTTAGACTTGAAATATGGCCTGATAGTCATATTTAGTTGTTTAAATAGTTCTGTGCCCATTCTCAAATAAAATTTTTTGGATAAGGGAGCACAGAATTATCTGAACAACGTTATAAAGCAAACAGAAAATGTATCAAAAAAGTATTGTCGTTATTGACCGTGAAACCATATATAAATTGACGCCAAAACTTTTCTAACGCCGTAATATGATAAAACGCATCCAAATATATAAACTTACATTGATTGTACAAGTAAAGAAGAGCTCCGAATACCAAAAGAATTTCAGTCATAATCATAAAAACGCTCTGAAAATCAACCAAAAATCAAAAAATCATAACATAAACATACCAGTTGACCTACTTTTAGATTGTTCAACTAATTCTGTGCCCCTTAACCCAAGTAATTGGCTTTAAAAAGAGGAGCAGAACTATTTTAACAGCCTAATATAACGTTTACTATAGTAGTATATACAACGCTATATCTTTTACCACAGTAACTCGCAACTATTATACAACATAAAACATGCCTAGAACTACCTCAATATGTACCTAAAAACCGCGTTTTAATACAAAAATATAAGTTTAGATAACAAAGACTTACGTCAAACATGATGAACGTGGATGTTTTACTTGTAGAAAATCGACCGGTCGATAAGTGTCTGTAAAACTAAAATAACAAAAAATCGGAAAAAAAATAAAAATTTGCATAAAGTAATGCAAAAGATAACAAAATTTGCATAAAATAATGCAGAAATGTCACAAAATGTGTCATTTTTAATACGCATTTCCCCTCAAAATTAGCATATTTCAGCCAACTTTCATATCGAATGTGAAAAAGACAATCAAAACTTTCACATTCCTACTACTCCACTCGACTTTTACCGGCGGTCGAGCTTTGTAAACTTTGGTATAACAACAAGAGGTAAATGAGACGATAAACTAATGGCACACGAGCTCAGCGATTCCAGCGAAGAGAACGTGGCGGAGAGTGTGGAGCAGATTAACAACTACAAGTTACGCCGCTTGATCGCTAGTGGACAGTATGTTATTGTCGTTTTTTGGTTTGTAAAGAAAGTTCTTGCATTTTTTTGTGCATGTAAATAAAGTTTTTGAAAATTTTTAGTTCTGTAAAGAAAGTTTTGTTAATTTTATACTTTGTAAAGAAATTTCGTGCCATTTTTGTGTTTAGTAAAGAAAGTTCTTGCCATTTGTCATTCTACAACAAAAGTTACTGCCATTTTACGTTTTGTAAAGAAATTTCTTGCTATTTTTTCCCGTGTAAAGAAAGCTCTTGCCATTTCCAGTTCTGTAAAAAAAGTTTTTGCCACTTTGTTGCCAGTGAAGAGGTTTAAAAAACTTTAAACGACCCTTTAAGGCTCCTAATCGACTTCTGCCTTAAATTGCTGGCCTGACGTCTTTCTAATTTTATGCTTGATTAGAAAATAATGGCGCGCTTTAAAAATTATATTATTGTAGTTTAAAGTAACCCGAATGATAACTAAACGTTTCGCCTTTTCCTATTTTGTTTTGATCAAGTTACGACAAGTTGAAAAGGTCCAAAATCAAAAAAAGTTCGATTTCGCTTCAAAACAGCTTTTTTTCGATTTTTTTAAATTTTGAAATTAAAAAAAAGTAAAATGAGCAGAGTTAAAAATAGCCTAAATCCTAAGAATTACATATTTTTAAATTTCAGATACACATCCGTATTTCAAGCCACAAAACTAGATGAAGCCAGACGAACATATGCTATTAAGATTGTGCGCGAGTCTCACAGTGTCATCAGTAAAGTGGTAAGTTCATCTAATATAACATACTTCAATATAACTTTGCTTCCGGACACTGCTTTACTCTACAATACCCTACTCGATCTTACTCTGCCCTACCCATACCTTACTTTACTCTAACTTACCCAGACCCTACTCTACCTTTACCCATAACCATACCATACCTACTACAATATCATACGATTTATCACTCCAACCCCACTAAAATATCATTCTAGTTCCAATGCCGAGAGCTAAAATTCCTCCGCAAAGCCAGCTGCCCGAACATCATATCACCATCGTCGTATCACCACAAATCCCTGGACGATTTCATTTACCACGTCTACATAATGGACTTTTACCACGCCCTAAACACAATGATAGATGGGTTGAGAAGAGACCAGGCCAATTCGAATGCAACGTTCTTGATCACGGAACGGTGTGCACAACAAATCATGAGACAAGTCAATAATGCTCTGGTATACCTACATGAACATGAGCTGTTACACACGAGGCTGAGGTCGGACTATCTGTTGTTGGATGGACAAGGCATTATCAAGCTGACTGGACTGGGACGAATGAGTCGGATCAAGCTACATGAACGGCATGTGGATACGGTGGAGAACGTGCTGACCGGTGGGATATACGATGTTAAGGATGAGACATTGTAAGTTGATGTTATCATTGATATAAGGTATGAAGAGACGAATACCTTTTAGAAAATGTCAGTAGAAAATCTTTTTAGCTTTTCAAAAAAGTCTTGGCGTCAATTTGCATAGAATCCAGTAATAAAAAACGACAAGACTTTCGCTTCCAGGCCAAAAAAGTTCCTTTAAGGCCGGCCTTGTCCCCGCTTTGAAGCCATAATCACTGAGTACCTTAATATTATCACTGGATACCCTAACATAATCACTGACAATCAATTATAGCACTAAATCTTAACCTTTCAGCTATCTTGGTATCTTGTGCGTGGAGCTTTTGATTGACTTGCCCGTGTTCAATACAAACGACTTGTTCGATGAACAATTGTCAGCTGATGGCCGGGAGAAGCTTCAACAGACATACCAGTACATTCAGGATGCTGTAAGTTTGATAAAAGACGATATTAACATCAAAAATTCAAGGTATACCTATGTCAATATCAAAAAGTTGATTTATAGCTAGTAGAATCTGGTACAATATGCTATTTTTGATGTTCTACTGTAAAAGCTACTATAATATGTCATTTTTCTCAATATTATACTGACCTAACCTATTAAAATAGCAAAATTCAAACTTTAACTACTAGAACCTACTATAATATACAGTTTTTCTCAATATTATACTAGTCCAGTCTAAAAAATTGTCGAAAATTTCGAATCTAACTACTGAAACCTACTACCTGTCTACTACAATATAACCTTTTTCTTGAAATCGCCCTACTAATACCTACTACAACGCCCTCTTTTCAGGAACAACTGGACTGGACCGTATTCCATCCCTCGATAGACGGCCGATGCCACAAATATTTGCGTAAAATCTTCACCCCAGCCTGCCAACGCTTCCTAAACTACTGTATTTTCACGCCGAAAGAGGACCGTTTCACCTGTGCCAAGCTAGCCAAAAGCTCATGGTTAAGTTGCGAACCCGATCCTGGCATCATTGTTCACGAATTGCTAACACAAGACGAGACAAAGCTATCCGAACTGAAGGTGGAAGGCAAGAATGAAGCTAATTGGAATGAACAAGTTGAGGATAACGACAAGATGACCACTTTTATCGACCGTTTTTTACAATTCAGCTGTTAGAAATGTGTCGTTTGGTGGCTATAAAAGGTGTTTCTAATAGCTGGGAAGAATATTAATGCTTGTTATCAATCTCAAGTTTACAAAATGCCAAAATATAAAAATTTAGAGCAAAATTAAAGCTCAATTGTAAGATATTGTAGTATGTAGGGTATGGGTATGGTAGGGTAGAGTACAATGAAATAAGGTATTGTATGGTAAAGCAGGTCACAAAAGCAAAATTTATATGCGTAGTATATTACACTAGATGAACCTACCACTTTACTGATCACACTGTAACTCTTGCGCAGAATCTTAATAGCATATGTCAGCCTGGTTTCATCTAGCTTTGTGGCTTGAAATACGGATGTGTATCTGAAATATGAAAGTAAACATAAGTTACTGGACATTATAGTAGTTACTATAATAGAATCAATATTGTAAACTACAGATCATTGTACTAGGCTCCAGGGACGTCGCTACGGTTTTTCTCTGGGGGGGGGGGAAGTCAAAAAAATTTTTTTTGGTCCACAGGTAGCTCCTGTGGACCGATTTTTCAAAAAAATGTTTTTTTTTCGTTTTTCCGCGTACAGGTACACCTACCTGTGGAATTTTTTTTCGGATCGGCTCTGGAGGGGGGGGTACCCCCCCCCCTGCCACCCCCCAAACGACGTCCCTGCTAGGCTCAATATTAGAGTTTATAACATATTGTAGTAGGAAAAACATAATGAAATAAAGAAAATCAAAAATCAAACTTACCATTTGACTTCCGAAAACTTGTAGTAAAACGGTAACGATAATATGATGTTCTTTACACAAAAAAAATATTCACGATGCTATCAAAAATCATTAAAATAACCAACGTAGATACAAACCACTATATACAACAATATAAAACCCCATCAATATCACACTGTACAAAATTTATTGATAAAAAAAGTTTAGCTAACAAATCAGTCTTCTCAAATAATTTAGTTATCAAATTCATTCCTCCTAGTATCAGTAATTCCTATTTGAGTTTCGTCAATCAATGTTGAGATCAATTGAAGCGTAATTTGTTAGATCCAAATATTGAGTCCAAATACTTGGAAGCACTTCTTCGACGGTTACTCATTCGTTCGCGCAGACTTTTGCCAGTCGATGGCGCTGGTTTGCGTGGGGGTGCATCACTAAAAGCAACAAAAATAAAAAAATATTCGAAAATCCAACAAAATATACAAAATTCGTCAAAAACTTCAATTTATGTTGCAAAAATTTTAAATCTTTAAAAATACTTTAAAAAGTTGCTTGTTATACAAAAAGCTTACTGTATTTTAGATAAGCTAAAACAATATTTTTTAAGATAAAATAACCTTACGATATAACCCTTGAATTATATACTTTTAATTTGTACCTTGGACGAAAACCTTAAATTCTTGTCCACGAAAAAAATCTCATAGTTTTATGTCATCGGGTACCCCCCCAGAAAAAAATTTTCGAAAAAAGTTGAACGTGGCCCCCCTGTAGATTTTTGGAAAAAAATTTTCGCAAAAAATCGGCACTGTGCCGATTTTTAGGACCCCTGCCCCCAGGCCAAAAGTCCCCGCCATTTCAACAGATCTACTCTTATCCCTACCAAATCTACCCTTCTTTTTATCAATTCTACTACTACGCCATTAAAATACTCTTACCTTCACCAAATCTACCCCTATCTTCATCGAATTTACCCGTGTTCCCATCAAATCTACTCCTACTTTCATCAAATTTACCTTTACTTTTAACAAATCTACCCCTATTCTTATTAAATCTACCCCTACTTTTAACAATTCTACCTCTACTTTCTTTAAATCTATTACTATTCTAATTAAATACACCCCTATTCCCATAATATACCCCTACTTTCATCCAATCTACCCCTATTCTTCTCAAATATATCCCAAATTTCATCAATTTCAACCAAAAACCTTCTTACCGTTTAGCCGAGCTTCGACCAAATCTCTCCTCATCTTTCATAAAGTGTTTCTCGTCAAACTTGAAGTCGATTTCCTTCTCAGCGTCATCCAAGACTGGCAACACTTCCGGGACTTCTGATTTGATTGCATTCAGACATTCGTCTTGATTCTTGCCCACAACGATCATGCAGTGATCTTTGAAAGTGGCAAAGTCGCCGTGATCAGTGTACTCGGACAAATGTGCCGCGACTTGATGTTCCTCACTGTACTTTGTGACCAGGCGGATGGTTTTTTGAGTGTATATGAAGTAGAGGCGGCCACTGAAATTGATTTTTTCAAATTTTAGAAGCTTTAAACTAGCTAAATTCAATTTTATTTAACGTCAAAAGTCTTGTCGCTTTTTCACGTGCAACACAATGTAAAATAACAAAAAACTTAAGTTATAGCTCAATGAATGCTTCAAAAAGTGTTAAATGAATTTTTATGACCAAAAAAATAACTAAAACTTGTGAAAGAGCTAATTTTAGTCAAAAACCTACTCAAGTACCCCAATGTTAGCTAGCTGTAGAAGCTGCATTCGAATGGTTTGTTCGGCGCTTCGGTCGCTTCGACGATCAGTCATCAATCCTACATAGAAATTGACATTGTACGCCTAAAAACAGATCTTATACTGCATTAAAATCGACTTTTCTATATTAATATAACCATGAAAATTCATTTTTCTTTCAAATCTAACTAAAAAATTTACTTTTTAGAGTAAAATCACCCCCCTAGACAATTTTTACCACAGTAAGAACACCGCATAGAAACCTAACATGTTGTATAAGGATAACCCTTACCTTTCCTTTAAAATCAAACAAGAACATGACAAAACACTTTCCATCTGATGGTACTTGTTTTGCGTACCAAACCAAAGTGTTCTTCTCTTCGTGTTCTCTCCTCAGCCTGTCCAGTACCTTGTCGTTCAGGAGCTCTTCAAACACGTGTTTATTCTTCTTGTCCTTGTATTGTGTTACCCATTTGTCAGACATTAGAGTTTGAACCGTTTTTCTTTTGGCCGCGTTTCCGATCAGACAATTCTCAATGAAATTGACGCATTTTTTCGACAGCTTTCGCTTGATTTGCAATGGCACATCCTCGTACATGTTCTCCCAGTCTGCAGTGCCCTGAAAAGACGCTTTTAGTGCTGAAATGAGCTTCGTAATGTAATGACCATTCATAATGTAAAAAGTACTCATCATAAAACTTTGATACTGTAATTATCATTCGTATTGTAATGAGCATTCGTATTACAAAAAGTACTCATCATATTTTGATAAACCTTCGTACTGTAATGACCATTGTCAGAAGTACTCATAGTGTAATAAGCATTCATACAGTAAGAAGTATCTATCATACTTTGATACATATTCATACTGTCAAAAGTACTCATCATATTACAATAACGCTTCTTACTGTTTAAGCATTCCCGACGTATAAAAGGTCAAAAATCAAAAAGAATGCACCAACAAGTACCTAAAACAACAAGAAAAATACAAAAAAACTTACCTCATATTGAAGTATGTTCATGCACTGATAGTAGCTGTGCGTATCACAATCGTACATGTGATAAGGTGGCTTCACGAACAGCCATTCGCAAAGCACAACTCCACAGCTCCTGAAAATGCATTATATAGCTGTTGTTCAAGTAATTCTGAGCCCCCTGAGAAAAAAAAATTTGGATTGAAGATATAGCCAACTTAATATATTACGTTGTTCAAGTAATTCTGTGCCCCAAACATTTTCTTTGGTAAAGAGCACAGAATTATTTGAACAACCTTTACCTAATACAAGCCCCAAAACTCCAAAATTCCTCACCATGTTTCAGCCCTTACATCATACATCGGGCAATTGTCCTCAATCAGCCTGACTGCAATTTCCGGTGCCATAAAGTAGGGTGTGCCACATGGAGTGCCCATTTTGCCTAGACCTTCCAGATCAGCTTTGGTAAACGGCCTTGTGATGCCAAAATCCACAATTTTCAATGTTGCATAGCTATCCAGCATCAGGTTATCGCTTTTCAGGTCACGATGCATGAATCCGTGTTCGTGCATGAAGCTGACCCCACTCAACAGCTGATACATCAGTTCGCCGGCACACTTTTCGCTCATTGGCATGTGGGGCGGGGTTAGGGCGTTGTAGCGCTAAAATAAGGTGTAGATCATTAATAGCCTTACCCTGCCCTGCTCTATCTACCCCACCCCGTAGCTCGAAAACCCAAACCTCCCCATACCTGTAACTTGACCGAATGAACCAGTAGTCTAGCCAGACTGTAGTACAATGGTGTGACGATGAGGACCATGTCCTTATCCACCAATGAGACGGTGTGCATGTCAATCAAGTTTGGATGCGCTAAATAGTTCAGGGCTTTGACTTCGCGAATCTAAAACAATATTCAGATATAAGCCTCTAAACAGGTTTGAATAGCTAAAATTAAGTAAAACATGGCTTCAAAGTTAATGTTGACACTTTGTACTTAATGCACAGTGTAAGATACTGTATTTTCATTACCTAATCATATAAAGTTTGACCAAAACACGGTCAAAATAATCAAAAACAGCATAAAAATCATCAAAAACCCTAATTTTCTGATAGAAAACCCAATATAACTCAATTCTAAAGACTTTTTGACCACTATATCAAAATAACTTACAATGTCCTTTCTATTACAAGGCGCAAATGACATGTATTTTATGGCACAGAATCGGTTTTCCACGACATTTCGAGCTTTGAACACGTCTCCAACACTAAAATTGATAATAAATATTAGGCCGTAATATTAAGTTGTCCAGATAATTCTGTGCCCCGTCTAAAAACAAATTTTGACAGCCAGGGGGCACAAAATTATTTGAACAACTTAATAAGTTCAAAAACTAATAATATTGAGCTATAACGAGTGCACTATAGTGTCTTTTCTAAGTTTGTAATCCTAAAAGTACCAAATCAGCTTATATTCAAGCAGCTTCACCCATATCTTATTCATCAAACCATAGATGTAAGAAAAGAACTTACGCTCCACATCCAAGCAATGAAATGTAATGGTACCCTTCCATACCTGTAGTCCATTTCGGGATCGGTTCATAGTCTTTCGAGCTGAAAAAGGCTACAATAATCTACTTGTAGATAAACAAACCAACTTCATATCGCCTCGTATACAAAAAACAATACCATAATACCTATTGTCATCTATTTTTTTGATGAAAACGCCAATTACAAGTTAAAAAAAGCAAAAAATTCCAAAAAAACCAGTAACAACAAGTCAAAAGAATAATAATAGATTTTTCAAATAATTCTGTGCCCCTTCCCAAAGCAAATTTTTGATATTAAGAAGCACAGAATTATATGAACAACCTAATGACAAGCCAAAACACTAATAAAGTACTCTTACACTACACCCGACGATGCTGATGAAACTTGTTCCAACTCGCGCGCAAACTTTTTATGAGAATCGCTCATTCTTCGACGCGACCGGTCGATACGGTTTGAATACTGTAGAGTGAAAAAATTATTTTTTAGAAAGGAAATTGAAACTTTTTCCTTTTCAAAACTAAATTTCAAAGTTTTTCTTTAACAAAATCAGCTTTTTAGGTATTTTAACTCATGAAAATTTTCAAAAATGACGTTTTAAACCAATGTAACTTATGTTTTGAGTAATTCCTAGCCGTTTTACGTTCAAAGAACCTTATATTACTCAATGAGACTCTATATTACTCAAAATAAACTCCAAATTACTCATAAAATAGCAATAATATTAACCAAAAACCACTCCCTACATCCATTCCAACCAAAAAAAATTATTTAATAACCAAAAAACCTTATTACAATCAAAATATTATTAAAAAACGACTAAAATATTATCCATGACTATTTGGTATCCACAAGAACCAAAGAAATCCATGATACTCTTCAAAATAATCCAATAAACTCTCGATATTATCCAAGATTAGCTAAAAATCTCCATATTCACCATGCTTATCAATGCCTTTCCTCATCCATTGAAGAGTTATGGGTATTGCATAACAAATTGTTGTTGCCGTTCATCTTGGTGATAGTTGGGTTTCAGTCTAAACTGGCCATGTTCTTTTAGACCGGCTAAAAATTGTTGCGCTTTCGAGTCGGCATCTGCATCAAAATTGATGGAGGAGTCGTCTTGAATATCTGTGTATTCCTCATCACTGGCGATTGTTGTGTCATCTCTCTGGTAGTTTAAGGGGACAACCGAAAATTGTGTCTAAAATACGGTTTTTAGTTAAATAAGGCCTAAAATATGATTTTTGAGCAAAATTTAGTCTAAACTATGAGTTTTGAATCAAATTTCTTGCCTACCTCAACATACTTTCTTATAACGCCTTTTCTCTTCAAAATACCTAAAACAACAACAATAATAAAACATACTTACATCTAAAGCCCGAGAAGGGTCCTGGGTGATATCCATTGAATTCTCCATTTTATATTGCTCATAACTCTTTGGCGTGACATCAGATTCATCAAACTCAACTAGTGATCGAAAGCCTTCGGAACAGTAACTGTTTTCACAAGAATTGTAGTAGCAGTCACTCTGAAATCATTAAATTATCATCAATATATTAGACTTTATAATTTTGAAGAAAAGAAAGTACTGTAACATCGTTTCGTAGTCAAAAATTCTTAGTTATATCCAAAGTTCAAAAAAAACCTAACGACTGTTGCCTAAAATACGAAATAAAAATTGAATTATTAAACTCACATTTAACTCAGTAATCTCGTTGACCTGATAAGCTCTTGGCATGGGATTGTAACTGTTCTTAGCATGTTCAAAGTAATCCATATCTTCGCGCAACACTGCCTTAAGCCCATCCCAAACCGGTCGAACGCACGCGATTTCGCTGCAAAAATTGTCGGACTTTTTTATGAAATTTAAACAAAACTTATTTTAAAACTTAACTTATGAAAATCGAGCCGAAAATCATCTATCTTAAGTTAAAATAAAGTAAAAACCATAGTTCTTCTCTTCATAGCTATACATTATAGTAATATGAAATCCCCTGAAGTCAATTACAATATAAAAACGTCAAAACTTACGTGAATCTGGACCACATTGTCATAAAAAGACCAGAAAGGGAAAACTCGCTGAATGGCAACGTTTTGAAATTGTGTTGTCAAACCAAAGATAAACAAAAATGTGTAACACAAAAAACCAAAAATTGGGAAAATAAAAAAATAAAAATTTTATTTATTTATGCAAATTTATGCCTTTGTCCAAAGAAAAACAGAAAAGTCAAACTTTTTACCGCATTTTAATGCAAATATTGAACTGAAACATCAAATTCTAATGCCAATTGTAAACTTTTGAAGCACTTGTATCAAAAATCGTGTTTTATTAGCAATCACAACATACGGAGATCAACAACAATATTGAAAATTATAAAACCTTTTTAAAATTTATAACATGTCAATGTTTCGCGTACTTTAAAAACCTAGCTAACATATAAAAGCTAAATTTAAGTAAAAAACGATAAACAAGCCTTTCGTATGTTAGCAATGACATCTCAGAGAAGAAAACTATTATTTACAAAAGCGAATCGAAAAAATAAAAAAATAATGAACCAAGTTGTTGAAATGACTTGTAGAAAACCTTATTAAGATAATATGTCGTGTTAGAATATGACAGTTACAAAATATTACCTATTTTAATAATTTTCTCGCTTTGAAACCTAAAACACTATACTTTTAACAAAATCTCAATAGAAAACGCTTTCAAATGAAAGGAAAGCCGTAAAAATACCTTCTACAAAATCTGCACTATACATTACTATATAAAAATCGCGTAACAACAATATAAACATATAGTTTTAGATTGAAATCGTCTGCAGACTGACTACAACATAAATCAAAAGCAGTATCTGCCTAAACGTTAGAAAATACCATTTAAAACCTTACAAAAATCCTCCTACAACATCGGCACAACGCTCCCTGAGACTTTGGCACATTCCGCATCGATTCTCATTTCATCCCTGACCTTGAAGACCTTTCCATGACCAGGGATAATATAATCAGCCTCACAAATCAGCCGTTGTCGTGACTTCTCTTGAATGCGCTCGTTCCAGGCCATTGGCTTCCACATCAGCGGAAACTTCATGTCTTCTTCGGCTATGAAAACGTCTCCAGCTACTGCTACCGTTCCGTATTTGTCGGTATTCTTGACCAGCACCGAGATGTCATCTGGTGTGTGGCCGGGAGACTTGATGAGCTGTACATTCGGAGTGAGCTGCTGGTAATCTTTCTGAAATAAGTTTTTGAAACATTAATTTATCTTTTTACCTTATAATTGACATATAAAAGGTCAATGAGATCAAGTTTTTCGCAACTTTACGACAAAATATTGTCCGAGGCGAAACTTGACCCAAAAGCTAATGAAAGTTGAGGAAGACTTAACTCAAGAGAATCAGATTGTTTTTGAGCAGTTGTTCATGTACAGATACTTGAAAATACTTCTCCATACTGATAAATTACGCTTTTACAGATATTCTAATATGTAAAAACATTGATATAATCTAAAACTTGCTTCAAACAGGTCGGAAAAGTTGAACTTGGTCTTCTGATGCAGCATATTGCCTTGGAAATGGATGGCATCCGGGAAATCGTTGGTATTTCCACTGTGATCCGGATGTCCATGAGTTGTTATCACGTAGTTCACCTGTGGTGGAGTTATGTCAAGTTTGCTCAGTTCTGCAAAGAGAATTCGATGTTGTTATAGGTAGGCAAGGCTTTAGCTTGGTCTTCATTTAGGTATAACTTGGCTTTTAATTGACGAAATGGATTGAATTTTGGTTTATAGTTTTTATATTATATAATATATCATATAATAATATTGTAAGATGTCACATTTCCAGTGCACTTTTAAACTGCAAAATTCAATTTTCCCCCGCTCGACACAGTGTTCATTTTCATTAATGTCAAGCGGCGTTTTGCGATTTTTAAAACCATATTTACATTACAAAACGTTGTAAAATAGATATAAAATGATCTTTTCCAACATTTTTCCAAAAACTCACTATTCAAAAGATCAGTTCGACCATTGATATCAGTGGCCAAACCTGTGTCCACGAGTATAACATGGTTTTGGTCTCGAATCAAGGTGATACTGGCTATGAAAACGTACTCGTTGATGTCAGTTTGTCGTGCTAGGCCCTGGAATGTTATTACGAGATGTTTTGTTAGTTTTTCGTAACGTTAAAGCATTTTAAAAATTAAAAAACGTCAATTTTCCGAGCGGAATCGAACTTTTTTTGATTTTTGTTGTTTTTAAAAGAGTGTAACTCTGTTGGACAACAAGGTATGGGGTTGCAATTTTGTGAATAGATACATTATTTTATGCTTTATGCATATGTTACCACATTTCTAAAAAGTTTATTAAAAACTCGAAAAAAATAAAGAAAACCTCACTGACCTCCCTCAAAATGCTGACAAAAGCCTTTCTCTGTTGAGGTTTCCGATCATTATCATCCAAATTGTTCGTGTTACCATCGACAAACTCGCTAAGAACATTGGGTTTAGCATCGTAGTTAGTTCTATTCAGAATCCCAGCGGTTTCTTTTTCAATCTTCAGCTTCTGAAGCACGAATCCGAGTTCTCGGGTCAGAGCTCTCATCTTCTGCTCCCAATCTTGTGGATTCTTGGCTTCTACTTCCGCGTCCACCAGTTTACTATTGATCACGTCGTCTGTGTTGGTTGGGGTTTGAAGTTGTTCATCGCCACGGAGTATCTTTTGGGCTGGGATGGTGATGGCGGTGGTGTCGAGGTCGTCTTTGTCCTCGTTACCTACTACAAACTCGGCTTTTTCTTCTTCCTCCTGCTCTGTTATTATCGACAGACCTGGAATATTTTGTCATAAAGTATATATTACTTTGTTTTGTTACCTAATTTTATCATTGATTGCAAAATGCGATCAGTAAAGCTTCATAAATTGAGTTTTAAGCTATTTTTTGTCGATTCCAGCTAGTATAACATAAGGAAAATTGAAAAAAATAAGGTTCTTTTTAATTTCCAAATTACAGTAATCAAAAATACAGTAAGCAGAGATCCTACACGTCCTATAAAAACATCAAACGCTCTACCTCGCCTTCCAGAAGCTGGCTTCTTAACTTCTTCAGTGCTGACAGCCCAGTTACTCCTTTGAGTCAAAGTTACAGGAGCTGCAGATGCAGGTGTTGTAGTTGTTCTCCTAGTTGTTGTGGGTTCTGTTTCTGTTTCAATATCTTCCCATTCTTCATTTTTTGGCTTCTTCAACTCTTTTATATCCTTTTTCTTCTTTGATAATATCAACTGAAATGGTTTTTGATGAATAAATGCTAAAAAAGTTAAATTTTTAGGTAATAAACGGCTTTAAACATGCATTTCTATAAATTTTAAATTCTGTTTTATAACATTTTTAATAATAAAAGCTTCAAAAAGGCATTTCATTACCTAAAAACCTCAAAATTTCCCCAAAAACCCTCTAAAAACTATCAAAAGTCAGCCCTACCTCCAAGATTTCAGCCAGATGCCGCTGTTCAGCTGGTGACAAATCCGAGTTGTTGTCCTTTTGTGTGTGTTTCTTTCCCTTCTTCCTTCTCGGCTTCAATTTGTGCTTCTTGGGCTGTCGTTCTTCTTTATGCTTGCGAAGTAACGGCGGAGGAGAGGGCATAATTTGAGGCACCGTGTCTGCGAACTAAAATAATATAAAGGTTTAAAATTAGGAGTTTTAATAGTATGAAAGACTCAGATTGATATTTTATTACCTGGAATGCTTTCATGTTGAGTTACTTTTCATATATAGTTAAGTAAAGTGAAAAAAGCCAAAAAACGATGTTTTGTAGGTATAGTCTGCTACAAAACCAATTTTTGAAAAAATAACCACATTTTTTAAAAACCTAAAATAACAGATTTATAGAGCACAAAATGGAGTATACACGCAGTAAGTTTCAAATTTATATCGTGCCTATCAAAAAAGAAGTTTGATCTGCTCTAGAAAAGTAAGCTTTTTTTATTTTCGAAATGCCATATCTTTATGAACTCTGTATATAAAATGACAAAGCTTTGTGAAGCAATACAGAATTATGTGCTTTTTCCCTATTCTACTTTACCTTACTTTACCTTATCTTACCTTACCCTACCCAACCCAATAGTACCCTACCCAATCCTATCATCTGTTAATTTTAAAAATTTTTATAAAATCCAATTTTGGGACTTGCCAAGCCTTTCACAAACAAAACATAGCCTTTGGCATTGATTTTACAAAGCCACATCTCCCCCAAAACAAATATCATACTACAACGCACCCCTCCCCAACACAAACATCATAATATAACTCCCTCTCCCCAACATAAACATCATACTATAACTCACCCCTCCCCCAACAGGAATCATGTCCTCCGTCGCCTGCTGTTTCACGCCCTGTGCCCCATTGATCGGTCCAAAATCGAACTCAGGTACAGTTGGACTTTTGAAGAGGCCAATTCCTCGACTGACACTTCCCACACCTCTGATCGAATCTCTGAGTAATTTCACTTCGAAATCGTCCAACATTGACAGTTCTTCTGGACCTAAACCAACTTCTCGAAGGTTTTCATCAGTCTCATCACTTTCTTCAGCTGTTACTGAATATTGTGTATGTTGTAGGAGTAATAGTATTGTTAGGCAGAGGGGGTTCATCCTAAAAAAATCATTTTTAAAGTAGGTAGGGTGGGGTACGATAAGAATATCATAATGTAGGGAACGGTAGAGAAGAGAAGGGTAAGGTAGGGTAGGGTAAAGTAGGGTAGATTAAGTCAGGGTAGAACAGGGCAAGGCAGAGCAGAGTAAGATAGGGTAGAGTAAGGTAGAACAAGGTACAATAAGGTGGTAAAACAATGTTTCAACTAAAGTTTTAAGCTATTTATAGCAATATTGATCAATATTTCAAAGAAAAACTGTGAAATAAGTTAGAGTTTTTAAGGTTTAAACCTCAATAAAAATCATAGCAGAATAGCTAAAAATGAAGAAAAAACACTTTTTAAACCCTAAGCTACATTAATATTGCATTTTTTGAAAATAATTGTAAAAGCCTACTTTAAAATGGTGTTTTATGCCACAAAATTGAACTACAATGTTGATTCTTCTTCTTTTACCACGATTTGTTACCTAAAAATATAAGATATTAATATAATATACCATCTAACGAAATGAAATAAAAACATAAAAAATTTGAAATTTGGTTACAAAAAGATAGGTCACCTAACATCTAACAAGAAAGTGCCCAATCTGCCCCGCTCTGATTGACCAAAAATTTTTAAATACAGTGGTCTCCCTATATAGTGAAGCATCTGTATAAGCAACTCCTCTTATAGTAAACAAAAAATTGGGCTCCGCCAAGTCAATTTGCACTAAAAATTCTCTCTGTAAAGACAACACCCCTTATAGTAAACACAAAATGTCGGTCTCTTCGGGTTGCTTATATAGAGTACTGTAGAAAGTTCGTGGAAATATAAGAATTTCAGAAGAGTACTAATCGTACTAGATCGCAATTTCTAGTCAATCTTAAGAAAATCGAACTCAAAAAGAAGTTTTGAATTTCCCTCCAAATTTGCATTGTGTTTTAAGCTTATAACTTTCTCATTTTTTGAGTAATAATCATTTTTCTTTGATATACTAATAGAAAATTTTTAAATAAAGCTAAATTTTTAAATTTATATGTGTAGCTTGGCTGGAAAGTCGAAAAAAGATGCTTCAAACGCAATGCCAAATTTGCCAATTAGGCGGGAAACTCAAACATTTAAATTTTCAAACTCAAAAGTACGAGCTAAAATTATTTACGGGTACTATTGGTGGTACAAAGAACTCATATAAAAAGTTTGAGCTGCTTCTGAGAACGGCAGGTTGAGTACTTTCTTCTAAACTCGATGCCTTCAGTATAAGACAATATAAACAATATAAACCCAAAAAAGAACGAAATACCCTAAAGCAACATGTAATTAACAAACTTTTTGTTGCTCGAAAGAAAGTCGAAATCCAAAGTTATGAAGATTGTCGCATCATTTTCGGCTTGAATAAAGCCGCGAGGAAAACATCCGGAGAAGGTGGAAGTGTAGCTAATCTTCGACTTGTCGCCGGTTAATTGACGGTGTAACTGCGGATTCAAGACAGTCGGTTGGTGGGGGGAATGTAACCTCAAACAAGGCGATGGCTTCGGTTGAGACAGGGAGGCTAAAATAATATTAGTTTAAAGATCAAGTCGTATGTGGCAAATAGCGGTCAAAAAGTTCGTAGAAATGGCGAAAATCTTGATATCGGCCAAAAAGTTAGTAGAAATGACAAAATCTTCTGATCGGTCAGAAAATTCATAGAAATCGCAAAAAATCCACTGTCGGTCAAAAAGTTCGTAGAAATGATAAAAACTTCTGATCGGTCAGAAAATTCGTAGAAATTGCAAAAGATCATCTGTCAGTCAAAAAGTTCGTAGAAAAGGCAAAAAGATATCCTATTGGTCAAAAAGTTCGTAGAAACGACAAAAAGTTTTTTTATTGATCACCCCTCCCCAACCTACAATAATATCCATAATCACCCCTCCCTAACCTAATTGATTGTTCAAATATTTCTGTGCCCCATCTCAAAGAAATTTTTCGGAGTTATAAGGCACAGAATTATCTGAACAAACTAATACAAAAATATCGATGATCACTCCTCCCCATCCTACTACAATATCTATCATCACCCCTTCCTACCATACAATAATATCCATGATCATCCCTCCATAACCCACAATAATATTCATGATCAGTCCCCCCCCCCCCTCCCAACCCACAATAAGATCCATAACCAAACCAAAGTAAAGAGAAGATGCAAGGAGACTTTTTCGGAACGAAACTCCTCTCCCAACTGAATATACAACTTGAACGGCGCCGATTCGAAATTACCGTACCGAGCCCATTATATTCACCTTCTTCGTAATAATGAGGTTGCACCACTTTCAGTTTTGTTAGCAGTTAGCGGTGAAGGAATTAGGTCGAGGGTTTGCATGGCTTGCGAAGGCTTGTACTAGCACTTATTAAAGAAAGACTGGTACTTAGACTTGAAAACGGGGCTCACCAGGTCCGGCCCAGGCGTATAAGAGGCCAATCCGAAACAAAGTTTAATCCATGTTCTGGCTCGTGGGTCAAACCGAAAAATTAAACCCAGCCCTAGACATGAGGAACTGGCCGGGCCTGGCCCAATTTTCAAGCCCTGCTAAGAACAGTATTAATAACTACGGTCAATAAAGCTTCGTTACAACAAAAGCATACCTAGATGTTTTCGAATGTCGTTTTACATTTTCACATCTCAATATCAAGAAGAATTGGTCGATTTGGTCAAAGATTGGCCAAAAAGACCTAACTTTTCTTTCCAGACATCACAATTTAGGAAATTTCACTCTGTTATACATTAAACAAGTCCAGGCAAGAATACTGATATACAGTACTCTCTGTATATAATCAACCCAAAAGGACTGAAATTTTGTGTTTACTATAGGGGTGTTGCACTATATAGAGAGACCACTATATTATCACCAGGACCGGACGAGCACTTTTGGTCTAACAAACTTGTAAGGGCGCAGCTCGAAAAAATCCACAGAGGAATCATGTCCGACTTTTGCCAATGGTACCCATCCCCCCCAAAAAACACCTCGCGCCCGGCACAGATTATCACCGCTTCATATCAAAATTTCCTGAAATCGCAGCCCAATCCTAGTCAAACCCTTCTTTTCGAGTCCAGAGCCGAAAGGTAGTAGCTAACTACATGAAAACCAAAAATTTTTTGACTTTCACCGTCGCCAGACAAAAAAAAGGTAATAATATCCCTCTCCCTGTTAGAGCCAACACCACCCCAAGCCAAAATTGCCTGCTAAACGCTGATTTTTGTGTCAAAATGTTAATTTTTTAAAATTTCCGAAAGTAAAAAATCGAAAATTTCAATAATATTCCATTCTTGTTTTTTACTGTTTCGCGGGATGCGGTTACTTTTTTTGATTCCTTTACTTTTTATTCAAATTACAAGGAACTTGGTCAATGGCGAAGAGCTGATGAAAGCGTGCCAGGTAAGTTGGCCTAACTGTACTTAACATTAAAAGTTTTTTTCTGCATTTTCAGCTTTGTTATGGTTTATACAGTACTTTACGTATTAGGTGCCGACATAAAGAACCCGCCATACTTTTCCCGTAGTTTCCTGTAAAAAATGGCGGTTTCTTTATGTTGGCACCTAATATATGAACGCCCTACAGGCCCGGGACGTCGCCACTATTATATTTTTTTCAAAAAAGGGGGGGGGTGTATAAAAGCCGACATTTTTATTTTTTTCTTAAAAATTAAATTTTAAGCTAAGCTAAGCTAGCCCTTTCAGCAATGTATCCGAACCTTGGATGTCCCGCCGGAAAAACTGGTACCCTTTTATCGTTACAATCGATCAGCCTCAAACGTTTGTAACCTGGAATTGTTCATTATGACTGGTGTTTCTCCGCAAGATAAAAAAGAGTTTTTCGTGGAAAATGTAAGTTATTATGAGCATAGTAAAGGAAGCATTAACTATATCAAGCAAATTGCAAAAACTTTGTTTACAAAACAAGAAATGGCAAGAACTTTCTTTACAAAGCTTAGAAAATGGCAAGTACTTTCTTTACAAAACATAAAATGGCAAGAAATTTTTTTACAGAATGAAAAACAGCAAGAAATTTCCTTACAAAGCAGAGATATGGCAAGAACTTACTTTACAAAAAAATGGCAAGAACTTTCTTTACAAAACATAAAATGGCAAGAAATTTTTTTACAGAATGAAAAACAGCAAGAAATTTCCTTACAAAGCAGAGATATGGCAAGAACTTACTTTACAAAAAAATGGCAAGAACTTTCTTTACAAAGCGGAGAAATGACAAAAACTTTTTTTTACAAACTGAAAAAAAAACAAAAACTATCGAAATCCTACCCCGCCCTTCACTAAACTCTACATAATCCGATAAAATTTACTTTTGTAGGCAACCGAGTATGCGATGATAGGATACCCAAAGGAACATATCGAGAGGCAATCGATGAGAACAGTTGGTTTATACACATACAACGGAGATACAGTATACCACCACGTCAACTTGATACTACTGGGTTTGGAAGACATGCCCACGGAATACAGTAAGTTGTGATTTTTATACAGTATATTGTAGTACAGTACTAACTACAGTACTAACCATTGTTGTCTAGTATAGTACAGTACTGACCATGGATAGTATTAGGTTGTTCAAAAACTTCTGTGCCCCCTAACCCCGAAAATTTGCATTGAGGTGAGGCGCAGAATTATTTGAACCACCTAATATATTGTAGTACAGTACTAACCTTAAACTTTCTTAATCTATCTTATCTTTACAGTATGGCGCCACACCAATATAGACCCTAAATTAGGGTTTTACACCGTAGTAAATGCGGATGGCAATTTCCACATGATAATATGTGATGTGTTGAAGATGTACCAACAATTCGGTGACGCAGTCGAATGTAACTACTACAACTTGAATTTGAGGCAGTTTTCGTTCGTCAAAAAGGAAGAGATCACTGCCATACCCTCGCTTTTTAAAGTAAGTGTAATATTGTAATAGGCAAGGCGTCTAGAATCTCTTTTAGGCGGGGTAAGAAAAAAACAGGGGGAGGGGGGAGTAAGGGTAAAAAAGTTTGCAAAAAAGGTAAACGCATAAGGGGGGGGAGATTTTTTTACTTTCCCCCCTCCCTCCCAACTCCCTCTCACCCGCCCAAAAAAATCTTTTACAGCGAAGCCTTAGCCATACCTAATCCGTAATAAACCAACTTATTTCAGCCCTCACTCGACAGACGAGATGTCATATTCCTCGAATATAATGGATTAAACACTTATCAATGGAACTACTTGGAAGAAAAACTATATCAAGAACCTGATCGGACACTCGAGGCTGCCGAGGAAGTAATGTATGACAAAGAAACCTATCAAATGGTCGAAGAGGATTTTTTTTTTAGATTCAATCTGTAAGTTTTTATTTTGCTTGATATATAAATCAAGGCTTACGATAGTAATTACAGTCAAAAACTCTTTAGTATGACCAGTGTTTTGCCGGACCGGTCCGGATGAGAATTTTTTCGGTCCGGAAAAATTTTTTTTTATTTTTAAAAAGAGCCAGGAGCGCTAAAACTGCTTTCTTTACGTTTAAAAACTCTTAAAAATATGTTTTATTTGCAATTTTTAAAACAGTTTTATTAAAATAAAAAAAAAATTTTTTTCCGGACCGGTCCGGCTCTATTTTCTTTTGGTCCGGTCCGGACCGGACGGGTCCGGCAAAACACTGAGTATGACACTCAAGGGACTGGACCAGACTCTGGTGACCAGAGGGTGGCACAGTAATCTCAAAATTTTTCAAAAATTCAAAAAAGATTTTGAGGTCCCGAAAGATTAATAACAAAGGTACTAACAAGTTCCTCTTTCAAAAAAAAATTTTTTTAGGGTATGGGTTCAAAAAAAAGGGTGTAGATCAAAAAAAAATTTTTCAGTCCCCAGCCCTGTCTGAGCTATTCCTCATTAAAACATGATTGATAAACCCTATTTTAGTACCAAATGCAACCCACCCCTATTTTCACCCTACCGAGAATGTAAAGCACAAATCGCTTATGACAAGCCCTCTAATCAAATGATTCAGGCAGCGGTAAGTCTAATTTAAAAAAAAATTTTTGCGAACTTCCATTAGACATGAGGAACGGGCCGGGCTCAATTTTTTAGGCCTAGCCCGATCAAAATTTTGCTGATGCCCGGTCCGCCCATTTCTCATGTCTAACTTCCATAAATTTTAAGCTTTTTTTCAATTTCAAATGCCTAATTTTTAAAAAATTATGGTTCACGCACTACTCTTCTTCATAATTTATATTGTTATAGAAATTGCTAACGGTATGCGACTACATTGGAGGCTGTAAGGGTGTTTGCAAGAATGTTAACGTTCACCAATTTGAGTAAGTTTTCATTCAAAAAGGGCTTATCTCACCATTTACAGTGACAAGTAGATGATTTTTACATTGGGAGAGGGGAGGGGGAGAAGGGGGATGGTAATTTTTTTTGAAAAAAGTGGAGCTTGATCCCCTTTATTGATTTACAGATAAAAATTAATTTTTAAGTCTCTCTCCCCCCTCCCCTCCCCACTATATACCAAACGGATCATCACACCCCTCCTCTCCCCCTTCCCTTTTTCCCTGCAGATCAGCAGCTTTCGCCCATTACGGATCATATCCAACCCATTACAATCAAAAATGCCACAAAGAGCCAAGTAATACCTAAAAATCAAAGAATATGACTTTCAGGTCAGTGAAACGCCAAAAGAACTTGGTGTTCGTGCTCTCAACAATAATGTCGGGTGGCGCCTTTCTGGTTCTCGGCATCTACATTTTCATCTTATCGGGCCTGGTCCACTTGTTCGTGTCCCACATTGCCACTCAACGCAAATTCGCAAAGAAACGTATGAACGATCTGAAGAAGGTGAAGCTCATGGAATCAAAATCTCGTCTAGAGCAGGCCAAACGCAAAGAAGCTGCCTACATGGAACAGCAAGGCCGTGTCTTTAAGCCTCCATCTCCAGCACAAAAACCTATCAGTCCTAAGAATCCATTTCCAGCACAAAAACCCAAATCTCCTAGCCAAAAAGCGCCCAATACGCCGACAATATGATATTACACTTAATATTCTGTGTATAAACTGTTATAAATCAATGTTTATACTAGTAAATCAACAAAAAACTGTTGGATCTAAATGAATGTAAATAGAAAAAGGTCTTAAAAAATACTAATCCCTTAGCCCTAGAGAAAACAGGCCTAAAATGCCGACAAAATTATATTACACTTGACGTTAGATGGATAAACTGCCATAAACAATGTTTTGACCAATAAATCAACCAATAACTGTTAGAAATAGATAAATATAAATAGAAGGAAGTCTAAAGAACAATATTGTAACAAACACAAAGTTCAGTTTCCATTTTTTACATACACTAAATCTTATATTACACTTGCCATTACATAAATAAATTGATAAAAATCAATGTTTCGGCCAACAAATCCACAAAAAAACGGTTAAAATGAAACAAATATAAATAGAAAAAGATGTAAAAAACAATATTATAACAAACAAAACTTATAACAAACACAGTTACATGTCTTATACTAATTTATTATATTACACTTGATATTAACTGCTAAAGATGAACGTTTCGAAAAGAAAAACAACAAAAACCGTTAAAACTTTACAAATGTAGATAGAAAAAAGTGTAAAGAATAATATTAAAACAAAAAAAGTTAAAACTACCTGTTTTTACAGGCTTAACAAGCAAAATTGTTCTTGACATCAAGATCTTTTTTTTCTATTTATTTTTTTCGTGCGCAACCTGCGGCCGCGTACAAAAAAGACCTTTTAATTAGAGTTGTTTGTAGTAGGTTGACAATTATTATACTTGTTATTATAAAATCTATAAACTCATTTTTATTCGATGTTTTAAATTTAAAAACGATTTATTTCCTATATTATCATGGGTAATATGGCCTTCTAATAAGTAATTGCTTCGTTAGTCAAATCACGTTTAAAGACAAATTTTTTTGATTACTTCGTAAGACATTGTACCTAATTGACTTTGTTTTTTCTTTAAAAAGTCTTTCATTTTATCTTATATTATCTATCTTACTATAATAACTTATATTTTAGTTGTCATTAGCCAGAAACCTTTAGTTTTCTACATTACCAAGCTTAAATTCTCTCTACTATCCTATTCTAACCTAACCTCCTTTAAAACTCATTATGTTTTACGAGGGTCACAACCTTACCGACCATGGCAAGAAAGTTGACAAATATGGTCAACTTTTATTGGAAGTTGATGACAAGCCCTGGCTCTTTACCTTCGTGTTGGGCTTCAAAACATACTCTAAGTTCTTTGTTTTGTCGTTGATACTGGAAAATGTATTGCGTTTGTATGCTCGTACCACTTTTTACAATGTTTTCTTTGCAATTATGGGAGCGTATGTTAGTTACAACGTGGTTAAAAGTGAAGTGTACAAGAGACGAGACTTGTTCATGGCTCTGATTTATGTGGTAAGTATTTTACACATATTGTAGTTTTGTTTTTGTGCGTTCTTGGTATATAAATACGTTAAATTACGTTAGAAAATGGCAGTTAAAGTTGAAAAAAATGGAATTTTAGATATTTTTGATGTTTTTGAGTTATAAAGCTAAAAAAAACCAAAAAAATATGACATTTTATAACATTATGAGTAAAAATAAAATAATCTTTTATAATTTTGGCACGCTTTTCAAACCTAAAAACATCAAAAACAAATAAAAAACCACGTTAAAAACACCAAAAAATGTGCCGCAGTCGACAGGATTCGAACCTGTGCGGGCAGAGCCCAATTGATTTCTAGTCAATCTCCTTAACCACTCGGACACGACTGCACGGAACGAAACGTCTTGATTTCTGATAGCTATTTGTTTTGATCTTTTTTATGGCGTTTATGGTTTTTTATTATGATTTATGCGTTTTTAATCAAAATATGATTGAAAAATGGCATTTTTATAATTTTTTAGTAGAAATAGATGTGATAAAGCAAAAATTCGCAGTTTCGAAGATGTTTTTGGTAATTAAATCCAGTGTAATAAATTAGATTGTTCATAAAATCCTGTGCCCCTTAACTTCAAAAATATGTTGTGAGAGGGGACACAAAATCATTTGAAATACCTAATTGCAAATTTGAACTACGAAATAGCAAGTATTATTTATTTTTTTATTTTTTTTTAGTACTGCCTCTTGGTGTCAAGTTCAGGTCTTCGCTTGGCCACAGCTTCGACCGTAGACCATTACCATCAGTTTGGTCTTACAAATGGCTATTTCTTCTCGCTTTCTAACAATGGGCGTCTAAACCTTGTTTTAGCCTTTCTTTTGGACATTTCTTTTATTATGACAGTTTTATCAACGGTTGGACTGACGACCTATGCTATGATTGAGAGGATTTACTTGATCTACGAGAGAAAATGGCATAGTGGCTACTTGTACTTTGTGATTGTGGCTGTTATGACAGTTTGGTGCTCGATGCCTCCAAGTGGGTTCGAATGGTTGAGAGGTTTGGTACAGTTTGGTGCTGGTGTGGTGAGGCAGAATGTACAGAGAGCTAGAGGGATTGATCGGTTTTGGAATTGGGAGAATTATTAATCACCTAAAAATTCATTTTGATTTTAATATTTGGCTTTTTCAACGCATAACTAACTAACTGTCTACTATAACATATTGTTTTGTAAAAACTTTGCAATAAAAATATGTTATTCGATGTAATTGCTTTTACAATTCAAATATGGTTTAATAAACGCATGCTTACTGAGAATAATATGTTATGGAGGATTTTATTTCCCACGGTAAGTTTAATGAAAGCGATGTATGTTCAAATGTCCAACTGGAGTACAAACTACCCTAAAGTTAAAAAAATGAACATAGAGCTTAAAATTGATTGAAAATGACATCGAAATACCGTTTTTATAATCTGGTTCAATCTGTAAAATTTTTTTTTCGAATTTGAAAAAAAAAATTGGCTTGGCTTTTAAAAAATACCGTACTTTAATGAAAAAAATCCACCAGTAGAATTGAAAGTGTACTCACTAGGCCTGGCTCTGGGCGTGCCAAGGCGAACCGAAACAAACTTGAAAGAAGTCGCGCCGGATTGGACGGATCTCATGCCCCGGTTCAAACCAAGGTCCAGACGCTTGTTATAAGGGCTGAAAGCTCACGACTACACCTGAAACAAAGCGGGCTGGACACGGGGCTCTTCGAACTGAAGCATATTTGAAAAGGAATATGGATTGCCTATGTGAGGCCGAGGGTTAGGTTCAGACCAAGATTTGTTCTGTAGATTGTATTGAAAAGTTACGCCCGATGTTTACAGGTCTATTCACCGCTACATTTTACTTAGTATAGCTAGCACAAAATTGACCGGCTTTCGTATATTATCTTGACAAGACTTTTTATGTTGTCTATGATAAAAATTAAGTTTCAAATTTAAAAACTTCAAACTTTAAACGAAAAATTTAATTTTTTACCTTTTTAACCCACGCAAGCCTTACCTACTTCCTATAAACGAAAATATGTGGTGTTAACAACCTTTGGTACAAACATTCGAATGAGCATATGTGAAACGTTCTCAGCGTGTTTTTGAAAAAGTGGTCTTGAAATTGAAGGTTAGTTAGTCTACTGTAACCTTTATTCTTTAAAAAAAATAAAGAAAAGTAGTTTGTAACAACTTTGGAACACATAAAAAATATTTTTTGGGCGGACATACTTATGCTTTAGGCTTCTGATACTGTCCGTGAGCTTGTGCTTGGGGCTTGTGCTTAAGCTTTATATTAATGATATATTAACTCAAACCTTTATTTTTATCTATTCATATTACATACAATAGAACGTATGTTACTAAAATAGAATATGTTTTCATTATAAATAAGCCACAGTTTGATGTATTAAGACATATTACCACTCTATCATTGAAAAGCGTGTTTTACCATTATATTATTTGAGTTATTACCACATTATTTGATTTACACTATTATAACATTGATTTGTATTGTATAATAGTGTTATACTATGAGCAACACTACTATAGACTACCCATACACAGGAAACTTTTCTACTGTTGAAAACGAATATGTAAGTTCAAGGTTTAAGTGTAACATGGCTACAAAACATAAAATAGCAAGAACTTTCTTTACAAAACAAAATGGCAAGAACTTTCTTTACAAAACATAAAATGCAAAAACTTTCTTTGCAAAACATGAAATGGCAAGGACTTTCTTTACAAAACAAAAAATTGCAAGAACTTTCTTTACAAAACATTAAATGGCAAGAACTTTCTTTACAAAACAAGAAATGGCAAGAACTTTCTTTACAAAGCATTAAATGGCAAGAACTTTCTTTACAAAACTAAACTGACAATAAATTTCTTTACAAAACATAAAACTACAATAACTTTCTTTACAAAGCATAAAATAACCTTATTTTACCTTTTTCAGCTCTACAAAACTTACTACGGCAAGGGCGTCCAGTTTGAGCTCTTATTCACACCTATAATCTACTTTACCTGTATGTTGGTCAGTTATGGTGGTAATGCGGTTGTTATCATTGCTACTATCTCTAATAAGTACGTTTTCATAGTAACATTAATTCGTATAAAAAGTAATGAGCTACTAAACTTTATATCAGTTATGGAGTTTTAGCTCATTGTTTTTTATACAGTTTATTACACTGTTCAAATAATTTTGTGCTCCCTCTCAAAGCAAATTCATGGATTAAGGAGGCACAGAATTAATTAAACAAACTAATAGTTATAAGAAGTAGCTCATTACTTTTTATACAACATTAAAATTTGTTCAAATAATTTAGTGCTCTCTCTTAAAGCAAATTTTTAGTATTAGAGGGCTCAGAATGCTATGAACAACTTAACATAGCTCAAGGTAATGTATATCTTACTAGCTATGTGAAGTAGCTCATTATTTTTTATACAATGTAAAAGGTTGTTCAAATAATTCTGTGCCTCTTTTCAAAGCAAATTTTCGGAGTTAGAGGGCTTAGAATTATTTGAACAACTTAATATAGCTCAAGGTAATATGCATCTTACTAGTTACGAACAGTAGCTCATTATTTTTTATACAATGTTAAAGGTTGTTCAAATAATTCTGTGCTCGCATTTAAAGCAATATCTTTGCTTACTATATATGTATGTAACACTCTATATCACACTTCAGAAACCTCCACGGCTCCTACAACTTTCTTCTCTGCATGGTATGTTTGGGTGACATGATGCATTTGTCTACTCACTGGCTCTACCTTGGTAACATGGCTACCGGCAACAACTTTATCCCATATAAATACTGCTTTTACGCTGATTGCTTCTTCCAAGTTGGAGCAACATTGAGCATTACCATGACCTTCTTTGTCGGTATCGACCGGTTGATTGGCGTTTCAATGCCGACGACTTACAGAGGGTTGAATGTGTATATGTACGACGGATTCTTCTTGTTTATTGCTCTGGCATTCTCGGCTTTGGTGTTTGTGTTGGGGTTACAACATTCGTGGGGACCTTTTGGAGAGGAGTAAGTTGGTTGGGCAAGGTCAGGGGCAAAGCCAAGGTCAAGGCCAAGGTAAGAGTAGTGTAGAGTAGGATAAGGTATGTTTAGGTTGGGTAGGAAAAGCCAGAGTAAGTTCAAGGCAAGGCCAGGGGCAAGGTCGGTAGATTCTCCTACATCTTCAAGTCTTACAGTGCTTCAATAGGGTAGGGTAGGGTAGGGTAGAGTAGGGTAGGGTAGGGTGGGGTAGGGTAGGGTAGGGTAGGGTAGAGTAAGGTAGGGTAGGGTAGGGTAGGGTAGGGTAGGGTAGGGTAGGGTAGGGTAGGGTAGGGTAGGGTAGGGTAGGGTAGGGTAGGGTAGGGTAGGGTAGGGTAGGGTAAGGTAGGGTAGGGTAGGGTAGGGTAGGGTAAGGTCGATTCTTCTGCACCTTCAAAACTTACAGTACCTCAATTCCAGACCAATTCAATGCCGAATCATTGACAGCTTTGGTGGTGCAGCTGGTGCAGTTTGGTTCCGAATGTGTGTGATACTCAATCTACTTGACATCTTCGTGTACACAGCTGTGTGGATATTGATAAAGAAAAAGGCGGGTACATCTGATGCTATGAGGAAGGTGTTCAAGTCATTGGTGGTGATCATGATTACTGTGGTAGTCGGGTGGATGTTGGATGCGTTTGTTGAAGCTATATTACTACCTTATGGTAATATACCAATCTCTCATTGGTACTACTATGAGAGTGTGTTTGGTATTTTTATCAACTTGGCTTCGGCTTCGAATGTGTTTGTCATGTACTTCTTTAGGTAAGAAAATTGGTAAGAAGAGAGGCAGTAGGTTGCTCACATAATTCTGTGCCCCTCCTCAAAGCAAATTTTTGGGGTTAGGGGGTTCAGAATCATTCGAATAACTTAATATATTAATAAAAGCATCCAAAAGCTCGTATTTTACATTAGTACTATGTAGCACCCCATATTGTACGTTAGTGCTATATAGCACATCGTAATTTACATCACTACTAGTTAATAAGTTGTACTTTCCATTCGTACTATATAGTACGTAGTACTCTACATTAGTACTATATAACATGTCGTACCCTACATTAGTACTACATATTATGTATGTTCAGTGCCGAGTACCAACTAACAATTCAAAGACTGTTCAAAATGAAAGGCTCTGTCAGTGGTAAAGCCGGCATGGTCACCTCTTCAAATATTCAAATTTAATTTTTTTAAATAAATTTTTAAGCCATGGCAAGCTTTAATACAGCATTTTGATCAATATTAATATCTATACTTATTATTTTCAAATTTATTTTGATGATGAACACAAAAGTAACACAATATTATCAACAGTAATGATAAGAGATACTATATCAGGTTGTTCAAAAAACTCTGAGCTAATCTCAAAGCAAATTGTCACGATTATATAGCTCAGAAGTTTTTGAACAACCTAATAACATAAAAAATAATATAAGATTAGGTATAAGGTGATATAGTTTGTTGAGTAAAATATAATAGTTATCTTGAGGATGATTAGAAAATACTTAATTTTAAAATTTAAAACTAGTTTTAGGCTTGCACGGCTTAGTAACTTAACGTAACTTTTTTACCGTGCGGTAAGTTTTACTGCCATTTTCTATGAGAAACAAATGAATAATTTAGTCTATTGTACTTGATAACGTGAAATATAAAGTGGAGGTTATATACAAAACTTATTTTACAAAAATAGACCGAGGTGATACTAAAAACCTATACAATATCCATAATAACATATAAATAGTAGTAAAACATAAATAATTAATCATAACATAGCCAAAACCTAATAAAGCCTCTAAAAGTTTTACAAATATTGTAAAACAGACCCTATTCATAATATATTACTCATCATCCCACCAAATTAGCACCATCTTTATCATGTATTACCTAAACAAAGCGGAAGTCAAGCCATTTCCGCCAAAATCTTCCGCGTCTTCTCGCCGGATGTTTTGTTGTTGTAGACGTCCGGATGGGCAAACATGTACTCCCGAAACGATCTCCTCTCCTCCTCAATCACCTTCTCCGGCTCCGCACTAAAGTTGGGGTGGTCACGAGCCACGGTCACTAAGAATCGATACATTTCATAAGCAAAGTAGGCCGCGAACACGTTTCCAACCGAGGTCAAGATGAACGGAACGGTGAATATCACTTGATCGGATGAACAGAGCTCTGTCATTTCCATTGTGAAGAACTCGTAGATACAGTGGATGGTTAGGAGGGTCATGCAGATCAGCTGAAATTAAGGTATAGTTAGAAAATGGCATTATTATTGGTTTTCTTCATAAATAAGGTAAGAAATCAATGTTTTTCAATATTTTTCGTGTAATACAGTAAGGTTTAGGTATAACATGTATTGTAAATTATTTTATATGTTTCTTATTTTCCTTTTCTATCACTTTACGACTGTTTGAAAACTATTTTCATACCTAAACTTATAAAAACAAAACGAAAAAGTTTTAAAATGGTCTAATTTAGCTATTTTCCGCACTTTTTCTTAATTAAAACCTCAAAAATTCGCGAAAAAATTATTTTATCTTAAAGAATATATTATAAAAACTTTTTTAGACATCTACTTTAACCTATAAACTCGAAAAAGAACGTTAAAACATCCTTAACAAAGCCAAAAAACATGACGCAGTCGACAGGATTCGAACCTGTGCGGGCAGAGCCCAATTGATTTCTAGTCAATCTCCTTAACCACTCGGACACGACTGCACGGAGCAAAAGCGTTTTTGTTTTCGCTCTTGTTTTTCTCGCAGGGCTCAAGGGTGATCACGGCAATGTTTTAGACGTTTTCATTTGTTTTTAGCTTATATTTATGTGTAAAATATGTACTGCTTGTAAACATATTGGTTTATAAATCATCCTTTTTCATATTTCTCTCAAAATTTTCAGGTTTTGAAGCGTTATAATAGCAAAAACTTTTAAAAAAGTTTAAAAAACTATCAAAAACATAATAATATCGAAAAAAACTCACTGTGTACATGATGAAGACCTGCATATTCCACACGATACTTTTCACAACACCAGTTATTGTGTAGTAATGAATGATTGTCTGTACAATACACACATAAACATGAATAAATTGTCGATGAAACTCGGCTTGATTGTAGATAATATCAAAGTAAACACTAGCTACACCAACAGCCCAACTCCATAAAGCGTTTAATATTAAGGTGGCTAGGACAATACGCTGAAAATGGCAAGGTTAAGATAAGAAACTTTGTAAAAGTCAATATTTAAAAAAAAATTTCAATATTTCGAAATTTTTTAAGTTTCAAAATATCAAACATTTTTTAAAATTTTTAGACCCACCTTAATGCCAACATTACCGCCACAGTAAAAAAATCGCTTCATAGTTCGTTCAGAATTTCGTTTTTCAAAATTGATTCGGAATTCCGGCCGTTCTTTGTAGGTAGTGGATTCTGAAGTCGTGGAATCTTCAGAAAAGTTGGTGGTTTCGGTTAGAGTGTCTGTTTCGTATTTTAGGGTGTCTTTGGACATAACTGAAATGAAAATTGACTTTACAAATCTTTATCAACATATACATTTCATAACCTCGTAAAACACGCCATTCTTTTTGCATCAAATGAGGCTTTGCGATATGGGGTAGAAAAGGGGATGGCAAAGCATAAAAAGGCAAGGTAGGGTATGGTAGGGTAGAAAAAGTCAGAGTAGGGTAAGGTAGATCAAAACAAATAAAAAACAAAATAAACTTCAAATTTAAGAAAAATAATTTCGAAACTTCAAAAACATGTAGAAACGTATTACAACAAGCTATCAAAATATTACCACCGAACTGCACAATGGAACGCCCCTCGCACGTCCAGACTAACATTTGTTCCTAATCCGCTTTCCTAGTCCGTCATTATCCGATGAAGCCGTTTACTACTTTGGAAGAGATAGTAACTTGTAAATACGACGTTTGTTGAACGAGATAACTGTCGAGTTATTACTCAAATTATGAATAAAACTTAAAAATATTTTAAAAGTTTTTGAAATTCAAGTTTATAACGAAAAACGAATAAATAGGCTACTGTACTCTACCGTAATTATAAAAATAGATAGCAAAAGATGTAAAAATAGGTAACAAAAGGTATAAAAATGTAATGAATAATCCCATTTGAGCAACGTTCTTTATTGTCTGCCTGTAGTTCATTTAAAAAAATATTGTTATTGCCTATATTATAGTTGGTCAATGACAAATTTAAAGGTAGGTTATTAAATATTGGGAGTACATTATTATAGGCTTAGAAGAGTCCTTTGCACTTGATTTAGACAACAATAACCGCCTTTTAAATAGCTGTTTTAGCAAACATAATAAAAAAATTTTTTTTTTCAAATTTTAAGTAATAATTGTAAAATACGCGAAGACAATAAATAATTTTTTAAAAAATTTTGATTTACGTTCTCTTACTCTACGATTATTTATTGTACTACTACCCTACCCTACCCTACCCTACCCTACCCTACCCTACCCTACCCTACCCTACCCTACCCTACCCTACCCTACCCTACCCTACCCTACCCTACCCTACCCTACCCTACCCTACCCTACCCTACCCTACCCTACCCTACTCTACCCTACCCTACATTAAAAATGCAAAAACCACTTTGTAAATGGTCAAAGCCGTATGAAGCTTAGCTTTACCACTTATTACAAATTGTAATCTCCTTTTTACAATCCGTAAAATTTCGAAACAAAGCTGTAAAGTTGATGACGTAAATTATCCTTACTTTGAAATCCTAAATTTTATCGTTTTACGTAGTAAAACAATATTTCAACAATAATTGTTAATCATCTAGAGATTATCGTTAACATGTTTTGGTTACTATAGAATGCCATGACTAAAAACCAAAATTTTTAAAATTTTAAATTGGTTTCGAAATATTTTTTTTTACTGTTTCACCTCTCCCCCCCCCCTCCTCAACAATAATATTAAAATATTTTCTAATAGGTAACATTTATCCAATGTTCTACATAACATGTCGCTAGATAATACAATAGAAGCCATAATAACTTACAATAACACTCAACTTTATTACACAAACATAACAATAAAGTTGAACCCCTGTTTACATTCAACTAATGCTAATTAATTAATCGTAGCAACAAGTTTTGCTCTGCCTTGTTTTGTGCATAACTACATTAAACTGTTTATATTAAACAAGATAATTCAATGTAAGATTACTACGCAGTTGTTCACAAAAAAACCTATTTCTCGTACTCTGCCTTGCCTTACCCTGCCCTGACTTACCTTGATTTGTCTTGCTCTGCCAATGCCCTGCTTTGCCCTGCCTTGCCTTTCCTTGCCAATGTCCTGGCCTTGTAATGGCCTTGCCTTGTTTTGCCTTGACTTGCCTTGGCTTTGCTTGCCAATGTCCTGGCCTTGCCTTTCCTTGCCAATTCCCTGGTCTTGTCTTGGCCTTGCCTTGACTTTCCTTGCCAATGCCTGACCCAGCATCGTCTTGCCTTGTTTTGCCTTGCCTTGTCTCACCTTCTCTTGGTTTAGCTTAACTTGCCCTGTCCTGCAATGCTGTTCTCTGCCCTGCTCTATCTCGCCCTGCTTTACCGTGTCCTGCCCTGCCATCCTTCCTTCCTTGCCCTGCTCTGGGCTGCCCTGAATTGCCCTGCCCTACCCTCCACTTTCCCCTTCAATATATAAAAAAACCTTTTTGTGACAATTTTGAACGTTCTAAAAACCAGTTTTTAACAATTCCTAACAATTTTAAACGCGTCGTACTTGAAAAACCAAAAGCTGCACGATGCAAAAGCGGCAGAGTCTTGAAGAGCCGTGAAAACAATATTAATCATCAGACGAGATTTATTATTAAACACCACATTTATCTTCGCCGTTAAAAGCCTGATGTTATTGTTGAATTGTAGACATCAAGATTATGATATGAAAAAAGTCCGTTCATAACAATAACAAAGACGTGTTCGTTTGCATGTATTCATGTAGACAAGTTATGAATAGTTGACATGTATAAAAGATAAATACATCAAAGAACTCAGCTCTAGTCCTAAACCTAGTGGTAGTCTTAGTCCTAGCTCAGAGTTAAAGACCGGAGCCCTAGCTGATAGCCCTAGTCCAGAGAGCTTTAGCCCTAGCTTTAACGATAGCTTTAGCAGTAATCCAAGCAATAGCCCTAGCCCAAAGCCCTACCTCAGATAGGGGTAAGGCTACTTCGCCGAGAGAAGTAGCCTTACCCCTATTCTACAGCTTCAGTCTAGAGGCCTTGCCCAGAGCACTGGCCCAGAGCCCTATCTCAAACCCTTAACCCAAAGCCCTAGTCCAAAGCCCTAGCCCAGAGCTCTAACCCATAATCCTAACCCAAAGCCCTAGCCCAGAGTTCTCGCCCAAAGCCTTAGCACAGAGACCTTGCCTAGAGCTCTACCCCAGGGCCCTAGACCAAAGCCCGGAGTCCTAGCTCAAAGCCCTAGCCCAGCGCCCTAACCCAGAACCCTAGCCCGGAGCCTTGGCCCTAGCCCTATCTCTGAGCCATAATCTTAGCCTTGGCTCTAGTCATAGCCTTAGTCCCTAGCTCTATCTGAAATCCTCCAACCTTTCACAAAATGGCACGTTCCAAAAACTGTAGCCACGTTGAACGGACAAAAATTCAAAAACCTGTGAAAAGCAAAACGCCTGCCAAAATATTCTTTACAAATCCAGCCAAAATTAGATACTTTTTACAAGACGGCTCCCCAAACATGCTTAAAGATTCATAAGCTTTTTCACGACGTCGCCAAACGCGATTCCCGAGACATTGGGAAAAACGAAAAAGTTTGTGAATAATTTGGCTTTCTCGGCGCACTTTGATTAAAGTGCATTCAAGTTAGGTATTACATTCAGGTTAACCAAGTTAAAAGTTTTAATTAGTCAAGTAAAAAAATTTAAAATTTTTTTAAATTTTGGTTTTGGTCAAAAAAATTAATTCCTTCACAGTACAGCATGGTCGTTGGCCTAGCCTTGGCGTCAACGTTAGCCTCACCCCTGTTCTTTGCCCTCGTGCTAGCTCTAGTGCTAGCCCTAGTTCAATCCCTAGCCCTGGCCTTTACCCTTGCACTAGCCTTAGTTTTAGCCCTAGCTCTACCTCTAGCCCTAACTTTACCTCTGGCTTTAGGGCTAAGGCCTGCCTTCAAAATAGACATGAGAAACGGGCCGGCCCGGGCCTGCCTTCGAGCCGGGCCAACCTTGAGCAAAATTTCAAACAAACCGGACATGAAAAATGAGCCGTTCCCGGCCCATTTCCATATAAAAAAATTTCGGGCCGGACCGGCCCTGAGTAAAATTTCGATCGAGACGGCATGAAAATTGGGCCCGGCCCGTTTCTCATGTCTACTTAAAAGCTAACCTGACTTACAGTAAAACGAATTTAAACCTAAATTTAGCCATAGCTCTAGCCTTGAACACTAATTTGCATAAAAATATTTATTATGCCACATTCCTCAGCTACGTATCAGAATCATGCCTTACTATAACTAACACGCAAACTAATATAATCCTAATTCTAAAGCCTTATACCCAAAAGCTTAACACTTCCTCGGTACCACATCTACCAAGTGTAAATAGCGCAAAACATAAGCCCAAAATCCCAACTCAAACGGCCAAAACCAAGTTATTGTAAAGACATGAAAACAAGCAGGTTGTAAACTTTCACGCCATTCACAATCCTCGCTAAATTGGCGGTTGTAAAAGGAGAATAATAACCCGTAATATCCGCTACCGTCACGATTTAACTTCCTAGTAGACACGGCTTTGGCTTAAAAATTGTGGATTTTATGGTTTTTAAGGATTTAAATTTTACGTAAAAAATAAAATATTATTATATGTAACAACTCTTGGTAACATATGTACTAAATATTGCCATGTTTTAATATATGTTTGTTTTATCAGGCGTTTTAATGAAAATAGAGGATCTGGATCAGATCATGCTAAAAAATTGTTTTTCCTCAAAGATGCGCTATTCATAGCACTCGTTCTAGTCCTGTCTCTAGCATTGGCCCAGACTCTGTTTTTGGCTCCTGCTCTAGCCTTGAACCCGGCTGCCCTAACCTTGTCTCTGGCCGCCCGGCTTTGACCTGGCCGCCCTGGGCTTAAACTTGACTTTTGCTCTGGTTCAGACCTGGCTCTGCCACTGTTTTTGGCCTTGGCTTGCCTCGGGCTTTGGCTCTAGATCTGGCTCTAGTTCAAGCCCGAGATCTGGCCCAGCTTCAGTTCTTGCGCTAGCTCAGACTCTAGCCTTTGCGCTAGCTCGGCCTTTGCTTTAGGCTGTTTTAGTCTTGCCCAGCCCTAGCAAAACTAAAGCAAAGGCTAGCCCAAACTAAAAATTAAACCCAGCCCGACCCTTTTGAATGTCTTACTATAACTAACATTCCTACCAAAAAATTTAAAAAACTAAATTTTTACTCTAACCCAAAAAGTTATTTTAAAGAACACCATGTAAAATAACAAACATTTCAAGAACTGCTTCAAATTATCAAAAAACGGGTTAATTTCAGCCCACACAGCTCTAATTTTACCCTTTTACCTAGTATAATATAATCCTATTCATCTAAAGATCTAAAACAATTTTTTTCTTTAACATAACTTTATTTAAAGTCTTATTTGAATAGTGGAAAAATAACATGATTTAAGAATTTTAGGTATCTAAAATGTGCAAAAGGTCATTTAGTGCTATATAGTATCAGTAAAAATAAAAGGAGAACCATGACTAAATTTATATAATTAAAAACTTTAAAAACAGTCAAAATATTGTTTATATTACCCTCTATATTCATATAAACCAAATCCAACAAACAGAGGTATTAGAATGTAATTATACGTGAGCGTGGTAACAAATCCAATTACAATTTGGGCCAATTTAAATGCATCAAAACGCTTTATTAAAGTACTTTCCCGGAGGACTTACAAGTGGTCAAATGTATGTTCTTTTTCTCAAGTCTAGCTCATAATCTCTCCCACCACTTTTCTCAACCAATTAAATAATACAAAACGTACGTAATGTGTTGAAGTGTAGTCTACGTGAGGTAAAGTAACAAGTGAAAAGCTAGGCTCAATCTAGAGCTAAAGCTAGAGCTAAAACTAGAGCTAAAAATATGGCTAGAACTAAGGGCTAAAACTAAGCTAAAGAGAGGCTAGGCTAAAATTAGGCTCAAGCAAAGCCAAGACTAGAGCTAAGACAAGAGCTAAGATAAAGATAGGCTCAAGATAGGCTAAAGCTAAAGTAATGCTAGGCTATGACAAAGCTAAAGTTAAGCCAAAGCTAGTGTAAAGCTAGGCCAAAGATAAACTAAGACTAGAGCTAAACCTATGCTCAAACTAGGCTAAGGCTGAGCCAAAATTATTATAAAGCTGAGCTGAAGCCAAGCTAAAACTAGACTAAAGATCGGTCAAACCTAGAATATGACTAGAGCTAAAGCTAAGCTGAAACTAAGCTAAAGCTAAGGCTAGAGCTAGAACTAAAATAAGGATTAAAGCTAGGGCTAGGACTAAAACTAGAGTTAAAGCTGGGGCTGGAGCTAGTGCTGAGCCTAAAGCTAAGGTTAGGACTGCAGGAAAAGAAACCCCCCTCCTATAGCAAATTTTTTTTCGACCGCATTCCACCACCCCAAAATCACATGACCAAAATTAACTATGTATTTAAAGAAGAATATATAAACCGACAACTAAAGTTTAAATCATTAACTTTAACAGCAATATATAAAAGACAAACTAACGAGTAGTAAACGTTTGGCCTGAAACATAAACATATATATAACTCATCAAAATTACCGAGTAGGTGGCTCTCAATCCCACGCTAAGCAATTAAACTACGTAAAATGTTTGGTGCAGAATAAACTTTGTGCTATGATTAGTTTAAAACATTAAACAAACGTATGTTTCATGGTATAACAGGGAACAACCATTATAATCAACATAGTATGTCAGACACCATATACTCATTTCAACAAAAAGAAAGTGTAATTATATTATTCAACATGCAAGCTCAAATTTCCAGACCCAAAAAACTTACTTTGAAACCTGTTGATTAACTACGGGTTACGTGTAACATTGCCTTAACATCAGATTCGTTCTACACCTTTCTGAAGTCAAATCTTTCGCTGCGGGACCTAAGATGGACCCTACCCTCATTTAAGCACGGCTTCGAGCCCGCCCAACCTTTTCGAATTTGTTTCGACCTGACCCAGTCCAACCCATAGCTGAACCTTGCCTAGCTAAACAGAACAAACTCCCTTTTAGGTATATCGCCCACTCAATCACCCCACCACCTCTTGGAAAAATCTCTTCTCTGTCCTAGCCTTAACACCCTTTAGCCTGACAGTAGGTCCTATTCACAACAAACGATCATACGGTTTGTTAAACATTTATGATAAAGAAACTCCCTCCGCCGGATACCTTGAACATTCTTAATATTTAAAGTATACGTATGTAATACTATACTTCAGAATGTTAAAGCTGTCAAACAAGAAACAGATTTGGCAAAGAGCTAACTTGAGTGCAAGACTTCTTATTTAGACCTAGCTCTAGCCTAAACTTTAGTTTAAGTCTTAGCTTAAGCCTTATCTTTTAGCCATATCCCCAAAAAAACGATCTACCGTTTAAGGCCAACAAAGCAATTATAGTCAATATAGTCAAATGTAACTTAAAACACATTGGAAAATACCCTCCGACTACGATATAATTGAGTTACAGTAATTTAATTGTATCTTTTTTTCAAAATTAAAGATCTTAATTTGTTTTTAAGAACAGACATTGTTCTTGTCAGACGATTTAACTAAACGTTTAGACTTTAAAGGTACAGAATAATAGTTTAATAGTATTATGTTGTTCAAATAATTCTGTGCCCCTAAACCCAAAATTTTGCATTGAGAGGAGCACAGAATTATTTCAACAACCTAACATACTAAAATACCTCTATATAACCATTAAAATACAAGTTTTATTTCATATTCCTATAATATGCTATATACTAATATAATAGAAATCTAAAACCTTTTTAATAACCTATCTAATTTTTAACATCGTGGCAGTAAAACATTAAAAACACAGTCATTTTGACATGTTGCTCCACTTGCTTGTGGTCAAAAGCCCTTTAAAACGACTCTAAAAACCCATAAAATGCCAGATGTTCTCTTAACCTATCCCATCTTCAACCCAAGCCTTCATAAACAGAAGATGTTATCTTACGTTACTCATTTACCTTACGTTACTCAAGGTAACATTGCCATTATCAATTAAAATCCCACAAAATCCCGAAAATAAAAAAGTATAAAAATAAACCTCCCTTATATCTCGAGAAGACATTTTACATAATATCAATCCAAAAAAGGTCTTTATTTGATGTTGAACTGGTCCAAAAAACCGCCAAAGGCTGTCGAATTTTGCAAAAATCCGTCGAATAACAAGAAAACTTGGCCCAAATTATAGACATGAGAAACGGACCAGGCCGGGCCTGATCAAAATTTTGCTCAGGTCCGGCCCGATGGTAGGCCCGGGCCTAAATTTTCTTTACGTGGAAACGGGCCGGGCCCGACTCATTTTTCAGGCTCGGCCCGCGGGCCGGGCCGGTATTTTTTAATAATCTAAATTTTAGTCCTATCCCAGCACAACAACAACCGGCAGTAACAAAGATGTTGAGGATGAAAAGAACGCTTCGGCCCCGCCCTTTACCTTCACCTCCAGTTCGGGAAACATCAGGAAGCTGGAAGGCGAGTCAAACAACGAGGAGTCCGACTCGGACAGCTCCGACGTTAAACAATAATTATTTTGATTTGCTAGGAATAATAAATATTTTTTAACTAGCTCACTAAATGTACCATAATACCCTATATTAAGTCTAACCCTACTAAAGTAGCTTATGTTAAGCTCAAGCGTACTAAGCAACACATACTAAACCTAAATCTTTTTTATTACATAAACAGCTAATTAACTTTAAAAAACTTACACTTTACTCACGTTTTAACATCCATCCTTTAGTTATAAGGAAACGGACTGGGCCTTGGGCCCGTTTATCATGTATTATCCATGCGGATATGAATCTCTTCGAAAAACTGACATAAATGAATGTCAAACAAATTTTAACAAGTCCTATTTCAACTTCAAAAAACTACCTAATTATAAGGCCATTTTAATGACAATTTCGCCTCAAATATGAAGATGAAAAGGGCTTGGAACATTACGATGAAAAGACGTTCAACCCTTACAATGAATATAAAATTCTGCGCCATCAACATTTCCGACATGAACAAGGAAATGGTGTTAGATAACCATCTCAATGTGTATCGTTGCCAAGAAAGGAACCTCTTCAAATTGATTTTATGACCTCGGAATGGTTTCAAATTTATGTAGCCACATTTTTATTGGCCGCATGACGTGATGTTATAGTTACAGTGTTTTTGATGTGGGTAACAAAGATTATCGCAATGTAACGTTGATAAAAGCTAAAAAAAAGTTAATAAAAAGGTAAAAACAGGTGATAAAATTTAATATGAATTATAAGCAAGCAGTATTAGAATGTAATATAGACCTAAAACAATTACAATGTTATTAAAAAAAGGAAAAAATGCTTTAGCCATTAGCGAGAAAATCTAAACGTATTTTACTGAAAATTCAACAAAAAATTACTAAAGTGAATAAAAATAAAACTCATACTTGGCTGCCAATTATACTTACATATCTTTCATCTCTTTACCACACTCTACCTTCTTCTATTCCCAATAACCTTTGAAACACTTCGTTGAAAAAGCCAATAGTGGCACTTCGTTTAGTTTGTAAATATTTTTTTGTTTTTCAAATGAAAAATGCACTTTAACTTTAGTTTTCTAAGTAAAACTAGTAATTATATAACGAAATTTTAGCTAAAGTAATGACAGAAGTTGGCATTTCATTAGCCACACACATAACATCAGATAAAGTAAGTAATGAGGAGGAAACTGAATGGACACCCGAAGAACTTCACATTCTTTTGGATTTAACTACACGATTTAAGGAGTGGTATGTCATTAGTTAACTAAAATATAATGTATTTGAAATATATTTGTGTAGAACATGAAAGTTTTTTTAATTTTGACTGTCCTGGTTTCATGTTATATTATCCTTGCTCATAATTCTTCTTTAGGGAAGTTTTAGCGACGAAAATGAACGAAGAGTTTGGTGCTAATCGTCCGGAAGATTTCTTTACAGCTTCTGTAAGTTTATATTAGTTTTATTGTTATGCTTTTAGGTTTTAAAGCACAAATTCAGTCGATTGAGTGGAGAAAGTTGCGGTAAAAAGCCAGATATGGAAGTTCTTGCTTGGATAAAACAGTTTTTGAAGCGGGTAAGGGAGAATTTGTGTTGTTTTTGTTGTGAAGAATGTTTAATCATATGGGTTTTGTTGTTTTTGTTCATTTTGGTTTTTGTTTTCGAGGGTTAATTGAGTTTAGCGTTGTTATAGTTAGAAAACATACCTTTATAATTTTTCTTTTATTTTTAGGTAATATTAAGCTAAAGTAAAGTGTTTTACGTTGTGTTTAACGTTTAAATATTAAGGACGTTATAAATTTAATTTTTTAGACGACAACAGAGCGAAATTCATCTGGAGACGTAGCAAAAATAGCTAGAATCCGAAGATATTTTGAACTTTGGCAGCATGCATCACAAGGAAAGCTTACAGAACATCAGCTACAAGAGGTTATTGGGCTAAAGATGTGTAAGACTTTTTTGGGCAGTTCGAATTTTCCAAATGAAGATCCAGAAAAGCAATTGTGGTTAGATTCGGATTTGTTTAGGTCTAAGTTGAGCAAGGATGAGTGGAATAATGTAGGTTTTTTTGTTATTTGAAGTTGATTTTATTATTATTATATTTTTTGTTTTATTCAGTGCGTTTTAGGACAAAAGACGTTTAGGACGCTGAGTTATTTAGCTTTTCTATATTATACTTGATTTTTAAGGCTTTTAAAAGTAAATCTATCCATTTAAGCTTCGAAATCCAGAAGAACTGATAACAAAGCTAAAGAACAACACAGTAAACAAAGAAAGGTTTTTGTTCGAACATCCTGAGTTAAAGAAAGCCGAGGAAGAAGCTGCTAAAATCCTTCAGAAGCAAGAAGAAGATGCCCGCCTAATGTCTCCACCGGATTTAAAACGAAAAAGAGTTCAAGTACCATCGCCATCAGTTACTGATTCTCCAAAAGCAGTCAAATCAGAATCAACCACGCCTGGGCCCGATATTATAATGATTGAACCGGAGCCAGAAGTGGTATTGAAACGTCTTAAGTCTCCAGAACAGGCAACGTTACCAATTGCTGCTGCACTGGCTGAAATAAAGCCTGTGGAGATTGATGCTGGCTCATCTGACGTTCATACTGATGGTGAAGATAGTGAAAAAGAGAAAGTTGTGGAAGAACTAAAGGCTGGTGAACAGCCTGTTGCTAAACGGTAAGATTTAAGTTGATTTTTGGTATTTTAGGTATGAAATATTGAGTTCTTGGATGTTAACGCTCAAGAATCGCTAGATTACTCATAGAAATTTGTTTATGAGCAAATTTGCGGCTTATATTAACTTTTCATTAAGTTATTGTATAGTTGCCTATCTATATGCATTTAGCCTTCATTTCAAAATCTAGCGTATCTTAACATTTTTTTTAAAATTCCAGGTTACGTGGCAGATCAGCAACGACATCATCCGACGTGTCGACCCCTACAACGTCAGCTCAACCCAGTCCAGCTCCCGTACCTAGCACTCGATCTTCACCTAGACATGCGCCTAGTGATAACGAGGAAAAGAGGACGTTGAGGACAAAGAAATTGCCTGAAAAGGTAGAATCGCCTAAGAAGGTTGAAGGTACAAAGAAAGAGGTGTTGGACAATGGATTCGAACCAGAAAGCGGGACTAGTGAAGGTAAAAATGGCTTTTTTTTAGTTTTTTTGGTTTTTAGGCGTAAGGATATTCACTATGATATTACACTAAAATTTTGACGATTTTTATACATTTTGAAGGCGAATTCGAGCTTTTTATATGAAATTAGATTATTTTTAAACGTGTTTTTTGAAATTGAATTACTAAAAGGTTGTTTTAGTTGAAGAATCGACCAAGTTTGCGGCTCCAGAAGTATCAACAATGAATTCGATAGAATGTCAGACCACTTTGACCTTTATACGGATCAATAGGTCAAGATCATTGTCACCGTCGAAAAAGAAGCTTGAGAAGACGAATTCAAGTCAGAAAGAGTTAGCAACAGAAGCACCTGTAGCACAATGTAGCCAGTCATCAACTGATACTGCTGCTACTATCAAAACTGAAAGTGGTGAGTATTCTTGGTATTTTATATTCTGTATAAGCTTAAAATTTAAGTAGTAATGCCATTTTTGACGTTTTTATTGTAATTTGCGTGGCTTTTGTAAGGTGATTAGTACATTTTTGTTATGATTTACCTAAAGACGTTTTATTTTTGCGTATTTTTTAGTTTTAGTAGTCACTTTTTACATTTGTATTATCTAAACATCCAATTTACATATTATTTTCAAATATTTTAGACGATCAAATAGTGGAATTCCCCAACGTAGGTCTCCAAACAGAGCCACTAGACCTGAAGCGCATAAACGTAGATGAAGAAATCATTTACGTTGGTGAATCACTAGACGAATCGAAAGTTCAAGAACTATTGGCTCAACATCGTGACAAAAGTCAGCCACCAGGGGAAGCTCCAAAAGAAAGACGAAGGAGCCGAAAGTCGAATGCACAAGGCAAAAAGTTCAAAATTGTCATTGAGAGTGGTTTCATTCAAGAGTTATATCCGTTTTTGTTGAAGAATGAGGATAAACTTGAGGATGATGAACGATCAGAGGCTTCTGATACTTGTAAGTTGAGGTTCTTAGGGGTTGATGATGGAAGACTGCTGCGTATTTTACAAAAATATATTTGATTTTAATCAAGATTAGTAAGAATGATATAATATGTCAAGAAGATATTGGTGCAGTTTTAATAATTTTTCTGTTTTTAGAACGATAATTATGCTTTATTTTCTATTTGCAGCAATAACCATACTTTATATTACATTTTCAGCACGCTCATCAAGTAAACGCCGCTCAACCCGCCATGGAACTGGTTCACAAGAACTAGCCAAAAAATATATGAAATCGAGTAAAACACCGACTCTGTTCCTAGAATCAGCTCACCTACTCAAGAATCCTGATGTGGCTCTACCACCACCTAGTACAAAGTCACCTCATGACCCTATAATAAGATCGGCCCATAACATTATAATGCAACAGAAGTCGGCCAACATATTCATGGAGCCGGTCACGGCTGAAGTCGAGAATTACTTTGATTTTGTGAAGTAGTAAGTTTTTAGAGGTTAATTGGCATCGAAAGAGTAGCTACTACACCTACTAGTAGGTAGTATACCAGGTTAATATAATTTCAATTTATTCTTATATTTGCTTAAAGTAATTACTGATAAGAGGTAATCATAACGTTAATACAGATGTTTATTTTACACTTTCAGTCCGATGGACTTGTCGACGATACAAAAGTTCATCGATGAAGGCAGATTGAAGTCGATGTCGGAGTTGCAAGAACTATATAACTTAATGTGTGCCAATGCAATCATGTTTAACGAAAATGGGCACACAGTCAACCAGGATGCTAAAGAGCTGAAGAAATTATGCTTCGAGACTACTAGGGTAAGTTTTGGGCTATATTGATGTTAATATAGTTTTTTTTGTATTATTTTTGGAAAAAATTTGGTGTTTTGATCAAAAGCAAGCAAAATATTTGTCTTTTTAGCTAGAATTAAGTATAATATTGGTCTTCTTACCCACTGTAACATAGTGTTTTAGAGATTACAGCTTAGGAATAACACAATTTTTTAATTTTTTGTATTAACTATTTATTTTCAGGAACTAATCTACGCCCCACAAAGAAAAGTAGCCAAAAGACACTCAATACAAACGAATCGCTTCTCCACGAGACGTCTAACGCAAGTCACTATACCAAAGATCCTCCCTCACCACGCTTCACAACCACACCTGGTACCAGGCACGGCCAAAGCAGCGTTACCTCTAACACGTCGCACCTTCGTAAATGCTGCTTTGTATCGTACAAGAAGATTCAAACAAGAGAAACGTGAAGATTCCGCGACATCAGCCACTAATGTTTGATCGACATTAACTACTAATGTTTGATCGACATGAGCCATCAATGTTTGATCAGCTACCAAAGTTGAGTTCTCTTCGTCTTAGCTTGTCCATATCTTTAGTTACCTTTTGTATTTAAGTAGTCGTAACATTAATGTTGAATTATTTTAACTTTACATCGTAATAAACTATAGCAGTCGTCGGTTTTTGGGGCGTTATTGTGATGGTATGGCCAATATTGATTGCTCTGAACCATTTTATGGAAAATATTGATTGTTCTTGAGCTTTTTAGGACAGATACTGTGGTTATTGAGTATTTTACAACAGATACTGTTGTTCTTGGACACTTTAATACGGTTGATCTTAAGTGTATTGCTAAATATCTCATATAGTGGGGGGGGGGAACTATGGACTTGGCCAGCGGCTGATTGAATGTTTACCCAATGATGCGGTTTCTTAGGCTTGTGAAGGGTTATATTGCTTAAAAGTCACTTTTAAGTGTAGTATTACCAAAAATGTGTGAAGGTCACAGTTTTTCTTATCCTACTGAATGTTGTCGAGAAAAACAATGTGACTTTCGTAAAAAAACAATGTGGTAATGAAACAAAAGGACATCTTTTTATATTTTGCTACAAATTTTTCATTTTTTTATAAAATAAAACTAAAAACTACATATGTATTACGTTTATGAAGCTATTCTGAATTCAAAAGCCACCCGCATCGAATTCCAATGATGGAATTGATGACTCATTTTAGGAATATTTTCCAGAAGCTTCCAGTATTATTTATCTTTGCATTTTCTTTATTTTTTGAAGTTTTTTGGGCAGTTGTTTTTCAACCTTGTCAAAAGTGTACTCAATCCTTTAAAATTTGTTCAACACCTTTTGGGAATAGCTATTGTATAATAACTTTTTTATAGTTTTTTGTTAAAAATGGCCTTATCTGAAGACTGAAGACAATATAAAACCTCGCTTTATCAACTAAAGGTTTAAAATTAGAATAATTATGACGTAAACATAACGCCTTTCATGATCATTTCCTGGTTTCAAGAATGTCTACTCACGTTAATTTAAAAAATTGTACTTTAAACTCCAGGTTTCTAAAACAGTTTTTTAAATAATTTTAAATTCCAAGCTATTTTTCAAATTTAGAATGTTTCAACTTGAAACTTTTAAATCCTTTTATTGACAGTCACTGCGGGTGGTACCTAAACCTTTACTTTCTTCACAAATATTATTTTTTATGAATTCAAAGATGTATTGTTCATTATTGTTAATGTATAATGACACATTCTTTACCATATTATCTTGAGATTCAAGTATATTATCTTCAGATATTGTATTGAAAAGTAAATAAAGAAGAAGAATTATCAACATGTAGGTAAAGGAACACCAAGATGCATATAATAACAAAGCCACACAGAAGGCAGGTATTGTACGGATTTGATTAGTCATAACCTTGCTGGAACAACAATGACATTGTTTTTGGAAGTTTCATTGTGGAAAACAATTAATAATGAGGCTTTTTTATATTATACTAAATTTAAAAAGTGCTATTTAACCTGGGAGGACTGATAAGCTCATCCAGGTGTTAAGTATGCCGCGGGTGGTCTTTTTTCAAAATTATTTTCAAAAATATAATATTAACCTTCGTTCAACTACCGTTCGAAGCAAAGGGTTATTATTAAATTGTTTAAATAATTCTGTGCCACTTCCCTAAACAAATTTTCTGGGTTAAGGGGCGCATAATTATTTAAACAACATGATATTAATATTACTCTTTACTGGACTAGTGCTCGGGCAAAGAGTTATTATTATAAATAGTATTATTTACTATAGTATAGAAAGGCCCAAGTTTAATTAAAATTTTTAGCTATGGCTATATTAACATACCACCCGCATGCTAAGCCCCTCCCGGATTTGTATGACCTTATAGATGATAAAACTGAAACATGCACTTTTTAAATTTATTCACAATTATATTGTTCTATGTTATCGTGGTTTTAATGCCGCAACAAACTAAAATATAGTTTGTTTAGGATAAAAAATACAAAAAATTGCGGATTTTCATGAACTTTTATCAATGATAACATCCATAATTAGCAAACAATGCGTGAGGTATCTAAATTGGAGGTATTGTAATTTGGTATAGAAAAAGTTTTTGTTTTCGATAAAAAAATTGTATTTTAGTACAAATTGAAGCTTTGTTAGTATATGATATTCATGTAGTTATAGCTTTAACATTCATTATGAGGTTCGAATTTGTCGTAAAAATACACTTGTATTATATCACTAGAATACATATGTATTATATTATATTAATTCTCAGTTTTTTTGAAAAAAAAAATTATTTGACAATGATAGTAAATGCAATATAGCTTCAGTAAGTTAACTTACATCAAGAAACTGGTTGATAATTTTTTAAATATTTTTTTTTGTTTTTTTTTGGTTTGGTGTAATAAAAAGCCGGGTTGAATTGAAGAATATCCGAAAAAGATCAGTCCAAACCTTCACTTGCACACCCAAGGGCTGTGCCAAAAAAATGGACCCCGCCCGGGCCTTACAGTTCTACCCTAAACCTTAATTACCAACTTCCAAACGATGACATTTACCATCTTGCGCAATAAAGCAAGCTAATCCTCGACTATAAAGCAGCTACCGAGGTCCGGTCCCGAAAGTCAACTAATATTTTTCTTTGGCATCTTCACCTTCTTCACCTTGCGTGTTCTCTTCTTTATGGCACATGTTTTTGGTCGACAATTATGACCGGTCAATTTGTGTGACATATGGCCGGCGAAATTGGTCGCCACTGTTTTTTAATGGGTTGACCTTGTAAGTGGCTTGGTTTACAATCGGGATTGGTGAAAGAATATGGTTTTGGATTGGAATATAGTGAAACTCCTGAATATAGGAGTTTCACCGTATATAGATACCCCTTCACAATACCCCAAAACCTCAATATTATAGTAGCTCAAAGTGCCAAAAAACCTACGGTAACCCGGCAGCTCTCGACCCACCTTTTGACCAAACACTTGGCTGTTTTCCCACTCCAAAAACGGTGGTAATTTGATAAGATGGACAAACCGGTCTCGAGTGCAAGGTGTTTATTAACCATCGCTCAATTAGGGTCAAGTTACCTCCGAATTCTAGTGGGAAAAAATTAATTTGAGGTCGATTTGGAGTGATATTCCGGGAAATTTTATGAGATTATTAGGGTTGCGCAACAGGCGGAGGGAATTGGTACAGTATACAGTGGAGTTATTGTATAATACAAGGAATTGCTTTGGGATATTAAAAGTTGTTTGTCATGAAGGAACTTCGGTATAGTGAAGTTTGTTATAGAAGTGTTCGATACACAGGAGTTCGTTATAAAGGAGTTTGTTGTATAAGAATTCGTTATATAGCAGTTTGGTTGTAAGGAAATGCACTCATATATCGTTCTAAAATGCCTGTTCCCGGTTCATTATTTGCTATTTCAGCACGATTTACTCAAAAAACAATTTGCGCTTATTTACATATTAATTTGGGCACGGTCTACTTCATATGCGAATGATAGTTCCGGATGAAACATAGCAGGTTATGGTGAAAAAAGCGTTACTTTAGACAGGTTGAAACAGTTTTTAACGTTTTTGGGTCAGGTCTAGCGTTAAAATAGTCTAGGCAGGTATCATAAAAGCGCCAAGTCTTGATATTTTTTGGTCGGGCCGGGTTGGGCTTAAAAAATCAAAACAGGCTGAGCCCAAAAGTTTGACCCGATCTTATGCCGAGACTAAAAAGTTGGATCGCTTCGTTTCTCAACCCAGTGTTTAGGATTACTTATCAGTTTAAATTGATCTATAATATTCAAGCTCAGCCAATTCTCTAAGTTAGGTATAGTTGCTGCGACTAGGTTCCTTGATGACTATGATTATATTCTGTTTAACAAAACGCTTGAGGATTTAAAGTGTGTTCGTTATGAAGGAGAGTTACTATAAAGAAGTTTTAAATGCGTGTCTGTTGTTAGCCAAGGATTCAAAAGCTGTTATGTGTTTTTTGTCATAGAGGAGTTCGTTATACAGGAGTTCTACCGTATAAACGGACAATGTTTTGGCACTGATTTTAATGTCGATTTATTAGTACTTCCTCCAGTATTTCAACTTTTCTAAACTAGTCCAAAATCATTTTAAAATCATTTCTCGACTACGAGTTTCCGTCTGGTCTTTCACAAATGTTGGATTAGCTGAATAAGTGTCAAAACCTTGTGAAATCGGGCCGGAATTACCTAATTCTTGACGGATTTCGTAGGGTGGCACAAGTGGGAGGAGGCGATTGTTTTGGATAATTCAAGATGGTCAGTCTTTATAACATTGTCATCTCCATATGGCTGGGTATTTTAGCATTTTTTTAGGATTTATAAGCTCATTTTTGATTTTTTTTTAATTTTAGGTAATAACAGCTCATCACGGCTTATGATTCTTCTTTTTAGGCTTGAAAAGCACGAACCGTTCAAATCTTTGAAAATTTGAAAGCCATTTTAACTCCATGTACCAAGTCTATTTATACAACCTACCTAAAATTTATAACATTTACCTGAAAACCAATACGCCGTTTTCAAAACCACCCTAAACCAAAGTCACCCCTGAATATTTCCGGACGTTTTCCCAAACTATTAGCCGAAACCCTTTTGCAAGCATTTTTGGTAAAGGTCGTCGCCTGACAAATCTCGAGTCTGCGCTTCATTTTCTTTGTTCTCAAACATTGTCTAATCCATGTTTGGCACTTACAAGGTGACCTCCATGTGATCTCTTGCCGAATGCGAGAAGAGACCAGCATTTTCGAGGTTTTTAGTCTGTTTTGAGAAGTTTTTTGGATTTTTTAAAATTTTGTGAAATTTTGGAGTTTAGGTGTAGTGATAATATAAGGTCTTGAAAATTAGGCCCGGGCCCAAGCATTTTAAACTTTTTAAAAAATTTTAAAAAAAATTTTTGTTTTAATTTTTATTGATTTTTTTAGTTTTTTGAGTAACAAAATCAATTTTATTTTATT